CACCACCACCACCACCACCACCATCGCCACCGCCACCACCACCACCACCACCATCATCACCACCACCACCACCACCACCACCACCACCATCATCATCATCACCACCATCACCATCATCACCATCATCACCATCATTATCATCATCATCGCTTTTCTTTTCATGTTCCATACTAGTCCTTAACTATTGGATCAAGAGAGAGGCTTACTGTCTTTTCCATTTTTTTGTTTGGTTTGGTTTGATTTTACCTTACTTGGCTTTTTTTTTCCTTTTCATAAACATAACATTTGAATTGGTCAAGAACCATCTATTTTTCCCTAAAATGGATGCCTCCACAGACATAGCAGATTTCATTAGCCCAAAAGGATAATCGATATTACACGATTTGAGTTTAGACTTTGATTACCCCTAATTTATCTCAGAATTTCTACTTCTAGATAGAAATAGACACCGTGTTTGTTATTATTATCTCTGCTTAGAATAATCCCTATTAAAGCATTTTTAAAAGACACTTTTATCTTGACCTTCAAAGTGACTAATTTCATGCTAGTGAACAATGTTTACGTGCGTGTATTTGTACAACCACATGATACGTCGTTCTTTATGAGCAGCTCAACTGCGCTCCTCATGAATGCATCCTTTGTGGGGGCACTAGGGGAGGAACAGTGTTCAGGGGTGGGCCTGGGCTGTCTTGTGAGGAGCACAAGGCCATCTTGTGTTTGCGTGCGGCCGTGTGTGTCTGTGTGTGTGTGCGCCGTAACAACAGAACAAGTTCCGAACGCGTGCATTCTCTGCCGCCCCACGCATAGCTGAGACAAGTAGAAAGAAACAGTTTCCTAGTGATAGCCGATTATCTTACTGAGCCTTTGGTTAAGAAGAAAGAAGAGAGAGAGAGAGAGAGACTGACAATCTTTCTATCTCCTGAAAATGTGGGACCTCCATCTCTCTTTGAAAACAATCAAGCTTACACGCCTGATGAGCAAGGGCTCTGCAGTCAAACCAGGCTGCCTGCAGAGAGCCCTGGCCTCCTGGTTTTAGTTGGGTGCACGTGTGAGCCCTCCTTGGTCACCTGTGCATCATGGTTTTACTTGACAAGCGCAAAGCAGCTGGAGTGTCAGCCCTTGCACGAGAGGGTCATAGGTTCAATCTCCAGTCAAGGGCACGAACTTGGGCTGCAGGTTCTATCCCGGGCCCCATCGGGATGGTGCAGGAGGCAACCAATCGATGATGTTTCCCTCTCTCCCTCCCTCCCTTCCACTGCCTCTAGAGAAATCAATGGAGAAAATACCCTCAGGTGAGGAGTAACTAAAAAAGTAAAATAAAATGCAGTTTTCAAGATGTAGCTGGCAAGGAGCCCTGGCCACACCCGCTCAGGAGGCAGTGTTCACAGACAGGAGAAGGCATCAGGTCTACGTGACCGTGGGCACGTGGCAATCAGCCACAGTGTGGCCTGTCCTGTCTTTTTGTGTGATAAGTAAAACTGTGAGGGGCCCTGGGAGATGCCACAGGCAGAAAGGGAACTGCCTTTTCTGGGGGTGGGACTGCTCCCCACCTCTGTGGACTCCTTCCTTCCTGTGCAGCCACCTTGCCCAGGTGGGAGGAGGGTGGGTAGACTCCGGAGGCAGGAGCATCTTGGATTCCTTCTGAGTGTGCAGTGCAGAGGAGCTTGGCTTGAGAGGGGACCCGCCCTGCCCAAGTGCCTGCGTCCTCCCCTCCCCAGCCAGGGAGCCAAGGGCCAGGCCAGGGTCCCCACCCTCACCAAGTGGCCTGCGCCAGCGCCGGCTCCCGGTTCAACTGTGCAGGCCTGGGGGATCCGGGTCCTCAGGTCCCTCGGCGGTTCTGAGGCCCCTGCCCTCCTCTGCCCTGTGAGGACGACTCTGCTCCCTTGCAGCTAGCTCACGGTGTCCTAGTGAGAGGAAGGCGCCCTGCGCCCACGTGCCTTGGCAATACCGGCGGCAGAGCTGTGCCCGCCCAGCTGGTTCTGCCCACCACGCCCTCGGGGCCGCGCCCTGCCCAAGGGCAGCTGGGCCTGGTGGCTGGGCCGCCGTCTGTATTTGTATTTGGATTCCTATGTTTGTACTTCTAATACTAACAAATGCACAAGTTGTCAGAAATGCACAAGCTAGGAGCAGATATCTTTCTGGTTTGGGGTGGGCACCTGGGCTTGGGAAAAGTGCCTGCCAGGGTTGGGGTCCAGGGCGCAGGTCCACGGGGGCCCAGCCCACCAGGGGGCTCTACACCCACTGCCTCTCTCAGAGGCTCACTCCACCCTCACCTCACCCCACTCCCTAGCCAGCCCACTTCAGAGGGAGATTCTGCAAATGTTGTGTCTTCTTTGGCAGAGAGGTAACAAGTGGCTGTGTCCAAGGGAAGTGCCCTCCCCCTCCACTCCTGCTGAAGCCCTGAACAGAGACCCCCAACCACGCCTGGAGGGCAGGAGACCTGGCTGCGGCCGAGCTGGGGCAGCAGGCGGCCTTGGAGGCCTCCCTGCAGCTCAGACATGGACCCAGTGTGAACCCTGCCCCAGACCATCAGGAACTGGGGGCTGACCACCTGCACAGTTGAATGGCGGCTCCCTGGAAGGGGCTGCAGCCCACACTTATGTCTAGACCAGGGTTCACCCACGCAAACCACCCACCAACCTAGCGCGACCACCACAGACATCAGAAGGTTCTATAGTCTACCTTGGTCAATCTCAATTGAAATACTTTTCTCATTTTTCAATTACACTTAAACTACAATATTATATGAGTTTCAGGCCACAAGCCAGTGACTAGACATTTTTATACCTTCCTAAGTGATCACCCAGATGGAAGTGGTATACATCCGACACCTTACAGATGAGCGCGTTGCACTAACAGAAGCTCCCAGGTCACTAGGTCACTGTCTTGGCCATTATTACACCACAGAGGCAGTACCCTCCCCCTGAGGGTTTCTCTGATGGCCTCACCTGCTCTAAGCCCTAACGGGGGCCTCCTGCCTGACACTGGTTGGGATCTGGGTGTTCTAGCCTCTCCCCACCTCACCCTGGGCATCAGAAAGGGCCCAGAGAGGGAGAGAGTGGTCTTCCAATAGGTGGTAAGTCACTGACATGAGGTGTGGGGAGACCTGCAGGATTCAAAGGGAGCAGAGGCAGGGTTGCGGGAAACGTCCGTGGACCTGCAGACGCGGGAGCAGAGGACTGATGTGGGTGGTCTGGGGCCGGAAGTGGGAGCCGCTGGCCAGCCCGGTGCTGGTGACAGGGAGATGGGGGTGGGCATTTGCTTCGTTTGCATATGCTCTGCTGTGCATTTGCACCAGCCCTTCTTGCTTTTCCCATCAGATGCCTGTTGGGGGAGCAGCCATAGCGCCCACCCCAGGAAGGGAGCCCTCTCCCCTCTGTATCTGGGCCCAGAACTTTTCCTCATATGAAGGCTGTCGCTGGTCCCAGATTCTTCTTTCTCATCCAGGGAAATTGTTCCCCACTCTGGGGTGAACTTACGGGTGAAGTTCACAGTGGATGTCGCTGCTCTAGTTGAGGCATGTGTCCTGGGGCACCTGGCTAGCCAGCTGGTATACCTGCTCCTGCCCCATGGGGACAGGTCCTCACCTGCGGTGGGGCGGGGGTGTGTGTCGACGTCACCCTGGATGATTATCCAGCCAGGGCCTCTAATTTTTTTTCGTATACCTGAATTATTTATTTTGTATATATCTTCATTGATATTTTAGAGAGAGAGGAAGGGAGAGAGGGAGAGAAGCATCGATGTGAGAGAAAAAGATTAATCGGCTGCCCCTGCATGCCTCCTACTGGGCATGTGCCCTGACCAGGAATTGAACTGGGACCTCTCAGTGCATGGGGTGATACTCAACCCCTGAGCCACACCAGCCAGGCTGATTTGCCCTTTTAAAATGGGAATCATGATCCAGGATCTATCCCCTCACTTCACTGCCCAGGAATTCACAGGAGGTACCTGGGGAGGGCTTTGCCGTGGGTGGTAAAGAAGGTCACTGTGCTTGTCACCGACTCTCCACCTTTCTGGAAGGGAACAGGATGCCGTTTTCCAAATAGTGATTCTAAACTAGAAAGAGCGCCCCCACCCTGAAGGTGCCGGAGACAGGACTGGGACTAGAAAGGTCTCCTAGTTTCCTGTTCTTGGTGCCCTGGGGATCTTAAACCTTTTGAAATCAGATGCTTTTGCCCTGGCCGGTTTGGCTCAGCAGTTGGAGCGTCGGCCTGCGGTCCTGAGAGACCCAGGTTCGGTTCCCGCTAAGGGCATGTACCTCGGTTGCAGTTTGTCCCTGGCCCTGGTTGGGTTGTGTGGGTGGCAACCACTCGACGTGTCCCTTTCACGTAGATGTTTCTCTCTCTCTCTCCCCCTCCCACACTCGATCTGAACAAAAAATAGAAAAAATGTCCTCGGGTGAGGATAAAAAAAAAAAAAGAAATCAGATGCTTTTTATAGCTCCCACTTCTGAGCAGAGTTCGCACGAAATATCTTCGTGTCCAGGTAGCCTGCACCTAGACTGAAAATGAAGAAGACACCCAGCCCGGCCGGTGTGGCTCAGTGGTTGAGCATCGACCACGCACCAAGAGGTCGCCAGTTCGATTCCCGGTCAGGGCACATGCCCAGGTTGTGGGCCTGATCCCCAGTGGGGGGCATGCAGGAGGCAGCTCTTGATGTTTCTCTTTCTCTCTCCCTCTCCCTTCCTCTCTCTCTAAAATCAATAAATGGGGGAAAAAAAGAAGAGGCCCAGAGCCCCGGTCTGAGGAAGCACCGCCCTGTTCCCTGCCTCACCTCCCATGATGCACAAAACAGCAGCCTTTACCAAGTGCGACCTGAACCTGCGGGGGCACAGATCCGAGTCCGGACCACACTTCCATGCGACACAGCCCGCACCACCTTCACAACCGAAGACTGTCCCTCTAGGCTGGCGACCATGCAAATTATTTTTCATAAGTACTGATGACCCTCTTTAAGCCAAATTTCTAGACATTTAATGGCTACTTTTAAAACTCCAGAGAAAACCATATGCATAAAGTGCAACTTTACATAATGTGAACTACTAAACGCACGAGGAGGCCAACAATTCTAAGACCTCTTGCCAAGGGAGAGTTTATTTTCTCTTAATACATCCAGTGTTTCCTATCAGCAGCCTATCCCAGGAAGAGCACGTCTGCAGAGGGTGTACAATGTGAAAGCTGGTTACTCGAACTGAAAAGTGATGACACAAAGAAAAGCCGTAGACAGCCTCGGGAGAAGGGAAGGCCGAACAACACAAGCATTTGGGGTGGACTGGGCATTGGTGTCTTTTCTTACAGCGCAGAACACGAAATATACACGTTTCCCGCAGGGGAGTCGTGGGAAGTCATCTTGTTTGCCAGCATTCGGCCGAGCAGGAATGAGGGTGCCGAAGGTCTACACCCCACACACCCGCACATAAGCACCTTTCCTCCTCCCAAGAGTGGTCCAGGGGAGTGTTCTCCTGATGTGGGTGACGGGCTGAGCTCCCCTTCGGTCCTCGAAGCCTGTGCCTCCGTTAACTCCATCCCATCACCACGTGAACGACCAGCAGGTAGCACATCCCGACGGTGCAGGAGACGATCATCATCGGGAAGCCCAGCCTGGAGCCCAGAGAAGTGCGTCGTGGTGAGAACCCTGAGATCCAGACTCGATGTCGGTACAGAATATGGCCCCGGGTGCTCCCGTGTCCACAAAGCCAGGGAGCTCATTACCAGAAGTTAGAAACCGGGTTTTAGCCTCGATGATCTGGCTGGCACACCTCTATTAGATGCCCCTCATTTTATGGGAGACCTGCTTAATATTCTTGCACATTTTTATAAAAAGTTTTTTAAAATTGATTTTAGAGAGAGAGGAAGGGAGAGAGGGGGAGGGAGAGAGGGAAAGAGAGAGAGAGAGAGAGAGAAAGAGAGAGAGAGAGACAGACAGACAAACATCAATGAGAGAGAACACTGATTGTCCGCATCCTGCACGCCCCCCACTGGGGATCAGGCCCACAACCTGGGCATGTGCCCTGACCGGGAATCGAACCGGCAACCTCTTGGTGCATGGTTTATGCTCAACCACTGAGCCACACCGGTCGGGCTTCTTGCATATTCTTAATTGACTTTTCAGAGCCTCAATTTGTTCAGACTTGAGAGGGTTGGTCTTAAAGACAAACTATCAGTCATGTTACTGGACCGTTACTTAAATGTCTGGATGTCTCCTGTGACCACATCACCTTCCAATCATGCTCCCAAGAAAGCTGGTTTCGCAGGAAGGTCGTATTCCCGTAGACCCCGAAGTCCCTCATACTCAGAGCTGGGGGAGCCTGAGGGGCAGGAAGAGGATCTCCCTCGCATGGGGCGAGGTGCAAGGTGAGCACAGGTGCGCATACCCACGAAGGGCGTCATAAGACCATGAACTTTCCTCCACACTCTGCATCCCACAATAATCCCTGCCAGTTCCTATCCGATGGGCACATCCCAGGAGTTTCCTACTTGGCATCTGGAATCTACGCTTCGAAGCCATTGCTTAGCGCTGCACTGTCACCAAGGGAAGTCACTGAAAAGGTGACAGTTTTTGTTCCAAGAAGTGGTTGACAAAATTCAACATCAATTCACGGTAAAAACTCTCAACAACGTGGGTACAGAGGGAACACAACAAAGGCCATGCAGGACACACACAGCTGACACCACACTCACTCTGAGACACGGGAAGCTTTTCCTCTGAGGTCAGGGACAGACAAGGGTGACCACTCCCACCACTTTCATCGAACACAGCAGCCACAGAAATGACAAAGCCACAGCAATCACAAAGTGAGGGAGAGAAGTAAAAGCATCCGAATTGGAAAGGACGAAGTAAAACTGTCACTATCGGAGGGTGACAGGATATTATATGTAGAAAACCCTAAAGACTCCATTGAAAACAACAGAACTAATGAACAAATTCAGGATGCAAATTACAGGACACAAAAAATCAGTTTCATTTCTATACACTAATAACAATCAGAAAGAGAAATCAAGAAAACCATCCATTTACAATTGCATCAAAAGGCATAAATACCCAGGAATAAATTTAACTAAGGAGGTGAAAGACCTGTACTCTGAAAACTATAAGACATTGATGAAAGAAATTAAAAAAGATACAAATAAATGGGAATACATTCCATGCCCATATATAGAAAAATTAATTTGTTAAAATATCCATAATACTCAAAACAAGCTGCAGATTCAAGGTAACCCCTATCATTCTCATTTTTCACAGAAATAGAACAAACAATCCTAAAATTTGTATGGAACCACAAAAGACCCTGAGAAACCAAAGCAATCTTGAGACAGAACAAAACTGGATGATCAAAATCTTTTACAAAGCTAAAGTAATCAAAACAGTATGGCACTGTCCTAAAAACTGACACATAGCCGCCCTGGCTGGTGTGGCTCTGTGGTTGAGCACCGGCCCGTGCTCCAAAAAACTGACACATAGAACAATGAAACAGAGAAAGAGCCCAGACATAAACTCAACTCATTTTTGGTCAATTAATTCATGACAAAGGAGGCAAGAACAGACGTTTGGAAAAGGATGGTCTCTTCAATCAATGCTGTTGGGCAAACAGAAACAGCCACATGCGAAAGAATGAAATTGGACTCCCTATCTTACACAAAAATCTACTGCAAGTGGATTACATACTTGAATGTAATACCTAAAACCATAAAACTTCGAGAAGAAAAGAGGCAATGAGCTTCTTGACATCAGTCTTAGCGATGCCTTTTTGGGTTTGACAACAAAAGCAAAAAATAGACAAGTAGGACTATATCCAACTAAAAAGCTTCTGCACAGCAAAGAAAGCCACGGGCAAGATGGACAGACGTGGCCAGTGGAGCGCATCTGCAGTCAGGTTCTAGGATACACAGAGACCGATGTCAGTGCTCACCCGGTGGCACCAGGGCTCTGACCCCAAGCCCAGCCCTGTGGGGGCCGGAGGCGGGGGCTGCTGCCTCTGTGGGTGCTGGCCGTTCCCTTCAGCCAGAGTTGGTGTCACAAGTCTTCAGTCGGCCCCCTCCCTGGGAGCCCCCACCCTGGGCTGCATCTCAGAGCTGTCGTCCTTGAGAGGCACCCAGGCTGACCTTGGTCTGCAGCACCCACGGGCCCTTCCAAGGGGGATCTTGCACTGCGGGGCTGTCAGACTCTCAGTACAGAGCCCCGTCACGGACAATCAGAGCACACGTCCCGCTGGAATTCTCGAGAAAACGCAACATGAAGTTCCCAGCACATGTGGACCCCACTCAGCCCGAGCTGTGCAGATGCCCAAGTCACCCTGTGCTCCGCCAACCCAGCGATACATTCTGAATGCGTTTTCCTCCGAGCTCGCCTCTGCTACACCGATGGCTGTCACTGCTACCAACGTGCCTACCCTGGCGCTTGGAGATGCGCTGCTTTTTACATGTATTTTTAGCTAAGTAGCTTAGAGACTGATATAAGCAGCAAGTCAGCCCTGGTCGGTTTGACTCAGTGGTAAGAATATCGCCTGTGGACCAAAGAGTCCTGGGTTCGATTCTGGCGAACGACATGGACCTTGATTGCGGTTCATCCCCGGCCCCAGTTGGGGTTGTGCGGATGGCAACCAATCGATGTGTCTCTCACATCGATGTTTCTCTCTCCCTCCTTCTTTCCCTCCAGCTCTATCTGAAGATAATGCAAAAAATGTCCTCAGGTGAGAATTAAAAAAAAAAAAAAAAAGTCAAAGTAAGTTTTGCAAGTACCTGAAAAACTCCATGAAGGAGAAGCCATACCCATGCTGCTCCGCGATCCCTGCACAGACCACATTGGCGGACGCCCCGATCAGCGTCCCGTTGCCTGAAACCACAATTCAAGAATAAAATCACGTCCTAGTTTATCGTGGTGGTAGGCGTCTGTCTGTCCTCTTTTGTTCTGTAATATTCGCAAAAGACAGGAATGTTGGGGAAAATAGAAGGCAGCAAGCAAAGAGGAAGACCAGATGTGAGATGGTGGACCTGGTGGGAGAAGCCATGGGCACGAGTCTCCAAGCCTGAGCAGAGCTGCTGAGAACAGGACACCGTGGCTGTCACTCATCCACAGGGCCACCAGGCATCAGAGCTGATTCAACAGCATGTAACACACCCTGAGATGGGGGATCACCCTGGATTATCCTGGTGGGCCCGGGTGCCGCGTGGGAGCCCTGTGGGGCCTGGTGCATGTGGGAGCCCTGTGAGCCCAGGTGCAGAGCAGGAAAACCCTAACGTTGAGACCTAAATATTGTCCGTCCTCAGGCCAGGGGCTCAGGATGCCAGGACGCTCTGCGGAGACTGGGAGGGACAGGCTGCCGAGGAGCCGAGGACCTCCAGAGCCGCTGGACACTGAGAACAGGTTTCTGCTCAGGGAGCCACCTGACGCTCCTTACTTCCCTCCACCCGGCAGGCACTGACCGTCCGCTATAGCCCCCCCTATTGCCATCAGCACCCCTTACCTCCCAGGCAAGCGCCGAAGGCCAGCGCGTACATGAGTGGCGGCACAGGCAGGCTGACTTCAGGGTCCTGACTCAGGTTCAGGAGCACGGGAATCTGCAGAGAAAGGGACTTGGACATCACAGCCCAGAGGAGCTGCACGCGCCCTGGCTGACCACCAAAATCCAGAGCACTTTCCCAGCTGTCAAACAGCAGGGAGCAAAGGATGCCCACAGGATGCCCAAGTGAACCTCGGGACTCACACCCCTGAGTCTGAGCCCACTGGTTTGTCTTTTACTTTTAAATATGCTTTTATTGATTTTTTTTTATCCTCACCTGAGGACATTTTTCAATATTTTGTTCAGATAGAGTGGGAAGGGGAGAGAGAGAGAGAGAGAGAGAGACATCGACATGAAAGGGACACATAGAGTAGCTGCCACCCACACGGCCCAACCAGGGCCGGAGACAAACTGCAACCAAGGTACATGCCCTTAGCGGGAACCGAACCTGGGTCTCTCCAGACCGCAGGCCAATGTTTTAACCGCTGACCCAAACTGGCCAGGGCTTTATTGATTTTTTAAAGAGAGAGAGGAAGGAAGAGAAAGAGATAGAAACATCCATGTGAGAGAGAAACATCGATTGTCTGCCTCCTGCATGCCCCCTACTAGGGATGGAGCCCACAACCTGGGCATGTGCCCTGACCGGGAATTGAACCGGGACCGCTCAGTCCATGGGATGAAGCTCAATCCACGGAGCCACAGCAGCTGGGCAGTTCACCTTTGTTTCCAGCCACATGACCGACTGGCCCTCCTGCCCTGCTCCCCCAGCCGCTGCTGTGGGTCTTGAATGGGGTCAAGTCACACGAAACCTCACACAGGACCTGGGACTGTAGCCATCTGATGACCACAGCACCCAACTATGCCATATCCAGGCACCTGCCAGTTCCAAGGACCCTCCTGTCCTCCTGGCATCTGTGGTGCCTCCCTTGTGCTTCATAAAATCTGTCTGGAAATCAGATGTTCTGCAGGGGGTGGGAGAGTTCCCCTCAAGATCACAAGAGAACATGCCCTCGTGGGACATGTGCACACATGCCGGCACACCCAGGACCCGGGTGTTTGCCATGCGCCCCAGGTTCCGGCTCCCGACTCAGTGCTGCCCTAAGTCAGGCAATCGGTGCCCTGGCCTTGGCCGGGTCAGGACGATTCAGGCCTGTTCGTGTCCAGCAACCCAGCCGCTCAGGCCGGACAGCACAGCGTCCACAGGGGGTAGATGCCGTCAATCAGCCTGTGTCTGGGGGAGTCCTCCCATTTTCCTTAGAAGCAAAATGAGCCTGGCTGCTGTGGCTCAGTGGATGGAGCACCGTCCATGGACTGAGAGGTCCCAGTTCGATTCCGGGTCAGGGCACATGCCTGGGTTATGGGCTCGATCCCCAGTAGAGGGCGTGCAGGAGGCAGCCAATCGATGTTTCTCACATCCATGTTTCTCTCTCTCTCTCCCTTCCTCTCTCTCTCTCTCAAAAAAAAAAAAAAAATCAGTGAAATATATTAATAAATAAATAAATAAATATAAATAAAAGCAAAATGAAAAGCCCTGGCCATTTTGGCTCAGCGGTTAGAGCACTGGCCCACAGACCAAAAAGTCTCAGGTTTGATTCCGGTCAAGGGCATGTACCTCAGTTGCAGTCCGTCCCTGGCCCTGGTCAGGTCGTGCAGGAGGCAGCCAGTCGATGTGTCTCTCTCGCATCCACGTTTCTCCCTCTCTCCGTCTCTGTCCCTCCCTCCCACTCTGTCTGAGATCGATGGAAACATATCCTCGGGTGAGGATTAAAAACAAAGCAAATGGAAAGACTGGGTGCAGGCTCCACGCTGCCCGCTCCGGCAGGAAGGTGAGCCCAGACGGTGTCGGCCCTGGAGGAGACGGGACTCACCATTGTGGCTGTGAAAGGGATGTTGTCGATCAGAGAGGACGCGATGGCAGAGACCCAGACCACCAGGACGATGGCAGCTGCCAGGCGCTGCTCCTCCGGGACCGTCTGCAAGGAGCGGATGACAGCGGTGTGTCCCAGCGGCCCGTCAGCCACACCCACTGGGCATCTCCCGCCAGCGCACGCGGCATTTGAGGGCACACAGGGCTGTCTGTCCCTCCTCTGACCCCTGGGTGTGCACTCTGGACCGGCCTGGGCTGCCCAACCCTCCCAAGAGCCTGGCCAGATTCCACAGCCACTAAGGGGACACATCCCAGCCGTGCCCTAGTCAACCAGCTGTGGGCGGAGGAGCCGGTGCCCCTGTTCCTGGTGGTTCACGCTGGTGACACTGGTCACACGGTCAAACAACCTGCTCTCCCAGCACAGCTCCAGGCCTGACGCCTCTCCTAGGCTACCCCGGATAAAACAGGTCCCAGGATGTACTTTTCCCCATCAGTGCTGTGGACAATTCTTGCCCTTTTTTTTTAATGGAATCAAAGGACTGCACACATCACCGTGCCACGTGGACCACACCTTGATCAGCGAGGTGGTCTGCTCGCCGATGTACTCGATCAGGTGCAGGTGTGCCAGCGCCTGCAAGAAGCAGACACGATGATGAGAGTCAGTGTAAAACCGGAGCTCGTGTGAACTGTGAAGAACCACGTCTTCAAAGTGAAACTACGTGACCCAGGCTCTCTGCTTATACAAGATCAGCCTCTGATGCACAGTCTGTACGTCATCGCTGGCTGTGCCCCCCGAGGATTCGCTGAGAGGCAGCACAAGCCGAGGCAGGGGTCTCAGGGATCTGCGTCCATGTTCCGCTTACACCCCAATGGAAGCCCGTCTCTCCCGAGATCTCCTCGCAGAGGTTCTTCTAGGAAGGCACGCCTCAGATTTTTTTTCAAAGTTAAACATCGCAGTGTTAGAATAAAATAGAAATGCAGGATGTGTAACTGTCAGAGACAGGAGGGGAAGGTCTGTTTGAGAAGCTCAGGACAGACTCAGAGAACTCTGCCTGAGGGAGGAGACCAGGTGGAGTGCAGGAGCAGTCTGCTCAGGCTGCAGCCTTGTCCCAGCCCCCGGGGCGGGGTGACCAGGAGGGACCGGAGCGGGGAGACAGCTGGTCAGCACCTCTGTGGGGCTGTTTGTTAGCCTTCACTTAAAAGCTGTGGAACCCACGCCGGGAAAACCATCCACAACATCCTAGTAACCTTGTGTGCACTGGACTTATTGTGGTGGTCACAGCATGAGTGTGTAAATACCAAATCGCTGTGGAGTACATCTGAAAGCTAACGTGGTATTGTATGTCAACTACAATATACAGCACTTTTAAAAGGCAATACGAGTTAAATCAATAGATAGAGAAGAAGAACTGGGGCCCTTCAGTCACCAGTCCGCTCTTACAGCAGCTGAATCACAAGGGTAAAACTATTTAGAACAGTATTCCTCAATCTCTGGACATTTAAACCTTTTAATTTTTTTTTTTCATTCTTCAATTGCAGATGGCATTCGCCACTGCATTTGTTTCAGGTGCGTAGCATAGTGCTCAGACAATATACACCTGAGGTGCAACCCCACCGTGTGGCACCACCTGACACCCAGGCGCGGGGTGCTGGGTGCCGCCCTGTGACCGCAGCGTGGGGAGTCCTTCTGTTCCGGCTCCACACAGCGCGCATCTCACTTCACAGCGGCGAAGTTGGGGCGAGTCTACAAGCCCCGAAGGTCACCAAAGAGCAAACAAACAAGCAGGATGGCGATCGGGTCAGCACCTGTATCAGAACATCCAGGTGCCAGATGGAAGCTGGGTCAGCCTGAGACGGGCACGCACGGCCTCCTGCTTCCCACTTGGCGCGTCTGCGCCAGGACCTCCGCGGGCTCTTTCACTCGCGCGTGAAGTGTGAGCTGTGACTGAAAGCGCGGAGCTCACCCCACGCGCCCCGCGTCTCACCCCACGCCTCACCTCCATCAGAACGAAGAGCGCCGCGAAGAACAGGAGCGTCGCCCACTCCACGCGGTGTAGGATGATCTCAAAATCATGGCTGTCCGCTAAAATCAGCAACCAGAGGGCACCCAGAATGGCAATCCACCCTGAAAGAGACATAAATGGACAAAGAAATTGTCCAATCCATCGGGAAAACCCCTGGACGAGGCCAGTGTTCACGAGGAGCGGAAGGGCTGGGTCACAAGGTATCTGGGCCGCTCCCCCTGCCAGCGGCCCCGTCTCAGGGGGGGACGGTCCTCCAGGGCAGGAAGCGGACGCTGTGGGCACCTCATCGCCAAGTCCCGCACCAACTGCAGGACTGTGGCCCTGCTGATGGGACGTCCCGTCTCCTCCGGGTGTGTCTGAAGGTGTGGCTAGGAGTGGGACCAGGACCATGCTGTCTGGTCTCTTCGCTGTCCCTCCTAAGGTTCAACCCTGGAGGTGCTGAGAACTCAGGACAGGCACCTCTTTCTCCCCCTCCCTCTGCTCATCCCTCTCCTTCTGGAGAAAATGGACCCAAGCAGCACAAGAAGGCTGGCCACCCCTCCTCTGCCTCCCTGGCCCTGTGACCATGTCTGGGAACAAGCTTGAAGCGCCCCCTCCGGCTGTGACGTCAAGTGCTACATCCAGCGACTCACCCAGATCAAGGTGGACTCCAGGGACGAACGAATTGAGGAAGAACATGCAGATGACAGTCCCCAGCACCATCAGGCACTTGGCCAGCAGAACCCTGTCGGATATTCTGTGCTGAGAGAGGAAGACAACGCTCATTCCAGCCACGTGCCCATCGTCCCACAGGACCTGAATCATCCCACATCGCCCCCCGGGAGGAAAACTGCAACATCTTGAACTTGAAAGAAGATAATGAGGAACTGTGTTGAGGAAAACTGCACAGATTCCAGACCAGAGCTTTCAAATCCTTGTGGAAAGTAACCCTGTCCAATCCGTCGGTGAGCACTTGGCTGAGCAGCTTCCACAGGACAGAGCGCAAAGCTGTTCCCAGCCCGGCCAGCGGGAGGCAGATGCGGCAAAGCCACTGGGGACCCGGCCCTTGGACCCACGTGTTTCCACAGTGCCATGTGCTCATCCCCTGTCACCTCCCTCCCAGCCCGCAGGTCTGCGCTCCAGGTGGGGCCGCGGGAGCTAGCAGGGTCCTGCGATGACAGGGTCCTGCTGGGTTCTTGCAGGTCCTGTCCCAGCGCTCACGAACTCTGGAAGGCACTCAGCTCTTCTCACTGACAGGATGGCACCCAAGGGAGCCTGCCCTGGCATCTGGGGTGAGAGCAGGAGCCAGAAGGGCTCTGTGCTGTGCAGCCCCTCAATGACCTGCGGCCTCTGGGCCTGAGCCCCTGAGCGCACCGGGACGACGTCTCCGAGGTGCTGTGCTCCGACGGCCTGGGCTGCACGGCTGGGCGGCGTGAGTTCCCGAGCCACACGGATGGGCACAGGTGGTCCTGCCCCATAAGAGGCCCTGTGCTACATAGTGGGGACTGACAGCTGTGTGCGTCCCACCGGCACATCCGTCTGTCTGTGTGCATCCAGAATCAGAATCAGATGGACGCACACATTCAGCTGTTGACATGGGAATAAGTAAATGGGCAGGTATGTAGACACAGATGTGACTACAGAGGTATGGACACAGCTAGTGATGTTCTCTCTCGGGTTGCCTGCTCACAGTTAAAGCTGCTTCACAGACACTCGTGCCCTGACCTATGCTCACAGGCCCAGAGTCACCTCCAAGTCTTCATCCCTCCTGCCTCCACCGCAACTCCTGGCTCCGCCTCCTCCCGCCTCCACCACAGCTCCTGGCTCCGCCCCTTCCCCCTCCACCACACCTCCTGGCTCCGCCCCTTCCCACCTCCATCAGAGATCCTGGCTCCACCCCTCCCGCCCCACCACAGCTCCTGGCTCCGCCCCTTCCCCCTCCACCACACCTCCTGGCTCCGCCCCTCCCGCCTCCACCACACCTCCTGGCTCCGCCCCTCCCACCTCCACCACACCTCCTGGCTCCGCCCCTCCCACCTCCACCACACCTCCTGGCTCCGCCCCTCCCGCCTCCACCACACCTCCTGGCTCCACCCCTTCCCCCTCCACCACACCTCCTGGCTCCACCCCTCCCGCCCCCACCACATCTCCTGGCTCCGCCCCTCCCGCCTCCACCACAGCTCCTGGCTCTGCCCCTTCCCCCTCCACCACATCTCCTGGCTCCGCCCCCTCCCGCCTCCACCACAGCTCCTGGCTCTGCCCCTTCCCCCTCCACCACATCTCCTGGCTCCGCCCCTCCCGCCCCCACCACAGCTCCTGGCTCTGCCCCTTCCCCCTCCACCACATCTCCTGGCTCCGCCCCTCCCCCCTCCACCACAGCTCCTGGCTCCGCCTCTCCCGCCCCCACCACAGCTCCTGGCTCCGCCCCTTCCCCTCCACCACAGCTCCTGGCTCCGCCCCTCCCGCCCCCACCACAGCTCCTGGCTCCTCCCTTCCCACCCCAACCCCCTCTGAGGAAGACCAGTTCACTGGCTCAGTCTGCACTGTACCTTTTTTTGTAGCTCTTGGATATTGGTCTCCCAATTCTTATCTTCCTGAGAGATTTGTCTAAAACGCAAAAAGCAGACTCATTATTTTCCTGGTGATACTGAGCAGGGCATGAGTAGGGCATGGTCAGAAACACCCTGGACGCTGTCCACTGGCACCCAGTGTGGCTGCACGAGGCGCGTGGGAAGAGCGCGTGGGGCTGGGTATATGGATTGGGAAAGATGCTTGCTCTGCATTTCCAAAGAAAAATAACACTTGGAATGATGGGAACGGTTGATGAAATGTCTGTGAGCATGTGCACATGTGAGCGTGAGCACAGAACACATCAAAACGTTGGCAGAGAGTAGCCAAAGGATTATATGCGTAGTCCGTGGATACAGACAGTGCTGTGGCGAAGGCCTGGGTGGAGGGGGCGATGGGGGAAATGGGGACCTCTGTCATACAGTCAGCGATAAAGATGAACAAAACAAACAAAAACATATGCCATCCCTGGCTGGGTGGCTGTCAGTTGGAGCATCATCCTTTACACCAAAAGGTTCTGGTTCAGTTCCCAGTTGGGGCACATATGGGAGGCAACCGATCAACGTTTCTCTCTCTCCCCTAAAAAAAAAAAAAAATCAATAAACATTCTCAGGTGAAGATTTAAAAAGAAAAGAAAAAGCCAGGATGTGAACTGAGTGGATCAGCTATTCTCTGAGCTCCCTGAAAATCAACTACAGGAAGAGTTTTTGTTAGATTCGTTTATTACATTATCTTTGATTCTACGCTACAAGTGTGACCGGGGCAGGGAGGCAGCGTGGCTGTGTGACTTCGGCCCCGGCGCACGCGGTGTTGCCCTGGGCAAGCCGCTGAAACGCTCTGACCCTCGGTTGTCCGCCCTTTGGCCGGCTTCGCACCGTGCATGGCGCCTGGAACATGCCCATCAGCATGCAGTGTGTCCGTTTCTGTGGTTCGTGGAGTTGCTCTGTAACCCACTTGGTCTGTGTGCTGTGTGACAGGGGCATGACAGGTGGAGGACAGGTGGCCGATGCCACCCCCACTGAGCGCAACCGGCAACAAGGACAGTGGGTGTTGTCAGCCGAGTGTGGCCCGAGCACAGCCCAGCCTGGTACCTGTGGAAGGTGTGCAGCCTCCGGGCCAGCAGCCGCTCCAGCGCCAGCACCTTCCCCAGAAGCAGGCCCTGCACCGCCGTCTCCTCGCGGCTGGCGGGGCTGATGCGCTGCGCGGTCAGGCGCCACACGTGGATTTCGTGTTTCAGTTCTGCAGTGAACAAAAGCCAGCATGAGTGTCCCACAGCCCAGAGGTCAGGGACACCCAGCGTCCCTCACCACCTCCCAGGGACAAGGAACCCCTCAACAACGTCCAGCCAACCATGGCCCACGCCAAAGCGGTGGCTTCTCAGCATCCACGTCATTGTAATGAAACCAGGAGGCAAAGCCACGTTAAAAAGTTACCATGGATTCGCCCTGGCTGGTTTGGCTCAGCGGTTAGAGCATTGGCCTGCGGTCCAGAGAGACCCAGGTTCGGTTCCGCTAAGGGCACGTACCTCGGTTGCAGTTTGTCCCCCGCCCTGGTCGGGTTGTGCGGGTGGCAACCACTCAATGTGTCCCTTTCATGTTGATGTTTCTCTCTCTCTCTCTCCCTCCCACTCTATCTGAAGAAAATATGGAAAAATGTCCTCGGGTGAGGATTAAAAATAAAAAAAATTTAAAAAAAGTTACCATGGATGCAAAGTTAACACGATATCCACTGTTTGGGTGAAGAATATTTGTTTATCCTCACCCAAGGATATGTTTATTGATTTTAAAACAAAAAGTAGCAAATGAATGAACAAAACAAACAAAAGCAAACTCAGCCCCAGACAAGAGAAGGTGGTCACCAGAGGGCAGGGGCTGGGAGAGCCAAGGGGTCAGGGGTCAAAGGTGGTAACAGGAAGAGACTGGACTTCAGGTGGGGAGCATGCAGTAGAGTCCCCAGGGGTCGAATTATAATGCTGCGCACCGGAAAATTATACAATATTATCAACCAGTGCTACCTGAATAAATTTAATTTTTAAAAAGTAAAAAAGCACAGCTCATGGATGGAGGTGCTTCAAACACACTGTGTCCCAAGGCAATGAGGACACACCGATCACAGCATCCAGTGGCCGACGCTGCTTCCCGATGGGAAGACCCTCCCGCCTTTCGGTGGCGGACCCCCTGGGAGAACAGCATGGGGCAGCACAGGCGGGAGGGACTCTGACGAGGGCTCGCACTCACCCACAATCTCACTGGGCTCCTTGTTATACAGCTTTTTGTTCCAGTAAAGGAGTCTGAGGAGCGGGAAGGAGAAGAGGAGGACAAAGCAAATCCCGAGGAACATGTGTGCCGTGAAGCCCGCAAAGTCCAGGCCCTGGGGACAGGGAGGGGGCACGTAAAGGGCCTGCAGCCGCGGCAGAGTGGGGGGGGGGGCGGGCCAGCGAGGGGTGCACATAGGGCAGCGGGCAGTGGCTTGAGGGCTGGGTGCCCGCCGGAGGCCCAGAGCAGGCACAGACTTCACAGCTCTGAGCACACGACGTCTCCTCCACCGAAGCCCAAACTGGGGACCCCTATCAGTGCTGAACTGGCACCAACGACCACTGGATGACAGGATTCATTTTCTTTGTGACTATTTTAAACATTCACTTATAATAAATGTACTGCTGTCAAATAAAAATAATACACTATAGTATTCTCTAAAAACGTTCTCTTTTGCATGGTTGAGGCCCAGCATGGGTGCTCCTGGAGGTGATCACAGGGCTCTCCCACCTTCGGATGTGCCCCAGGGGCACGGTCGTGGGCACACTGGTCAGCACGCAAGACTGGTGAGATCTTGCCAGGGGCGAAACACAGCATACGAAAGTTAAACCACAGCATCTGAGTTGTACCCCGGATCTCTAGAAAATGGTAGGCCCACAAAATGGCTATCAACACCTTAGAGCCATGAATTCTCAAAGGTTTAAATATATTTATGGTCCAGCTGGTGTCGCTCAGTGGATTGAGCGCCATCCCATGAACTGAGAGGTCCCAGTTCCATTCCCAGTCAGGGCACACGCCCAGGTTGCAGGCTTGATCCCCAGTAGGGGGCGCACACGAGGCAGCTGATTGATGTTTCTCTCACTTCGATGCTTCTCTCTCTCTCCCTCTCTCTCTAAAAACTTAATGAAAAAACATTTAAAATGAATAAATAAATATATTTATGGAAGACATCACACACACACACACCCCATCTACAGTAAATGACACCCCGATTTGGAAGCATTTCAGAGATGATGTACTGAGAAAATTCTAATGGCCAAACAATGATAAATGAAAGCTAATTATATTATTCTAGTTTTAACTCTTTAAGATATGTAGAATAACATTTGCACACTCCTTACTGCTTTGGTTTTATTTTTATTTTTATTTTGTTTTTATCCTCACCTGAGGATATTTTCCCATTTATCTTCAGGTAGAGAGAGAGGGAGAAAGAGAAACATTGACCTGAGAGAGACACATCAACTGGTTGCCTCTGGCACGACCCCGACCAGGGCTGGGTACAAACTACAACTAAGGTATATGCCCTTGACTGGAATCAAACCTGCGAGTCACTGGTCAGTGGGCCAATGCTCTAACCACTGAGCTAAACTAGCCAGGGCTATGCTTTGTTTGTTTTTTTTAATGTACAAAGTAATGATGTACCAATATGTGGAAGAGCTTTCAAAAATCCCTAAAACCTTCATTTTCTGAACCTTTAAAAAAAATGTTAAGTTCTTCATCAGTAAATTCATTCACCACAGCTGAAAATGAGTGTGGACGTATTTTAGTCTTCATATGAGTTTGAAGAAGTCTCATTCCCATTAATATAATCTACTGTAAATAAACATCACGTTATCCGAGCATTTCCTTAAAGTCTATCAGAGCAGGAATGAGATTCAGAGCATTGAACTCTACACAGAGGCTCGGTCTCCACCTCCACTCGCTAGACAGCCACAGCGGTTGAGGAGAGTGGCAGCGAGGATGCGCTCAGGAAGACACCACGTCGAGCAGAGGCAGGGCCTGCACCACGAGCGACCCTGTCCCACTGTACGTACCATCTTCCTGAACTCCTGGTTGGAGACAATGATCACATTTGGTGGGTCCCTGATGGAGGTGGCAGCCCGCCCATGTTAATGAAGATCACTTCTGCAATCAGGACTTGTCTGGGGTCAAGGGTGAGCACCTCACATAATCTGTCACAAATAGAGGAAAAGGTGCAAGGTCCACGTGCAGCCTAAATATTTTTAAACCATATACACACACATCTGGGTTATACACCGAATCTCTGGAACATGGTGGGCCCACAAAATGGCCTTTTCTCCAGCGCTGAGGCCCCAGCGCCCCTTCCCTTTTGTGCTGAGCTGGAGACTTCTTATTTGGGGGGGGGGCTCACACTCTTTTGCAGTGGGTCCCACCGTGGCTGCACCCTAGGCTTGTCTGGGAAGCTCTGAAAGTCTGGGGACCAGGTGGGGACAGGAGGGGTGCTCAAATGTTCACCAGACCCCAAGCGGCAGCAGCTCTGAGCTGAGGAAGCTAGGACTGCTTCTAGAGGGAAAGTAGTTAGCGTAGCTTATGGGCAGCACCCAGGCACAGAGAGGGCTTCCCATCTACAGGGGCGTGGCTGCTCCCTGCGCCTCCTCCAGACAGGCGAGGGTTGGGCCTGAGTTCATGAAGCCACAAAAACGGGCAGGGAAGCAGTGGCCTGAGCACAGCGCATTCAAATCCTAGATGTGTTTGGACTAGTAAGTGGAGTTGCTATTGTCACATAAAACCACAAGGCCAGGTCCCGAGCAGTGAGGAGATAAACAAGTCCTGGCAGGGCCGAGACGTCCCTCAGCTGTCCCAGCTGCACAGGGGTGCCAGCAAGGTGGGTGCCCCGGACCCCTGCCGGGCCGCGACCAGAGAGCACCGTCGCTTGCTGGGATCTGGCCCACGTGGGTGGCGCCGTGGTTTTTGAACCAGTGTCACCGGCTGGTGGCGGGGGTGGGTGTGGCCTGCTCTGCCCCCTGATGTGTCCCAGGGACACATGGTGCCTACCTTAGCAGCATCTGTTAAGAGTTTACAGTGCCCTCGAGATGTGTTCACTTCGTCCCTCATTTGCCCTCACAAAAGCCAGGTACTGTGAGGTGCTGTGTCCTGCCCGCCCTCACCCAATATCTCTGCCTTCAAGTGCACCTGACAAGGAGGGGCGGCAGGTGCTGCCTGTCCTCTGCTCCTCCCGTCCTCCTCCACTCCCTGCCCATGCCCAGCTCATGCCTCTCTCCCCTCACCACCCTCGGGCCACAGGCGTGGCCCAGAGTCAGCCCTGAGCCCGGCAGCAGTCTCTGGCTGGCGACTTTGAACTTGCTGTCTCATGCCTCATGTCCAGGAGGGTCTCTTGTCTGGCAGAACCCTCAAAAAATTAGCATGGGATGGTGCCTTTGATGGTGCAACCCAGGTCAGGTAGCTGAAGTCACCTGTCCGAAGTCCCTCACTACCTAGTTTGCCCTGCACTCCAGGGGGTACCTGTTTCTCCTCTGTATCCTCAGGACCAGTGAGGTGGTGGGGGCTCTCCCACTACTCCGCTGGGCCTGTGACCAGTGCTGGGGACACAGGACGAGAGCCCTGGACCCCGGACAGTGTCTCCCCAGGACAGCAGGCGGGGCCCCCTGACTTGCAGGCGTCCCCACGGGCTGTGCGCACCTGATGGTCACAGGAGTGAAGAGCAGCGACGTGGTGACGTTGTCCAGGAAGGCGGACAGCACAGCAGCGAAGAGGCACAGCATGATGGTCATGGCCCACACCCGGCCCCGGGACAGTCTGTAGGCCTGGCGCAGCCACAGGCAAACAGGGACACGCCAGGGTCGGCGGGGGGAGAACAGACAGGACTTTCCGTGAGGGGCTCTGAGCTCGTGGGGTCCAGTGCACGCCGCACTCACACCCACAGATTCCGACACCTGAGGCAAGGTGGGGCCGCTGAGCGGACAGGCTCATCCACCCTGGCCGGCCTGGCGGCTCTCTGAACCCCTTCAGGGTGCCCTGTGATGCTCCTTCCCTACGGGGGATGGCCCGCCACCCCCTCAACATCCTCCAGCGTTTTCCCATCTGCGGTTGCTTAGCCTGGGCTGTGGCATTGGGACCCATCTGATCCTTCGCCTGTGATCTCTGGGGCGCTGGGGTACCTTAGCACCATGGTGCTGGGAGAAAGAAGCCAGGTATCTCTCTGGAAGGTACAAGGTGATGTCCAAAGCCATGGCAGGGTGGCTCAGTTGGTTGGAGCATCATCCCGTACACTGAAGGGTGGTGGGTTCGATTCCCAGTCAGGGCACATACCTAGGTTGTGGGTCCGATCCCCAGTTGGGGAGCGTACGGAGGCAACCTATTGATGCTTCTCTCTCACATTGATGTTTCTCTCTCCCTCTCTCACCTTCCTCTCTCTCTAAAATCAATAAGCATATCCTCGGGTGAGGATTAGAAAGAGAGAAAAAAGACGAGTCCAAAGCCGGCAGAAATCACAGCCCGGCTCTGCCCTTCAGACTCGCAAAGGGATTTGCTGAGTTCATTTTCTCAAGGTGTTTTCAGTTCTCAAGAAAATAACCAAGTACTAGCCTTTGCATTGGCAAGACCTCCCCCGCCGCCCTGAGGGATAGGACCCCGACAGAGTCTAAGGGCAGAACATCCTGGTTGGTCCCCCAGGGTCCCAGTTATAAAAGTGAATGTTTACATGGTCAACGTTTAGCCAGGGGCCATTGAAAGTATTTCACCAAAAACCAAAGTAATTGGAAGCTGATGACTTGAAATACTAAGAATGTTCCCAAATGTGAAACTGGTTAACTGTACAGCTCTCAACATGCCAATTAAAATACTTTACACAAGCATTCAACTCAAGCACTCTTGTCCGTGGCCTCCCTCAGCTGTCCACGGAGACACTGAGAGAGCTGCTCACGGCTGCCTGACTCAGCACAGGACTGCACACAGCAGAAGCGAGTGTTTTCCAGAGGAGGGTGAACTTCTTTTTCCTTTTTTATTCATTTTTTTGGTTTGTTTTAGAAAAAGGAAGGAAGGAGAGAACCCTCAGTGTGAAAGAGAACATCAATCAGCTGCCTCCCACATGCGCTCTGATTGGGACTCGAACCCACAACCTGGCTATGTGTCCTGCCTGGGAATCGAGCCCCCCACCTTTCAGAGTCCAGGATGATGCTCCACTCAACGGAGCCACCCAGCCAGGATAGGAGGGTGGAATTTTAAACTATCTGCTTTAAATAGTAGTTTTGCTCACTGAATACATAATGGTAGAAAATAAACAAATCAATTAATTAATACATAACAATTCAATGCCACATCAAGCCTACCTTTATGGCACAACAAAAAAATCCAGTTTCTGAGAATATGGCTACTAAGATCATCTGCGGGGAGAAGGAAAAAGGAGACAAGGAGAAGGTGTCAGCACCATCCTGGAATCATGGCTGAGCCCGGCCTGTCCCGCAAGTCCCTGCTGAGCGGCCTCACCTGCGGAGCCCACGGGGCCCTCGCTGGGGCTCACACCTCCTTTTTTTTGCCTGGGGTATGTGCTCAAGGGACATTATCTTTCCAGCTAGCCTTCACAGCAAACAGCAGGTGTTACTGTTCTAGCAGCCTGGGCACCGAGATGGGAGGAGACTCCCAGTCACCAGACCAGCAACCGGAAGGCGCTGGGACAAACGTGACCTTCTGCACCTCAAGGTCCACACACAACGATGAAAGCCTAAGACTTCTAAACTGTCTGTGATACTTGATTATCACAGCCCCAGCAAGGTTCTTGGTTTTTTTTTTTTTTTTTATCCTCACCCGAGGACATTTTTCCATTTTTTACTCAGATAGAGCAGGAAGGAGAGAGAGGAAGAGAGAGAAACATCGATGTGAAAGGGACACATCGAGTGGCCGCCACCCACACGACCCAACCAGGGCCGGAGACAAACTGCAGCCAAGGTACGTGCCCTTAGCGGGAACTGAACCCGGGTCTCTGTGGACCGCAGGCTGACGCTCTAACCGCTGAGCCAAACCGGCCAGGGCGGTTTTTTTTTTTTGAAATAAAGTTTATTTTATGAGATATATAGTCTTCTTCCTTCTTCCTTCCAAAGGCCGAAACCCTGTATACTTGGGAACAGGGCCTGCCTCCCCACATTCCCCCGTAGAGGAGGCAGCTAGGGGGACCTTCTTTACACAGATTGGGACTCTGGCCCGGACAGGAAAACCCACCGCACACCACTCAGCTGATGCGGGGTCTGTCCAACTCTGAGCCAGTCCCACCGCGGTCCAGGGCCTTGTCAAATGCCATGTATTCTAATTCAGCCAGTGTGTGTGTGACCCCTGCTCATGTCCCACATGAGCCCAGACTCCAAGTTCCTTTCCTACCAGTTGACTTGGCAACATTCTGCACAGCATGCAGCCAGAGTGGCCACCGGACAATGTCTGATAAATTAGCAAAACACACAAACTATTATTTAGCGGTGATTTCCTCCTCTATCCATACAATTATAGGTACTTTTCCAATCACTGGAACTTATATGGTTTGTTAATTGGGACATTTTATTTTCAATGTTCAGGGCAGTAACTCAAACAGTTTGATGAATTATCTTTTTCTTTAAATCCTCACCTAAGGATATTTTCCCATTTATCTTCAGATAGAGTGGGAGGGGGAGAGAGAGGGAGAGAGAAACATCGATGTGAGGCAACACATCGATTGGTTCAAACCTACAACCAGGTACATGCCCTTAACGGGACCTCAAGCCCGAGACCCTGGGTCCCTGGGCCGATGCTCCAGCTGCCAGGGTGGTTTGGTGTCTCTCACACAATGAAGGGTCAGCAGCAGCAGCAGAAAGCCAAGGGCCGGGAGTCACAGCGGGGGACTGTGATTACCATGCCGAACAGCAGGGCCAGCGTCTCGAAGTCGATCCACTCCACCACATGGCGCAGGCTGGGTCTCTGCAACACAAGCAGAAGTTCCCCGTGAATCCTGGCACGTGTTCTTGGCGGCTGCCTTTGCACAAACCCACACCTTGGGCCAGAGTTGGAAACTGCACCATCCACCTGCCTCTGGGGTCAGATTACACCACCGCTGGACACATCCGAGACCCAAAGCATCCCAATGTCAAGCCTACGCAACTATTAATAAGAACAGCAAATTTCTTGCCTCTTCAATTTATTTGAGAAAGAGAGAGAAAGAGATTTGTTGTTCCATGTATTGATGCATTCATTTCATTGGTTGATTCTTGCATGTGCCCTGAGTGGGGATCAAACCCGAAACCTTGGTGTAGCGGGAGGATGCTCTAACCACTGAGCACACAGGCCAGGGCCCCACAAGGATCTTAAGCCAAGTATTATTCTTTGGCTACTGAATGGCTGTTAGTAGCAGTTTTCAGAACAAGCCTTTGCTTTCAAGTCCAGTTCTATGTGTCGCCACCTTGTTCGGTTCCAGCATTGCCCCTCAAACAACCACAGCCTCCTCTCCCTACGTTCATTCCCGTCTCCCTGCCACCGTGGGCCATGCTCAGACCCCGACAGAATGCCAGTGTCCCGGCGTGCATCTCCAGGGGCCCCTGATGTCTGCACAGAACCCCACCCCGCCGCCCTGCTCCAGCCAGGAAGGCCTCTGGTCCCCGAGGGCTGACAGCACCCGGGGAGGATCTGACACCCCTCGTACATGGCCCTGGGTAAATGCATGACCCACGGCCTCTCCTCAGCTGCAGCAGAGATGCTGCTGTGTGTGCGTGTGCGTGTGCGTGCGTGCGTGCATGCGCGTGTGTATGTGTGTGCGTGCGTGCACGTGTGTATGTGTGTGCGTGCACGTGTGTATGTGTGTGCGTGCACGTGTGTATGTGTGTGCGTGTGTGTGTGCACGCGCGTGTGTGCATGTGTGTGTGCGCGTGTGCATGTTCAAGTCAAATAAAAACGACTCCTCAATGCCATAAAGCCTGTTAATTCCTGGAGAGACACTTGGAAATTGTACATGAAACAGTAAGAACTGCCACCTGACGCCCGATCCCTGAAAAGCCTCCGAATCCGCCATTCCGTCCAGTGGTAAGCCCTCGACGCGAAGTGTCACACTTACATCGCCAGTCACCGCCAGGGCCGCCAACGCCGCCAGGGAGCCCAGCATGGCTGCCAGTGTCCTGTGAACAACCTGAAAGAAATGTGGAAATGACCGTATTCCAGTCCACGGGGCGCTGGAAACACACGAGAACTGTGTTCGTAGAAGCACCTGTCCGTAGGGTCATGTCTAAGACAGCGAGCGAATCCTGTGGGTCTTGCTGTTTCATAAACTAGGCACCCCAAAAGCACACACCACAATCTGTCCCTCTGGAGAAAGCTGCTTTTATTTCCTGAATAATTAGATGACCCTCAAGTAGAAGCAGAGGCTGGATGAGTCTGTTCCACAAGAAGCCTGCAAAAATTCTCATTAATTATTTACCATGCAGTCCCTAGGCAACTGGCCATTCGCTTTACAACATAAATCAATTCTGCCCAATTACTGAGACTGTTATTAAACCGAAGGTACACAGCCAAACGCTTAATCTAATTGAGACTCGGTGTTATTGCTGAATCACAGAAGAATCTTTCCTGTTTAATCATCATCTCGAATGGACATGCAATTTTTAAGGCAAAATTTGAGGAAAGTCGAGGATCCGGAGAATTGAATCCTCCAACACTGCTGGTGGGAAGGTAAAATGGTGCAGCGGTCGTGGCAAATCGTCTGGCAGATTCTTTAAACGTTAAATAAATTTACCATAGGGCCCAGCAATGTCACACCTAGAAATCCACCCAAGAGAAATGAACGCTTGGGTCCTGCTCATTAATTAAACAAGGCTCCGTTAGACTGAGACTACTGCCTTAGCACACAAGCGAGTCAGCCTATTTGCCTGTGAGCAAAGGGGTGAGACCACACAACCCACCGGCTCTGCTACAGGTCTGGTCTTTGCTCTCACAGAAGAGGGGGAGTCCCTCTGGGAGGGGCAGGAGGAGAGAACATTCCTGGGTGCTCTGGAAGCCAGGAGCAACCACCTGAGGTCTCAGAAACCAGAGAGGCCCGCAGACTAAGGAACACAACCAGGGCAGAAGTGTGGGCCACAGCTCCCCTGGGAACTGCAGCCCTTGCGAAGTGCAATAGCAAAGACGGGAAAGCCTCAGGGAGGTTCGGGGCAGGCGGTACCGCGGGAGGGTGTGGGCACTGTGTTCTGAAACACGCCTCTCCCCTCTCCCCAGATGCACTCGGTTTCTGTGAATTAAGGGGAGTCCCTGGCCCTGGCCGGTTTGGCTCAGCGGTTAGAGTGTCGGCCTGCGGTCTGGAGAGACCCGGGTTCGGTTCCCGCTAAGGGCACGTACTTCGGTTGCAGTTTGTCCCCGGCCCTGGTTGGTCGTGCGGGTGGCAGCCACTCGATGTGTCCCTTCACGTCGATGTTTCTCTCTCTCCCTCCCACTCTATCTGTACAAAAAATGGAAAAATATCCTCGGGTGAGGATAAAAAAAAAAAGGGGAGTCCCTGCCTACGCCCACCCGGTGTTCTCCACCGTCTCTCCTGAATTTTATTTCACATTTAATTTTAACCTGCATGCTGCCGCGCTCCTAGACTCCCCGTGAAAGGGCCCGAAGTGGGAACACGGCCTCATGCACACCCCCCTCCTGCCCCTACGGGGTCCGTGGGGGGAAAGCCTGTCTGAGCAGAACAGAGCCTGTGGTGCCGGCCCCTAAAACACAGTTCTGGGCCTGGCGGAAGGGCAGGTGGGGAAAGGGCATCACTTCCTCTGAGACCTGTTCATCCTTGTGATTCCCCACAGCACAGAGCTGTAACCGTGGTGATGGGATGATGAACACGCTGCGCCCAGTCTCCTGGTGCTCGCTTAGAGACGCAGCGTTCACGGAGGAGGAAGACGGTCCGATTTTGTTCTTTGGGGATTTCAACCAGAGCTATTTTACCCAAGGATGAGAAAGACGACCCAACCTCAGGTGAGAAAATAGAACCCGGAATTTAAATAACGAAGGAATCCGGAAAGGTCGCATCCCATCCAGCTGTTCAGAGCTGAAGGGAATATTAGCAGCTGCCTTTTCCCACTCAGTGGGGTCAGAGGCGGACAGTGTCCCTGCTCCCTGGAGCCAGGTCCCACCAGACCCCCAGGAGGACCTCGGCACCTGGCCACACCTGGAGATGCCCTGGAAACACTTTGTTTGAAAAATATTCACTGAGCACTTGTTCCATGCCAGGTGTTGTCTGAGGCCCCAGGAATCAACACTGGCAGACAGCACACAGAAGTGAGCAGATTAGAAGGCACTCCTGTGGCCCATGGGTCACATGTCAACAGCAGAGCCGAAAAAGGAGGGTCGGGGGTGTCTGGCTGAGTGAAGTGGGGTGTAGGCTGAGGGTGCCTACTTCAGAGTCTGGAGACCACAGGTTCCAAGAAAACAGATTTGTCCCGCAAGGAACCCATCAGCCCAAACCAGGGTGCAGACTTTTCCAACAGCAATGACAGGGGATTCCCACCAGGTGGCGGTGCGGCGCAGCCCTGCCCTGGCCACTACTGGTGGCCCCCATCACAAGGGCCTGGAAAAAGACCTCTGCAGGGTTGGCCCTTGGCTGGCATTCTGGGTGCTGGGCTTCCAGAATGTTCCCTATGTTACAAGTGATAAGCTAGTCTGTGGGCCCGGAGCGCTGCTCTATTCATATAAAAATGTAATTTCTGGTGAACTCTTACTTTCCTTCCAAAAGTCCGGGAGGGGTGGGGTGAGGTTGCCTAGGTAACAAGCCCACAACACAACTCTGGGCCAGCTGCCAGCAGGCTGCTGGGGGGAAGGGGTGCCTCTGTGCTGTGGGCCCTTCCCAAGCCTGCTCCCCACGGGCGCCCCAGCGCGGAGGGTACCTCGAATACGATCAGCGCGTAGACCCCGGCGAGGATGACCGCGGCGATGGTCACCTGTGCCTCCACGCTGGCACCGAGGTACTGGTGTGCCACCAGCAGGGGGACAGCCGGGGTCTGCTGCAGGGCCGCGCGGATGCTGATGGAGACGCCGCGACTGCAGAGCGAGCAGACACGTTAGCAATGCTGCGGGAACAGACCCTCCGCAACCATCCAGAGGCCCCTCTGCGTCCTTCCCACTCGGCGCCTCACCGGCCGTCCCGGGGCGCTGGCTGGGAGGGGCCCTGAGTGCAGGGGAGCGGGGACAAGGGCACAGCCTCCCCATGGCCACAGCAGGGCCACTGCAACAACCCACAGGGAGCAGGGGCACCACAGGGTTCTGACTTCCCCCCTCCCCCTCCCCTTCTCTCCCCCCTACCTCTCCCTTGTCCCCCCCCCTTTCCTCCTCCTCCCCCTCCTCCCCTCCCCCATCCCCCTTCTCTCTCTCTTCCTTCTCCTCCTCCTCACCACACACCTGACTGCTTTGCCTGATAACAAAGAGCAAAGCCAGCCCTGCCAGTGTGGCTCAGTGGGTTGAGCATCATCCCATGGGCGGAGAGCTCCCAGTTCCACTCCTGGTCAGGGCACATGCCCGGTTGTGGGCTCAATCCCCAGTAGGGGGCGTGCAGGAGGCAGCCAATCAATGTTGCTCTTACATTGATGTTTCTATCTCTCTCTCTCCCTTCCTCTCTCTAAAAAGTCAATAATAACACATTTTTGAAAAAAGAAGAAGAGAAGGAATCCTAACATCTCCTGGAACCCCTCATTGCACAGCTTCGTGACAATAATGACAAAAGCCTACACAATGCTGGGGGCTTCAGAATGGGCCCCGTGGTCATCCGGCCACTTTTGCACGCGCGTGGCTGTGCCACCTGCCACATCTGTGAGCTCACTGTCTACACAGGAAGAGTGTCTTGTCTAAGGCACAGCTGATCTGGTGCTATTTGTCCCCAAATCGGAGCCCAACAGTCAAACTTCTTAAGGTGGGCGTGCCCAGAGGACCTCCCCGCAAGGCCTCGATCCCCGGAGACCCACCTGCTCAGAACCCCAAAGGTCCGGCTCACCACCAAATGCTCACTGCGTCGTGGACTTAAAAACACCGTCCAGTTGTGAGTGACCTGCAACAGTCCAAGTGTGAAATCACGGTGAGTCTTCAAACTTGACCATCATGGGGATCTGGCGCTAGCGGTGTGGGTGCTTGTGCGGAATAAGGAAAGAGGGGACCCGCGGGGCCCTTCTGTGGCTCCCAGCTCCTGACTGAGCAGGCCCTGCTCTGCGGAGTTGGAAATCCGCACGTTGGAGACCTGTTTCAGAAGAGCCCGGAGCCCTCCAGGAGGTGCAGGGGAAACACCCGCTCATAGCCTCCCCACTTGCGAACTGGAGCAGGTGCAGCCTCACCCTCCCACGGAGCCCACGCCAGGCTGTGCACCGGGACCACGCCAGGCCGCTGGGCTAGAGCCTCGGTATGCACTAGACGTCACCTGAGAACATGCAGCTTTGGCCACGGATGACCTTGTGCTGAGGACCCCTCTGCACGGCAGGAAGGGGTGAGGGGGCCCAGCCCATCGGAGGCTCTGTTTTGGGCGACAGCCTGGTGTACCAGCAGCTTGTCCTTCTATTGGCTATGACTTCACACAGAAGTTACCATGCTAGCCCAGGGGAGTCACCAAGGCCAGGACCACAGCTGCTGCATCCCCTTCTCTCCCCAGGACAGCAGCTGAAGGCGTTGGCTCGGAGACCCTCAGCACGGGGACACCAAGACACTGGGCTACAGTCTTAGCCAAGGGTCCGCAGCCCAGTCGCTGCGGCGGGCAGGGCCTGTCCTCTGTGCCACAAAGGGAAGCCCAGCCCTAACTGCACTTTATGACAAAATCATGCTTCTAATGTTTCAGTAAAAAACTCACAGGCGTTATTTTACTGAACTGGCGAGAGTTTTATCATTGACTTTGAGAACAGGAGAAAAAGAAATTCAAAGACAGAGAAAAAAAAAAAAAAAGGGCTGGCCCGATCATGGTGTCATTTCCTGAGGGCTCCCATCCCCTCCATTCAAGAGGAAAGTCCGTTTGTACGGAGATGATGTGTTTACAATTCCTTTCAAATAACATGTGAGCAGCCCTGGCCGGTTTGGCTCAGCGGTTAGAGCGTCGACCTGCGGTCCGGAGAGACCCGGGTTCGGTTCCCGCTAAGGGCATGTACCTCGGTTGCAGTTTGTCCCCGGCCCTGGTTGGTCGTGCGGGTGGCAGCCACTCGATGTGTCCCCTTCACGTCGATGTTTCTCTCTCTCCCTCCCACTCCATCTGTACAAAAAATGGAAAAATGTCCTTGGGTGAGGATAAAAAAATAAATAAATAAAATAACATGTGAGCAGGACCTGCTGTGGCCTCCGCCTGCCTGGAGCCTCGGCCTGCGTCACCTGCACCACGACATGCTCTTCTCTCCCAGGACGGCTTTGGCCGCTGGCCACCAGGGCCCCAGCCAGGTCCACCTGCAGCAGCGTGGAGTCAGCGTGGCTGCTGAGGTTCGCCGCTGGGGAAACGTCAAGGTGAACACGGAGCAGGGAGAGGCTGCAGTGCCCGCCACCACCCTGTGCACACCCTCCCTGGAAGATGAGTAGGGGACGCACCGCCTGCCCTGTCCTCCAAGCTCAGGGCGGCCGCCCCGGCAGCCTGTGCCCCATCTCTGCAGCCCTCCCTCCTGACGAGTGTGATGGGTTTTGCCCACTGGACCAGGTGCATTTTGAATCCTCTGGTTTAACATCTGTTCTGTTACCATCTGTTTCCATGTTCGCAACCAGCTTCCAACTCCTACCTGGAGCCCCGGGAGAGGTCAACAGGAGGCTGGCTGCACGAACAGACGAACCAACCCACATCCACACCCAATCCTCGGCGCCAGGTCCCCACCCACAAGGCGAGCAGTTCCAGAGAGAGCTGAACATAAGAATGCTGACATCAGCTAAGTCAGTGTCGCCCTCTGCAGGGAGGAGAGGGTTCCTCCGGGGCTCTGGACGTGTGGCTCCCACTGCGGACGGCCTGGGTTTGCAGTGTGGGAGCCTGTGCTAGGGCCCAGCCCTTCTCCCTGCTCCAGGCCTAGGGGGCATGACATGGACCCCCACCGGGCTGCCCAGTCTCCACACCTCCAGCAGGGAACACCCCTGAAGGTGGAAAATGCATCTCCGGGTTCTGAACGAGGTCTCAGAGGTCTCAAAGCAGCTCACTGTCTGTAGGAGACTCAGTGGCTAATTTCTTCACTCTTTGAAACCCCCGCAGAAACAGGAGGTTTACAGAGCAGACTGGGGTGGGGGTGGGGGGCAACGTCACTGCTGCCAGGGTGTCTAAGGGTTTGTATTGGGCTCGGGGAGCCACAGGGAAAGGTGGAGCCTGCTTCACGGTCTAGTTCCTGCAGGAGAATACATGCAAATGTCCTGGGAAAACTGTCCTGCCAGCACCTGGCCCCTCTGGGGGCGGGCTGGGGGCCTCGCCACAGCTCTGCAGCTGCTTGGAGTCCAAAAAGGACAAATGCAAAATGGAAGTCACACACGGGGCAGTCTGTGGTAAGAGAAGTCCCAAAGAGACTCTGCTCCTGCCATGCCGAGGCATCATGCCCTGTCTTTCCGCAAGGCACACCCAGGGTGTGGGATGGGGAATTGTCCGGCACCGGAGCTAGAGGCCTGGAACAGCACCACCTGCTGGCTCCCGTCCGAAGAGCAGCGACTCCTCCCCTTGATGCAATGAAAGTGGACCAAGAGCAAATGAACAAAACAAGCAAAGCCTTTGCCCAGGTAGGGAGACGCGAGGTGACAATGAAGCACCCTCAGTGGGTGCCCTCCTGGTGCCTCCTGGTGTCAGCAGTGACTTTGGGACCAAACAGCAGCCTGGGTGGAGCCTCCCCCCTGCCGTGAGCCCTCCTGCACCAGTCTGCCCTGCTCCTAACACAGGTCCCGCCTCTGCACCAGGTGCCTCCCCGAACCTGGAGAACCCCTATCTCTCGAGATTTCCTTCAAGCTCTCCTGTCCTTAAACTCATCCTTGGCACCCATGACTCCAGGGGCCCCCTGGCTCCTTCCTCGTTCCTCCTCACACTGCTGCATAAGCACCCTGTCCCCATGGCAGCCTCTGGCCAGCTGAGGCCTTTACATTTAAATTGATATTAATGAAGTAAAAACATTAACACTTCACTTCTCCGCTCCTACCTGCCACCTGCCAAGTGCTCAGCAGCCGCACCTGGTTAGCGGCCACCGCACCAGCCCGGATAGGACATTTCTAAAGTCAATCAACAAAAAATTGTAAAAACAGAGAGAGCCCTGGCCAGTTTGGCTCAGCGGTTAGAGCATTAGCCCGTGGACCAATGAGTCGCGGGTTCGATTCTGGTCAAGGGCAGGTACCTCGGTTGCGGTTCATCCGCAGCCCTGGGTGGGTCGTGCGGGAGGCAGCCAGTCGATGTGTCTCTCTCACATCGATGTTTCTCTCTCCCTCCTTCCCTCCCACTCTAACTGAGGATAAAGAGAAAAATCTCCTTTGGTGAGGATTAAAAAAAAAAAAATGAAAGAAAAACAAAACAAAACAGAGAGAGACATGAGAGCTTGGTCCCTCTCCCCACACACAGCACCAAGGAAAGGCCTGTGAGGACATAACAGGGAAGTGGCTGCCTGCAATCCAGGGAGAGACCTCACCAGAAACCGAACCAGCCAGCACCCCGAGGTGGCTTCCGGCGGGATGAGAACTCAGCGTCCCCGTGGTGGCCACACAGTCCGCAGCGTTTCGCTGTGGCAGCCAGCGCTGCCTGACACACTCAGCACGTCTACCCTGCACGCGTGTCCGTCTTTGCACGACAAACCACGAGGCCTGCCAAAGGGCAAGAGAACACACACCGCGAAGAAACCAGCCATCGCCAGACCCAGAAGACAGAGCCAGGAAAAGAACCGATGACCCGGGAAGGAGGTCAGTAGAATCACTGAAGCTGAAACGCCGGAGGAACTGGGGAGGAAGCTGTGCAGTGTCCAGGAGCACAGGGACGCAGGCCCTGACCGTGTGACCCTCGGCAGCGTCCGCCTGGTGTGGGGAACCAACCACCAACCACCATCACGGTCCCCTAACACTCCTTCCCCTTCCGTTCCGAGGCCTCATGTTTCATTCGGCGTCCTGTGGCCAGTGCTGTGACCACGGGCAGCACCTGCACAGTCGTGGGTGTCTCTCTGCTCTGTGACCCTCAGCCACCGCCCGCCTCCCAGCTCTGCCGGGCGGATACAGTAGCTTTCCAGCGGGGACACAGCCAGCAGCTGCCAGATCTTCCCTTGATCCGGATACAGGCTGAACGAAACCTGCAACAGTCAGAAACATTCATGAGGCATGTGTGGGGCAACAGCAACCCGTTCACGTAATCTTGCTAACGGTTGAAAATAGGGGTGTGATGATGGGGTTGCTTGGCGTACCCCAAATTCACCAGCTTACTCTACATGGATTTCTGAGCTAGTAGAATAAAATTCCGATCCATTATACTATTTTCAGCTACTATGGGCCTTGACTATTGATACTTGACAATTATAAGGACTAAATCCTCAGCCACAAAATTACATCAGAGGAGGGTCCCCGTGGTTTCCCCACAGACAGAGCAGGGACACAACCTGTGTGACGGTGGGGACATGTGCTGGTGGAGTTCTCAGAGCACCTTCTACACCACTGAAAATTAAGGGAGTGATAAGATGCCAGACTACAGAAGTTCAAATTAAATTCCTCAGATTCCCTTTTGCCCAAACTCCGTCTCTCAGCGAGGACGGCACACAGAGCTCAGGTCAGCGTGGGGCCGGGGACACGCCTCCTACTCACGGAGCATATCACCACGAAGACGAACAGGCTCGTGACTTTGAGCCACCGGGCGCAGCACCTGCAAGAAAAAGACAGGCCCGGCAAGGTCACATGACACAGTCCAGGCTTGCCCACCTCAGACACCTTTCCAACCAAAGCCCTGGGACCTCCACCTCAGAGCTAATGTTTGGATTCTCCCCATAACACGCTGGGGAAGATCACACGGCTGACCTCCCGCCCCGTGCAGAGCAGTTTGGTGGAGCAGACGGAGGGGACAACATTAACCCCGAGTGTGCACACGGCTTCTTGCTGGAGGTGCTGGAGGTCAGCATTTGAAGTTCTTGTTTCCTTGTTCCTGGTCAGCGAGCTGCACAGTGCGACCCTCACCCTGTGCCACACGGTGCCCCCAGTCCTCCTACCTCAGCCTCGAAAGGCGGATCCTGACGTGAGCACCTTCCAGAAGGTCCCCCTTGTCTGAGGAGCTGCACCCGGAGGACCGTCCCTCCCACTCGGCCGAGCTGTAGTCCCAGGACTCCTCAGCAGTGACGAGCTCCGGATGGCCGATGGGCAGGCGCCGTGACCTGGACAGCAACGTTTGGGGTTATTTTCATGGAAATAGGAACATCTCCGAAAACAGACTGCATCTCAGTGGTGACGTGTGAAATGCGGGCTCCGTTCCGGCTTTGAGAAGCGCCTCGGGTGCCCAGGGCAGGGCCTCCATGGCGATGTCATGGGTTTGCAATGTGTGGGGAGCCCTAAAGCGGGTGGCCCCGGCTTCTGGAATGTGTCTGCAGAGGGAGGAGGTGAGGCTGGAGCCCTGGACCAGGCCCTTAACCTCTGGGCAGGGGTCTGTAACATCATCCTCCAGATAAGCTCCACTCGGGTGGTCCCAGCATCCCCCACTCTTTCAATCATACATTTTCCACCTCATCACTGCTGACATTTGAGCCAGGTGTTTCTTCATTCTCGGGGTGTGCCCTGTGCATTGCGGGATGTGTTGCAGGACCCCTGCCTCTACTTCTAAATTCCAGTAGCACAGCCCCTGCTGTGACAATAAAAAGACACCCAGACAGTGCCACGCTCAGCCCGCTGAGGCGCCCTGCCCGGCGAGCTGGCTGCGCGGGGCCTGAGTGGGCGCCGGGCTCTTTCGTCCTGCACGCTGTGCTCCAGGGCACGTGGAAATTCACGAGCCGTAGAAACACCTATGACCTTGGGATGACAACAAGTGGCAGGGACCCAACATGTCAGGGGCAGTTCATATCAGGAAGAGACTCTCCCGCAGAAGAGCCGAGGGCACTGCTCAGAGATTCCTTCACTTTGGCAGAAGGAAAAGACAAACAAAAACACCTCACCCTTTCTCTTGCGAGGAATTCCCCAGCAGAGGAGTGCTTTCTGTAAAGTAGGGTTCTTCGGGCCTGGAGCTGCAGAAGTGGGGTACAGGTGAGTGAGACCTGAGAGACAGAGGAGGAGGTCAGCAGCGCAGACAATGAGCGTCCTCACCAGCAGGGGCGCTGTGCTCCCAGAGGTGGGGCCCCGACGGCTCAGGGAGGACCTGCATTAAGTCTGCTGGGAACAGCGGAGTTTTAGGAGCGGCCGTTAGAAACAAGCTTCCTTCTCAGTATCAAACGGCCTGGAAAGGCAAAGCAGGTCAGAGATGACCAGCTGCTCCGGTCAGCCCCGCTGTCGGCCTCGCACGAGCATCGAGGGCGGATTTCAGCCGATCTGTTATTCCAGGCTGAGCTTTTCATCAAGAAACCCAGGGACTCAGACCGTGAAAGCAGAGCAAAGGGGAAATTTGAAGAAAAACACGTTCATATTGATTTGAGAAAGAAACATCAATTTGTTCCATTTATTGATGCATTCATTGATTGATTCTTCTATGTGCCCTGACTGGGGATTGAACCCAAATCCTTGGCCGATTGGGGGCAAAGATCTATAACTGAGCTACCCGGCCAGGGTGAAGAACAGTATTTCCAGCCACTTCCTCTTCCTCATTCAACCTGTGGCACAGACAATAAGTCTGGTCTCCCGGATCAATGAAGCCAGGGCGCCCAGCTGGGTCTGTCCCAGGCCAGGCAGTGTCCTCTGGGCACAACCTCTGGGCAGCCTTGGGCACCTCCTTCGGAAACTAGGACAACCGAGCACGAGGTGTACAGACGCCCAAGTAGCAGTTGAGAGCAGAGAGGCAGAAGATAAATTCTGTCTGGGGATTTCGTAACTAGTACACTTTTAGCTGTTCAAACTGGCGGAAAGGTTTAGTTGGGCTTTTAAAACCTTCACTCTCATCACTGAAATCCACAAGGGCCTCAGGTGCATTTAGATAAATGTCTCAACGAATCAACTAATATCCGGGTGCCTGTCGCTCCCGGGGGGGTTCGATACACAGCATTTCCGGGAAAGCTCACTCACACTGTCTAACCACCCCGAGTGTCCATTTTCTCTACTATATAATATATATATATAAAAGGAAAAAGGCCAGTTTTGTTGCATTGGATAAGGAGATGTAAATGGAAAACATAAACACAGAGATTGGCTATTGATTCAATTATTTCCATTAGACTGTGAGCCCCTTATGAATGGCGGCTGTGTTATTTCCACGGTGTTTCATCTGGTACCTTAAATAGTACCCAGTTCAAGGTAGGTTCTTAATAAATACTTAATAATGAATGAGTTAAACCCCAGTAATCATAGCTTATTTGCATGAGATTAGCTTTTTGACTCAAATAAAAATTTTCTAAACCATTAAATCAATGGTGTGCTTAGAATCACCCCTGGCCCTGAGGAACAGAAGGTGCTCAACAGAGTACAGATGCAATTACCCCCGAGAAAGCATCACCCATGGGCCCTTAGGTCGGCTCACAGCAGCACCCCAACTCACAGTGCTGAGAATTTGCCTCATTGCATAAAAGGAAATTTCCAAATGGGGAAACATCGAAGGTATATTTTATTTTCTCTGAGGCGGTCACATCTGGCTGATCTCATTATTTAACATTTCTGTTGCATTTGGGGCACACAAAGTATTTTAGCATTTCAGTGAAGTGTACAGGGAGTGCTGAATGGAGAGTAAATGGGATAGGCCTGGCCCTGGAGCAGGGCGGGGCCGTGTGCCCACTCCTGCACTTCCTTGATGCTCCGTGTGCTGCGTTAAAAATAGCAAACTGTCTCCTATTTTTATTGCCTCTTGGATACACGGTAGCCACATTTTAGAGATGGTATTCACTTAAAGCAGGCCAGGAACGTGATCTAATGCTGAAAAGATTCTTGCATAAAATGTGGGGGAACTATTCTCCTGGAAATCCAGTATTTGTGAATTCCAATTTCACAAGTTTAAAGCATTTTAAACTCACCTCCGCTCCATCAGGAAGGGGCCCAAATCCTGGCCCCCAGGAATCCAGGAGCTCTGCCCGGCCGACCCGCTGGGGCAGGGGCCCTCGGGGGCTGCCCCGCTGACTCCCAGAGGTGGCCGGGGGCTGCTGGTGGGAGCAGATGTCTGACGAAGCTCCACCTGCAGCTCGCCCGCGCTCCGCCTGCCGCCTTCCTTTTCCAGATGCATGGTCTGCGGGCACGCTTCTCACTGGGGTCAGCTGAACGGAAACCACTGTTAACTGTGAGCAAACTGCAGAGACCGTTCGCACCTTGGGGAATCTACACTTCTGATGGTACAACAGAATGGCTTCTTTTTAAAAATTTATTTATTGATTTTTGAGAGAGGGGAGAGAGAGAGAGAGAAACATAGACTTGTTGTTTCACTTATTCATTCATTCATTGATTGTTGTATGCAATCGAACCTGCGACTTTGGCCGATTGGGACGACACTCGAATCAACTGAGTCACTAGGCCAGGACCCAGAAAAGCCTCTTATAATGAGGCCCATCCAGTGTCCTGCATTCCAACATCATACAGTGTATGTTCACCTCCCAAAACGGACATGCTACCTAAGTATTCAACGACAGAGCATTAACTAGGTAAGTTGTGATATGTGCACAATATGAAATATGAGGCAACCATAGAGATGCTCTAGAGGGATATTTATTGCTTTTGGGAAATTGTAAGGGTATGGGGAAAATGAATAAATAAAATAAATATGTACATATTATGCCTGGCTCGTGTGGCTCAGTGGCTGAGCGTCGACCCTGCACCAAGAGGTCGCCAGTTCGATTCCTGGTCAGGGCACATGCCCAGGTTGTGGGCCTGATCCCCAGTGGGGGGCGTGCAGGAGGCGGCCAGTCGATGTTCTCTCTCATTGATGTTTCTATCTTTCCCTCCCTCTCCCTTCCTCTTTCTCTAATATCAATAAAAGCAAAAAAATTTTTAACATGTACATAGTATATGCATAACACAGAAACCACAAAGACAGCCTCCCAGAAGTGGCTGCCCATGGTGGTCACACGCAGACGCCTGAGGCTGAGCTCAGGCTGGGCACCCACATCAGCAGGAGGGGGCCGCAGTCCCAAACCGGGGTCTGGCTGTGTCGGGAGAGGAAGCACCACGTGGATTCTGAGAGGCGACCAGCGAGCTGTGCCCCTTCACCACCATGGCACCCAGGCCTCTCCTTCTGACGGAGACTCAACAAAATGACCAAGTTGCTACAAACTAGGTAATTGTGGCTGACGTTTCAGACCCAATGGAATGTTCCAGCCTTCACGTCTGGCCCTCGATGCATCCACATCAGCTGCTACACGGTCATCCTCCGGCTCCGCTTCCTTCCTCCTCTGTCTGGTTGCAGAGCTCCCGCTCCTTCAGCGTCCTGCAAGGGCCACGCCCACCTCGGCCCTCCAGTCCCCGCCCCCCAGATGTGTTCTCCTGCCGGCGATCCACGCTGGCCTGGGAGAGCAGCTGACCCGCACCCACACCGCCCAGCGGCGCTGTTCCTCCTGGGAGAGGAGCGGCCTAGCGCAGACCCAGGGACACCCACATCCCTTGCCAGGCCCTGCAGCCCTGCGTTGGTGCCTCCGCCAGGGAGCAAGCAAGGAGTGAGGTTCACTCATGGGCAGGTGACTCCCAAGTGGCCATCTGCAACCCAGACAGACTGTTGGGTCCAGCTTTCTCGTCTCCCTCGATGTCTCAAAGGTGCCCAAACACCCCCACGCAAGTCCTGAGACTAATCCTGGCCCTTCCCAGGGCCCTGTGACTGGCCCACCACCACCCAGGTGCACCCATGACAAACTGAGCCCCCAACGGCCACGCTCACCTAGCTGACCCTCACCCATGCAGGGTCCCCTGCCCTGGCTGCACAACCACCTTTCGGACAGCAGCAGTTGGCAGTGGCTTCCTCCAGCGGCTGGCTGCTGTCTACCACCCCTCAGCGGTCTTTCCCAAACACATTTGACCACGTGGCCTCCAGCTTACAACCTGTCCTCCCAGGGAGGCTGTCGCCACGCTGGGTCTCCCTCTCTCCCATAATCCCTGATGTTCTCAGGCCTCAGCCCTTCCCCGGGCTGTGACCTTCTCGAAGAACAGCAGCGTTTGCTCTTCATCAGTGCAACACTTTAGAAACTGGTTCCTGACTCACCCCCTTCCACCTGCTCGGAGCAACTGCACTCAGGTGTGTGCGAATGACAATAACGAGCAGGTTCTGTCCGGTAAGGCTCACCTAAGCCTCAGCTCTCACCTCTGGTTTCTAGTGGGAGTTACTCCTCGTGAGCAATTGTGTGAGTCGTGGCCCAGCGCAGGCCAGCCGCCAGGCCCCACTGCCCCACGCAGGCCTTGGCCCAGGGCCTGGACAGCAGACCCCGCGCCCACCCCTGCAGGAAAGCCCCAGGATGGCCCTTCCCAGGTGGCTTAGGTGACGATGGCCCGCCTCGTGCTGGGACGGCGCTGCCCACAGGACTAACAGCCCCTTTCTCCTCCGCAGCATCGCTGCGCATCAGCCAGAGCTCAATCAGCGAGGCCCGTGCCGTGGGCGCCCCTGGCCGGCCTGGGTCTGTAGCCCAGGATGGTAACATCCATGTCCTTGGAGAAAGCTGGCAACATCACACCCCTGTCATCCCCCGTGTGTGATCCAGTGAGAACAAGCCGCGGAGGGATTTAAAGGGCGCATTCCGTTCCCAGAAACGCCTGACCCGCGCTCACGTGCGAAGCTGGCGCCGGGGCAGAGCCGGCCGGGCCGGCAGAACCCTGGCTGGGAACACCCCATCCCGCCGCAGCACCGCAGCACCGCCGGGACCGCCGGCACCGCCGGGACCGCTGGGAGCCGTCGGTGCGCCCGGAAGGTGCGCGCTGCGCGCACCGGCTCAGGCTCACACCTTTATACCACCTTCCCAGCTCCACAAAGCACCGACCCAACACAGGCTTATTAGAACCCCGCCGGCTCCCCACTTCCTGGCTCCCCACTAACCTTTAGACTTGATCTTTCTCCAAGAGCAAAGTTTAGGGTCCAAACTACCAGCCCTGAACGGCGAGGGGAAAGAATGCAAACTTGGAGGACTCTGGTAGCGCCCTGGGGGAGCGCGGGGCAGGGCGCTGTCCTCCCGGCCTGGCCACGCCCCCGGGCGCCGCGGCCACGCCCCCAGCCTGGCGCGGGACTAGGAGGGCCCCTCACCCCAGGGCTGCAGGAGACCCAGCAGATGAAGAGGGGCTCCAGGCCCCCCTGTTGGCAGCCCCGTGACGTTCTGCCTCACAGCAAGCACTCAGCAGGGCTCTCCGACACCCAGGGTATATCCTGACCACTTTTTCTTTCGTGCATTTTAGGAAATGTCTGGACCAGCAGTTCCTCTCATTTTCTCATTGCTTGTTCCCGGTGCAGCCTAGCTCTGTTGCCAAGGCTACCCTTGTGGAAAGCTTGCTCTCTCTCCCACAACACACACACCCACACCCAAGCACATGCACACAGGCCTCACGCTCTGGTGCACTACACCCGTCCTCAGCCGCCACATGGGACCTGGAACCAGCCGCTCAAATCCCAAGCCCCCGCCGGGGCCGTAGGGACAGTCACAAGACTGCACAGCCTGGCAGCGGGCAGAGGACTGGGAAGGAGCCGAGGGCTACAGCTCCTGACACCAGTTGTCCCCCAACCTTTCCATCCTCCTAACGACCCCTCCTGTGTCACTGGAGTGGGTTTGGTTTTTGCCAACAAAAAAATCTAACCAGATGGAATGGCTTTGACTAATATCCTATCAGAGACTGACTTTTTGGTGGTGGCACACTGACCGCGCTAGTCGAACGGGTAAGAAACCAGCCCAGCCCTGCTGCTGTGGCCCATGGACTGAGAGGTCCTAGTTCAATTCCCGGTCTGGACACATGTCCGGTTGTAGGTTCGATCCCCAGTAGGGGGCGTGCGGGAGGCAGATGATTGATGTTTCTCCCTTCCTCTCTAAAAAATAAAAACATACTTAAAAAAAAAACAACAACTTCAGCCCACAATTGGTGACAGATGTTTTATTCACAGGGATTGAAATGTAGGCGCACACATCACAGACACGACGGAGCTGTGACAAGGCCCTCGGTCACCCCGTGCTCCGTAGCGCACCTGCAGCAGGGCATGCCAGGCGCGTCCTGGGAGCCACCTCGATGTGTTCAAGTAGTGCTGACACTTACTGTTCAAAAACGTTTAATAAATTCAGAGTAAAATGAGTTGAAATATTTATAATACGATTTAATGGTTACACAGTATTTCCAATGTACAATCAAGACAATGCCCACACTTGGAAGGAAGAAAACACTCCATTGCATCCACGAGTAAAAAGGCTTTTGATTCATTCCCGGGAGGCTGCAAGTCAGTGTCTGTGCAAACATTTACACGCCCAGTAAGCACGGAGCCTACAGAAGTGCAGCGCTGTGGGGAGAAGGCCCCCAGTCTCGGAGAGAGCCTCAGTGTCCACACAGCGTCGGGTGCGGGGCAGACTCATTTCCCAGGTCAGCGCGCCAGCTCCGAGCCAGCTCCCTCTGCCCGCCCACGGGGCAGGACGCCCGCGGGAGCCTGCAGCGCCCGCCCGGCTCAGTGTCCCACCAGGTAATCCTGGGTGGCGTCAGAGGCGAACGAGTCCACGTCCTCGCTCTCCGAGTCCCCGCTGCTGTCATCAGCGGCAGGCTCGCCTGTGAGGGCGATGCGGGCGTAGTCATCAGTGTCTATCGATTTGCAAAAGTGGATGGCATACTTCAGCTTCTCCTCAAGGACCTGCTTACAGGAATACCTGGGCAACTTCAGCAAGAAGAAGCAGGTGTAGGACTCAGGGAGGAAGTGGTCGGGAGGGTTGTACTTGTCCAGCACCTGAGGGCGAGAAACGTCAAGTCATCGGACTCCACTCGCAAAACCCAGCGTGTTCCTAAGAATAACAAGGACCACTGACCTTGTGACCTGCTAACTTTAGAAATACAAAGGAGCAGCGCACCAGTTCCTAGCCTTGCAGTGAGACGGCCAGTTTACTGTGACCCTCTTCTCCAGAGCAGGGCTGTGAAGAGGGCCCAGGCCCAGCCGGGGGCAGAGCCCGTTCCTCACCACAGGGAGCAGCTCCCCTCACCCCCGTCAACCCAGTTTCCCTACAGATTAAGGCACCAGGAAGCCAGCAGGAATAGTGGACAAAACCCAGAATCTCCTACGTGCTGATGGAATAATGACACGTGCTCTCGAAGTTCTCCCTGACAGACCGCGTTCAGACCACGCTCGGCGAGGGGCCCGTTCCTGAATCCTCGCAGACACGTGGGGAGAGTGGGCCCTCCATCCACCCGGCCCTCTGAGGAGCCCCCAACCCAGACAGTGCAGCTACCAGGAAAGTCTGGGGATGGGAGAGGGGTGGTCAGCTCACCCCAGTGACCAGCAGGTAAACAAAGTGTGTTTCTGACTGTCGGACCAGGGACCAGAACTGGAAGTGAAGCTCTGTTCTCCCTGTGACGGGCTTTTCTCAGGAAGCAGCATCGCCCAAACCACCCAGAGGCCCAGACACAGCTCTGATGGTGCACAGCCAGGGTGCAGACGGACAGCAGCCTATTCTGATGGTGCCCACACTCCTCTCTTAAAGGGAGGTGGTCTACCCGATACCTGCTGTGGTCGGTTCCTGAGCTCTCAGATCAAAGAAGTCGGGTGTGATCCCCTTTTTTTTCCAGGAATAGAAAATCACGTCATGCCAGCAACCAGTCCCCCACCTGCTGCAGGACGAGGTGCAGGGCTGCCGTCCCCCACCTGCTGCAGGACGGGGTACAGGGCTGCCGTCCCCTACCTGCTGCAGGACGGGGTGCAGGGCTGCTATCCCTGCACACGAGCTGGGCAGGAGCCCTACCTGGACGACGAAGTCTCTGCCCCGGAAGTCAGCGATGGTCCGGGGCAGCCGGGTGCGGCCCCACACGAAGCGGAGGAAGAGGGAGCGCTCTGTGTTAGAGAAGGACTCCATCACCTCCCAGAACCACTGGATCAGGGACGCAGACGGCTCGACCCCTTTGTACGTTGCCACCGACTTCAAAAGGTGCAGGGGGATGTCCGGGCTGCCGCACACCTGCGGAGGGCACACGGTCAGGCGGCTGCACTGTCCTCTCCACTGTGGCACCATCGACCCTCCCAGGCCTACTGAGGGGGACAGGGAGGGGCAGGTCCCACGTGTCTGGGTGGATGTGCACGCCACCTGGTGGCCCGCCCTGGGAAGGGAGCACTTGCTTCCTGAGCACATCTCAGACTTCCAAGTGCAAGATGCAACTGAGGTTAAGGAGGGGCCCTGTTCCGCGGGCACCGTGAGAACGGCTCTCGAGGTGGGCATACCATCGTTTCCAGCTCGTATCCGGTGAACAGGGAAAGAAGGGGGACTGGCACCACTCGGGCCATCCCCTCCCGCACGGCAGCCACCTGCTCGTCAAATTCATGGAGTCTGAAAGGAAACACTCACTTTGCTTTTCTGCCCGTGGTGACGGAGACCTCGTCCTGCTCACACCCAGCGTCACCAGAGACGACAGGTGTGTGCTTATAGACGGGGCTCAGTGTGTCTCCCTCCCGAGTCCTCCCGGCTGGCACAGGGGGCGGCCTGAGGGCTGCAGCCACGCACTCCTTCCCATTAGGAGCCGGCCGACAACCCCTCGGGAAGAGCCCTCAGGACTGGCACGTGCGGGCCCCAGGCAGGACGGGGCACAGGGGACAGCACAGGACAGCTGCCAGGTCCTCCCCCACTGCTTCTGCTCTTGCCGCAGTGAACACAAAGGAGGGCAATGCCTGCGCACCTGTAGTTCATGGCCAGCCGGACGTACTCTGCGCGGTTGTCCAGGGTGATGTGTGTGTACTTGGAGCTCAGCTGGACGTCCTGGCCGCTGGCACTGGGCACGGTGAAGGGAAGGCTCATGGCCTCGAACTCCTCCGAAGTGGCTTCGTTGTCGCGGATGTACATGAGCCCAGGGATGAAGTCTTTGTCCACCTTTCAGGGAGCAGGGAGCCTGTGCTGAGCCAGGCTGCTCCCAGGCCCCAGGCCCCGTGCTCAGCCCCGCAGCACATGGGCAGGAGGGAGAGTCAGCGGAGTGGGAGAGTCTGCAGTTCAAGGACGCCCCTGATTGACCGCTGACGGGGCACCAGACACCTGTCAGCAGCCACTGCAGCTGGCGGCTCCGCTCACCAGAGCCTGAGCCGCGCCTGCCACCCGCCACCTCAGCTCTCCCACAGCAGGAACCGGGAGCTTTATCGGCCAAGCCTGCGCAGGTGACAAAGCACGAGGCAGGTGCCGAGTGCTCGGGCAGATGGCCTGCGCCACACGGCTCCGGCTGCTCTGGTGGTCACCGTGCCGGAGTCAGGACCTCAGGGCAGGCTGCCTCTTACGTGAACCCCTGGGGAGCCCTGCACTTCCACCTCCCCTCCTTCCTGGAGGTTACCTCGCTGAGGTCTGCGATGGTGAGGCTCATCCCAGCCAGCTGCTTCCAGACGGGCTCGGCCAGGTTGAGGCTCAGGGGGCTCCCGGTGCGAATGGCGATGCCCAGCAGCACACCTGCTCGTCAGCAAAGTGACAGGTGTTTGAAATCGACCACAGGACATCTAGCTCCTTCAACGCCACGGAGATGGCTCTCCGCTTGGGCCTGAGCACCTTCACAGCAACACTGCCCTACTGCACAAGCTCACCCTGGGCGCTGCTGCTCCTCTCTAAACCCACTGTTTCTTTTCCTTCCCAAGTGCCAAGTGTCTGACTCTGCCCTTTTCCCAGCATCAGTGTCAGCCACACGGAGGCCAGTCCCTGAGCCTCTGAGGGCAGTGAACAGTGGGAGCTGCCAGGCACAGACCCTAAGGAGGAAGGGGCAGGCCAACCACCCAAACCCCTCAGTTCTGACCCCCAGCTCTAGATACATTCAGGATGCAGAGAACGTCACCCTGAGTGCCACGGCACCTCCCAGTCCCCAGCGTGTCCCTGCACTGCACCCTAAAGCGCTAACAGCAGACACGGGCATGTCCACCGTCCGCCCGAGACAGAGCACATGAGCCGAGGGCGCACCCAGGAAGCGGAACATGCTGGTGTGCACCGGCGCCCTGGCGGCGGGGCTGAGCAGGAAGCAGTCACGGTTGGCCCCCGACTCGTCCCTCCCATTGGGCGTCACGATCAGAAGGGGGGTGAGACCATTCTGCAGCTCTTCGCAGATCTCGGCTATGGACTCGCTGTAGCCGCCACCACAGTCGTCCACAGATTCACCTTGAAGGGAGGGAGAGTTCGCCACTCGGTCAACCCCGACAGAGCCCGCGGGACGAGCACCCTGGCCACACTCAGACTGCCCGCCCTTGGGCCACCCCACGGGAAGAGCACCCTGGCCACACTCAGACTGCCCGCCCTTGGGCCACCCCACGGGAAGAGCACCCTGGCCACACTCAGACTGCCCGCCCCAGGGCCACACCTGCGGGACGAGCACCCTGGCCACACTCAGACTGCCCGCCCAGGGCCACGCCGCGTGCGCGCAGCTCTCACCCACAAACTTGACCTTCCAGACGCGGTGGGGCAGTAGCAGGCTGTCGGGGCTGAGCGAGCCCATCTTGGCGCACATCTGCCCGAACACAGACCTGGTGCCGTCGGGGCCCGCGAGGCCGCCCTTGCTCCTGGAACGTTTGACCTAGAGGAGGAGGGAAGGGGGAACCGTCACAGCAGAAGGCACATGGTGGACAGGCTGGGATGCCCATGGCCAGCGCTGAGCCGTGGGCCACCCGCCCGTCACTGCCCTTGACACCCTGTCCTGGTCGCCAGCAGGACCTGCGGGACCTGAAGAGCTGCTGTGAGTGGAGACCGAGCAGCACTCAGGCACGTGGTGCCCACGACAAGACAAAGCCAGACCCACCGAGCTCCCGTGCAGTGAAGAGATCCTCGACTAGCCACCCACCCCTGCCCCCAGTACGAACTCCTGTCCCTCACTGCCCGCGCCCCAAGCCCTCCCAGAACCTTGCAGACAGACCTTGAGCTCCCTTCCGCCGCCCGATGCCATGTGCTCACTCACTCGGGCCTCACCCAGGAGGCCTACTGGATGGCCCGCTCACCAGCACACACCAGGTCCATCCCGTCAGCAAGGTGTCGATGCCAACACCCCTGAGAATCTGACCCCAGTGCAGACCATGGTCAGCCCGAGCACTCAGTGACCACAGCCTGGCTCACCTCCTATGTCTGGACTGTGGCCACAGACAACCTCCTCCCCACGTGGCCTGGGGAGGGAGCAGCCCCCCAGGCACATTCGTGGCCTCAGAGTCAGAAGCAGGCTGAGACCAAGCCCGAAGCCCTGGCTAGGCCAGGACAGAACCCGCCTCCTCTCCTCCCTGCACAGTCCCACTCGGCCTCAGGCTCCTTGTCTCCAGGTATCATCACCTTCCTCCTGAACTGCTCATCCTGGTCTTAGCCTTCCAGCCAGTTCAGCAGGAGCCTGGCCCCGCCCTGGGCGTGGACTCGGGGCCCTGCAGCCGCAGCCACAGCCGCAGCTGTCTGGAGTGCGGGCAGAGAGGTCAGGGCCCACCGACTATGAGAATGCACTTCACGTCGACTCCTCTGGCTAAACCATCACCATCCTTAACTTCTCAGTGATTTCTAGGCTGACTGTAAAACAGCAAATTCTAATTACTGCACAAATTCCCATACTCAAGATAACACAGCCAACGGCAGCAGCGGCAGCCGCCCACGGGATGCATCTATGAGCAGACGTCCGGCTGCACACCGGCCGTGTCCCTTCACTGGCCCTCTAGGCCGGAGGAGGCCGAGCTGCAGAGGGGAGGTGTCCACACACAAGGCAGGAGACAGCCCGCACCCCACTCTGAATGCCATATCACTGCCACGTAGGAGCCGAGGGTCTCGGCCACTGTGAGTGGCTCGAGGCCACCACGGAGACACGGGCAGTGCCGTGGCCTAGCAGGGGCCTCTGCACAGCATGGTCACATTGGGCTTTCACTGTCTTTATCTGAATTTTCTAAATCGTCAGAAACAAGCATGCATAAATTCTGGAACAAATTTAAATTAAAACTTGGTCACGTACACCAATTTTCAGATCCTGTTACCAAACTAAATCTAATTCAGACAGACAAATCCCTCCAGGAACACGGCCCATGTTTGTGTCTCTAGGACACTTGCCATAGACAGAAGAAGAGAATCCCCCACAAGGTCCCAAGGGAGAGGAAGAGGCTGACTCTCCTTTCTGGATCATTTGGTTTAGATCCCTGACTGCCCCCCCCCCCCCCCCCCCCGCCTGTGCTCTATTTCTGGTCAGAAAAACAACTCTGGCTCCATCTGCGGACTTCCCAGCCCCAGGGTGAACCGAGCAGCCCTCCGGATGTCCACGCACATGGCACACGGAGCTGAAGGTGGTCTAACTGCCTCAGAGACGCCTCATGGAAACGTGGCTGCCTCTACCCATCGCTCTTCAAACATGCACTGAACACATGTTTCCGAGCCACGTGTGGCCTGCGGAGAGGGGGAGGCCCCAGCACCCGGTGGCCACAGCGCTTGAGACGAGAGCCAGGGGCGGCGCAGGTGTGGCCTCGGGTCAGCACCTGCGCAGACGCAGGAGCCCCACACGGCTAAGGCAGCAGGCGATCCAGGAACGCCTCTGGCTCACGGTCTCCAGCACTGAAGACCTAACCGTGCTGAGCAAACCATGACCCTCCACGGTGTGGAAATAAGCTCTCCAGAAGCCTCATCAATAGCCTGTCTGTCTGCGGAGCAGCTGCCTGGCCCCCAGCACAGCACCGAACACGTGGGTGTCCATGAAAAGGACCACTTCCCCCAGCGCGGCCACATGTGCTCCCCAGCCAACCGCAGGAGCTGACACTTCATTCAGCCCCAGGCACAACTCCGGGAAGATGGCCAGGCGAGCCGGCATTGGGGTGGAAGTCATGTGTCGGCACAAAGGCACAGGACAATCTGCCCTTCACGCTCTGCGCTGTGCCGAGGCGGGCGGGTGGGTGCCACGTGCACTCGCATGCAGCCCACACAGCCACACCACGTCCCAGTGGCCGCAGCAGCGCTCCAGTCCTCTGGTCACCGCTGAGACACACACACCAGCGACCCTGCCTGACTGGCAACGTGAGGCTGACCCCAGGGACAGGCTAGCATGCCAGCAGGTGTGGCCACCATGTGCGGAGAGATGTGCCATTCCTACTTTTCCCTTCTTTGCTTATCTGTGCTTGTGCTTCGGGGCTCAGGCTTCCTAACTTCTGTCATGAAGAAAACAACCACGTTCCCACCTGGGAGCCCGGCACACAGGACACGCTCGCAGACGGCACGTGCCCGATGCCAGGGCGCGACCCCCTGCAGGGACGAGATGGCATGTGCCTGACTCCAGTGGGTGGGCCCCCCCGCCCCCCCCGCTCCCCCCCACCCCCTCCCCCCGTTGCAGCACCACCCGTCCCACTGGGAGTGCAGAGCCTCCCGTCACCTGGATGCGGTTCAGCTCCACCACGGGCCCGTGCTGGCGGTCGCGCACCATGGTTGCTTGCACCACTTTCCGGAAGGCCACCTCCTAAATGAAACACACCCGAGCTCAGCATGTGGCACAGGAAGCACTACCCACAGACAGACCATCAGTGCCAGCATCTCCTCTTCCCCAAAGCCTCATTATCTCAAGAACAGGTGACTGCGGACTCTTTTCCAGGGGTGAGATGGTGGGGAGCCGCTGGCCTCGCTGCACAAGCCCAGCAGGGCGCTCAGGCTGCCCACAGGAGGGCACAGGACGGAGGGCGCAGCTGCTGAGCCCTCGCTCAGATCCAGGTCTCCGGCCAGGCTGTGAGGATGACTTGCTTCGCACCAGACCCACAGCCCACTGTACTGACACCAAACACTCGCCACGCCTCGGTGTCACTGTGCTGACCGAGGAGCCAACCAGAGCAGCTGCAGGGCCAGGGAGCCCGGGGCCCAGCTGGGGGGGGGGTACTGTGCACTGATGGAAACCCCCTCGGCCAGGGCTAAGACGGGAGGAGGCAGCCAGCACAGCATCGCTAGGGGACAGGCAGATGGACCTGGGGGCATGTGAGTGGGATGAGGGGCGGGGACCCAGTGACCCTCAGAGGAGGTGGGATTAGTGGTAGTCCCAGGTCCCTGCCAAGTGCATGGTGCCTTCTTCCAGAGACAGGGCGAGGGGGACACAAGGGACCAGAGCTGGGCCTCGTCACAGCTTGAGAACTCCAACCCCTGAAGGCAGGAAGGGCCAGGCCCCAGGCAGCCGAGGACATGGCCCCGAGTTTGAGGACCAAGAGGGTGTCATGGATGGACCTGGGCAGCAGAGGCATGCCCCTTGCCAAGCGCACTTGTCCACCAACCATGCTGCCTGACCTCTGCTTTCCCGATCTCAGCCTACAGCCGGAGTGGCCCTTCTCCTGAGCCGAGGACATCCTGGGCACAATGCTCCAGCCACTCCCAGACCTGCCGGCACAGGTGAGCTGCCCACAGGTCCAAGCAGAGCACAAGGCTGAGCCGACGGCGGCTCGGAGACCCTGGCTGCACCCCCGTGTGCACAGCCTCTGTGGCGCGCCTCCTGCCTGTTTTCTCCCAGTGGGGAAAGGTGCTTCCCCTCCCAGCCTGGTATCACCCCACCTGGAGGCGTTGAAAACAACGGCTGGGCCCTGGATGGTTTGGCTCAGCAGTTAGAGCGTCGGCCTGTGGACCAATGAGTAATGGGTTTGATTCTGGTCAAGGGCACGTGCCTTGGTTGTGATTCATCCCCGGCCCTGGTTGGGATCATGCAGGAGGTGGCCACTCAATGTGTCCCTTTCCCCTCGATGTTTCTCTCTCTCTCTCTCTCTCTCTCTCTCTCTCTCTCTCTCTCTCTCATCCTCTCTCTCCCTCCCACCCTATCTGAACAAAAATGGAAAACAAGTGCTCGGGTGAGGATACAAACAAATAGAAATAACGCTGGCATGCCACGCCTCTCCTTCTCCCCTCTCAAGTGTGCATCTTCACTTTGCTCTCCTGAGCTGAGGGTCCCGGTAAGGGTCCTGGTGAGACTTGCAACCAGGGCAGCAATAGGCAGCGACAGCTGGTCCTGGGCTCACCCCCTGCACCGCTCTCCAAGGCCCCCTTTCTTTGACTCTCCAGTGAGCTGGCAGAAGCCCTGCCTTGGTTCACTTCAAAAAAAAAAAATTTCAAGTAAAGTTTCATATCAGTTGTTCATGTTCCCCTCGGCCAGTGAGGTCTCACCATGCACACCCTGGCCGCTGTCCACGTGTCTGACTCACAGCGAGAAGTGAGCCCGTCGGCTCGGTGGGGGCAGAGCCAGCCCTAAACAAGCTGTGTGGGCAGGACCGTGACCCTGGAGCACACGTTGCAGAATCACAGGACCAGGACTGGGGCCCCTCGCTCTGAACACTGTGCTTCCCCTCCACGGGCCTCCCCTCCTCCACAGCGACTGAGCCTGTGCTGGACATCCCGTCAAGCCGCCCGCCAGAGCGTGGTGACCTCCAGCGATGGGAGACTCCACCTCCTGAGTTGGGCACCCCGTTTTCAGAAAGCTCAGTTTACTGCACATGTCGATGGACCAGAACCGATCTATTGACTTTCAGGGCCTCCTTCACAATTCTGCTCACAGCCTGTTAACTCAGCCTTCAGCGGGAACCTGCACATCCCGGTGCAGCACTTGGCTGGCGGTCCCTGGGGACACGGACCCCGTGAACTCAGGGCAGGCAAGCCGAGAGCACTGCAGGAAGCGGGTTCAGTTCTGCGAGCCCCACTGTACCTGGGGCGGTGGAGACAGATGACGGGGAAACCCAGCACCAGCACACCTGCCCTGCGGACCCAGCGCAGCGCAGTGCAGAGGGCGCCCAGCGAGCGCCTGCGCGTGAGCTGTGCCCTACACAGCCCCAGCTCTGCAGTTACTTTGGGTTAAAACTTACTGAAGATACCAGTTTTGCCTGTAGGTCGCTACAAGAATACCTTTCCCTGGGATATTAGGATCCCCCGCAGGGTGTCAAAGCCCACGGCAGGCCCGAGACCAGTCTCATCGAGGGCGCCCTCCAGGTCAAACATGGGGATGCAGGGGCAGAAGAGCTCGGACAGGTGGTGCAGCAGCAGCAGCCTGTTCCGCAGGGCGACGATGGGGATCTCCTGCAAGTGGTTGTGCTCCATGGGGACCTGGAACACGAGACCGAGTTAGGTCACCTCGGTGTTAGGATGCACAGACGATCAGAGCTCGGAGTGGAGTCTGAAAATGCCACTTTCAAAAACAGAGAAGCATTCCTATGTCTGAAACTGGTTTGAAAAATCTCAATAATATTTTGGCCACTGTGCTTCAGCCAACTGACGGAAGCCAAGGCGAGCGCTAAAATAATTCGTCTGCAAAGATGCATTTACTGAAGAGCGGGAGTGCCTGTACTATCCGAACGATTTTACATGGTCGCATTTCACCGATAGACACAGACTGTTGGCTGACATGACTATTCAAGTTCTTGAAAGTACTAACTTTGCCCTGGCCAGTTTGGCTCAGTGGTTAGAGCGTCGGCCCATGGACCTGAGAGACCCGGGTTTGGTTTCCACTGAGGGCATGCATCTAGATTGCGGTCTGTCCCCAGCCCCAGTTGGGGTTGTGTGGGTAGTAACCAGTCAATGTGTGTCTCTCACATCGATGTTTCTCTCTTCCTCCCTCTCTCCCACTTAAAAAAAAAAGTACTAATTTTAACACCATGAACACGAATGACCGTCAGTGGAACAGATGGATGCGTGCAGTCCAATGTGAACAATAACTCGGCCCCACCGCACCTCGAGCCCACCCGGCCTCAGCACTGACCTGTGCAGGGAGCTTCCCAGCACTGGCAGGCTTGCTGGTCGACCAGGCCAGAGTGTGTGCTGAGCCGCAGGCCACACGGTTGACCTTCTTCCCCTGAAGGGCAGCTACCAGCCGAGGCCTCTGGATGGCATTTGTTGTTCCGTCCCCCAGCTGTCCCTCATCGTTGTCACCCCACGTGTAGACCTCACCTGTGAATGCGAATTGAAACCAGAAGCTGTGCCTGAGAATGAGCGCGCAGCCCTCGCCTTCCATCACGGAGCGTGGCTCCTCCCCTGGTGAACACCGACCTCAGTGAGACCGGGCGTCTCTAACACACCACACGCACCAGCCTCCGGGGCCCCAGCAGCCCTGCCGGCCTTCTCTAGTCTTAAGAACCCAGAAGTGTCTGTTCACAGGACAAAGCACCGGGGGCAGCTGTCCTTAGTCAGAAAGGACACTGGAACAGATGGGACTATCCTGAGCAACCCCAACCGATTCTGTATGCCGGACGAAAGACAAAACCTCAGTTTTTAACCAAACAAAATCTCTTTTCAAAGAAATGTGTAGCTCTTCCTATCATCAATCGTATCCTAAACATAAGATTCATCGGGGTGAGAATGAGTGTCCAGCGAACAGTGTGCGTCCACCACTGCTCTAAGGGTGGGGTTACTCCTGACTATAAGGAGGTCAGCTGTCTGCAGACGTCATCACACCAACCCAGAGAGACTCCTCGGCCCTGAGACAGCGCCCGCAAGATCAAGGGTAGTGCATGTGTCCTGCCTTCCTGCTCGCTGCAGCTCAGCCCGAAAGCCACGGGGTGGCTGCCAGAGCACAAGCCAGGGCCGGAGAAGCTCTCTGCAGAGGTGCAGCTGGGCTGATATCAGCGTCTGCGAGGACGATGGCCCACACTGGTGGGGGCACTGTGGCAGTCACAGCCAGGGTGGGGTAAGAACCCGTGCGTGGCAGACAGCAAAGGCAGAGGCAGGGCATTGGTCATATACAGAATAGTGACCGAGTCACTGCATTAGGGATGACGGGGTCCAGGTCTGTCACCAGAAGAAAAAGGAGTCACAAGTGTGGAAACAGAGAACATGAGAAAGAATCGTGTGGCACAGAACTGGAGCCTGGGTGCTGGTGCGGACAAGTGGTATTCAATGTGCAAAACACAGAACACGGCCCGGGGGAGTGCGAATGCCCTACATGTGTGTTCCTGGCTGCCACCAGCGAGGCCTGGGAGCAGTGGCCTCCCAGACCTTGTCCTCTGAACACCAGGGTTCCCCCGGGCTGGGCTCGTGGGCACCTCTTCCTGAACATGCCCAAGTTCCAGACCCAGAAGGAAGCAGGCTCAGCACAGACCACACTGTCTGTGCAGACAAGTTAGCACAGCGAGGCCTCTTTCACTGAGGGACTGGAGGGCGCCCTCCCGAAATCCAGGCCCCCAGAGGCCAGCCGAGGGCCCACTGCACGTGCCCTTTCTAAGGGCCTGCTCTCAGCTCCTCTGTGCAGCCACAAAAGGTAACACATTCATAGGTGTTGACACCAGGAGCTGAAGACACACTCAGGACACAGATAACTGCCCCCTTCCCCCACAGCTGTGCGCATGACCCTAAGCAGATGCGTAAGATTCAGAGGCCTCCCACCTACCATCCTCCGTGCAGCACACACAGTGCAGGGAGCCAGTGGCAATGGCAATGACCTTCTTCCCCTGCAGCCCCTGCACCTGCCGCGGTCTTCTAACATGGTCGTCGGATCCGTGGCCCAGCCTGTGATAATCACCTTTGCCCCTGCGCAGAAGGAAACATGGAGCTCAGGAGTGGGAGGCCCCAGTACACACTGCCCCACCTCCTGGCGCAAGCACTGAGCTTCAGGACACAAGTCACAGCCCAACCCACAGGGGAGTGATGTAACCCCAAGTTAACCTGGTCCGGGGGGAATCCCAGTCTTGCATACCAAGTGTAAACAGCACCGGACTTGGTCAGGGCAACAGAGAACTGGGATCCGCATTCCACTTTAACCACTCCGAGGCCCGTAAGAGAGTCAATCTGAAAGGAAAGGCTGGATTAGATGGACTCCAGCAGGTCTGCCTACGGCCACCCAACAGAGACCGAAATCAACCCAGATGTGACTGCCCAGCGCCATGACCGTCCACGGCACAGGCCCCCAGAAACTATGGGTGTGGACAGTTACCCTTCCCTTCAGAGGTGTGCATTCTACATGACCCAGCTCTGGGGTGCCCCTCGAGACCACATGAACTCCCACGAGAGCACAAATAGCATTTACAGCACGTCAGTGCCTTTGGGCCTCTCACTCACTTTACCCAAATACCCGTCAGACTGTCTGCAAAGAAGGGAGCGCTGGGTTGGACTGAGGCACGTGGGTGGGATGGGCAGCAAGCGCAGGCCCGGGGCGAGGCACACTGTGGGCGGCCCAGAGTGGCCTGAGCTCTAGGTGGCCTCACCGCTGCGGGACCCTGAGTGCCAGGGACAGAAGTACCTTCATGGGCACTTTGCAGCCGTCACTGCCCCCTCGGCCCAGCTTGCCGTAGTCCCCGTCACCCCAGGACCACACAGTGTCGTCATCTGTCAAGCAGAGGGTCTGGGCATCTCCACTACCACAGGCAACATCCACCACGCGGTGGCCCTGAAGTGCCTCCACCTTCCGAGAAAAGAGACATCAAGGTTATTCAAGGTTATCTGACCACAATGACACCGCGGTCCCCCTGAGGGGAGGCTTTCTGTCTTTACAAAGAACAGGTCATTTTAACACTCCTGTAAGACAGAGCAAGCACCCTGGCAGGTTCGGCTCAGCAGTTAGAGTCGGTCTGCAGACCAAAGAATCCGGGTTCGAGTCCAGCCAAGGACATGTACCTCGGTTGCGGTTAGTCTCCAGCCCCAGCTGGGGTCATGTGGGGGGCAACCAATAGATGTGTCTCTCTTTCTCTCTCCGTCCCACTTGTCTGAAGATAAATGTAAAAATACCCTCGGCTGAGGATTAAAAACAAAGACAGAGCGAGCACCTTCCGCCAGCTGAACGCAAGCCTCTCGACCACAGCAGGCAGGTGCCACTGCCCCGGGCTGCTGACCTGCTGTGCTCCTCACCACCCGGCTCCAAGGGACCCAGCACTTCACTGGGGGCCAACCACTGTTCATGAGCGCAGATGAAAAGACATTTCAAATGCCATCCTGTTTAAATGACTCATGAAATACACACCAAGATGGTTTTACTTCCAGCAAAAATAAAACCTACTTGCAATATTGAGGCTACGACCATCAACCCTGAACCAGTGGTGAGCTGCCCCCCCGACACAGTGCCTCCTCACCAGCTTTGGCTTCAACTGGTCCTCACTGTCGCTGTGCCCCAGGCGGCCATACCGGCCTTTGCCCCACGAGTAGAGGTCCCCGCCCGAGGTGACGCAGGCACTGTGGGCTCCACCAGCAGCAATGTCCACCACTTCAACCCCTCGCAGAGACTCGATGACACGAGGGCGGTCGCATGGGCTGCAAAAGGTCACCATGTGTAACTGAAACAGCTTAATTCTTACACATTTCTAAATACTAGGCTTCTGGTTTGCTGCTCACTTATTCAGGGTATACTTCTCAATCTATAGCCTTCAGGTCAGTTATTTTTTAATGCTTTTTTGTTTTTTCAATTAGAGTTGACATACAATTTATTAGCTTCAGGTGCATACCCTGTGATTAGACATCACTTACTAAGCAATTCTGATAAATCTTGTACCCATGTGACGCCATACATGGTTACTGGACTGTTACTATATTCCCTATGCTATACTTACATCCCCATGATGTAAGTAACTACTAATCTGTACTTTTTAACTCCTTCCCTTTTTTACCCACTCCCCCAACCCCCTCCCACCTGGCAATTGTCACAATGTTCTCTGCATCTATGAGTCTGTTTCTGCTCTGCTTAATTTATTTTTTTATATTCAATTGATGACAGATATGTATTTATTGCCACTTTATTGGTTTTTTTTTTCCTTTACTGATTTCAGAGAGAGAGGAAAGGAGAGATAGAAACAGAGATAGAAACATCGACGAGAGAGAACATCAACTGGCCGCCCCCTGCATGCCCTCCACTGGGGATTTGGTCCACAACTTGGGCATGTGCCCTGACTGGGAACCGAACCAGTGACCTCTTGTGCATGGGTTGACATTCAACCACTGAGCCACACTGGCTGGGTTGTTCATATTTTTAATCTTTTTTTCTTTCTTCATCTTAAAGAAGACCCTTTAGCATTTCATATAATATTGGTTTGGTGGTAATGAACTCCTTTAGCTTTTTGTCTGGGAAGCTCTTTATCTATCCTTTGATTCTAAATCATAGCTTTGCAGGATAGAGTAACCTTGGTTGTAGGTTCTTGCTTTTCATCACTTTGAATATTTAGAGAAGTTTATTTAGAGAAATCAGCTGACAGTCTTCTGGGAGCTCCTTTGTGGGAAACTGACTACTTTTCTCTTGCTGCTTTTAAGAGTCTCTCTTTGTCTTTAACCTTTTGCAGTTTGATGATGATGTGTCTTGGTGTGGGCCCCTTTGGTTTCATCTTGTTTGGGACTCTCTGTGCTTCCTGGACTTGTATGTCTGTTTCCTTCACCAGGTTAGGGAAGTTTTCTGTCATTATTTCACATAGGTTTTCAATTTCTTGTTCTCTCTTTTCCTCCTGGCACGCCCATGATGTGAATGTTGGTCCCAGAGGCTCCCTCTATCTTCCTTTGTTCAGGCTGTTTTTTTTTTTTGCTGTTCTGACTGGGTGTTTCCTGCTTCCTTTTCTTCCAGATCTCCGATGTGATCCTCTCCTTCAACTGCTCCCGTTCGGTGCACCCTCCTGCTGTACTGAGCCCTGACTGCTGTTGGCATGGGAGGGATTCACCATACATTCTGTGAAGAACAGTCCTTCATTCCTGATACTGCTATAATTTGTATATTCGGGGGAGGGGGAGTTGGATGGGGAAGAAGGTGTCTAGAGGGGGAAAAAAAGAAACATCTGTAACAAAAATGAATTAACAAAAATTGGAAAAAAGTTTTGTGTATTTGTTTTTCTTGATCAGTCTAGATGGCGGTTATATCGATTATACCAACTTTCCCAAAGAACTGATTTTTCTCTATTCTTCTGTTTTCTATCTCATAGATTCTTGAATAACTGTTTCGACATTCTTATCCAGTAATTCCATCACTTGTGTCATTTCTGGCTCAGTTTCAATGGATTGGTTTTTCTCCTTATTTAGGCTGCCTTTCCTATTCTTTTGCATGCCTGATGATTTTTTCAGTTTTATTGAGATACAACTGACATATAGCATTGTGTAAGTTCAAAGTGTACAACATGATTGGATACACATATACTGCAAAATGACTAACACAGTAAGGTTAGCTAACACATCCATCACCTCACATTACTTTTACTTTTTTATGGTGAAAATATTTAAGATCTACTCTCGCTCGGGCTGGTTTGGTTCAGTGGTTGGAGCGTTGGCCTGCGGACTGAAGAGTCTTGGGTTCGATTCCAGTCAAGGGCATGTGCCTCAGTTGCACTTTGGTCCCCAGCCCTGGTCAGGGTTGTGCAGGAGGCAACAGTCGATGTGTCCCTTTCTCATCGATGTTTCTCTCTCTCTCTCTCTCTCTCTCCCTCCCTCCCTCCCTCTGTCTGAAAATAGATGGAAAAATATCCTCAGGTGAGGATTAAAAAAAAAAAGATCTATTCTCTTAGCAACCTTCAAGTATAAAACCCAGTTCTTTACTTCTAGTCACCATGCTGTTTGTTAGATCCCAAAACTTACTCGTCTTCTAACTGAAAGTTTGTGTCCTTTGATCCCCTTCCCCCCATTTACCCCACTTCCCAGTTCCTGGCAGCCACCAATCTGTTCTCTATGAACGCAGCTTTTTACTTAAAAAAAAAAAATTATTATTATTATTTATTGTAACTCCTCACTGAAGGACCTTTTATTAGAAAGGCACTGGGAGTGGGGAGTGGGGCGTGAGACATCGACTGGCTGCCTCCTGCACCGGCCAGGGCAGGTTCAGCTTTTTCAGATTTCACGTGCAAGTGCGCAGCACGCCTGATAATTTTTTATTAGATGAAGAACATTGTGAAGTTTATCTTGCTGGGTATTTGGCATGTTTGTATTCACAAAATATTCCTTGACTTGTACAATATGGTTAAGTTACTTGTAAATAGTTTCATCCTTCCGTGTCTTGATTTTAAGCTTTGTTGGTGATTCAGAACAACAGTTATTCTAGGGCTCACTTTTCTCTGCTTTTGTGCATATTCTTAGTCCTCTACTGACCAATGCCTGTGAATCATGAGGCTCAGGGAGCGAGCTTTGCTCGGTGAGCTCTGGGGCCTGTTTCTTCAGACCCTTCAGACAGCCTGTTCCTCAAGGCTCCCCGCACGCGGGTGGATGTCAGCATGCACCGCTGCAGAGCAGCCTGTTCCTCGGCCTCAGGGCTCCCTGCACGTGGGTGTGTGTCAGCATCCACCCCTGCAGAGCAGCCTACTCCTCGGCCTCAGGGCTCCCCGCACGAGGGTGTTGTCAGCATCCACCCCTGCAGAGCAGCCTACTCCTCGGCCTCAGGGCTCCCCGCACGTGGGTGTTGTCAGCATCCACCTCTGCAGAGCAGCCTACTCCTCGGCCTCAGGGCTCCCTGCACGTGGGTGTGTTGTCAGCATCCACCTCTGCAGGACAGCCTGCTCCTCGGCCTCAGGACTCCCCGCACGCAGGTGTGTTGTTAGCATCCACCTCTGCAGGACAGCCTGCTCCTCGGCCTCAGGGCTCCCCGCATGCGGGTGTGTGTCAGCATCCACCTCTGCAGGACAGCCTGCTCCTCGGCCTCAGGGCTCCCTGCACGCGGCTGTGTTGTTAGCATCCACCTCTGCAGGACAGCCTGCTCCTCGGCCTCAGGGCTCCCCGCATGCGGGTGTGTGTCAGCATCCACCTCTGCAGGACAGCCTGCTCCTCGGCCTCAGGGCTCCCTGCACGCGGCTGTGTTGTTAGCATCCACCTCTGCAGAGCAGCCTGCTCCTCGGCCTCAGGACTCCCCGCACGCGGGTGTGTTGTTAGCATCCACCTCTGCAGGGCAGCCTGCTCCTCGGCCTCAGGGCTCCCCGCACGCGGGTGTGTTGTTAGCATGCACCTCTGCAGAGCAGCCTGCTCCTCGGCCTCAGGACTCCCCGCACGCGGGTGTGTTGTTAGCATCCACCTCTGCAGGGCAGCCTGCTCCTCGGCCTCAGGGCTCCCCGCATGCGTGTGTGTGTCAGCATCCACCTCTGCAGAGCAGCCTGCTCCTCGGCCTCAGGACTCCCCGCACGCGGGTGTGTTGTTAGCATCCACCTCTGCAGGGCAGCCTGCTCCTCGGCCTCAGGACTCCCCGCACGCGGGTGTGTTGTTAGCATGCACCTCTGCAGGGCAGCCTGCTCCTCGGCCTCAGGGCTCCCCGCATGCGTGTGTGTGTCAGCATCCACCTCTGCAGGGCAGCCTGCTCCTCGGCCTCAGGGCTCCCCGCATGCGGGTGTGTGTCAGCATCCACCTCTGCAGAGCAGTGTATATACAATACATATGGCCTGTCATCCAGTGTCAGAGCCGCTGCTTCACATATTTTAGTTATTTTAGATACAAGGGTCCCTCTTATTCCAACTGGGCAGGTAATTCCCACTAATTTTTTAAAACTAGTGCATTTGGTCGCCTTGTTGTTTTAAAAAACGAACTGCCATTTGCATGTCCCTTTACCCTCACCATTTCCTCCATGTTCACAGTTTCTGTGCCATGTGATGGATGAGTCAGGATCTGGGGACTTGGGGGAGAAGGACAAAACACTCACCTTCCTTAGTACCTAGAAATCAAAAACTTAGAATTGATTCCCTTGAGTTGAGATGTCAAGTAGACAAGACCACACATACTATCATATCAACTTATTTCTGCCCAAGAATCATTACCATTTAAGTAGATGGTAAGTGAGTGTTGTTTTGAAAAACAGAATGCAGTACACTACGCGAGCAGTGAAGCAAACAGGAAAGGAGAGCACAGCACCGAGCTGTGTCTGCCCAGCTACCTTCGGTTGCCGTGCCCCAGCTTCCCGTCCTCCGCCTCGCCCCACGAGTACACTTCTCCTTCTGCAGACAGGGCCAGGCAGTGCTTTCCTCCTGAATTCACAGCTACTTTCTTGATGAATACGTGCTGAATGGACTCCAGCAACGTCGGGGTGGACACGGACTCGGTCCCTCCCGCGCCCAGCCGGCCGCCGGCACCATACCCAGTGGCATAGAGCTAAGGCAGAAAGAGCAGCAGATTTCAGCTTGAGTCCAGGGAGCGATTTACCGTAAATGAAGTCCCATCAATGCTCTAGACATTTCTACCACAGAAGAGTAACATTAAAAACCAAACATCACAGGAATGTCTAAGACTTCATTTGTGCTTTATCAGAGCTCTAACAATGAAAGAAAAAGGTAATTTTAAAAATACTAAATTCACAAAATGTATTTTGAAAATAAGGTCTTTTTCCTGGCAGCATTTCTGTTTTTGTCTCCAATGCCAACTATAATTAATACCAAGAAATACAAGAAATATGTAATTATCCATCACATGCAGACCCCTGATAACAGCACCCACAAAACAATCATGAACAGTTTTTTCAGCATATAAATCTCACAACAGAATGCACTGTTTTTCTTCCACATAAGTGGGTAATTGTTTTGAGACACAAAACATCTTTTATCATTAATTTTTTAAAAATCAGACTGCCACTTCAAAATGCACGTCAAACATTTCTCTCACAAAAATTTAAATGCCGTTTCATCTTTTTCAAATGTGTTGTTACATAGACAGCAAACCTCAAATATACAGAGGAAGTTGAACCAAGAATGCAGGTGGATGAGCGAGGCCCGCCCCCAGGAGCAGGTGGATGAGCGAGGCCCGCCCCCAGGAGCAGGTGGATGAGCGAGGCCCGCCCCCAGGAGCAGGTGGATGAGCGAGGCCCGCCCCCAGGAGCAGGTGGATGAGCGAGGCCCGCCCCCAGGAGCAGGTGGATGAGCGAGGCCTGCCCCCAGGAAGGCAGGCCAAGGCCCCCAGCATACGGGCTGGGGGTGAAAGTGCTGTAAGGAGATCCTGTGGGGAGGGAGGCCCACAGGGCTCGGACTGTGGCCAAGAACCACAGAGAAAGTCCCTTCTCAACATGAGCACTGAGGGGGGACCCTCCTGAGAATTCATAAGCACAAATGCTGTTTGTTACATCAGTTTCAGTCTAAATTTATGCTGCTATGGTCTAAATTCCTGAGGTAGAAAATGTAATTAACAGTATCTTAAAGTTGACAATATCTAAGGGCTACAAATTCTCTTCTTATGACTGGTTTAAAACTAGATCTTAAAGTCTGGCTGGTGTGGCTCTGGTTGAGCGTCGACCCATGCAGCAAGAGGTCGCTGGTTCGATTCCCAGTCAGGGCACATGCCCAGGTAGTGGGCCTGATCCCCAGTGGGGGGGGCATGTAGGAGGCAGCCAACTGATGTTCTCTCTTATTGATATTTCTCTCTCTCCCTCTCCCTTCCTCTCCTCCTAAAATCAATAAAGGGAAAAAATAAAAAATAAAACAAACACACACAAAAAACTAGACTTTGCCCTGGCCAGTTTGGCTCAGCGGTTGGGAGTATTGGCCTGCGGACCAGAGTCCTGGGTTCGGTTCCCGCTAGGGACACGTACCAAAAAAACAAACAAAAAAAAACTAGACCTCAAAGTAGTTCTACATAAAATTTTCCAAGGAAAATGGTCAGCTCATAGTTTTAAAAATTCACATCATACAAAAAACAAGAAGGTACCATGAGTGAGCGTCTGCAGAACAGTTCAGTCTTATGTTTAAAGAAATAAAAGCTGGAAAAGTATTCCTAAGGAATAAGACTATAAAATAACCCAAAGCAGAATTTCCAGAAATGAAAGAGAATAACTGAAATGAAAAACCCAGATGTATTCGACAGCAGATGGCAAACAGAGACTGCTGAACTGGGAGACAGAGCTGAAAAAAGTATGGCACAGAAACAAAGAACAGAAATATTACAGAAAACCTTGACCTACACAAGAAAGAAAAGAGTAAAATAAAGTAACTAGACATAGCCCTGGCCAGTTTGGCTCAGCGGTTAGAGCGTCCGCCTGCGGTCCGGAGAGACCCGGGTTCGGTTCCCGCTAAGGGCATGTACCTCGGTTGCCGTTTGTCCCCGGCCCTGGTTGGTCGTGCGGGTGGCAGCCACTCGATGTGTCCCTTTCACATCGATGTTTCCCTCTCTCTCTCTTCCTCTCTCTCCCTCCCACTCTGTCTGTACAAAACATGGAAAAATGTCCTCGGGTGAGGATTAAAAAAAAAAAGTAACTAGACATAGAATCAATAGATAAACATCAACTACTTTCACACACCTGCCGCAAATTTTTAAAAGACAGCAACAATAGCAAAGAAAAAAAGGAATATGTCTGCTGAATTACTGACATGTAAACAATTTTAACACACTTTCATGTATCTTGTGTTTCAAAGTAAAAACTGTCCAGTGTCAAGCACAAGGAAGGTCACACAGGAATGGGTGTGGGGTCCCTGCTTCTGGCACTAAGACCTTTCCCTTGAGGCAGTTTCAGAAGGAACCACACATGCCGTGAACACACCACACGTTGCAGCCACAGCATCTCAGTGTTAATGTTAACAACAGAGAAAATGCACCCATACCTTCCCAAAGATGGAAAAAATGCAGCCTTACCTTCCCATCGGCTGTGACTGCGAACAGAGTCTGTTCTCCGCCAATTAACTGCACGGGTCTGAGAGTTGCAAGGGCTTCACATGGGGTGGGCACTTTAACCTTGGCACCTTCGATGCCCCCAAGCTGGCCCCTGTGATTATGTCCCCATCCATAAATTGTGCCACTGCCACCAGCCGACAGAGTCCAGTCATCGGGCCGCCTAGAGCCAACAGGAAGTGAACAACTGACATGGAGACCCGCCCGTGGACATGCCTGGTGCCCGCAGCCCTCCTGAGCAATGACCTGTTCATCCACTGCACCAGTTGTTCATCTTGCTCTCTTCTGAAAACATCGTGGCTCTCATGGAGAACATCCATGTCTTCGCTGTCTGCCATTAACTCACGGATTTTCTTAGCCACCTAGCAACATTATTGCGATTACAAATCAAACTCTCATCAACACAAGTAACAACACTGAGGTGGAAAGACAGGAGAAGTCCTCAAGTCGGAATATCCGGGAATGCCAACATTAACCCTATGACTTCACAGTTAATAAGCAAAACCAAGATTGTATCAAGTCTACAATATTAAAAATGTCTAGGCAGTACCGTTACATTTTACTTTACTAAAAATAAACTTTAACTGAATTCAGAGTCTATTTGTTTATTTTCACCCATGTGCTTCTTTGATGGTGTGTCTCGCGTGACAAACATGCTGTGTCCCACAATGTCGCACTGCTCACTGTAGGGAGCAAGGAAGCGCCTCTGCACCCCACATGCGGCTCCCAATGGTTCGTACCTCCTCGAGGAACAGCCGGGGCAGTGGGGTCCTCCTGTCCAGGGCCACGGCGACACGGGAGGCCATGCAGTACCTTCGGAACCAGGCCCATTTGTGTGTCTCGGCACAGCAGGGAAGGGTGTCTAGTTCCAAGTCACAAGCAAGAGCCACCAGTACCTGCAAACAGCAGAGATGAACACAGGCACACTGAGACACGCAGCTCACGTTCCCCCTATAGTGTGCATGGGGGCCGCCATGCTGGGGTCGCGGGGTCACTCAGGAGCTCCTTGCTACAGGCCTGCCGCGCGTGCCAGCCAGTGTCCCACCGCCCTGTGATGTGAGTGATCCCACCCGGCTCCTGACACACAGGCCTCAGATCCACAGCACACGACCCTCCTGCGAGGCCGGCGCCTGCCGAGGCACGCTGACTCCCCAAGGACAAGGGCTCAGACTGCAGTCCTTTCCAGAAAATTCCACATCCGACTTCAGCAGTGCCAGCCCGTCCTCAGGAGGCGGACAGGTGGCGCCTGCGCGGGACAGCACTCTGGCTCTCCCGGGTCAAGGTTACCTTGAAGAATGGGCTGTGGAGCAGCTGTTTGCCGCCTCTCACAACAGGGTCTTCGTACTCGAACTGCCTCTCCAGAGCTTCCGGAAGGCCTTTCACCAAAGCAGCCAGAGCACTGCCTGTAAAACTCTAAGAAACAACCGAGTCAGAGCCCAGCCCACGGATCTGTGAAGCAGGGGGTGAGGGTTTTGTTTCTGTGATTCCAATGTTTCATTATATTGGTACTATTCTCCCTAAAAAATGAGTACTGGTATTTTCAAGTGTGGGAGGGGGGACTAAAAGGAACATGGCAAACACTAAAATAAAAGGAGAGTTAAAAATTCACCTCAGGATGTTTGATTTTAGTAAAGCAACTCCCACAGAAACCATCCCTTTCCGGCCCACAAATCCGTCTCTAAGCACGGTTAGAACTGAACATTCTCTTAATAGTGACCACCTCCTCCAACAAAACAAAGGCTCAGTGTAAAGCCCGACAAACACCATCACGTGGTCACAGCCATTGAGACGCCGCTGACTGTATAACCAAAGGCCGGGCGGGTCAGCGTGCGGCAGCCTGAGGCAGTGACCCAGGCTGCTCACTCTCATGTGGGACAGCTCAGCTCTTCTCCGAGTCAGAAACTTAAATGATTAAACCAACATTTTATGCCCCCGGGTCAAAGGTCTGGAACCTGTGCCATCTGGTTCCTACCAAAGCCCTCGCTTCCCCATCATGATCCCCCAGGAGCCGGCTGATGTTGATCGACTGTCCAAACTCAGTTGTTAGCAGCTTCCTCAACCTCTGAAGGGCCCACATTCGGTGACTGGCCGCTGAAAAGGAAAGACCAGAAACATCAGACGCTTGGCCACGCTTCCTGTTGACGAGGTGACAGAGACACCTCTCACCTAAGGCGCTGAGCTGTGCGCACGCTGCCAGCGATGCGGCCAGGCGCGGGACGATGCTTCTGTTGGAGCCCAGACTGAGCCGGAAGTCGAGCAGACATGTCACCAAGTCCATGGATGGACAGGAAAGGACGCAGCGATCAGAAAGGAGGTCTTTAGGGCCTGAGCAATGAACACCACGAATGTCCTGTGTTGGACAGGCCGAGGGCACAAGGAGACTCACACAATCTGACTGAGGAGGAGTGGGCCTCGTCCACCTGGAGGCCACGATTAGAGGGTGCCCACAGACCCGCCACTGTCCACGTCACATGACCACGCATGTACTCTGACATTTTATCTGAAAACCAAGTGACTGAAGAACCCCAACTGCTAACAGCTGCCGTCCTGCTGGCCAGGCTGGGGTGCTAGCAACTGGATGGCTGAGGGCTCCCTGCAGTCCTGACCCTCAGGACAGTGGGCCTGGGCAGAACTGGCTCCCCATGCAGCAGGAGAAGACAGACCACAAGCACGGAGTGAAAACCGAGCACCCACACTGCTCTGGCCATCCAGCCTGGACACTGTAAGCCCTTACCTGCGGCTGGCATGATGGGATAGACCGTGAAGCGCCAGCCCCACCCGTTCACGGACCCGTCGCTGATGAACCTCCACCTCAGCTCCTCCCCTGGGACGCGCAGCTCACTGGACCAGTCAGACCACTCGCGGCCTGGTGAGGGAGGCACACCTGGTGTTAGGTCCACCCCACCACCTGATTAACACGAGCCTCCGTAGGCACAGAACAGAATCATCCTCGCGTGTCTGGAGAATGCTGGCTGCTCCGACCCAACTCCTCCCAACTGGTGTTCCCACTGCTCTAGGTGAGTCATGCTTTAATACATATGGCCCTTCAACATACATCATACCACGTCTTGGGGAAACTGAGGCAGGTGGGCATGGCCCTGAGGGAAGTGCTCACACACAACTACCACCTGTTGACCAGGCGCCACAGGAGCGTGTCCTGGGGAGGGTGTGACATGATGGCCACTGCCCAGGCCAGCGGGAGGAAGAGCCCGGGTTCCCCATAGGCGATAAGTGCACACAGGTCAACCTCGGGACATACGGCCAACTCAGCAGATGAACCACCCTGGGGGAGGGTGAAGCAGCCCGGCCAGAGCCCAGGGCAGGTCCGCAGTGGACGTCCCAGGCGAGGCTTCTGCTCGGAGGGGCCTCGGGCAAAGGCGTGGGAGTGGCCTGTCGGGTCTCTGCTGAGGGCGGAGAAACCAGGCCCAGACACACCACTGAAACTGCACTGGTGTCTGTGGAGCTGCCAGAAGCCCTGCTCATCTGTGATGGCAGCACTTCACCCGAAGCTTTAGACCAGGTTTAAACAAGGGCCGTCTCATAAGCAGTTCTGTGGGCTCAGCCAGGCCCACCACACACATTCGGTCCACAGCTGCTCTCACTATTGAGGCACTAGCGATTCTGAAAAGCCCGTGACAGAGCGTTCAGCAAGCCCCTTGGACAGAGACGTGGGGCAGGTCCGCAGAGCAGACAAGCCGAGGCGACGTCACCCGTCTGTTCCGGCGCTCTGCCCGTGCACGGAGCACCCACTCTGGGTGCAGCCCTCCCAGCCGTCAGCTAAGACATGAGCTCCTCCGATAAGCTTTGTGACACGTCAGCCGTTACCTTGTACTAGCCTTACGCTCCCACAGGTCTCGCAGCCTCGTCTCCCATTGTGGGGGTAAGGCTGGGCCTTCCAGACAGCCTGCGTCCCCCACAGGACCACTCTCACACTGGTCACCCAGTGACCCTGTCCGTCCGTGGCGACGTGCACACCCACTCAGACAACGACGCACTGAGAGCACTGGGAAGAGCAGGCAAAACCAGTGCGCTGTGCACTGGACAGCTGCTGCCCCTCCCTGGGTCTCACACAGCAGAGCGGCAGTGGCCCTGCCTATTCATGCACGGTTGTCCCAGAGGCTGAGCAGATGCGCCCTGCCCAGACTCCCTTCCCACCTGAGCGCACAGAGACGATCCTGTTGACTCCGTCCATGATTGTGAGCGGGTCGTGGCGCCTCTCCGTGGAGCACTGCCGGTCGAACTCCACCCTGAGTCCTTCTGCACCTGGAGCAGCAGCACAAAGCAGAGTGACCGCTCCCACCTGACATACCACAGACGGGGCCAAAAGCCACAACACACCACGTAGAAACAGTGAGACTAAAGTGACGTCTAACAGGTAATGAAAAGCAGAAAGTCAGAAGAACGAACCTCGAAGACATGAACCTGAGACAGACTGCCTCGCCCTCCCACGGAGGGGCCGCCTGCGACGGGAAAGCCGGAGACACGTGCTCGGCTGCTTCCCTGTGCTCTCACTTCCAGGCAGGCAGACCCTCACGCTGCAACCCCACCACCACACCAAGCTTTGTCCTGCCCCCACTAAAACACACCCATCGAGCACTTAGTGTTAGACCTGCAGTCTTCAGTGGGGCAAATTAGCTTATAAAAGAATTCATGACAGGCAGGACCTGGATATGGTGGAGGAAAGAGGTTGGCAAATAAAACCACACAAAATTTTGAAAAATGATTCCAGGTCTCTGCAAATCAACTGAAGGTAAACTACACACTGAAAAGCGTTTATTCATGAAAAAGTGCTGAACGCAGGACAGTAAGAGCTGTGGCATCCATGCTGCCGGGGGCCGCCCCGACCGAGCTGGAGCAGTTCGGCCAGGACGGGGCTCAGCCTCCAGGAAACTGCCTGCTGCAGAGCCGGGGGCAGCAAACATGCCGGGGCCGTGCCAGTAAAGGACCAGCAGAAGGCCTGAGGACATGGTGTGTCTGGGTGAGAGTCAGACCTGAGAACTACCCCAAATGTAACAGGGAGGTCCTGGAAATCAGAGCGCGTGCGGTGACGGGCCAAAGGAGGGCGCTGTGGAGGCCGGGATGACTGCCACGCTTGAACACGGGAAGGTCAGAGCGACGGCACGTGGGAAAACTGCTGAAGCGAGGACTCCTGCGCCCTCCCCGCTCCCACCCACACGCAGACCCATCCGCAGCAGGGGAGACCAAGGGGCTTGACCACTGAGCCACAGACAGGGCGCAAACCCTGGACGCCAGGCTAGAAGGCAAGACTGAGAAGGTGAGGCTGGGATGTCGGTGGCTACGCACTGCGAGGCAGACAGAATTCAGAGAGTAGGTCCAAAACAAACACATAAAACCACCTATAAACCCAGGGAAAATTATCTTTAAAAAAATAAGAATCCCGATGATACACTGTATTATCTAAAATGTTCAGTTTTCAATTAAAAATTACGACACATGCCGAACGCTGAAGGTGTGAGCCATGCTCAGGAAGAAGCTCAGTCAATAGACAGCGACCAACTGGATGGGCCAGGCGCTGGGCTTAGCAGACAACACCTCAAAAGCAGCTGTTGTACATATGTTCAAAGAGAAAAAGAAAAAACATGATAACAAAGAAAAATACGGGGACAAGGAACTAATATATATAGAACCTCAATAAAGAGATTAAAAACTACGAAAAAAAGTACTAAAATAGAATTTTAGAGATGAAAAGTACAATGACCAACATGGAAAATTCACTAGCTAGGCAAAAGATCAGATGTGAAATGGCAGAAAAAGAATCAGTCAATATAAAGATTACATAATTGCTAATATTCTATCTGCAGAACAAGAGAAAAAAGGATTGGGGAAAAAAACAGTCTCAAACACCTGGGAGACAACATCCAGTGAAGCATAATGGGAATTTCACCCAAAAAATAGAGGGAAAAGAAAAAAAGTACTTGAACAAACATGGTCAAAACCCCCCAATTTGACAAAAACATTCATCTGCAGTCCAAATGATGATGGTCACGCCCACTGATGTCATCACAGACACGAGGCCGCAAACCCACTGCTCTGCAGCCCTGAGTACCTGGGATCTTCACAGTGCCGCTAGAGGAGGTGTCGTCGGTGTAGGGGTGGCTACTCTCCACCACCACGGGCTGGGAGGACAGACGGCCACTTTGTGAGTCTGTGGCTACATCCTCCAACTCGGTAACACAGAGCTCCAGCAACATGTCTGCCACCTGCGGGAGGGAGCAGGGACACAAATCAGGCAGTTGCCTGATGCCACTGTGGCTCGACCTGCTAGATCCTTGTGCAGGGACAGGTGGCAGAGGGGAGGACTTGGGAGTCTGAGAAATCTAGTTCAAATCAGGACTCGGTCTCCTCGCCTATAAAATCAGGACAGCACAGGGCGCAGAGGTGCTGTGAAGCACGGAGGTGACCCAGATAGGAGGAGGTGGACACAGAACACAACGTATGCCGGCTGAAGAAACGAAATGCCTGTGATCGCAATAGTTTCTGTTCACACCAACACAAGAGTACTTCCTATGAGGAAAAGTCTGCTTCAGGAACAGAAGAATCAAGGGAAGGAGCAGAAAAGTGATTGAAATGATCAAGATCCTACAGGCACTGGGGGTCAAGCCAGAGGCCAGGGATCGAGAGGAGCCTGCCAGTCACCCTGTGCCAGGGCTACCCTGGGTGTGAACGGCAACATCTGATGGAGAAAGGACTTGTTTTACAAGGAGTCCTTCTAACCTGCTATCTGCTAGAACAAAATCCATCACCAGCTAAATCCTGATGTCAACAGGGGCACTGCTGTGGAGAGAAGGGCCCACACCTCCTGCGGGGCTGACCTGTGGGTAGGCGGTGCCCATGCCAGACAGCACGGCGGAAAGCACCTCTCTGCCCTTGTCCCCCGCCCGGCTGCACACGGACAGCTTGAGCAGGTCCACCAGCACACGGGTGTCGTCGGGGACCAGCAGACTGGTGAACTCATCCAAGGACTGAGGTTCTGGGCCAGATACTTTATTTTGGCTTTCAACATCCTAAAAAGTTCAACAGTAAAATGAGGAATAATTTGTTAAGAGATAATCACCAGCTTACCCATAAACTCAAAGGATATGTGACCACCAAAGATAAATAAGAGACTTCATGTGAAGTGTTTAAGACCACAATTCTCCCTTAGAGTCTTATTTGAAGCGACTCATTGGCATGAAACACATTATCCATTATCTCTTATTCCTTAAGTTCTTTGAAAAAAAAAAAACATTATAGCGTTCATTTATCTCTGTGGATCTTGAGAAGGAACATATCTGCCAAAAAGAACTCCTCATGGCCAACTGTGCTCAAGTTCACAGCCGGAGCCCAGCAGGCACTGCTGAAGTGCCTCCCCATACCTGGTGCGTTTCAGGGACAGCCAGATGGGCTGCCCTGCCCAGTGCTGCCTCCACTAAGCCCATCCTTACAGAGGACCATGGGCTGGGACCTGCCCCATTAACCGGAGCTGCACAGCTATATCCTCATTTGCATCCTCACCAACCAATCAGAGCAGCTGTATAATGACTAATCAGAATGTACAATTCAGACCATTCAGGGCAGTGCTATGTGGACCAATCAAACTACATAAATTTGGATTTCTCATTAGCATAAAAATGGACCCATCAGGGACCAGGGCAAGAACTTTCTCTATAAGCAGGGCTTCCCATGATCTCTGGTTGGGAGTCTGTAGTTTCCTGTTTGCAACTGTTTACCTGAACGAAGTCTCTCCTCTTACTGTGCCCTAGATTGGGATTTCTATTGGCATTAGCTTGACAGCAGTGACCTTGTGTTGATACCTCCCTCTCCTCTCCAGCAAAGGAAAGGAACCACTCTTGAGGGTGTCTGCCTGGGACAGCTGCGCCCACCCTGCTGCCCACCACACGAGTCTCTTGGAGGTTGGCAGTGGGACTGGCTCACAGAAAGGAATGGGAAGCTGTCAGAGCTGGGAAATCCTGCTTCTGAGCTCAGAGACCTGGTCCTGGATGGAGAAGGACCCAGGCCCGTCCCCACAGAGTCTGCCTTGTCAGAGGAAGGACAGATGCCAACGTGCCCTGCTCTTCACTCTCACTTTCTGGATCTCAGCGGGACCAGTGCCAGAAACCAGGTGGGGAAGCACACGCCCTCTGAAGAAACCTTAAGGGAACAGGACCCATCCAAGGTGTAGACGCCACCGAAGTCGGCCCTGGGAGCCACCCTCTCTGAGCTACAGACATGCTTTCCCTTTAAAGAAGCATGCCCTGCTCCCTCCTCTGCACGGGGACCTAAGGAATCAGCAAGTGAACTCATCAGAAACAATGACACCCTAGGATCTCACTCACTGAAGAGCAGTGAAGTAGTATGTTCAGTGGGACATAGTAATCCTATATCCCATCTTTGGTCTTTCAATTGAATTAGTACCCCAACATGTTTTTGATGTGGGTGTTAAAATCACTACAGCATATCCCTGAATGTGAATTACGGTCTAATATTAACAAAAATTACTTTGCCATAATTAATAACTCAAACCCAAACTGAAACGATAGGAATCTAGGAATATAATTTAGATAATAGCCATATCTCATAAATAAGTTGGTAGGAAACTAATCATGCCATCCTTTGATGCAGAATTTGCAAAATTCAGAATAATTTCTGTATTAAATCCTTATCGTAGGAGACTACCAACTTTCAAAAGTTGAGTCCAGATACCTAATTTGTAAATAGTAATTTCCTTATGATCACAGATGGTTATAATTTCCACTAAGACATGTTTCTGCAGTAACAACATGAAAATTCAAGAAGCCCCTTGACCTCTTTGGTTTTGGTCATCGTTTCTGCAATGATGCTGGCAGCTCCTGGGTCATCTGTCACTGGGATAAACGGCCGAGAAGAAGCTGAGGAAGCCGATGGGGTCACTGCGGCAGGGGTCACAGCATCCTCGGAAGAGATAATCTAGTTTAAAAATACACAAGAAGAGGAAAAGCTCAGCAATGTGGCACACTTCCCACAAACTACCCAGAGCCTTACTTGAAACCCTTCTGGCCATCTGGAATATTCCAGACTTTACAGCGGTGAGAAGTGCTTACACCACCACTACCCCCTCTTTTGGGGCTGGGACATCCCTGCAAAGTCAAGCATATTCGTGGTCCCAGGAAAACCTATTCACATTCACAACAGGTCACATGAAAAAGACTAAAATGAGCTCACATCTCTTCAAGTTGGATTTTCCCCCAAAATAAGGTACAAAAACTTTTTACTTCAAGAGTTATAAGGTTTCAAAATTGCAGACAAAGGACTATGAACTTGCATTTAGCAACTTTTTAAAAGAACAAATCAAGTTCTGTTTAATGCTAAAAAAGAATCTCTCTTTTAAATAGAATATTTTCTAATTCAAGCCAATGATCACAGCAATAGGCAGTAAAACACTCTGAATTAAGTGAAAAAATGACGTAGTCCTTCCGGGCCCTTTCCCTTTGTGATCTAACATCACTTTATTTTTACCTCCCCTCTCTTTTCTTGCCATGGACTCGGACTCAGTCTGTCTTCAATGTCAGCAGCCAGCACACACTCCTCTCCATTCACGGGACTGGCCATGGCAGACACATCAGAAGGGGGTGCCGAGGAGGAGAATGAGGGACACTCTACTGGGGTGATCATGCTGGCCGGCATCAGGGCACCAACCACAGCATCTCTGCCGGAAGAGGAAGTGCCAGGGTGAGCTGTCCTCCCCACCGCAGGGCAGCGGCGGGCCGGGCCGGGCCGGGCACTGCCTGAAGGACCCATCGCCTTCACAGCAACACACAGGAGAGCTTTAGGAAAACACTGAACGCGGCTGCAATGTGTTCGTTGGCTAGAAGCTGGAATGTGCACTCTGGATGTTGTTTACTGCAATGTCCACCATGATGACAGGAGAAAAACTGCCAAACATAAAAATTATAGCAGGAAGCCTCTGGATTTCCCGAGAAACCTTCCTGGGCCATTGTTAGAGCCTGAGGGTAATTCTGTGTTTAAGCCACACAGCCAGGGTGGCTGGAGGGGGCAGCCAGGACCAGCATCCTCTCCAGGACTGCAGGGCCTCTGGCTGAAACGTGTTCCTGTCAGTGTTCGCTTCTCCTCATCAGGCCATCACCACGGCCCGCGAGAGACGAGTAGCTTCCTTGGGCTAGAAACAGCCGTGAAATGTTGGAAAATACCCACTGTCACAGCTCTGCCCTACTGAGCGTTTACGTGAAGGAGATGCAGGTGGTCTGAAACACTCCTGAGTGTCAGTACCCACTCTCCTTCCTCTGCCTCTAATATTCATGTTTAGGGTTTACCAGGCAGAAAAAAAAAAAGTAAATGCACTTTAACTTGGTCTTCTGATTCAGGTTTCAACTATCAAACATGTGTAACCTAAAAACTCAGTGTTTAAGGACAATGGTACACCTTCTTTGAGCTACTCGATCAATCAAAACGGACAAAAACCCCAAGCTTATCTGATTGCAGGAATCCAAGACGAGCCGACAAGCTTACCTGGCATACATGATCTGCAGCGCTGTGAGTACATGAGACAAGGCCTGCTGCTTGGCCAGACACCCGTCCAGGGACAGGAGAATCTTGGCCAGAGAAGGGCGGCTGGACCTAGAGTCACTGGCACCACTCATCTTGTTACCGGCAGCAGCAGAATCGGCATCCGAAGGCACACCTGGGCAGGAAGGGAAGCTCTGGGCTCCGGTTTCAAGACCCCGGTCTGTTCTATTCCTGCTATCTCTCAGTTTGTTTCAAAACACATTGCCATCAGCACTGTTATTTCACAGATGAGGTATAAAGTTCATTGATGGTCTTTCAGAGTAAAAACAAAGGGCACTTAACTCATCTGTTTACACATCTACAGAGAAACATTCCCAGCAGATGGCAGACCTTCACTGTGATGGCAACAGTGCAGATACTTTGTAAAGTGCAGTAGAGAATCTATGTTATACATGTGAGCTGTGAAAACGCTGCAGCTGCCTGTATTTACTCACCCTTCCAAGTGTAAGACAAAAACTCCAAAACAATGGAGAGAAAATAAGATGTTCACAAAAACAGTCGTATTGCACTCAAGGTCCAGCTCACTGCCAAGAGTTCCTAGTTCTCGACAGAGGAGGGGAACCAGGTGGAGCCCAGTGGTCTTGTGAATACCACAGTAAGATACTTCTACAAGAACGGCTAAAATTTAAGACTGAGCACATCAAGTGTAGGCAAAACCATGGAGAAGCTGGAGCTTTTGTAAAGGCCATGTTACAGAACAGTCTAGGAGCCCAGAGAAGAGAAGCAGCTCTCACCATGTGTCTGCCCTGGAGAAACGCAAGCGCAGTTCCATGAGAAAATCTCAAACCAACATCCCCAGAAATTCTGTTGTGTAGCCCAAAACTAAAAACAACCCAACAGTCCATCAACAAGTAGATGGGTGAACAGACTGTAGTATATCCATAAATGCTATTCAACAATTGAAAAAAAAAATAGTTCAGCCAGTGTGGCTCAATGGTTGAGTGTCGACCCATGCACCAAGAGGTCACGGTCAGGGCACATGCCCAGGTTGTGGGCCAAGTTTCCAGAGGGGGGCATGCAGGAGGCAGCTGATCGATGTTCTCTCTCATCAATGTTTCTCTCTCTCTCAAACCAATAAAGGAAAAAAAAAAAAAATGAATTAGATCAATACACACAACATGGAAGAATCTCAAAATAACCAGGCTAAGTGAAAAACTAAGCGAAAAACTAAGGTAAAAAGTTCATACTGTATGATTTTATACATATAGTGTATGTATATACATATATATATATAAATAAAACTCAAAGAAATAACTGGCCTACAGTGACAGAAGCCAGTCAGTGGTTGTGGAAGGCAGGGCGGGTGCTGCAGAGGACCAGGGAACACGGGGGCACATACGTTCACTACCGTGACTGCGGTGATGCTTCCGAGGTGAGCACGTGCCAGAGCTGAGCGCTTACACTAACTGAACATGGTTTATGGTTATGTCACTTCACCTGAGTGGAGCCGTTGACGATACCCAGCAGCCCAGCACAATGCCTGCACATTGCAGGCAGTTACTACAAAGTCTTCTCTGTGTGCACGGTACAAGAATGAGCATCACACTTCTTGTGAAGTTTATCCCAGCTTGCAGAGCTCACAGCAGAGCGCACCACAGCTACTCCGTGGCACGGGATGCATTAACACCATGACCTCTACCTAACCTGAGGGCACTATGAACTTGCTAGCCACAACATTGCTGTACAGTGTTGCTACACAGAAGTGAAACACGAATCTGTGTTACCTAAATAGGACGCCCCCAAAGGGTCTCTCGCAGTCTGGAACAGGACCGGCTCGTGGACAGAGGGCGTTGCCACGTCGACAGTCGTCCACGCCACACTGTGTGAAGATCCACAAGCCACTCGAGTGACCTTCTGGCCGTCTAAGCCCTGCACAAGAGTGGGCTTTCTGTTCACGGTGGTTGTGCCGTTGCCCTGTTGTCCGTGGTCATTGTCACCCCAGGCATACACCTGTTCGAGGGAATAAACCCGTTTTCAACATTCAGAACATTGTCTTTAAACGTACTTTGAAATTCCTGCCCATGACTATAAATGATCATTTACTTAATACCAATCCAACTAGTTCAGCTATTGTTTTGTTACAGGAAGCAGGGAGGGTCTCTTCAACTAAGCGCAATAGCATTTATTTTGCAAAGAAAAATGATCATAAACAATATGCTCTGTTTTCAGGTACAGCGGTGCCTTTATCTGTGGTTTTGCTTTCCAGGGTTTAGTTACCCTGTGAACCACAGTCCAGAGCCAATGCCAGCAGCTCAGGGCACAAGGCAGGAACCCACCCTGGACAGGACGCCTATCCATGGCAGGGCCACCCACACCCGCTCAGACAAGGACAGTTCAGACCTCCTAACGTACCTAACCTGTACATCTCTGGGACATGGGCGGAAACCGGAGTCCCAGGGGAACACCCATGCAGACATGAGAAAAACCTGCCGATTCTCTGGCCCAGAATTGATTTTCATTTTTCTCATCAGTATGACATCAAAATGACACAACACAAGAACATTATTTGAGGACCCGCTGTACAGAGAGCGTTCAGTACCTAGACACGGTATCAAGTATGCACTTGGGGGTCTTAGAACATATTCTCCATGGATAAGGGGGGACTAATGTTTTTCACCTCTTGGTTTTACAGAATTAGAAGGAGTAACTCATTTTTCATTCATTTTGATTAGAAAACAGTGTGCTCATTTGTTGTGATATATGAACTTCAAGAATTAAAACACCCACGAGCCTGTCAAAGCAGAAAGATGACCAATGCTGAGCAAAGTAACTTACTTTCAAGGTTTATGAGCTATCAGTTTCTAAAACAAACCACTGCTAACACCGTGTGAGACCACCTTCCATGAGAACCTCTCCAACTTCCATGGGGACTTGACAGTCAGGAGCCCACTTCTTCATAACACGCACCAGTCAGGGACACTTGCCCGGGTGCCCCACCGCTGACAACGGGGCAGATGTACACAGGAACCAAACAGACACAGCCCACCTCCTGGTTCTTCAAGAACCGAGACGCATGTCACCTCCTCAGAGCAGTCGCCTCCTGGCACCAGGGCCTGCCCTGGCCGCAGCTCACCTGCCCGGCGTCCGTGACGGCCAAGCAGTGCAGGGCCCCGACAGCCACGTGCACGATCTTCTTCCCTCTGAGTCCTTCTACCACCTGTGGCTTCCGCACGTGCACGTCCGAGCCGTGGCCCAGCCGGAAGTAGTCCCCCTTGCCCCTGCGGGAAGGTCAACAGTGCGTGTCAGCCCTGGACAGTGTGGTGTACTGGTTAGAGCGTCGGCCCGCAGATGAAAGGTCTTGGGTTCGATCGCTGGGCAAGGGCACATACCTGGGTTGCAGGTTCGATTCTGGGCCCTGGTCAGGGTCATGTGGGAGGCAACCAACTGATGTGTCTTTCTCACATCAATGTTTCTCTCTACTCCCTCCCTCCATTGGATTCTATCTAAAAATCCATGGACAAATACCCTCAGGTGAGGGTTAACAACAACATGAAACAGAACAACGCGCTTTCACATGGGGCTCAAGTCCGGCAGGAACGCACTCGGCAGGCACTCGAGCAGCTCGCTGGAGCCGCACTGGGTGCCCGAGGTCCTGGGGCTGTGCCGAGTCGCACATGCCCCTTCTGCGGCAAGGCATCTCACACGTGCTCCCAGGGTTAAGTTCTGATGCAGGTTTCCATGCAAAGGTGGGAACTGTGATTTCCTCTCTGTAGCCCGTGCTCCAGCTGCTCTGGGTCACGGCACTCGAGGTAAGGCCGTCCCCTGTCAAGGTCAGCTGGGCACCCCACTCCCTTTGGATTTCATGAAACAAGCTTTCACAGGAAACACGGGAACTTCCGGGGGGGCCAAGTGGATCAGAAATGTCGTCCACCCCTCTGACCACCGAGCTCTGGCGTGCTGGGAAAGCAGAAGCCACGCTCCACGTCGGCCTCACCTCAGCAGGAAAGACACAGTGGGCTAAAACACCCTTAGTGCTCGTCCCAAACCACTCAGCTACGTGGGCACCTGCTCTCTGTACTGAAGTCCTCCATCCCAGCTTGAAGGGAAAGGTGCTTGGGGAGCAGGAACGTGCAGGCTCCAGCAGCAGGGGGGCGAGGGGCGGGGCACCCACACGGCAGGCACACTGGAGGTGGCAGGGTACGTACCATGTCCACACCACTCCCGACTTGGTGAGTGCCAAGGAGAACTGGGCGCCGCACTCGATCTGGCACACGCCCTGGCCGTTCAGCCTCTCGATGTTCTGGGGAACGTTGCAGCCTTCGCTTCCTCCCCGGCCCAGTTTTCCGAAGTCCCCGTCACCCCAGGAAAACACCAGACCTAGGTTTAAGAAAAAGCTACTTACTTCAACCTAGTGTTCACGACGTCCCCACCCATCAGGGATGGAGTCAGGACAGTGGCTCACCTTCGTCAGTCAGGGCCAGGGTCTGTGCGTCTCTACTTCCACAGGCAACCTGGATTACTCTGTGACCCAGAAGGACTTTCACCTATTCAACCACAAAGTGAAAACAAACTAGCAGGGGCACTGGAAATCAGCAGAGGATGAGCTTCCTGTAAGCAACAAAGATGTGCATAATCACCATTTTGGGCTTCAGCTGCGTCGTGTTGTCCCCGTGACCCAGACGGCCGTACTCTCCGAGGCCCCAGGTGTACAGCTCGCCACTCGACGTGAGGGCTGCGCTGTGGGAGCTCCCACAGGCGATGTCACGGATGCGCTTGGTCTTCAGGGCCTCGATCAGCCGCGGCTTGTCGCAGTTCCTGGAGCAAGATGGACAGCATGCCTCCAGTCACCGGGCCAGGACGCCGGCACAGACCCACGCGGGAGAGCCACGTGAAGGCAATCGAACCTCAGCACAGGACATGTGAGGCCAAGTCTCAATCACAGCTACTTTTTAAAACATATGTTTAAGTTCCATTTTCATAAATAAGTTACCCTTTTTCTGGTTTACTTTTCTGCTAAATAACAATCAAAAGGTATTCACCCTTCTTACCAGTGACAGGTTCTGACTAGCAAGCCAAGAAGGAAATATTCTTACATCCTGCTGAAGTGTCCAAGTTTGCCATCGTCCCCTTCACCCCAGGAAAACACCTTCCCGTCCACAGTGAGAGCCGTGGCGTGCCGGCCACCTGCAAGGTCCAACAGGGTGGCTGTCAGAGGTGGTGCACAGTGTGCAGCGTGACCACTGCTCTGCCTGGCCTGCGGCATACACTCAACGAACGTGTGAACAGATGAACAGAATCAACACTTTATGTGGACAAATACATAGAATAAATAAGCTAAAATTAAACTACAAAGTTTAAATCCTAGAAAGACTTTTACTTGCAAAGCATCAGCAAAATAATGTTGTCTATTAATGGGGTTTATTATATTCAATCTGTCAAGATCAAATGCCAGATGGGGGAGTCAAAGGAACCACATTATGACCAGGCAAATCAGCAAGTACAGCGGCAATCAAGCGTTTGAGAAACGCCCCCAAACGGGGGCACTGAAGCAAAATGTCATTTGCAGTTAGGGCACCTCACTCTCCAGACACACCAGCTCAGGCTGTGTCCCCACAAGGACCTTCTCCCACTCCATCACCCCCTTAGGACTGTCACCCGAGTCCCTGCCAGCAACTGGGCTCTTGGTCCCCAACACTCACTGTCCCCTGCTCCTTACCACCAGGACCCATATTAAGAGGGCAACAAGTGCTCAGCTAAAAACTACACTTCCCAGACTCCCTTGCCCTAAAAACTACACTCCCCAGACTCCCCTGCACAGCCAGAAAGGAGCCAGAGATGGGCTAGGAGTGAGGCTTCTGGAAATCAGCACTAGGGGCCCACCATCAGTGAGGGTGGACAGAGGGCCCGCCCACCAGGGCATGGAGCTGCCACACTGGCCCCGATCCACCCCAGGCTTTCACAGAGGACAGTGAACTTGCACCTTGCACTGGCCTCTTTGGTGTGGACCCTGCTGCACAGTGTGAGATCTCACCCTTTCCATACGGGCACAGAACAAACTTTGTGCCTGACTCCGTGCCACTGCTCAGTGGCCTAGCACGGAGTTTCGAAAGGTTTGATAAATTAGAAGATCGTGATTTTTTTTAAGGATGTTTCTTATCAGTGGGGCTCACAGACACTTTGGGAACCTAAATGAAGTTACAGGCTCTGTCCAGGAAAAGAACACATCTTCAAGCACGGCGCAGGACCATTTCAAAGACGCTCTGTGCCGAGCCCAGGACTCCCAGACTGGAAGCTCCTCCTTGGAGGGGAATGTGAAGTCACCTCAGAAAAGAATGACGAAAGGGCCCCAGGTCATCCGCACACGAGGTCAACCCTGTCCAGGTACCTGAGTGCACAGCCACCTTCTTGACTACATAGCTGCTGAGCGCCGTGACTTGCCGAGGGATGGGCACCGTCCCGCTGGACATGCCCAGCCCCAGCCGGCCATTCGTGGCTTCTCCACAGGCGTACACCTTCCCCTCCACAGTCACTGCAAGGAATGGAGCAAGGACAGGACTCACTTCCAATGACACAACAACTAGGTTTCCAGTGCTCAGCACAACTTAAACATGTGTTAACATCAGAGTAATCATACCTGCAAATAAACTCTTAGAACCACCAGCCACCTGCACGACATTCAGAGAAGATAACGTCTCAGAGAACGAAGGAACCTTTATCTAGTGTTTTTAAAGTAAAAAAAAAAAAGTTTTACTTACACTTCTAAAATTATAAGTAACCTTCCTAGATGATACAAGGAGTCATTATTAATTTGCATGATGCCATTAAGCAAGGAGGTGACTGTCTCTTAGGGACGCACGCTAAAGCAGACTATGGAAGAGAGGATGCACCGAAATACACTTTGAAATAATCAAGGGGAGGGGTGTAGAAAATAAAGACAAAAAATGTGACCACCTGCCAGTAACTGCTGAAGTTGGCACAGGGACCCAGGGCTCAAGTCCCCTATCCTTTCTACCTGGGTGCGTTTAAACATCTCCATAATTAAAGGTGAAAAAGAATATACACAAAACGTAAAGATATAAACAAACATTTGATAAACTGCATGTTATTTCAGGTCATGTCCTGCTCATTCTCATCGATCCTGCTGTCTCTGAGAAATTATATGCTTACATTTCCCATTCAGGTGCCTGTGAGTTCATCTAAAATTCTTAAAGCCTTTAAGAAACCCTTTCTGACTGCCACGTGTCAGAACGTGTCCAGGAGCCTCTCCAGTGTGGAAGGAAGGGTCTACCTCACAGCCATGGCGCACACTGCTCCTGCATCCGACAGCTCCAGCACGGTGCGTGCTGCGGCCCCTCGGCTGCCCCACAGTCACAACCCCTCAGGGCGACCGCCCCCGCCCACCTCCAAGGGGAGTCCAGGGCTGTCTGAAGAAAGATCAAGATGCACTGTGCTCGAACGGACAGACTGACGTAAACATGGTCTAACTTTACCCTCAGCTTCTCACGAAGCAGGGAATAAGGGTGCCTGGCAGGGAAGCCGTTCCCAGGCACTGAGAACTGGAGGAACGGGCTCTGAGGCTTCTCAGTTCAGAGACACTGAGTCAGGTGTCCAGCATTCAGCTCTAGTTCAAATGCGTCCCTTGTTGTACCTACTCTTTAAATCACTTCTTGCTCATCTCTGCACATCTCTGGCATTTTAACACATTCTTTTGATTGTGGTAAGCAAGATGTTTATGTATTGAAGGCAAGATAAACATAATCATAGTTTATAATTATCATCTATGCATTTATCAAATCTTTTCAAAATCATATTTTCTAGTTTATAAAACAATAATAATGCAACTATATCTAAAGAGTATTATTTTCCAAAAACAGAGGCTTTTCAGAAACTAAATTTGATCATGTCTATGAGTACACGTCAGGAATTACTTTAACAATCATTACTTTAAAAAGAACCATTATAAGGCCTGATGTTGCTGGGCCCCTGGAACAAAGGCAGCACAGAACTGCTCCGGCCCGTGGTGACAAGGGGCAGGGACTTCGGAGAGGGTACCTTGGAGCCTTTCAAGCCGCCCAGCTGGTCCTTGTCGTTCAGCCCCCACACAAACACTTTGGTTCTTAGCGTGGCCGCCGATTCCAACCCTGCAGCCTTCTTTCTAATAAGACTGACAAAAAGAAAGAAAGAAAGAGAGGCCGTGCAACATAAAAAATATTTAAAAACTAAAAGGAGCTCACAGCTTTCTAATTACTATCAGAAACTTTTCTTCAAGCTTTAACACAATAAAACCTCAAGTACACACAGAAATGAGTGTTTCACAGGTTCAAAGTTTCCGCATTCCAGTCTGCTACCTTCTCATACGAGAATTTAACTTCTGCCTTCTATTTTTGATGGAGATCTCTCTGTGATACACCAGGCCACACGTAACAGCTGTTTCACAGACAGAGCAATCCCGGCCTATTACCTCGACTCACAGATCCTACAGGTGTAGCTGGAGAAAACGCTGGTTAGATGGCCCTCGGAGTCCCCGCTGGGACTGACGTTGTGGCCACGACCCTACACCTAGATACGTGTTTGGTCATTGGTCACTTTTCCCCCAAAGAAATAACCTAACAGTTTCTCCCTATGACCTCTGAGGCACTCTAACCCAGACACATCTTGAAGAAAAAGACACTTCTTCCTTTTCACCGTCTGCCCAGCATACCGGCCAGCTGGATTGAGGTCCCCACCTCCCTGCTGTCCTGGGAGGCCTGCACCCACCACCAGGCTCACCCATCTCCCCAGCGGCCCTCCGTGGGCTGCAAGTCTAATCAACAAAGCTTTTGCTCTCAAACTTGACCGGACCACAGGGTGCATGGACAGTGTCAGACTTCCCAGGCTGACAGCCTGATGCCGGGTGCTGAGGACAAGCTTCTTCTATGTTTGAGGTGCTTGCTTTTGTTTGCTTTGTTCTATTTTTGTAAGCTAGGATGGTAACCAAAGCCTCCAGAGACTAGGTTCTAGATGGGTAAGATTTTTTAAAAATATGTTTTTATTGATTTTTTTTTTTAGAGAGAGAAAAAGGGAGAGGGTGAGAGAGAGAGAGAGAGATAGAAACATCGATGTGAGAATCATTAATTGACTGTCTCCTACATGCCCCCAATGGGGATGGAGCCTGCAACACAGGCATGTGCCCTGATCAGGAATTGAACTGGTGACCTCTTGGTGCATGAAATGATGCTCAATCCACTGAACCACACTGGCTGGCCTAGATGGGCAAGATTTTTTAATACTCACTTTAAGGGACCAAAATTTTATAGTTTGGGAATAAAAATGCTTTCATGTGATATCAGGCACAGAAAGCAAATATATGTACATTGGAATTACTTGAAATACTTTAAAATACATTTTTAGCCAAAAATATGTGTAGGAGCTCTAGCCGGTGTGGCTCAGTTGGTTGGGCATCATCCCATGCACCGAAAAGTTTCCGGTTTGATTCTGGATCAGGGCCCAGGCCCAGGTTTTGAGCTTGATTCCCAGCAGGGGGCATGCAGGAGGCAGCCAATTGATGTTTTGCTCTCATATCAATGTTTCTCTCCCCCACGCCTTCCTCCCTCTCTGAAATTAATTGAAAAAAATTGTCAATGTGGTAAATTTTACATATATTTTATCACAAAATTTTAACTTAAAAGTAAAAAATAACATACTTAGCAAAGAAGGCTATAAAATATACACTGTACCATGCCATTTCTACAGAAAAACACAATTAGAGACAGGTATAAAGCCAACTGCAAGGCTATAATCCAAAGTGTTAACTGTGATATCTTAGAAAAATCAAACATTTTTATTTCCCTTTTTAGATGGTAAAACAGTATGTTTCTACATTAAACATTTCTCTAAAATTATATCAAATTATAATTTTTGAAAACACCACTAAACTTGTCTAACATCCCTGTGGGTGTCATCATGAAACAATTAAACATTTACTTTGGAAACTGAGAGTTCTGGAAGGAGCACCACCCAGACCCAGTGGCTCTCACCTCCCACTGCTGCCTTTCTCGTCGTCGTCCTCCTCATTGTCGGAGGCCAAAAACGGGACCGCGGCCAAGTCCTCCTCCTCCGCGCGGGTCCGTCCCAGCAGGATGAGCCCGTGGATCTTGCAGTCGATCCCTGAGCTCCTGCACTGCTTTATGGCGATCTCGATATACCTGTGATACTGACACAACAGGAGAGCTGCAGACGCGTGAGGGCAGACACAGGCAGCCCGAGTGCTGAGCCCGCGTGCGAGCCACGGGCAGCTCCTCTCCCTGCGCCCTGAAGGCATCCAGCCGGGAGGTGGGTCTGCGCCAGGCTTGCCTTCCAAAGGGTCCACTCACCGGGGCAGGGGACTCACTGTGATTTTCTTACAGAAATGAAAGAAATACTGTGAGAGCCTTACTGAATGAATGACTGCAAATGTTTCTGTCCTGAAGCTTTCTTGAACCAAAACGTATTAAGAATGAGATTAAATATCAGGTAGTTCACAGAGCCTTATAATTTTTAAAACATAATGAAAATATCTGAATATCTACAAACTGGAGAGAATAGTACAAAGAGCCATATGACTCCACCACTTAGTTGAACAATTATCAATATATGACCAATTTGTTTCAGGTTTGGACTCTCATCAGAAAGCTTCAGGCAGCCCTGGCCAGTGTGGCTCAGTGGGTTGGGCACTGACCCATGCACCAAAAGGTTGCCAGTTCAATTCCTGGTCAGGGGACATGCCTGGGTTGTTGGCTCAATCCCCAGTAGGGGGCGTGCAGGAGGCAGCCAATGATGCTGTGCTCTCACACAGATGTTTCTCTCTGTCTCTCTCTCCCACTCTCCCTTCCTCTCTAAAAAATCAATAAAAATACTTAGAAAATTTTTTCAAGCATTTAGAAAATACGTCCACACTCTCATTAGCACAGCTAAAATAGTGTTTCCGTGTATCATCTAAGAATGCTTCCAGTGGTCAAACATCAGTATCTTCCTACTCCTGACTTGTTCAAATTGGGACCCAAACCAGATGCAACCTGTCTGTGCTGCCTCCGCTCTTGCCCGTGGACGGCAGTTCTGCCCTGCAGAGTGTGTGCATCAGTGCTGCCCCTGCCTCTGGGCGTCCTGGAGCAGAGAGATGCAGCAGGATGCACACAGTCGACGGCTCTGCCCTGCAGAGTGTGTGCACCAGTGCTGCCCCTGCCCCTGGGCGTCCCGGAGCAGAGAGATGCAGCAGGGCGCACACAGTCGACGGCTCTGCCCTGCAGAGTGTGTGCACCAGTGCTGCCCCTGCCCCTGGGCGTCCCGGAGCAGAGAGATGCAGCAGGGCGCACACAGTCGACGGCTCTGCCCTGCAGAGTGTGTGCACCAGTGCTGCCCCTGCCCCTGGGCGTCCCGGAGCAGAGAGATGCAGCAGGACGCACACAGTCGACGGCTCTGCCCTGCAGAGTGTGTGCATCAGTGCTGCCCCTGCCCCTGGGCGTCCCGGAGCAGAGAGATGCAGCAGGACGCACACAGTCAACGGCTCTGCCCTGTAGAGTGTGTGCACCAGTGCTGCCCCTGCCCCTGGGCGTCCTGGAGCAGAGAGATGCAGCAGGATGCACACAGTCGACGGCTCTGCCCTGCAGAGTGTGTGCATCAGTGCTGCCCCTGCCCCTGGGCGTCCCGGAGCAGAGAGATGCAGCAGGACGCACACAGTCAACGGCTCTGCCCTGTAGAGTGTGTGCACCAGTGCTGCCCCTGCCCCTGGGCGTCCTGGAGCAGAGAGATGCAGCAGGACGCACACAGTCAACGGCTCTGCCCTGCAGAGTGTGTGCACCAGTGCTGCCCCTGCCCCTGGGCGTCCTGGAGCAGAGAGATGCAGCAGGACGCACATAGTCGATAGCCTAGCACGTCACGCCAAGTCAGCACTTGATGCCCATTGGTGTGAAAGCAAACCCACTCGATGTGACATGTGTGCTCACAGGCAGTGACTGGACACTGTGCTGGATGCACATGGCACAGAGCTGCCGTCCCTGAGGCCATGACTCGCCGCGAGCATGGAGGCTACTTCCTACTAAAGTGAGGATATCTGTTGTTTCCCTTTCAAGCTGACCTGATAAGCAGTTGTGTACATGCCAAATTTTAAAAGAAACAGAATTAAGGGGGGAGAATGGGCTCAATATTTGCACAGAAATGGTCCAAGGGTCACCTCCCTGTCATCAGCAAGCCATCGAGATGGAGCTCTGTCACAGCTACTTACCTCTGTGCAGTCACTCAGAAGGGACACTGTGGTGTCAGTGGGGTTGATGTTAATTGTCTTTAGTTCAATTAGGTTGTTTAGGGAATTTCCACCTAGAAAAACAAAGGGAGACAAAGGAGTCAAACAAGGATGTTTGTTTTCAGACAAAGGTGCTTCCCGAATGAACGAGTTCAGCTACCTGACACCACAACCAGAGAAGGCATATAGCTGCTGTCCGCGGGGTCGACAGTCATTTTCAGTCTGTGAACAAGAACATCGGGGAAAATCTCCAAACGAATCCAATGCTTAAAAAAAAAAAGCATTCTCAGTTAGTAAGATTCAGCCATGTTTCAGCTGCTACAACAGTATCACTGAAGCCTGAATTCACACGATGCGTCGAGCACAGCACCACAGTGCTCACCACGAGAGCCCGAGCCTGCCTGAGCGGACGCCACAGTGCTCACCACACACTGGTCAGGAGAAACGCTGTGTTCAGGCTCCGGTCCAGGGTGGTCCCTTTACACCCATCAGACAGTGGGACACAGAACACAAGAAAGTTCAGAAGGAGAGAAAGTCCCTCCATCCAAGTCTGACCTGCGTGTCCACATGACTGGCCCACATACAAGTGCAAAGACGCTAACACGTGGTCAGGACGTGAGAGCGACTTTTGACAGGAGCAGCGTCTGAACCGGACGTTGCACAAGGGGCATGAAACATAACCTCCTGTTATACCCGCTATTGATGGGTCAGGTAGGTAAAACTTGTTACCTGTGTTGTTTAAAATCTCTGACAATAGAAGTGGGTGGTATACTTAAAATAATTATAAACTGAAATACGAAATGAGCCATGTCAGGTAGCAGCACCACAGTATAATCCAGTAAGGTTTGCAGAACTCATCCTGAAGCTCTGAAGGCCCAAGCGTCCAGGAAGCACCCGCGGAGGGCCCGGGGCACAGTACCTTCCTTCCCCTGTGACCTGAAAGGCCCAAGCGTCCAAGAGGTGCCCGCGGAGGGCCCAGGGCACAGTACCTTCCTTCCCCTGTGACCTGAAAGACCCAAGCGTCCAAGAGGTGCCCGCGGAGGGCCCGGGCACGTACCTTCCCCTGCGCCCCGGATGACTGCCAGCAGGGCTCGCTGCCGTCGACCAGACGGGAAGCCTGGCTCACGGAGGACGAGACGTGCAGGTTCCTCACCATCCGGGCCCAGCTGTCCAGCAGTGCTCCTGGCTGGCTGCTGCGGCATCGCTTCAGCTGTTTTCCAGAACGGCCACAGAATATGGCCGACTGTCCTGTTGGGTGGTGACCAGACAGTGTGAGCACTTGTGGGCACGACCTTCATATCAAGAAATAACTACATGAAAACAGCTAAGTTTTCAAATTAAAAGGACCCAATAAAAACCTAAAACGGCTTCCAGAAAACCTAGGCAAGACATCTACCACCATTTCTGAGCTGATGTCCACATGGTGCTGATTTACTCCACCTGGCTCTCCCAGGTGACGTCCGGTGGTTACTTCCAGATGGAGGCCACGTTAAGCTAGGGAGAAGTTTAGTAACAGTGCTTACAGAAACCATTCTTTTGTTTCGGATTCAATCATCTTTATTAATCTATCAATGTTACATTTTATACACAATATCTAGTTGTCTTTTCAAAGAGATCTACTTTTAGTACATCATGTTAATAGTAAAAAGCCAGATAAGATGGCTAAACTTTAATTACCTCTGCACAAGGCAAGCTAGAAAGTCAATCACTTTACACACACTTAAGAGTAGTGTTTCAAAACTACTAGGAAGCTGCTACACTTTTAAGCAGGAGAGGAAAAAACTTTCATTTTGGTCTTTTCTGTGTTCTAGCAAATTATACTTTCAATTAACAGCAACAATGACATCATAAAAAATGCTCTGCTTTTTCAATTTCTGAACTTGAATACAAATTAAAATAAAACAGTAGCACGGGAGTCTCTGGGGAGCAAGCAGCTAGCAGCTGCAGTCATCAGTGTAGCTGAGCCTCTTTATCGGCACCAGGTCCAGGTGGGATGCAGCCCCGGCCAAAGGAGCACGGTTATGTGCAAAAGGGTTGGGCCCACTTGGAGGAGGGTCATGGTACTTGCAGACTGAGTAAAACCTGGTCTTGGTCGATAGGCCCTGGGTTGGCGTGGAGCCATTCCAGGCAAGAAATCATTCTTATTGAAAATGCTTTTATGAAGGCTAAGCAAACAGATACATAGAGTTTCTTCTTCTAGCGAAGGCAAGTCTTAAAATTCCTCCCACTGAGGATGACTATAAGAGGCAGACAAAACACGGAAAGATGAAGCATCTTGAAAGGTACCAGTTAAAAAGAGAGTACAGAATGACGGGTCCAGAACATGGGAATCTGAGGAAGGCTGGGCTGGACAGAGGTATCCAGAGAAGCTACCCTGTGGATCTAAACAGGCTGTTTTTCCTGAGGGTACCTGTCAGTTTCTAAGAAGAGGCCCCAAGAGGAAGCACACTACTTCTGACAGTTGGGGTCCACAGTCAGAGAAGGGGTGACGCAGAAAAACCCACACTTTGGGCTGGGATTCCCAACAAGAACCCCAAGAAGGGTGAACTAATGCAGGGTTGTTTTGGTTGTTGCTAATCCTCACTTGAAGATACTTTCCTTTCCATTGACTTTTAGATAGAGTGGGAGGGAAGGAGAAAGGAGAGAGGGAGGCAGAGGGGGATGGTGGGGAGAAAGAGATGTGAGACAGACACATTGATTGATTGCCTCTGCACAGCCCGGACCAGGGCTGAGGATCCAACCTGCAACCCAGGTAGGTGCCCTTGACCGTAATCGAACCTGTGAACCTTCAGTCCTTGGGCCAATATTCTAACTGCTGAGCCAACCAGCCAAGGCTGTTTGATTGCTTGTATAAATATCACAGAGAAAGGAAGTTCTGACACATGCTGCAATGTGGATGAACCCTGGAGACATAAAATGAAGTAAGCCAGTCACAAAAGGACAAATTCTGGTTGTTCCACTTATGAGATGAACCTAGAGTCTCAAATTTACAGAGGCAGAGAGCAAACTAGAAATTGCCAGGGGCTGGGGGAGGGGAGAAGGAGCATTTCTGCTTAACGAGCAGAATTTATGTCTGAAATAATAAAAAGGTTTTGGAAACAGTTGTGACGGTTGTGTTAACTCCCTGAATTGTACACTTAAAAATGATTCAGCCCTGGCTGGTTTGGCTCAGCAGTTAGAGCACTGGCCCGCAGACCAGAGAGGCCCGGGTTCGGTTTCCACTAAGGACATGTGCCTCGGTTGCGGTTCGTCTCTGGCCCCGGTTGGGGTTGTGTGGGTGGCGGCCAGTCGATGTGTCTCTCTCATGTCGATGTTTCTCTCTCTCTCCCTCCCACTCTATCTTAAGATCAATGCAAAAAAAAAAAGAAGAAAGAAAGAAAATATATAGTAAAAGACAAATAGAAAGATTCACTCTCCATCTATTCAATTCCACACCCACGCAAGGAAACACGCTATTAGTTGCTTTCGATCTTTTAAAGTCCTCTATGGAAATACAAACACAACCTCTGCTATTCTCATTGCTGTGGCCCCTCACTGCTGGAAAGAAAAGCAAGTCATCAGCAGGCAGGACCCTCTCCTGCTTCACTGTGGGCACTGCAGTGCTCACTGCACACACCTGGGCTTTAAAGAGCAAAATTACAACAGCTGTGTCCACAATAGTGCTCCCAGTAAGAACATAACCATTCTACCACACCTGGTTCATTTATTCTGCCAAATGTATGCCTGGTGTTGTGTTTTCTGGTCTTGAAACACGTTTCACAAAAGTCAAAATCATCACAGTTTCTGCACTTGAATCTGGGCCCATTGATAGGAAACATCTGGCAGCCATCGCACCTATTTTTAAAACAGATGAAGTCACTTACTACAGTTCCTTCCACAGAAAACCATCCCTCCCAAACCTAGCAACACAGGAGGACAACTCACGTGACCCCGGGATGCACGCTGGGCACCAGCTCCATCTCTGACAGAAGCCCGGTCCAGTGCGACTGCTGAGGGAAGTCGACGATGACGTCTTTCCCGTTGGCACTGAAAGCTAGGACAGGACAGGCTTGCTGGGCACCTGCGCCACCGAGAAGACCTGGCAGAGCCCGAGCTGCACCTCGTGTGTGCTCCTCTACTGCGGTGACTTAGGTTCCACAACAACTCTCTTTTTTTTTTGTTTTTTTTTTTTTTTATCCTCACCTGAGGATATTTTTCCATTTTTTGTACAGATAGAGTGGGAGGGAGAGAGAGGAAGAGAGAGAGAGAGAGAAACATCGACGTGAAGGGACACATCGAGTGGCTGCCACCCGCACGACCAACCAGGGCCGGGGACAAACTGCAACCGAAGTACGTGCCCTTAGCGGGAACCGAACCCGGGTCTCTCCGGACCGCAGGCCGACGCTCTAACCGCTGAGCCAAACTGGCCAGGGCCACAACAACTCTCTTAGGCACACAGACAGACTGAGGGATGAACCAGCCCACAATGTCAGGAATTAGCATCAAAATAAGGAGGCCGGGGTTGGGGTGGGACCATCTGGCCAGAAGTGCAACTACTGAAGACATCACGGGTACGTGGAGGCTGATTATACTTGATTCTCTACTTTTGGACATTAGAAGTCTTCCACATTAGGTTTGTTTTTAATTACACCATGTCACATACTCCACTTAGTACCTCCAGGAATAAAAATCACATTAACAATGTCAATAATGTCAAAACAGCCCGGCCGGTGTGGCTCAGTGGTTGAGCATCGACCCATGCACCAAGAGGTTGCGGGTTCGATTCCCAGTCAGGGCACATGCCCGGGTTGTGGGAGGCATGCAGGAGGTGGCCAATCGATGTTCTCTTTCATTGATGTTTCTATCTCTCTCTTCCTCCCTCTCTAAAATCAATAAAGGAAGAAAATAATAATGTCAAAACATCTTTCCCTTTGGCGAGAGCACTCTGCTACTCAAAGCACTCACCTCTAAACCAAGTTCTTATTTTTTAATTTTATCTTTGGTTTGATTTGTAGAGCTTTTAACACATCTCTTAAAAAAATGTTAAGCTGCAGTGAAATGTTAAATAAGCCGTTTGTCTACTTAGGCTGAGAAGCGCCCTGCCCCCGGAAAGCCCCTGTGGCCATGCCTCAGCTTGGCTGCTGGACAGCAGTTCCCTACAAGGCGCACACAAGCCACAGCAACATCTCTTCATGCACGGCCGAGTTTAAAGATACCATTAAAGCACATGCGTATTCAATTATTTCTCGTGAAGCTGTTAAAATGGACACACTGCACCTTTTAAAGTATGCCACTTGATCTAAAACCTCAACATCACATTAAATATAAACGGAGAATTTTGTGTTTCCAGTTCCTAACTCCCATTATTTGCATGTTTCCCTTATTAAACTTAGTCCTGAATTTTTATAAAGCATTAAGAAAGAGAGAAGATAGTCCTAGCCCAAGGGATCTGGCCAGATGCTTGCATTTGGGCCACTAGGCAGAATGCTGGACAAATCCGGTGTACAGAACGGCACCAGGCAGGGACGCCCTGTGACTGATGATGGAGATAAACACAAAGCCACCAGGCCTGGTCAAGCTCACGTCCATCCAAACCCGACACCCCGCCCTCCTGCACGAACAACTGCCTCCTTGCAACCCCATCTCCTTCCTGCCTCCTAGAAAACACTGAAGGTAGCCCTGGCCAGTTTGGCTCAGTGGTTAGAGCATCGGCCTGCGGTCTGGAGAGACCCGGGTTCGGTTCCCGCTAAGGGCATGTACCTTGGTTGCAGTTTGTCCCTGGCCCTGGTTGGGTTGTGTGGGTGGCGACCACTCGATGTGTCCCTTTCACATCAATGTTTCTCTCTCTCTCTCTCCCTCCCACTCTCTCTGAACAAAATATCAAAAAATGTCCTCGGGTGAGGATTATAAAAAAAAAAAAAAAGAAAACACTGAAGGTACCCATTCTTAGCATTACCCGCTTCCTTGAACTTTCCCCAGTATTCAACATGAACCCCATCAGCCCCCTGTGACACTGCTCACGGAGACACACAGGTCTCCAGGGCATACATCCTCCCGAGAGGCAATGGGTCAGTAAACTTCACATTTCAACTACAGGTGTGCCCCGTCTTGAGGACACTAACAAGCAAAAGAACACAATTTATTTATCACAAGGCTTCCTTCACACTTGTTTTACTAGTCCTTGAGTGAGAAGAAAAATCAGTTGACATTAGTTGAGCAAAGCGGACATTTTGTTGCCTAGACAGTGTTACCTTTCACAACCCCCACACTCTGGTGCGTCACGGATCCCCACTTGTACTTCGGGGTGGTGACGGAGGCTCGGACACGCACCTTGTCGCCAACCTTGATGTGGGAAGGGAAGCTTGGAGGCGGGTAGCCTGCAGATGCAATGCCGAGGAGTGAGTCAGCACTCGCTCCAGGAGCTGCTCTGTGAGGAGGGCAGGCCGGGCGGGGACAGGTGCTCACCTATGAGCTCCACGTGGATGTACCTGACCCAGTACGTGCCTCCTTTGTGCTGCCAGTCGCACTGCACGTTGAGGTCATGCAGCCCGTCTCGGTCCAGCTTGATCACCTTGCCCACGTCTCCTTCACACACCTCCTCATATGCCCGGCAGCATCGCACCATCATTCCCACCTCAAATGAAAACCAGACTGAAAACCCAGCCCGTGTAAAATCAGACAAAACAAACAATTACAAGTAGCATTATTGCTCCTAAGGCAGGATTTCCTCTAGCATGGACTGCGCTCTCAGAATCCTGTGACAGAAACGGAAGCAGGGCTCCTCAGAAAGCCAGCCGACTCGCTGTGGCAGGAAACACTCCCATGACCCTGGGTCAATGCGCCACAGAGCAAGGGAGTGACCAGAGATGACCACGTTCACTCAGAACAACCTAATGAAGAGGAATGAGGACTAGAACACATGCAACCAGAACGCCAGGCACACACTGCCATGACGACAGGCAGGACTAAGGCTCTCGGTCACTCTGTGAGTGCCCGGGAACCAGCTCTCCACTCAGAAAACTGATCAAGCAGGAAACAAAACACAAAACACGCACTCACTCTGCTCCCGTATGAACTGCATTATGAAGAGCAGCCAGAGCTGACGTGCAAGTTTTCATATCAAAGAACAGAAACTCCAGCTAACACATTGGGAAGGGATGCCCATGTTAGAAAGCCACCGTCAGGCACCTGTCAGGACGGGTTTGGGCAAAGGCACTAATGGCCATTAGCGCACCAAGATGAACGAGGAGCAGAGGTTGTGCACAGATGGAGCAAGCTGACAGCACCGAGCCCAGCGCCCCTGCGGCGGGCCGACTGATGCCTTCTGGCCCAAGACAGAGCTGAGCCCAGACCCTGGGGCTGCCCCTTGGACTGCAGGACATGCAGCAGAGGGAGAGGTGGCCAGTGGACTGTGCGACACGCAGCAGAGGGAGAGGTGGCCAGTGGACTGCGGGACACGCAGAGGAGGGAGAGGTGGCCAGTGGACTGCGGGACACGCAGAGGAGGGAGAGGTGGCCAGTGGACTGCGGGACACGCAGAGGAGGGAGAGGTGGCCAGTGGACTGCGGGACACGCAGAGGAGGGAGAGGTGGCCAGTGGACTGCGGGACACGCAGAGGAGGGAGAGGTGGCCAGTGGACTGCGGGACACGCAGAGGAGGGAGAGGTGGCCAGTGGACTGCGGGACACGCAGAGGAGGGAGAGGTGGCCAGTGGACTGCGGGACACGCAGAGGAGGGAGAGGTGGCCAGTGGACTGCGGGACACGCAGAGGAGGGAGAGGTGGCCAGTGGACTGCGGGACACGCAGAGGAGGGAGAGGTGGCCAGTGGACTGCAGGACACGCAGAGGAGGGAGAGGTGGCCAGTGCAGCTTTGGCCACAGAAATTGCATGAAGAGGAAAAAATGCAGGGAAATGTTCTAGGTTATAAGACACTTCTGAGACACACCACCCAAATGTAAGGTGTGTGAGCTTGATTGCATCCAAATTTCTAAAAATCATTGTAAAAAAAAGTATTTTTGAAAACACTGGGAGAATCTGAGCAAGCCCTGGATACGAGACAACAGAACTGTTTGTCTTGCTAAGTGATGTTAGGTACCAGTGACGCCGCGTTACACGTGCTGACGTATTTACAGGTGCAGTGACAGGACTCGGGGATCTTCTCTGGAGGACACTAGTAGCACAGCAGAAGCAACACAAGAAAGGCTTTGTGAAGAAAAGATGACGTGAGAGGGTAACTAGACTTGTAAGTTGGACGGCAGCGAGTACGACTACGGAAAGCAAACACACGCGGATTTTAAACAGCATCTGCAGTGGGGATAGGAACAGCGCAGGTCTCTGCCATGTGGCTGTGGACCAGTCCCTCTTCTGTGGCTCTGTCCCCACCCCGATCTTCTGCTCCTCTACCCCTGCCCCAGGCACAGGGCCTCCCTGCCGGCTGCTGTGCCTCACTTGCCGGGCTGCTGACATTCCCAGATGTCGGCACAGGGGCTGGATGAGGCCTGAGCGAGGCTCTAGCCTGGACACTCACCTGGATGCTCTCTCTCACGTACACGGCATAGTCGTCACTGCTCGGGAAGTCCGCCCGCGTCTTGTAAGTCTGACTTTCTGTTACAACGGCACCGGTAGACTATAAAAGATGAAATACTTTTAAAAATAGTGAACCAGATAAAACTACTTAAAAAGAAGTATGAAATCTGTAATATAAAGAAAGTGTGAAATATTTACCAAATTTTCCCTATAAAATATTTTTTTTGAAGCAAGGGAAGTTTATTGACTGAGAAGGCCTTGCTCAAAAAGATAGGAGAACTAATTCCAAATCCATCTGAAGAGCTAAAATTCTTCCTTTAAAAAAGTTTAACAGCAAAAGCACAGTAAGCAAAATGAATCTCAGAAACTAAAAGTACAGAATTTTCTGAGGCATTTCACAATCAATCCATGAAACAAGGCCTCACACACATGACTTTTTACTACAGTTCCTTCTAATGCTACCTGACATCATTAGATGTTGGAACAAGAGTCTGTTTTAGAGCTAAAAGTAAGAACTAAGAAAACCCCGCCAGCACTCAGCATCCCTGTGTGCCCAGCAGAACCCGAGAGAGCCCTCGAGTGGCCAGGAGGAACCCAGCGCATGGGACAGGTGGGCACAGGCGGGGGGCAGCACACGAACACTGACCATAGCACAGGCCATGTCATCTACATCCTCCATCAGCTCCTCATCTGAACAGTCCTCAGATCCGGTGTCTGCGTCGGAGAGATCCGTGACCTGCACGTCCGCGTGGTCCAGCAGCCACCCGACCAGGGCCTCCACACCTATGAGCAAGCACGACAGCATGCCCAGAGTGGGCCCCACATGCATGCCGGCCCTCAGGCCTCTGACGTTATCATCGCCAAGGTCGACCCGCAAACAAGCAGGTGGGCACAGGGAAATGCCCACCAAGAAATTGCAGTACCTGGCAAGCCAGCATGACCAGAGGCACCAGTGAGCGATTTCAGCGCGAACTCTATGTTCCTTCTAGGGAATCCCATTTCCATAAGCTGAACCACAATGGGTGGAGCAGGGACAGGTGACTGCTTGCGTTTCCTGGTTCTGATGGGGCGAAGATGCTGCGCAGGCACCGGCGTGGTGGCCTCGCTGGAGCTGCCGTCTTCGAACACTGGGCTGGATGGGTGAGCGCACTCCACAGCCAGACACTGGCACACAGCAAGAGCAGCAGCCTGCACAAAGACAGCGAGCTGGAGGCTTGGTCGAGCCAGGCAACCGAAGCCGGTCTAAGAAGTGGTGATTTCGGCCTTCTGCCGTGAAGTGCAGCGAGGAAGTGTAGAAAGCCAGAACTGCTGGTGCATTTCTGAACGAACAAGTGCATGTGGTAAGACATGACTTTACTAGTTTAACGCAGGAGAGGGAGACTACATTCTGGTGACCCCCGCTATGGCCCACACACAGCCTAGGTAATGAGCCTGAGCTGCTCAGAAAACACTGTGCATGGGACAGAAACAGCCAAGGACACTGACGGTACCTCGAGCTCCTGCCTGTCGAATATGGCCTTCACTGGGGAAGGCTGGGTGGCTGAGGCCAGCAGCTGCTGCAGGAGGATCACTGGGGGCTGTGGCCCTTCAGGAGACATGTCCCCCAGGTCAGGCGATGCAGCTGCGCCATCATCTGGATAAAAGCAAAACATGCGTGACATTCAAGGTAACAGACTGAATACAGTAGCTGGAGAGGCTTCCATCCCATCACACACTAGACAGCCAGACCCTCAGGGAACAGAGAGCCAAAGACCTGGCTTACCCTCTGAAGAATTTCCACTCCCTGGTTTTTGGGCTCGGTCCTTCATTAGGTCCATCTGTCTCTTTACAGCCAACAAAAGCCGCCACCCAGACCCCTGCCCGTTCTGCCTGCCTCTTTCTCGGCACACACTTCAGTGCTCAGACACCCATCTAGGGACACGCCCCTGTGCACTTCCAGCCCTGGCTCCTCCTGCCACCCCTCGTTCAGACCATGGTCAGGGGACGCCCTTCTGTCTCTTTCTCTCAGGACTTCGGCAAGGTGGCTAATGCTTCCTGTCTGCCCCAGGCCCTGACACCCACTGCCTCCCACCCACTAGGTGACAACTTCAACTAATTCTCTGATTTCCAAGGACTGGAAAATCTTTCTCTTCGAGGACCAGAAAGCGATACACCAGGGTGACCAGCCACATGGCCTGTGGAACACCTGCTGTTCTCACAGCTACCTGGCGGCGCGGCGGCAGCCTCCTGCACGGCGGGCTGGGCCAGGATCTGCCTGAGCTGGTCCTGGTGGGAGAGCAGAGCGCGGCCTGCCTTCAGGATGTACAGCTTCAGCTGCTGGCACCGCAGCAGGTCCAGATCTACTTGTCCTGTGGGAGCAAAGGACGCAGGGCCAAGCCCTGCTCGGGCTCGGCTCCCTGCTACAGTGATGTGACATGAATAATGCCTGCCCTGCCCTGGCCGGTTTGGCTCAGCAGTTACAGCATCAGCCTGCGGACCAGAGTCCTGGGTTCGACTCTGGCCAAGGGCATGTACCTCGGTTGCAGGTCATCCCCAGCCCCAGTTGTGGTTGGGGGGGGGGCAACCAATTGATGTGAGAGAGACACACATCGATTTTCTCTCTCTTTCTCTCCTCCCCCCTCTATCCCTCCCACTCTATCTGAAGATAAATGGGAAAATGTCTTCGGGTGAGGATTAAACAGTAGATGAATAACACCCACCTGTGGGAACAGACTGGCAGTCACAAAGGACTGGTCTTCCCCAGAGTTAACTGAGACTGGTGTCTGAGGGGAAGCACCTCGTCTCCCCAGTGTCCCCCTTTCCTGCTCCCCATGCAACTCAGTGGGCCAGGGGGGTCAGACTGTTTAACAGTCAGAACTCCATCAGCTATCATCAGTAGAGTCAAACGTTCCCAACAGCTACAAGTCTAACCAGGTGTCTATGTCACAGAGGATCTGCACCTTATCTGCAAGGCACCACCCAGACAATTTTGTCAGACATTTGATCAGGACCACAGCCCTCCCTCGACTCTCCTCTCATCAAAGGAACACAGCCACGCCCACAGGCCACTGGTGAGCAGACCAAGGAAGCCGCGTGGAGATGCAGGCGACAGCAGGAGCGGAGCACAATCATCCCAGCAGGCCAAGCTGGAACCCCGGAGGCAGGACAGGAACGAGCAAGGGCAGGGGACGGAAGAAGCATGAACCCAACCACCTGGCAGACGGACTCATTCACTGTGACCGGCCAGGGGACACGACCAGCTGCATCCTGCACGTGCTACGGCTGACACACACGACGTGCCCTCCGTCCAGAGCTGTGAGCTGGAGCTTCAGAGTCAGCCGCAACCAAAGGAGTGGGGAGAGGGGTGAGAGGACTCAAGAAGGGCACAAGATGAGCCGGAATTGGGGTGACAGCACAGGGACTCCCGGGGTGAAGCACAGTCAGGGGGAAGAAAGCCCAAGAGCGTGGGGGCAATGCAGGCACAATGCAGAGCAGGATCCAGACATGGGAAGAGGAGTTTCGTGTAAGTGGTCTCCGCCACCATCCACAGGTGTATGAAGCGAGGCGGCCCAAGCACACAGGCCCTGCTGGGTGTGACGGTGAGGAGGCCAAGAGCAAAATCCCCCCAGGGCAACTGGGCCAGAGAACCACGGCTGGAGGCTACTGGGGAGCGAGATAGACTCCTCTCCAAAACGCTCGCTCAGAACACACACTGCCCTGGGGAGCAGGGGGAGGACACTTCCAGCACTAAGCTGCTCTTTGTATTCATCACACACTCAGCACGTCCAGGGTTCCACACCCACTGTGACCCAGTGTCAATCCGTCTGAGCCCAAAGACTAACAGTGTACTAACCTGCAAACCCCTGTTTGGTTGATTTCTTTATTTTGTGCTTTTCCAATTTGCTCCCAGCGAGGTTCACCAGCTGAGCCCAGACGGAGAGCATGGGGTCTGCGAAGGGCAGGTTGGTGATGCTGAAGGCCACGGCAGGGAGCTGAAGAAAGAACAAGGAGCCTTCACTGTGGGGCCAATGAGATGGAAAAGTAAGATGCTCTGGAAGTTATCATGACCATGAGGCCTAATTCTGAAAGCCCTCCTACGTCCACAGTCTTTTGACAGCTGAGAATAATTTTAAAAGATGACATTAAAGGGAAGATGCTTATGTGTATAATAAATATAACCCAAATTAATTTTTTTTCATCAGTTTGTCAGCAATAATTATGTCAGGGTGGTAATTATTATCTCCTTAGGCTTTTTCTCTGCATTTAAGTTCACTACAACGTGAATTTTTTTCCATAACCACCAAAGTATTTCACAGAAACACACAGTCAGACTGCAACTTGGGCCACATCAGAGTAACATGAGCCCTCCCTTTCCCTGGGCGTCACTACTTCACAGATTTAAGTGACAGCAGCTGCTACATCAACTGTGTCACTCAACTCTATTAGAAAGCATTTTCTACTTGAAGAAAGATCATTTTTTAAGTAATCATTTTTAGGTTTTTTAAAAAGTTGCGTTGTTCAACAAAAAATATACTTCGTAAGTTCACGTTTTAAAATAACCAATACTCAACCACTGAGCCGATTCCCGGTCAGGGCACAGGCCCAGGTTGTGGGCCAAACCTCCAGTGGGGGGCATGCAGGAGGCGGCCAATCGATGTTCTCTCTCATCGACGTTTCTCTCTCCCTGAAAACCATAAAGAAAAAAATAATAAGAAATAAGACACCCAACACTAACTTACAGTGTCACAGGACCTGCTAAGCTGCTGTCACCCTCTCCCGACTACGAGCCAGGCCTACACATCCCGGCGCAGCGTGGACGGACGAGCCAGGCAGACGGCTCTCCTGAGTGCGGACAGCCTCTGGAGGGCAGCGTGAGCTGCGAGGACCCCAGCACTGTGTCAGAACCCAGTCCTAGTAGAAAACCCCTTTACCTCACGGCCCAGTCACCGAGCACAGTTCACCTACTGGTTTCAGCTGATTCAATGGGCAAACACGACATGTCCGCATGTCCGAGAACCGAACGGTGATCTTGCCCTTCGGGGTGATGCGCGTCACTGTGCCTTCCCCAAACTCCTCGTGCGTGACCTGGCCCCCCAGTCGCAGGCGGCCGTCGATGCCCCCAATGACAGCCAGGACGGCCATGAGGCCGCCCACCTCCGGGCTCTCCGAGTCCGGGAGGCCGTCCTCCAGCACGGCCTGTGCAGACAGACAGCAAGCTTGAGGACAGGAGCCAGGGAGCGGCCTGTGTCCTACCATTTACAGCTAGGCCTGATTCATTTTCATATTCATGTCTTCAAAAATTATTTCCAGTAACAAATATTTAAAAACAATCTTTGAACAAAATACACAGCATTTAAAATGACAGCAATTTTTAAGTTAAAGTAACACCCTGCGGAGAATCAACAAGCAGATGTGAACACGAGGAACCCACCCCGCCGGCCGGCCTGGCTGCGCAGCTGCGGGTGGCGGAGCGGAGCTGGGAGTTAACGTGCTTGTTGACGAGGCCGTTCCACTGGCCCAGGGAGTGCAGCATGCGCAGCAGGGCCACTGCCTCCTCCGCCAGGGTGCTGCTGTGGGTGGCGGTCAGGGAGGCCTGCGGCCGGGCCCTCCGCCTGCGCAGGGTGGACTCTGAAAGAGAGGCACAGGAGAAGCTGCATGGCACCCTCCCGTGCACCGGGGACCCGTGGAGGAGGGCGGCCCACCTCTGAGAAAGGGGATGTCTGAGGAGCAGGTGGTGAGCAGACTGCCCAGGAATCCGAAGAGCTTTTCCACGAGGCACTTCATGTCCTTGGCCCGTTCGGTCTTGTCCCAAGACGGAAGCACGGCTTGTAGTAGGTGTATCGCTAAGATCTGCACAGGGTGATTCAGAACAGCCGGCGTTAAAGAAACCCTACCTGACACCCACAGATAAGGATTTTCTTTCCTCTTTCTTTTCTGATCCTATTAACAGACTCATGGAAAAATCCTAACATTCATTATTTAATAGCCAATTACACCCAAGTTGATTAATAACATGGATCAGGAATTTAAAAAAGGAGGTACAATACACATGCAGGTACTCATTTAATTAAGAAGTAACTCCTTTCAGTAATTCTTCTCGAGATGGTCACGCTACAACCCCAGGAAGCAGGTGAGGTCTGACCCTCGCAGGAAAGGCAGTCGACTGAAGCTGCAACTGCAGGGGTCCGAGGTCGAGAATGCAGACCCTTGCTTCTAGAAAGCCGACTTGGGGAGGAACCCTTCTGGCCCAGCAGGTTTCAAACACCGGCTCTGTGCCGGCTTCCACCCTTCCCTGCACTCACTGAAGAGCCCAGGCACTAACTTCAAGAAGTGGGGGTGCTGGTATCTTGATGCCACACCTCCGAGCAGTCCCTAGGCCCAAGGTGGCACCAAGCAGGAAGGGCCAGGCCCAGTTACCTGGCGCTGCAGCGAGGCAGCCGTGAAGGGGGCGTGTCCCTCGACGACCCTCATGAGCAGGGCGATCCAGGACGGGGAGCTGAGCGCGGCGCACATGTGCGGAGTGAGTGCGATGCTGCGCACGAAGCCCAGGGAACACCAGCTGCGGTACTGCTCCCGGCATACCAGCCTGTTCGGGGAGGCTGCGGGTGACAGAGCTGCTTGGCACTCGAGCTGCAGCCTGGCCCTCAGGCCGTGGACCACCTGTCCAGCTGCTGAAGCTCCCGGCCTGCGGTGCTTTACGCGGCAGCCCAGGCGGACTAGCATGCTACCGAGCTTGTGGTGACACACAGGGGCTGCCCTAGGATGCTAATGCACAGGCTCGCACACACGCATACACATATGCTTAAGCACACATGCACACACGCACACTCAATTATGTGACAGAAGCAGAGCCCCAGTCCCGACCCTGTGGGCCCACAACCACTCATTACGTACACGTCTTGTCCGTCGTCCCACTTTCCACTAACACGCGCAACAGCCCGCACAGCGTCTTGGTGGCTTCGCTCTGCATGGCCTCGGCGTGGACACCAGTAGAGAGACACAGCGTTTGCAGTAAGTTGACAGTGCTGGTCAGCAACATGGCAGTGGGGTGCATGTTCCTTCCAGTTTGCTCAGCTTCTGGGGAAAAAAGTCAGAATAAAGAACTCCACTCCCAAATAGAACTGAAAGATGTCCTTGCACATAATTAAAGAAATATAATAACACATTCTTTTTTTAAAATTTTTCACTTTATCAAATTACAAAGGACGAAAAGAAGGAGGGAGGACGTTGGGAGGAGGGAGGGAGGAAGAAAGGAAGAAAAAAGGGAGGGAGGAAGGAGGAAAAGAGGAAGGAAGGGAGGGGAGGGAGGAGGAGGGAGGGTGGGAGGAAGGAGGGAGGAAGGGGGGAGGGGGGAGGGTTTCTGTGCATATGTTCAGCCCCAACATCACACTTTTCTTGCTCCCTGTGGAAAGGGAGGCAGCTCTTGGCAGGACAGGTAAATCTGGGATGCAGCAGTGCTGTGCCTAACCATCCCCGTGCCCACCTTGCTCAAAGAAAAGCTTTTTAAATTAGCTACTTTAAAAATCGTCTCAGCATACAGCTCAGAAGCACCGAAACAATTCCAAGGACACTCCCTCAGGAAGCAGCTGACCAAATGCTAGAAGCTGCTGCTGCTGCAGCGCTCCCTGGAGAGAGGAGAGCTCCTCCCTGCAGGGCACCAGGGGCTCTGGGACGAGGGGCACGTGGCAGCCAGGCCACCTGTCTCACTCAGCCCCACTCACGCTCCGACCTCCCTGAGTCAAGCCCCCAGAAAGAGCGCCAGGAGAGGCACCAGGCTTGGAGCCGTGACGGATGCAGTGACAGCAGACCCTGTGCTGATCCCCTGGACAGGGCCACACAGCTTCACACCGTCACTCCTAAGAGCCCACAAGGCAGGCGGCGCCTGTTCACACCCGAGGGCCTCGGTGCCCATAAGCACTGGCACAGAACACAGGCTTTCCTGTGCCCACACCACTGCCTCTCTGAGCTCAGGCTCTCAGGTTCCTCTCCTGACCATGAGAATCACTTTGGAAGCTGCCCATGCTGCCCACACAGCCGGCACCTGAGCTCCGCAAAGCAGGCTAACCTCCTGCACTGTCTTATAAAGACCAGCCTGGGACGCTTCATTCACACATCCCAAGGTCTTTGGGACTTGTCTAGGAAAACGTGACACAGCCCTCCTCTCACAACTTTGGGTTCCCTTGGATAGGACTCAACGTGCAGGGGTCGCTCTGAGTTCTCATGTCTGCATTTCTCAAGGCAGTCAGTGCTAACTAACAGCACGCCCAGCGAAGGGCCTCGGAGGAGGTGAGAGGAGCAGCCGACCAGCTCGGTCAGCGCGTGGGCAGGCCCCGCCGCCCCCATGCAGTCTACGACGGAGCGGGAGAGCCATGTCCAGCAGAATCACCGGCGCCCAGAGCTGGTCTGTGCTCCCATCATCAGAATCACCTGGGCTTGTTTAACCTGCTCTTCAGGGGCAAGCCCAGAGCTACCGAGCACTGTCTGCAGGGGAGTCCTGCACTCCCCCCATCCAGACGAAAAGGGCCAGCCAGCATGTGGACATGGCCGCAGGGCCGCACTGCACCGCACGGTCCCCAGCACTCACCCGAGTCGTCCTCCGTGTCCGAGTCCTCTGCCGAGGGCTGTGTGGAGGCTGGCAGCTCCGCCAGCTTGAGGTCGTACTTGCCCTCCTTTCCCATCCTGTAGGAGTTGGTGCTGCCCGTGTCCCACTGGACCCTGATCCACCCGTCCTCTCCTAGTTCACCAATCACACGGCCGAGGCCAGGAGGAGGTCCATCCTTCAGAAGCCAAAACAAAGATCACTTAAGGGGGTGTGCCGCCCTGCCAGACATTGCCTGTGGAATGGCCACATCACTGTGCGGACTCCATGCCCAGAGATGGCTCCAGCCCGCCTGCAGCACACCCTGCCCACAGCACCACCTTCAACGGAGCCACAAAGCTGCCTTCTGCTCCCTTCCCAAAGAGGTCGGTGGGACGCCTGTCATCTCCGGCCAGACCCTCCCTGGCAATGCAGGGACAAGGTTGTCCAGCCCGGGCCTGGCACCCTGTTCCTTGGCCCCTAGTCCCTCACAAGGCTTCGAGAGACTGGAAACCTGAAGCAGCACCTGCATCTCCTCTTACTTTTGGCTTCCCCTCTGTCTCTCACTTCTGAGGAAGCTGCTTCTAGGAGGCCATACCGGTCGTTCCAGGACAGGTGGCCTTCTGCATGCCTGACGATGCCCCACTTTGGAGTGGGACTGAGAATGCCTAGACATGACAAGAACGCTCCCACACCGCAGGTACGTGAGCACCATCCTTAGCCAGTGACTAGGGTTATGCCCCGGACACTGGCCCCTGTGACCTCTACCTGGGGAGGCCTAACAGGCACTCGGGAGCCATGTGCTATGATGAGAAACAGAATGGAGGCCACCGCCTGAGAGTGCTGTGGGGCAGTGACTGGGTGCACGGCCACCTGCTCGAGGAGGCAGCTGGGCTCCCTGCCCAGAGCTCCCAGGACACGACTGTTCAGAAGGGGCTCCTGCTCTCCTGCTCTCTTACTCCTGCTCTGGCTGCACCTCAACTGCAGCCCACGCGGGGACTTCTCTGAAGACAGCCGCCACTCCTCGAGACCTGGCCCTGCGTGAGGGGTCCCTGCACAGGACCTGTCACTCTGCTTGTTGCGCCCCTGGGCACCTGTCACTGGGAGCAGCAGCTGTGTCATCCATCAACTGCACACATCCCGAGTTAAGGCAGACATCTGCTCCAATGTTCACACAGTGAGAGCAAGTCAGGATGCGCAAAGCTGATGACTGCGCGGCCGGTGTGTCTAAGCAAATCTGAGTACCTGGTCGCCCCACTTCCAGTCCACGCCCCTCATGACCCTGGTTCCGATCTTCATCATGGCGGCCAGCTCTGGCCCCGAGACTGGGGGCTGTGCAGGGGCCATCTCCTTCCTGGTCTCCTCCAAGACGGTGGCGGACGCACCTCGGGCAGACAGGTTCCCATCTTCTTCCCCACTGTCACAGCTCGGGCCTGTCGGAGCATTGGGAGCATCAGCACCTGCAACTTCCTCGTCTCAACACACTTGTGAGATCAGTAAATACTGTGGGAAATAATCATCTTCAACAATCATTGTGTATAGTGTATTTTTTAAACCAATACAGCAAACACCATGAAAACTTTACCAATGAGAATTAAAATTCTTGAAAAGGGGAAGAAAAAATATATGTTCCAGGAGATATAAAAGATACAAAGGCAAAGTAATTTAGAAAAATATGCATCACATATTTATTAGAACTAAAGATAACCACCTAAAGGTCTAACAGAGAAATTAAACTGTAATTATAACACTGCACAGAGGAGCTGAGAGCAGGCCCTTAGAAAGGCCACGTGCAGTGGGCCCTCGGCTGGCCTCTGGGGGCCTGGATTTCGGGAGGGTGCCCTCCAGTCCCTCAGTGAAAGAGGCCTCGCTGTGCTAACTTGTCTGCACAGACAGTGTGGTCTGTGCTGAGCCTGCTTCCTTCCGGGCCTGGCACGTCCAGGAAGAGGTGCCCACAAGCCCAGCCCGGGGGAACCCTGGGCGCCAGGTCTGATGAGCGTCATGGGTGGACAGCAGTTCACAGGTGTTGTCACAGCTCGTGCATCCTGTGGGACTGCACTGGGACTGGACCTTGTCTGGCTCCTCCCAGACCTCGCTCCTGTGCCTTTCCCTGTACTGCTGTGTCCGCTGTAATAAATCAGTTGCGAGGATGAATCACTGAACCCGAGAGTGGTCCTGGGGACCCTGACAGGGATGACTGCAGTGGACTGTAGAACAGCCCTGGCTGCTGGTAAAGCAGAGTCAAGGAGTGGGGCATGGAGTACACATCGGTCCCTGGTGGTGACGGTGCCGACATGTGCTAAACGAAATGAGCCACAAGCAAAAGGCTGAAACCTGTGTGATTCATTTACGTGAAACACCCAGAAGAGGCCGATCCAGAGCCCAAAGCTCTGCTGCTGTGAACAGCTGGGGAGTGGGAGGCCAGGAGCCTCTGCGACATGCGTGCAGTCTGCGTGGGGTTACGGTGCTAGAGTAGGAGTGCTCGTACAGCTTCGTGGGCGTGCTTAATGCCCCTGAGTTATAAGCTTCAAAGCGGTCAACATGATCAGTTTTGGTATGTATATTTTACAATAAAATAAGAGAGAGAGATAGATTGATAAAGAAATATCAAGGCAAAATCATGACATTCTCACAAAGGGTGCGAGGCAGTGCCGACCTACCGATGAGCCGCAGCGCGGTCTGCGCAAGGGCAAGGGTGCCAGAGTTCAGCAGGAGGTTGAGGTTGTGCGCGCCATGCTGCAGGGTCAGCATGCTGAGCATCACCAGGAGGAAGCGAGCTTGTGGGGTTGTCCCCAGGCTTGGTCCCGAAGGGTTCTCATTGGTAATGGTTTGCAGGGGGATGGGCTGGATACCTAAAAAGCATTGGCACCCACCTAAATTTCTTGTATGTGGACACAAGAACCTACATGATGCACAAAACATCAGCAATTTCTAAAAAATTCAGCGGAAAAAAAATAAATAAAAAATTCGCCGTCACTCCACACGCAGCCATCCCTGTCTGTCTACAGAATTTACCACGTTCCTCTCAACATCCCTGGTGGCTTACTCATTCCATTTCAAGTATAACAGAGCTCATTTCTCTTCCACAAATACAACCCTGGCATTTCTCAGTGGGTGCTTGACTTACCATCTAAGAAATTAAGTACTAGCACAGGATACGCATTTCAAGGTGTAAGTGATACACATGAACAGGTTAAGATGTCAAAGCTTCATATTAGGAAACTACAAGATTGCGCCTTCTGTCCAATTTTGAAAGTTTGTTTAGTTTGAGAAAGCTTTGAGCAGCACAGATGATCACTCTAATGTACAAAGTTATCAGTCTTTCCAAGAGCAAAAATTGGCATTTGCAAGCTCCCACATCACATAAAGAAGAGCCAGAGGCTAACATAACGCAATGCGATTGTCGACGTTACTGCAATAGCAGCTTTACTATACAGCCTGTTGACCACGAGGGCTTTTAAACTCACCCAGTTCTTTGAATCTGGCATTTGCATCCAGCAAAATGTTTCGCGTGTTCTGAACAGCCCAAGCGTACAGCTTGCCGAATGTGACTTCCAGCAGCATCCGATTGAAAGGTGGGATCAAGTCGACATCCTTTAAACAATCCATGAGGGGTTCCCTTTCAAACAAAGATAAATGCATTTTACTTAAGACTACTGCCAAACTTTAACCTGAACAGAATGATGCCTGATGCCACTGCTCCCCTTAATTAGGAAGAAAAATCACCATGTTTTACCCTATATCAACGCCCTCCGGGATGAGCCGCTGCCATCCACAGAACACGGCATACCGCACCGATGGAAGTAAGAAATTCTTGGCGGCCAATTTTAATATTGTGTCTATCCCTTCCAGGCGGACCTCTGCTCTCTCCAGCTGCAAAACACCCGTGCACGCAGGTGAGTGCTGTGCACTGCCACTGCCGAGGGCGCTCTCACTGAGAACCTTACCTGTTTCAGCAGGCACTTTCTCATTTTCTCCACGTCCACTGGCTCTTCTTTAAGGGCAAATTCAGCAATGGTGCTAAGGAGTGCAGACTGCGGATAAAGACCCTGGACATTCTGCTTCACCCACTTGTACCTGTGGACACCTGTGACTGTGCTCAGCAGTGGCTGCCACTTACCCTGACAAAGGAAACCATTTGCACCATGAGATCACCTGCTGACATTAACATGTGCTCTAAAAGTTACTTGAGTAAAATAAAATAAAATACAAATGCAGTAGGTTTAAATTGGTGAGATATTTTAAACTTGGAAACTAACTTATGGTTAAACTAACTGTCATAAATAGGTGTATAAATGAATTTTAAACCTCCATACTCGTGTATGTTGGAAAGCGCTAAGTTGGAATTCAAAGTTAAATTATCATCCATATTAAAAGCCTCAGTGACCAGGACCGTTTCTGAAGCAAAGGATACACTGAAGGAAGAAAGAAAGGAATGAATGAATAGTGAATAAATAATGATACAGTGTACTCCTAAAAGTAAAAGAAAATACTTCTCCAGGGCGGATCTGACCCCGGCACCACTAGGCAGGCGTCCCTGGGGCACAGGTACCCATTCTTTAATACGCCAGCGCCTTCCAGCCAGCGGACGCCTACGGACAGAATGATGGGACTAAGATTCCTGTGCTATGTGCTGTGTTCTACGCAGCCTGTCTCAGAATCACAGGAAATACTTCACCTTGGGTGATTTGATTGTAATGGGTCTTTTGTCCATATTTATAGGACTGTGAGGCAAAATGCAAGCTTCTTCTAAATCACTCTCTTCGTTTCCAATTTTTTCTTCATCATCCGTAGATTCTGGCTTCTTAGGAACTGCTTCAAAACATCATTCGTTATAAAAACAATTTACTTATAGTTTTAAATCAAGGAATACTTAAATTTGCATTCAGAAAGGACATACATATTTTAATATTTACTTTCAACTGACACAAACTACTCAAGTGTCACAGTGACTCTCGCATGACATCTGGTCAGGGGCAGAGGACAGTGGGAGGGCCACCACCAAGAAGCCCTAGAGAAGGGGAGGCCCAGCGGTCAGCCAGCTCCTGCTCAAGGCCAGATGGGGACACGTCAGTGCAGACACCACTCGGTGCTGCAGCGTGAGAGGCAGCGCTGCCTATGAGCGCTGTGATTCGGACTGGATGTGGTTCTCAGGTGTCAGACACACTACTCTTCTGATGTAAGAGTAAAATAACTTTTAAGTGCAAGCACCAGTTTTAGTTCATGGACAGTATGAAAAGAGCAGCAGGCTGCCCTGCCCCCTAACCCCGTATACCATCTTGGGACCAGCCATGGGCTCCGTCATCTAACCAGAGCCTCCTCTCATATCAGTCTCTTTAAAAACTTTTTTCCTAGCCCTGGCCAGTTTTGCTCAGCGGTTAGAGCATTGGCCTGAGGTCCAGAGAGACCCAGGTTGGGTTCCCGCTAAGGGCATGTATCTTGGTTGCAGTTTGTCCCCAGCCGTGCGGGAGATTTGTACCTGTCACGTCAATCTCTCTCTCTCTCTCTTTCTTCCTCTCTGTCTCCCACTCTATCTGAACAAAAAACAAAAAAATGTCCTTGGGTGAGGATAAAAAATAAATAGCCCTGGCCGGTTTGGCTCAGCGGTTAGAGCATTGGCCTGCGGTATGGAGAGACCGAAGTTGGGTTCCCGCTAAGGGCATGTACCTCGGTTGCAGTTTGTGCCCGGCCCTAGTTGGGTCGTGGGGGTGGCAGCCACTCGATGTGTCTCTTTCACGTCGATGTTTCTCTCTCTCCCTCCCACTCTACCTGAACAAAAAATGGAAAAATGTCCTCAGGTGAGGATAAAATAAACAAATAAGTAAATAAATAAAATAAAAAGTTTTCCTTTATTGATTTTAGAGAGAGAGAAAAGGAAAGGGAGAGAGTGATAGAACCATTGATGAGGGAGAACATCTACTGGCCGCCTCCTGCATGCCCCCCCAGTTGGGATCCGGCTCACAACCTGGGCATGTGCCCTGACCGGGAATCAAACTGGCAACCTTCTTGGTGCAGGGTCGACGCTCAACCACAGAGCCACTCTGGCCGGGCCATGTCAGTCTCTCTTTTTTTTTTCTTTTTCCTTTTTTTAAAAAAATTTTTATTGTTGAATGTATTGCAGATGTTCCTCCTTTTTCCCCCATCAACCCCCTCATCCCCACTCCCGACCCCCTCCTACCTTTCCCCACACTGTTGTCTGTGTCCATTGGTTATGCATATAAGTTCTTTAGTTTATTTCTTCCCAACCCCAACCCCCTTCTCTCTGAGGTTTGTCAGTCTAGCAACCAATTTGTTCTTCTTAATCCCTTCACCTTTTTCACCCATTTCCCCAACCCCCCTCCCACCTGGAAAACAATAAAATGTTCTCTGTTATCTATCAGACTGTTTCTGTTCTGCCTGTTCATTTTGTTTGTAGATTCCATTGTTGATAGATATGTATTCATTGACATTTTGTTTGTTCACATATTTTATCTTTTTCTTCAAGAAGACCCTTCAACATTCTTATAATAACCGTTTGGTGATGATGAACTCCTTTAACTTTTTCTTGTCTGGGAAACTCTTTATATGGCAATTGATTCTAAACAGCTTTGCAGGATAGAGTAATCTTGGTTGTAGGTTCTTGCTTTTCATCACTCTGAATATTTTTTGCCACTCCTTTCTGGCCTGCAAAGTTTCTTTTGAGAAATCAGCTGACAGTCTTATGGGAGCTCCCTTGCAGGTAACTAACTGCCTTTCTCTTGCTGCTTTTAAGATTTTCTCTTTGTCTTGAACCTTTTGCATTTTGATGATGTGTCTTGGTGTGGGTCTCTTGGGATTCATCTTGTTTGGGACTCTCTGTGCTTCCTGGACTTGTATGTCTGTTTCCTTCACCATGTTAGGGAAGTTTTCTGCCATTATTGTTTCAAACAGGTTTTCGATTTCTTGTTCTCTCTCTTCTCCTTCTGGCACCCCCAAGATGCAAATGTTGGCATGCTTGAAGTTGTCCCACAGGCTCCTTACACTATCCTCATTTATTTTATTTTTGCTGTTCTGATTGGGTGTTTTTTGCTTCCTTATATTCCAAATCGATGATTTGTTTCTTGGCTTTACCTACTGTACTATTGAATCTGTGTAAATTATTCTTTATTTCAGTTAGCGCCTCCTTCATTTCTGACTGGTCCTTTTTTATGCTCTTGAGGCCCTCACTAAGTCCGCTGAGGTTCTCAGTAGTTTATTGAGCATCCTTATGAGCAGTATTTTGAACTCAGCATCTGTTAGGTTGCTTATCTTCATTTTGCTTAGTTCTTTTCCTGGAGATTTTTTTCTGTTCTTTCATTTGGGACCTGTTTCTTTGTCTCCTCATTTTGGCTGCCTCTCTGCGTTTGTTTCTGTGTATTACTTAACGAGAAGTATGGGGCTATCTGAGACCAGATGCTGCTTGTTTGAAAAAATTTAGGAGCCCTGGCCAGTTTGGCTCAGCGGTTAGAGCGTCAGCCTGCGGTCTGGAGAGACCCGGGTTCGGTTACCGCTAAGGGCACGACTTCGGTTGCAGTTTGTCCCCGGCCCTGGTTGGTTGTGCGGGTGGCAGCCACTCGATGTGTCCCTTCACATCGATGTTTCTCTCTCTCTCTCCCTCCCACTCTATCTGTACAAAAAATGGAAAAATATCCTCGGGTGAGGATAAAAAAAAAAGAATTTAGGAAAACTTGAAGCAGGATCCAAGACAGGCCAATCCTATGGTAAAGCAACTGTCAACAGCTTGGGTGGGCCTGAAAGGTGGGTGGGGTGGGGTGGGGCCTCAGGGAGTCACCAGGGCAGGGCTACCAGTGTGAGCCAGGTTGCTGGAGTCCCAGATATGGCGCTGCCGCCCCAAGGAAGGGCTCACCAAAGGAACAAAGGCCTGTGACAGCACGTTTGTCCCTGAGAAAGCCACCTCTCCAACCCTCGCTCCAGTGCCAAACAGCTCAGTTCTTCCCTGTATGTCTCTGGTGCCCCTAAAGCTGTCTCCCCTCCAAGCTTACAGGGAGTGAGTTCAATAAGTCCCCGCGCGGGCCCTTTAAGAGGAGCAGCCTGGGGCTCCAGCTGCCTCAGCCTCCGTGAGCCTCAGTTCCCGCTGGTTTTTCCAGCCAGAAGTTATGGGGATTCTCTTCCGGGCACTGGAACCCTGAGAGGGGGGCCTGGTGTGGGACAGGGACCCCTCAGTCCTCAGGGAGGACCTTCCCAGCCGAGGTGTCCTCCTGATTCTTATCCGCCACATGTGGGTGTGGGACCAGCCTGTCCGCCTCCGCCCCTCCTACCAGTCTCCATGTGGCTGCTGCTTTAATTCCGTAGTTGTAGGACTGCCATTCAGCTTGATTTCAGGTGGTTTTGAATGATGGTTGTTCTGTAGTTTAGTTGTAACTCTGATGTGGTTGTGGGAGGACACGATGCCACATTTACCTACCCGCCATCCTGACTGGAAGTCCCACGTCAGTCTCTTTAATGAGAAATACTGCTATTGCATTGCAATGTGATGTATGGTGTGGCTTCCTTATTTTGGCCCCTTTCAAGGCTTTCAGTCTAATTCTTCCCCACATGTAACATAAGTAACAAGCAGCACCATAATCTACCCAGGCAGCAAAACACTAACATAGTAGGTCTGGTTTGCTCAAACCCTGCAATTCCCAAAAAGGACCTGTCCCCTCAGCAATGGCCCTTGGCCAGCTCCTGTGAACTGGGCTCTGAGACCCTGGCATGCTCTGCCTAAGAAGAGTGTTTCTGTGCACCTGAAGGCTAGGAAGGAGGTGATCGCCTGTTTCTGCTCTGCAGGCTGCAGTCTGAGTAAGTGAGAGCAATCCCCTGGGCCTCGCCTGTCTGTGGCCAGCCCCAGTGACAGCCCTGCCACCGAGGCTCAGGGGAGCACCCCTGGCTGATGGTCTTGCCATGCCGCATGTCACTGCTGAGAGAACTGAGTCAGGCTGTGTGACTCCACTGGGCAAGGACGCTGGAGCCTGGTCCTGGTTCCCTTTGCAATTCCATCCTTGTGCCTTCCCTTTCGCTAATTCTAACTTGTGTCCTTTCAGTGATCAACTATGACCGTGCATGTAACAGCTCTTCTGAGTCCCACTGAACCCTGCCAGCAAGTCCTCTCATCTAAGGGTGGTCTTGGAAACTCCTAACACAGGACCAGTAACGTTATTCATGTCGCTTGATTTTCTTAAAAACAAAACACAAACAACAAAAAACAGCCTCAGACATCAAACAATTAAATATATAAACCCACAATGAGAAAATGGGCTCAGAGTCCACACAGGCGATGGCCTGATGGTGCGAGGCACGTTCTCCCTGAAGCGGAGATGCCGTCTCTGCTGGTGCTGGGTCTGCTGCCACCTGGCTGGAAGGGACCTTGGAAGTGCCACAACTTCCTGACCCAGAATATCTCCAGAATCCAGACAAGATACTGTGGTTTAAGGGTTTGCTCAGGAAGAATCAATTCAGGATGGTTTGTGAAACAAGTTAATCTTTTATAACATTATTATTCAGGATATCCATCAAATACTCAGGCATTAATATTGTTTAATAAGCTAGTCTGTGAATAAATCAGGATTCAAAAGAATCTAATCAGAATTTCTGTAGACTTATTTATAATTACAAATGACTGAATTCTACTGTATTTTTACTCCAATATTGGTTATTTAATGCAACATTTTTTCCATATCCCTGCAGTTACTTCCTAAAAATATTAGTAATTCTCCTCATTCTTTTTTTTTTTTTTTTTAATAATTTAAAAAAAATCTTCATTGGAGGATATTTTCCTATTTATCTTTGGATAGAGTGTGAGTGTGGGAGGAGAGGAATAGAGACAGAGAAACATCGATGTGACAGAGACACATTAACAGGTTGCCTCCTGCATGAGCCCAACCAGAGCTGGGGACGAACCAAAACCGAGGTAATGTGCCCTTGACCGGAATTGAACCTATGACCCTTTGGTCTACAAGCCAATGCCACTGAGCCAAACCGGCAGGGCTCCTCATTCCTTTTATAACAGTTTTCTATGAATCGGAACAGTCAATATTTCCAAAGAAAAGCATTTCTTTATAAGTAGGGAAAGATTAATGGAAAGATCAAACCCTCCCACACATTTCACTAACAGGACAAGTGATAACATGTTATTTCCTCCATCAGTATAGAAAAGTTTACTGTATCTACCTTCTCCAGCCTCAATGTCCCAGTTACTGAGTCATCACACACTCACTCCCCAGGATGCCTGCTGTCTTGGAAAAGGAGGCAGGACTGAAGGGTTTGGTCACAACCACATAACAGGCGCTCCGGCTGGGGCAGAAAGCCCCGTAAAGCCCCCCGTAATGCACAGCAGCGAACAGCTTCGCCCAGCCCGACGCAGCGACACCAGGGACAGACAGCACTTTCCAACTTTGCTGTTCTTACCTCTCTTTTTCCTTCGTTCTCGAATTATCTTTTGAGCGATTCTCCTCCAGCGGGGCAGAGAACTTAGCAGTTTAAACTTGGACATTATAGAGAGATCGTTACAAACTGCTGGTCTCAGTTCATTAAAGAGGAACCTCAAACGCTCAATAACTGGTGCGCAGACCTCCTTGTAAGAACGGCCCTGTTCCTGGTGTGTCTACAAAGTCAGAAATGACAAGACAACTTAACTACAGACCATCTGCCAAGTGTCTGCACAGTGCACAGAAAGAGGACCCTGACCTGCTCACCTTGATGAGTGAGCACTTGGCCTGGTAGACGACCCGACAAACGTCCACCACTGACTTGGGCAGCGCTCTGTGCTTCGCCTGCTCGATGCTGAGTGTGCCAGTATGAGCCAAAGACAAAGCCACGTGCCCTGGAAGAGACATTCACAAAGGGGCAGGTAGGAATGGCTGTGGACTGCATGGCAGTCAGAGATCTGAGGACGGCTCAAGTGTCAAGCTTCATACCTAAATCTTCATGTTTCAACAGGCAACATAACAGCAAGCGGCCCACCTCTTCCACGGGGTGCTCAGGAGGGAGCGCGATCGGCGTGGTCAAGTGGCACTGCCGACAGCACCTTTCTATCTGACACAGGAAGTCCTGCAACAGAGCAGTGGAGGTGACTCCCGAGCCACCGCAGCTGCCCAGCTCTGAACCATATGCCACAGCCTCCTGTGCGCCTGCTTGGCCTCGCTGGGCATGAAGGCGAACCACCCCCTCACCTCCACAACAGCCCCCAAGTCACACCTAAACCAAGTCCACTGAGCTCAGCAAAGAGCAGGAGGGTATGCACGGGTCAGAGTCCCAAGAAACACAGGACACTGCGTGGGGGAGCCTCGCTCACCTTCACGTTGTGGTCCTGGACGTTATTGTCAGCCAGGGCTTGCAGGAATGCCTGGGAATGGTCGCCTAGGGCGCATTTGTGGGCGCAAAGGCGGGACTTGCTGGCCGGGGTGCCCCCGGGGGAGCTGCAGTGGTCCTCGTCTTTCTCCTCATTGTAGCTGTAGTGGATCTGGCTGGTCTGCAGGCCTCCGGAGAAAATGGACGAGTGCAACCACTCTGGAGAAAGACACACAGTGTTCTGACAAGCTGAATGCATTGTGCAGAAACCTGACAGGCGCGAGCCGCAGAGCTCAGCACCGACTCAGCTGGGGGTTCAGCATCATCTGTACGAAAGGGCCACTGACACAGCTGCACAGAGGGCCTGTCATTCCCACAGGCACCGTCCATCACGCCTGGCTCACAGCGGCTGCCGACACTGTGTTTCCACCACCACCGGAGCAAGACCCTCCACCAGCAGATGACAACCCACTGGAGGTTCAGTTAGCATTTTTTAACAATAAAGTATTTTTAAACAAAGTTATGTACACTGTTTTACACATAATGCTATTGTACACTTAATAGACTATAGTATGCTTTAACAAAAAACTTTATATGCACTGGGAAACCAAAAAAATTTGTATGACTCACTTTATTGTGATATTTGCTTTATTGTGGTGGTCTGCAACCAAACTGACAATATCTCTGAGGTGTGCATGTATCTACACAAAATGGGACACTTTCTGGTTATTCAACACACCTTCAGCACAGCGCCAGGACTCCGTGCAGCAGTCCGGGCTCACGTTCACTGGGTGCCTGCTCAGGCCTGGGCTGTCTGGAGCCACAGGGCCACGTGGAGACTGGGCTCCGGGCTCTAGCACACAGGGCAGGGCGAGGCAGCACCTACAAGCAACCACTCAGCTACAACTGGGCGAGTGACGCGTGCAGGGGTATGAGCACGTGCAGGGGTACGAGCATGTGCAGCAGCAGGCCCTCCACAGCTGGAGGATCAGTGAGGACCTGCTGTGGGAGTGGCGATGGAGCTGAGATCTGGATGGAGACAAACACACTGAGTCCGGGTAGGAGGACAGCAAGTGTGCAGGGTTCCAGAAAGGAAAGCATGCCCAGGATGGGCCGTGTCCACCTAGAGCATCAATCCCATAGTAACAACGAGAGACCACAGAGCATACAACACAGGACCTTCGTAAGGGGCAGATCCCGGGAGACTGAGACCCAAACAACTGCAGCGGAGACCTGTGTGAGGCACAGGCCCTCCATCACTGCAGGCGGGGCTGCTCCAGACAAAACCAGACGGTACATCACTGCAGACTTTTCTCAATGACCGTGTTATCAGAATATTCCTCCACAGCCCAAGCAATCAAATCCTAGATGCACCCAATGTCCTCTTGCTAGAAACGTAGACTTTAGAGCCTTCTCTAAAACGCCCCCTTACTTCTGCAACACGAATCTAATCTTGACCTTCCCTAGCCAATCTCCATTCAGAACCCCTACTCTCTCTCAAACTACTACTCTGCTGGTGGCTTCTGTCACCCTAGAGTGGCTCAGCCCAGCCCACTGGGGACCACAGCACATCTGCTGACACTTCCCAGTCCTGCCCTCCTTGCTCATCTTCCTGGAGAGCTACGTGTCTTTGAGGAAGAGGACGCGTCCACCGAGGGGCTCCGCAGGCAGCAGGGTGCCAGCACGTGCACCAAGGGTCTGCTCCGAAGGGCAGGCTGACGGCCACAGCCACCTCGCCTGAGGCCCTGCCTCTCTCAGCAGTGCCCTTACGGGCCCGGGTTCTGCCCAGATGCTCAGACACCAGTGTGCTTGGTCTTCAATCTCATAATTGCTTTGCTGCTACGAAGCCTTTCTTTTCCCCAGAACTACTTACAACTCTCTCAATTGACCCACTACCCCGTGCATCCTGAAGTGCTTGTCATGTCTGCTCATTAATGCACAACTATGATACCCTGCCCTGGCCGGTTTGGCTCAGCGGTTAGAGCGTCGGCCTGCGGTCCTGAGAGACCCGGGTTCGGTTCCCGCTAAGGGCATGTACCTCGGTTGCAGTTTGTCCCCGGCCCTGGTCGGTTGTGCGGGTGGCAGCCACTCAATGTGTCCCTTTCACATCGATGTTTCTCTCTCTCTCTCTGTTCCTCTCTCCCTCCCACTCTACCTGGGCAGAAAATGGAAAAATGTCCTCGGGTGAGGATAAAAAAAAAAAAAAAGAAAAAAAACTATGATACCCTGAGAGTCTAACACACAAGTGCAGATGACCCTTGAACAGTATGCGTGGGTCCACCACCCAGGCTTTTCCCCCAGTGACCCACAATGTTCAAGGATGAACTGTTGGTTTGGAATCTGCACACACAAAGGGCCGACTTAAGTTATACACAGGTTTCAACTGCGTGGGCATTCAGCACCTCTAACCCCTGCATTGTTCGAGGGTCAACTGTAATGACTCAGTAATGCTTGTTGGATGGTCGGTGGACAGACGGATGAAGAAATGTGCAGATACATGAAGAAAAACTTCAGCCTGCCTTATAAGATGCATGGTGGCGTTATTACTTTAGGTGATTACAAAGGCTGCCATCACAAGGTATATTGGATTTGAGTCTGATTGGAACACATCCTCAAACAGAATGCTATTCCCAATAGGAGCAGCCAACCCACCCCACGTGGATGTCTGGGCACTCAGGGAGGTGGCCACTAAGGTAGCCACCCGTGAGGGAGACCACACCTAGGATCCACCTGCCTTCGCTTGTCAGCGCCCTCCACTGCCAGAGACTGACAGCAGGTGGACAGACTGACAGCAGGCGGACAGAGACTGAAAGCAGGTGGACAGACCGACAGCAGGCGGACAGACTGACAGCAGGTGGACAGAGACTGACAGCAGGCGGATGCCCGACAGCATTTTCAACAGCGGGTTTACTCTCACTGCTTGTCGTTCCTCCCCCGACTCTGCCCACCGCCCCTGCACCCCAATGGCACATACGCTGTGCCATCAGCAACTAACACAACCTGCCCACCGCCCCTGCGCCCCAATGGCACATACGCTGTGCCATCAGCAACTAACACAACCTGCCCACCGCCCCTGCACCCCAATGGCACATACGCTGTGCCATCAGCAACTAACACAACCTGCCCACCGCCCCTGCGCCCCAATGGCACATACCTGTGCCATCAGCAACTAACACAACCTGCCCACCGCCCCTGCGCCCCAATGGCACATACGCTGTGCCATCAGCAGCTAACGACCTGCCGATCTGTACTGGAAAATGAGACGTTTCTTACTGGTGCATTCGACTTCAACGGGCGACAGCGGGGTGCTTATGGCTAAATAGGAAGCATGTAATCCGAGAAGCAGTCCCAGGTTCCTCTCTGTGTCTATCAGCGGTGAAGACAAACTTCCCAGGTCTGGGATGGTAACGATTTCTTGGTCAGGCTAGGGAAGATAAATTTCATCATCAGTCTGAGAAAACAGGGTTGACTCAAAATAGAAAACCAAGAAGCACACTAGCTTCTACCCTTAACTCAGGCATACGGCCATGAGGAAGAAAGTATTGCTGTAAGTCGGTCAGCCATGACCACCCATCTGGAATAAATAAATGTATTCAAATGGGAAAGGCAGAATTCAAATGAAAATAGTCTTAAAACTGTGTGTCACATTAGACAATTTACAGCAAAGTCCAGTCCGTTCAGGAAATGCTTTAAGCCCGGGGCACTGGATGCCCCTCACTACACCTGGACCCGTTCGTGCAGGACCCTCAGCTCACAAGCTCCATTGCTCATGGGTGTGTAGAAAGGACATACATTTCTATTCCAAAGAATTATGCTACTAGACAGTTCTTCCCCCAAAATATGGTAAGCTATTAAACTCAAGATTATAAGCCATTCCAAATTTCCACATAAGCTTACAATAAAATTGTAAATATCAAAGGTTAACCTCTGTGTGTGTCTACATTTCTTACAAATTAACTATTTTAAAAGTAATGTTTTAAGAGCAGTACGTCATAAATCTTAACATCCATAAATGGAAATTTAAATATCAAAAAGCCTCTAAAGAATCTACATGTTGCCCTGGCCGGTTTGGCTCAGCAGTTAGAGCAGCAGTTCTCAACCTGTGGGTTGTGACCCCTTTGGGGGTTAAATGACCCTTTCACAGGGGTCGCCTAAGACCATTGGAAAACACATATTTCCGATGGTGATTCATAACAGTAGCAAAATTACAGTTATGAAGTAGCAACAAAGATAATCTTATGGTTGGGGGGTCACCACAACGTGAGGAACTGTATTAAAGGGTTGCGGCATTAGGAAGGTTGAGAACCACTGGGTTAGAGCGTCGGCCCATGGACCAGAGAGTCCTGGGTTTGGTTCCCACTTGTCCCCAGCCCTGGATGGGGTTGTATGGAGAGCAACCAGTCAATGTGTCTCTCTCACATCAATGTTTCTCTCTCTCCCTCCCGCTCTATCTGAAGATAAATGCAAAAATGTCCTTGGGTGAGGATGAAAAAGAAAGAATCTACATGTTTACCACATAATGACCCCCCCCGCTCCCCCCCAAAGACCCGGCTCTCCACAGGGTGAAGCCGCCCAGCACCGGCACAGGGGCCCTGGCACCGCCCACGTGGCACTCCCACAGCCTCACCTCCAGGTACTGGCCAACACAGAAGGCCTGCATCGCCTCCCGAGTGTCTTCGAACTGCAGAGCTGCTTCGAGGGCCACCACTGGGTCTTCCCCAGCAAACTGAGCTGAAACAAAATAATAGATCAGCCTGACTCCAGCAACTGTCCAGACCTCCACATGGAGACGGCAATAGGAGTAGACTTGACAGGTCAGTGACTGCTCACCCTCTCCCAGGGCTGCCTGGGCCAGCTCAGAACTTGGCCACGTTCCAATGAGTGGGAACAAAAGGCATGATGATGAGAAATTTTTCCAATGTGCCTGGCTCCCTGATAGGACTGGCCCCAAAGTCACAGTCAGAACGTGGGGGGGCAGGAACACCACCAAGTCTGTCGAGGCGGAGCCTAAGCTTTCCCTCCATGCTCACGGGCATCACTGCAACGTCCACATGATCCTAAGCAACCTACAGGCTCAGTGATGTGCTTCACAGAACCAGAACAAATACTCCAAAAATTTCTATGGAACCACAAAAGACCCCAAATAGCCTCAGTAATCTTGAGAAAGCAGAAAAAAGTTGGAGGTAGCACACCACCTGATATTAAACTGCACTGCAGGCCACAGTGATCACAACAGCACAGCACTGGCACAAACACAGACATAAAGATTAATGGGATAGGGAGAGAGTCCAGAAATAAACCCACACTTCTATGGTAAATTAATATCTGAGAAAGAGGGTAAGAACAAACAATGGGAAAAAGACAGTCCCTTCTATTAATGGTGTTGAGAAAATTAAAGAAATACAAGCAAAAAGAAAATCAAACGAGATCACCTCCTTACACCATACACAAAAATAAACACAAAATGGATTAAAGGCTTAAATGTAAGACTTAAAACCATAAAAATCCTAGAAGAAATCACAGACAGTGCTTGGCCAGTGTGCCTCAGTGGCTCAGCGTTGACCCGCGTACTAAGAGGTTGACAGTTTGATTCCCAGTCAGGGCACATGCCCAGGTTGTGGGCCCAATCCCCAATGGGGGGCATGCAGGAGGCAGCCACTCAATGCTTTCTCCCATCAATGTTTCTATCCCTCTCTCCCTCCCTCTCTAAAATCTATAAAGAAAAAAAAAAAAATCATACGCAGTAAAATCTTGAACCTTTCTCATAGCAGTATTTTTTCTGATATATATTCTCGGGCAAGGGAAACAAAATTAAAAATAAAGAAATAGGATTACATCAAATTAAAAAGCTTCTGCACAACAAAAGAAACCATCAATAAAATTAAAAGAAAACCCATTGTATGGGAGAACATATTTGCCCATGATACAGCTGATGGGAATTACTATCCAAAATTTATAAAAAACTTATATAACTCAACACTAGAAAAACAATCCAATTTAAAAATGGGCAAAGGACCTAAATAGACACTTCTCCAAAGAGGACATACAGATGGCCAACAGACATGAAAAGATGCTCAATGTCACCAGAGAGATGCAAATTAAAACCACAATGAAAAATCACCTCACACATGTCAGAATGGCTATCATCAATAAATCAACAAACAAGTACAGGCGAGGATGTGGAGAAAAGGGAACCCTAGTGCACTGTTGGTGGGAAGGTAGACTGGGGCAGCCACTGTAGAAAATAGTATGAAGTTCCTCAAAAAATCAAAAATGGGTCCTGGCCGGTTTGGCTCAGCAGTTAGAGCATCGGCCTGCAGTCCAGAGAGACCCGGGTTCGGTTCCCGCTAAGGGCACGTACCTCGGTTGCAGTTTGTCCCCGGTCCTGGTTGGTCATGCGAGTGGCAGCCACTTGATGTGTCTCTTTCACATCAATGTTTCTCTCTCTCCCTCTCTTCCTCTCTTTCCCTCCCACTCTATCTGAACAAAAAAAAAAAAAATGGAAAAATGTCCTCGGGTGAGGAAAAACAAACAAACAAACAAAAGAAACCAAAAGTGGAACAGCTTATGACACAGCAATCCTACTCCTAGGAATTTATCCAAAGAAACCAGAAACACTGACTTGAAAGAATATACGCACCCCTATGTCACTGCAGCGTTATTTATAACAGCCAAAATTTGGAAGCTGCCCAAGTAGATGAGTGGGTAAAAAAGCTGTGGTACATGTACACGGTGGAACACTACTCGGCCACATTCCTAGATGGACCTGGAGAGTATTACGCTAAGTGAAATAAGCCAGTCAGAGACTTTATTTACATGAGGACTCTAAAGAAAATAAAAAACAAACTAGAAACAGACTCATAAATACAGAAAACAGACTGATATCTGTCAGTCAGGATATATACCAGACTGACAGGGGTGAGGGTTGGATGGCTGGGTGAAAAGGTCAAGGGATTCAGCAAAAACTAAAAATCTCAGACACAGACCATTCTTCTATCTCCCCTAAACCCAGAGGGAAAGGGGAAGTGGGGAGGTAGAAGAGGGTAAAGAGAAGATAAATGATGATAGAAGAACAACTAACTGACTTGGGTTGGTGAACACAGTACAATATACAGATGATATATTATAGGATTGTATACTTGAATATAATTTTATAAACCAATGTAACCTTAATAAATTCGATTAAAAATATATAAAACAGAAAAAGCCTAATGCTTTGCTTAAAATGACACATGGTGTAAAGCTGAGGCCTTACCGAGAACACTGCTTCCTGTCAGGGACTGAGTCTGGAAGTCCTTTATATCATATACCCTCCCATCGATCACCGTCCAGAAGCCTCCATCCTTGTTGTGGTTTTCCAAGTCAGCTTTGCGTATAAGGGTCACCTCCTCATTGTTTCTACAGTTCTGACCTGTAAAAAATGACTCTGTATATACAGAAATCATGATCAATAAATCAATAGATCAACAGGTACAACGACTAGGTACAGCTGACGATGGACACTGCATCTCACTACCGTCAGGTCACACTGATGGTTCAGAAAGTCACCCCCATCTATGTCTGCCTCCAAAGCCGCATGGATCTAACCACCTAACAGTACCTTCTGGAGACACCCAAGAAAGTGTTTCTCAGAACTTCTTAAAATAATTCATGTCAGGATGTAACAAACCCTGACTAACAGAAAAGGCTCCCTTAAATATAACCCAGATCTCTTCTGACTTAGTTTATCTCCAATTTGCTGGTATCACGTCTCCATTTCCACTCATGCTACCAGCAAACTGGCAGACGAGAGGTCTTCCTGGTCAAACATTCTTTCCAATGGAGAGGCAAGACTAGATGAGACTAGAACAAAACTTGCTCAGAAAAGTCTTTTAAGCGAAGACGCCATACCCATGATGCCGGGCCAGGCTAACTCTTCCTGGTCGTCTCTCTCCTTGCCTGGCGCCAGGTGGTTGAAGCGGTCCAGGTGTTCTAGCAGCCCTCCCAGCAGAGGGACAGCACCAGCCTCCTGCATGAGAGCAGCATCTTTACTGAGCAGTAGGATGATGGAAACCACTAGTTCTGGAAGGAGCACACCTATGGTTGAAAGAAAAAAAATAATAAAGTATTAAGATTTAGCCCAGCCAGTATGGCTCAGTGGTTAAGCATCAACCTATGGCCAAGAGGCTGCCAGTTTGAGTCCCAGCTGGGGCACATGTCCGGGTTGCAGGCTTGATCCCCTTTGGGGGTGTGCAGGAGGCAGCCAATCAGTATGTCTCTCTCCCTTTTCCTCACTCTAAAAATCAATAAAAACATATTTAAAATAAGATTTAAAGAGTCCTGGCTGGTTTGGCTCAGCGGTTAGAGCATTGGCCTGAGGTCCAGAGAGACCTGGGTTCGGTTCCCGCTAAGGGCATGTACCTTGATTGCAGTTTTGTCACCAGCCCCGGTTGGGGTCGTGCGGGTGGCAGCCACTCCATGTGTCTCTCTCACATCGATGTTTCTCTCTGTCTTCCTCCCTCTCTCCCTCCTGCTCTATCTAGAGATAAATGCAAAAAAATGTCCTCGGGAGAGGATAAAAACAAAAAACAAAACAAATAAAGAAAAGCCTTTATCCTATAAAACCAGTTTATAAGCCTTCTCTATGTTTAAATTCTGATAAACCACAAAATAAGGAATGCTTATCCTTAGTATATTTCTATGAGATTACTTTATCTTACATTTTGAAAGAGACAGATACAGGTGTCAAGCAGAATGAGTTACAAGAACATGTTTCAAAACTACCGTGTTTCAATACAGAAGTATTAACTAGAATCTTTTATTCAGAAAGAGTTTACAATTAATTTACTATCAGAAAAAAACACTCAATAATAATGACTTTATGTCACAGAATTAATGTGAAAAAATATGAAGCAATATTGGAATTTATTAAGGTCCTAAAAGGGGCAACTCATTTTTATGCTGCTGAAATATCAGACAATCACCATGGACCTCACTCCTGAAGGGTCAGTAATGGGTACTACTCAAAGCCACGAATCATATCCACAGTGACCTAACTCTGTACCAGGCTGCTGAGCAGCCACAGGAACAAAGCGAAGGGCCACAGGACTGGGAAACATCTGGGCCAAGACAAGCAGGTTACTAGGAAACGACACATCTGAGCGCTCGTCAGGCTGAGAACAAACACGCCCGCAGGCAGGAGACAGGAAGGTACCAGTGAAATCCCCCTCCACGATGCAGGCCACCTCCGCAAAGTGCCGCCAGCTGGTGGATGCGACGCTGGCAGCCACCGGCAGGATGTCTCCAATGTGTGTGCACAGAAGGGCCGTGTACTTCTTCAGCAGGGACCCCACGCCCATGAGCTCAGGACCTAGAAGAAAGAGGTAGGAAACTGCATTTTTCACTATTGAAATTTATTTTGTTAATAAAGTGAAATGCTTCACCCTTGCACCATCATCTATGTATCTTTCCTACAATAAGTTCCTCAAATAGGAACTCTTCTCCTTTAGTCCCCGGAGCTTTTTACGTCACAGTTTAGAAAACACTGCATTTGGCAGGCCAACTTTCAGACACTGTCCTACATAACTCCTAAGAACTCTCGGTGTATAAACACTGAAGTCATAACTTGGGGTTTTAAAGTCTTACATTCTATACACAAACGTTTCTAAGTCAAGTCTTAATGCTTGTAAATTATTCCCAATGAACAAAATTAGGCATCCTCTGATCTCACGAAATCTTCAAGTTTCCTTCCTCCATGGCTCCTACTAGCTTTTCAGTCCTTGTGACTTTGTCTTTGAGATGCCACCTCTTTGACTTCACAATCACCTATCTCATCTGAAATCCTCCCCATCTACAAGTGCTTTGCTCTTCGCAGAAGTGACTAGGTCGTCTCAGAACACACTGACAGGGCAGCAGAGCTCACCACCCGATAGGAAGCGACCTTGTGGAGAGAGAGCCCCCGAAGCTTCCACGTCACGTGCAAAGCTGAGCACGCACATATCATCCTATTTCAAACCTCACAGGCACCTTCAAGTATTACCCCAATTCTTGGGGAGAGGGGGGCACAACTGACAGCCCCCAGCAGACCTAGCCCCAGGTCCAGCGTGAATAAACCAGAGCTACAACTGCGACCCAGTCTGCCCAGCAGGACTCACCCTCCCACTGCACCCTGGTGGCTCCCACTGGGACAGATGCGTATGACGGCACAACTCTGTGCCCCACTGTACCAGTCTCCAGTGGTCCATCACTGACACGTGGGGCAAGTCTGATCAGTCATCTGTCAGACTAACCTGAGCATAAAGGATGCTATTCCTGACGTCTGAGAGTTTAAAGGTTAAGACAAGGAAAAAAGGTATCAATGAATCTAACAGAAATGTTTATCCAGAAAGAAAAAAGCAGATGCAAAGAAAGCCCCCAAATCTCTGCCATTTACACAGTGCATGAAACACACACCTGCACATGCAGAACAGGTACACTGAAGAGCCTGAACACACACCTGCATGTGCAGAACGGGCACATCGAAGAGCCTGAACACACACGGACACGGACATTTTAAGTAACTTACTAGGAATGTCTGTGGCCTGACCAATGCTTCCTCCTGGATAAAGTTTGCTGATAAGTAAGCGCTGAAAACGTAGCAGCAGATCCAAGGAAGCAGATCGGTCTCGACTATGCTGCTCCAAGTCCAGACAGGATGAAATGCGACGGGCAACATCTTTCAACCGGGCCACTGTCTGAGAAGCAATGTTTCTACGTACAGGAAAGAGGATTGCAATATTAACCAAGTTACGTATGTTTAAAAAGCAAAGGTGTTTAAAAATGTCACGACAGCCCGGCTGGTGTAGCTCAGTGGTTGAGCGTCCACCCATGCACCAAGAGATCACCAGTTTGATTCCTGGTCAGGGCACATGCCCAGGTTGTGGGCCCGATCCCCAGTAGGAGGCATACAAGAGGTGGCCAGTCGATGTTCTCTCTCATCAATGTTTCTTTCTCTCTCTCCCAAATCAATAAAGGGGGGAAAAAAAGGACAAATAAAATCAGAGACAGCCTGGCCTGCACTGCTCACTTCCCCAGCGTCAGGTGCGCCTGTGACAGCACCACCTGTCAGTGAGCAGAAGAGCAGAGAAGACGCCGTCTGCTTTACAAGCATGCTCCAGAGGTCTGTGTGGAGTGGTCCAACGTGACAGAAAAGGCCTATACAAACGTTGGGAAGGAAAAAGGTGTCATTTTTTTTTAAAAAGTTGCATTTCTAATATAAACAGGACCATTCCTGAGGAAAAGAATCCCTCACATCTCTGCATCTGCTTCCCAAGTCTGCCTTCAGACCTTGGAGAAGCACCCAGGGGGTCAAGGGGATCCCAGGGCTCGGAGAGCATCAAGGAAGACCATGTCGGTATAAGTGGACCGGGTCAGGGCAATGGTGTTGGAAGGGCACGGCAGCAAGGGAGGAGCAGAGGCTCCGATCCCGACTTGAGCCAAGAACCAACCATGAGCGGGTACAGAGGACAGCGAGCACGTCTCCAGAGGGCCCCGCAGTGCCGTGGGAAGGTGCTGGTTCCTGAGCAGAACGCAAAGCACAAGCGCAGGCAGTGTCTCCTGCCCTTGGACAGCAGAGGTATCCAAGATCTCAATGCAATGTCAACCACATAGAGTTTCCAGAGCATCAGATGACATCACCAGAGATATTTAAACTGCAGGTAAAGAGAATCTGTCCAACTGTCACTGCCTGCTTTCATTCCAGCCAAAGAAACTTGAAGCCTTTTTGAGTGACAGTCTTATAGACTCAGAAACTGATTTATGATTTGCTGTGGTCATTAACCTTTGTTTTTAATTGTTTTCATAAGCATGCTCCTTACTCCATACCTGACTGCTTATTTACACAGTGTAGGCCCCACTTTAGATGCCCATCTGCACACCCACCTCCTGAGGTGAGACTCAACAATTTAACTAAATTGACTTATTTTCGGGGCTAAATAAGTCAAGGAAATATAAAAGAGCCTACTAACTCTGCATCTGCAGAGACACAACAATCCACGCCGAGATGCTGATGCCCATTTTCTCAGTGGCCCTTAACCAGCAAGCTCAAGCACAGCTCTCGGGATCGCTCTCGCAGGCACAGGCTGCGCTGCGACACACCTGCCAACCCACACAAGCGGTCACCACTGGAGCTTCTGGCAACAAATCCCAAACTTCCCACCACCACCGAGTTAGTTCACGTGACTTCAATTTGTTATAATGAAGATCACAACGTGTGAAATGATCAAAGGAAACATCAGATTAGAAAAACTAAAAAAATAAAAATAAAGAGAAAGTTTTCAAATGAGCACTCACTAAAACCCATGTAAGAAACTCGCTCTAAAACTCCCTCTTAAGATTTCACTGTGTGCCCAGGGTCTTCTGCTTTTCCGGGTGTGGAGAGCGAGCTGCCCCATGCGGTCCCCGGCCGCCACTCTGGACACCAATGCAGAGGCTCCTGGTCCCTGGACATGGCTGCCTGAGCCCACCCTGCAGGCCTCTCCACCCTGTGTGCAGACAGCCAACCAGGAGGAAGTGTGCGCAGAGCAGAGGCTGTGAACAAGTAGGCAGTGCAGGGGCCTTTCTGAAACCGCCTCCCTCCCCCTGTGGATGCCCTGGGACGCCAGCATGTTGCCAGTGAGCAGGCTTAGAACACCCCAGCTGTGTCAATGCTCACCTGTTGGTGTTCTGACTCTGCCCAAGCGTCACCTCCACCTGATCAAGCCTTCAAAAATAATGCTCACCATTCTTTTATTTACGTTAACTTTGTTTTTTTTTTATCCTCACCCAAGGACATTTTTGCACTTATCTCCAGACAGAGTGGGAGGGACAGAGAGAGAGAAGCATCGACATGAGAGAAACACATTGACTGGCTGCCACCCACACGACCCCAACCGGAACCAGGGACAAACTGCAACTGAGGTGCATGCCCTTAGCAGGAACTGAACCTGGGACTCTCTGGTCCGCGGGCCGACACTCTAACTGCTGAGCCAGACAGGCCAGGGCTATTTACATCAACTTTGAAATTCAAAGTTGTCTTACAAAGGAACACACATAAATCTATGACATACAGAATGAAGCAATGATACAAACAGTATTTTAAAAAGTAACCTTACCACGATGACTTCCATTGGCACCTGCCTGCTTAGTAATGAGGGTAAGAGTGTTCTCCTAAGTTCACTGTACAATCCAATCTGCTCTTGTGTGAACACTTTTAGAATCTCCAGCTCTGCCTCACACAACCTCCAACCTGTCTTCTCATCTGTACTTAAGAATCTGCTCTGTAAACTAAAACTTATGCAAGGTCATTTTCGAAATATCTCCTCTATAGCCAAACACATTTTTGAGACCCTAGTTCTAATCTCATGATCTTAGCATGAAAACCAATAATCCTGTCAAAAATATCTAATACTATTTACCTAAGAAGCTGCTGTATGAGCTGAACCAGAGGCAAACACTGTTTTCCAGAAGATTCATAGATCCCTGTATTAATAATATCTTTATCCAATGGAGTCCTACTTCTGTGAAATGTTGAAGCATTTGCTTCCTGTTCATCAATTTCTTTTTCCTTCTGTGCTTCTTTTTTGGCTTCAATATCCTGTAATTCATAAAACAGAAGCTGGTTACCGGTTATCTTAGAAACAGGTACACAGAGAATGGTGGTCACTACATTATCACATACATGATTTCTTCTAACTTTCCACGTTAACTCAACGTATTTCGGTAGGTTTTCACAGACATTTTAAAATATACTTACTTCATCTAATTTTGTCAATATAAATTCTTGAATCAAAAACAATAAAAGCAATAAAAAAAGCTCTAAATGGCCAGTAAGCACATGCAAATGCAAATCAAAACCACACCCCCTCAAATAGCTCAAGTGAGAAAGGTTGCCAGGCCTTGTGTCCACCGAGGTCAAGAAAGAGACAGAACTCTCACAAAGGCTGGCTCGAAACGTAAATGGCACAGCCATTTTGGAAAACTGGCAACACACCATCACCGAGGACCCAGACAATTCTATGTCAAAGTATTTACTAAAGAGAAAAAAAAATGTGTGTTCACTAAGGACTTGTCTACAATACGGTCAAAGCAGCTTTACAAAGTCAAGAGAGATCGCATGTCTGTGAGCAGGGACAGACGACTGTGCCGCCCTCACACGGGGGGCCTGGCAGGGAGAACGAAGGTGCGGCGCCCGCAGCAGAGACGCAGAGCCGTTAGGGCAAAGCAGAGCAGACACACAAGCACGGGCTCTCTGCCTCCATTCGTGTGGCACCAGAACCGGCAAACAGGAAGCCCGAGGGCGGAAGCGGTGTGTCCTACTCTGAGTGCAAAGAGGCACAGGGTACCTTCTAGGGCGACGGAAGTGATCTGTACCATGATCGAGGCATCTGTCAAAATTCTAATAAACACTTAAGGAGGGTGCATCTCATCATACTTAATGCCTCAATAAATGTTTTGCACTAGTAAGAGAGAAGACTTGTAATTACAGAAAATATTTGGAAGTTACTAGAAGTTTTGATTCAGTGTTTCAATAGTTTTGGCAAAAGGTGGTCTGCTGTTTCTTCAAAAGCAGGAGCAGGTGCTTCAACTTCATCTCACCACCAGGGAAACGGCCTCCATGGCTTGCACACACTCCTAGGGCCATACCTGGATTTCTGCAGCGACTGCTGCATTTAAGGCCGACTCTAAGCCTCCATCAGCCATCAAGCTGCCCACCAGAAGATCAATCATGAAGCGACGGCCGGGACTTACGTTAACGTCATTGCCTGAAACTGGAAAAGGGAAAGAGTTTCGCCAATGTGAGCTAATGCACTCCCCTCCTGGCAGCCTTTCCTTCTCGCCCAAACCCTGCCCCTGCCCAACCCACCTGCACAGGGCAGGAGAGCAGAGAGCGCCCGGGCCCGTTCCTCCGCGGTGGGCAGCAGCACAGACCACCCGCTTTGCAGCACGGCCTGGGCAGCCGCCTGCACAGTGCCCAGCACGCCCGCACTGCTGGCCAGGGCCACCACGGTCTGCTTCAGGCTGTTGAGGAGGCCACTGCCCAGACCTAACCCAAGCAACTCTGGGTCGACCTGGTGACTGATGGCAGCGTGCAACTGCAATGACAAAGGCAACCTTCACTTAGCAGCCCTAGAACAAGTACATGTCCAGTCTTATTAAAAAATACACAATACCTTTATCGAGTTTTATTCAAATTAATACAGGAAAATTTCTGGCATATGTATTTTTAAAACTAGACTAAAAACATTTTACCCATAGTGGTTGGGAATCCACAGTAAGGTATTTTACAAGAGGAATTTAAAAAGCCCAACTATAAATACTTATATGGAAATACTATATACTCAAGATAAACCATATGGAAAGAGCAACCTTTACCCACCCCAACCATTTGCAACAAACACAGAGGAACAGTGAATATAATGTAACCAAGAAACTGTTAAAGATGACATAGCCAAACTGAGAATATACAAGGGCCACACCAGAACTCCTGCAGACACACACAGCAGGGACCAAGAGGTTCTGGACTCTGAAAGCAGAGCAAAGCCTCAGGTTTGAGACCCAAACTGCCCGCTATGGCTGAACCCGAGTTTCCTGCAGAAGGCTAGGAGCTGCTCAAGATCACCCACCTGCCAGCTAGCCAGGGCCTGAGGGCAACACACTACCCACACAAGGTTTTGGGTAAAAAAAGACCCCACAAAATATCAGAGACCCTTTCCCTAGCTGGTGTGGCTCAGTTGGGCATTGTCCCATGCAATAAAGTGAACTTCAATTAAAAAAAAGAAAGAAAAAGATGCCCTGGACGGTTTGGCTCAGTGGTGACAGTGTCAGCCTGCAGACTAGGGAGCCCCAGGTTTGATTCTGGTCGAGGGCACATACCTCGGTTGTGGTTTGTCCCCAACCCCAGTTGGGGTTGTGTGGGTGGCAACCAATCGATGTTTCTCTCTCTCTCCCCCTCCCACTCTGTCTGAAGATAAATGTAAATAAAGATATCCTCGGGTGAGGATTAAAAACAAATGAAAAAATTAAAAAGTTAAAAAAAAAAAGGAAATTTGACAAAAAATAAAAATATGGTGCCCAACTTTCCATAAAATGTATAATGTAATTATCTTCTGATGGGAGGAGTTAAAGGACATTCTAGCCTAGGAATACTGTTAAATGACCTTAAACTATCAAAGGGGTGGAAAATGTATACCCAGAGGTATCGCAGTGAGAAGACATTTGTGGGACTTGGTTTTCAGTTAATTTATGTGTAGTATCTGAAGGAGAGACACACATAGTGCATTGCAAATAACTTATTTTTACCTGATACAGTAACGGTTTTTTTTTTAAATGAAGAGTACTAGATTTATTTATTTATTTTTTATTTTTTTATCCTCACCCAAGGACATTTTTTGATTTTCTGTACAGATAGAGTGGGAGGGAGAGAGAGGAAGAGAGAGGGAGAGAGAGAAACATCGACGTGAAAGGGACACATCGAGTGGCTGCCACCCGCACGACCAGCCAGGGCCAGGAACAAACTGTAACCGAAGTACATGCCCTTAGTGGGAACCAAACCTGGGTCTCTCTGGACCACAGGCTGACGGTCTAACCGCTGAGTCAAACCGGCCAGGGCTGAAGAGTACTAGATTTAAAAGAAATTTAACAAAAACATATATCTCAGAGTACGTGAAAATCATAACCTCAAATTGTAAATACAAAAACAAATCCTAACCTAAACATAATGTATTAAAATTACAAGACAAGACAGAAAAATCTGAAAGGCTCCCAGAGAAAGACAAATACATTAGTTACAAAGAAAACTGCACCATGTCTCACTGGCAACAATAAAGGTCAGAAGACAACAGAACATCTGAGAGCTGAAAAAGTAACAGGAAACCAAAAAAACTAAGCCCCATTAACTTCTCTAAAGGGAAACTGAAGCAGAATTTTCACACTTTATAACTCACAGACCTTGATGAAGAAACTTACTCAAGGAGGTACCCAGGAGGGACAGGATGTAACAAAATAACAAAGCAAATTGGATAAAAAAATATATATATTTACATGTGGACTCTTAAAAATTTATAATTATGATAATAATTAATTAGAGGAAAGTTTAAAAGTAATTGCTATATTTCACCAATCTCTAAAAGGCATTTTTTAAATGTTTAACATCTCTGTCAGAAGGAGGGGGTCAATGGGGAGAAAAGGGGATATCTGTATAAATTTCAGTAATAAAAATACATACATACATAAATAAATAAATAAATACATGTCTTAACATCTCTAAAATCAGATTATATCTTACACATTCCAATTGGGAACATTTTCTTTTAGCGTCTCTCACACACCCCCCCCCTAGTGTTTGATTAAATTACCACTTTGTGACATTAAAAAATATTTAATTTTTCCGTAACATGACTAACGTCTACAAATCAAACTTTAAAACTCAGTAACAATGAGAGGGATTTAAAAAGAAAAAAAATTTATAAACTTGATCAATAGAGAAACAGTAAAATGAAGAGCAAACTTACACAAACACTAATCAGGAGATCTAAAATGAAATACATTAGTAACAATAATAGTAAAAGAATTAAATTCATCCATTGAATAAAGACATAAGTTGGATTATTTTTAAGAATCAAGCCCTCTGAGCCCATTTTTAAAGAGACAGTGAAAGCCCACAGCCCTACAAAGACAGCAAGGCCCTGGAAGAACACAAGACAAACGCGGACACACGGAGTCACGCCTGAGGCCCGCACCAGGCTTTTCCACGGCGCTGAGCAGAGCAGCAGCGGCAATGCACACTGTGGGATGACAGACAGCAGGGCAGACCCACGGGAGAAACACACCGCCACAGGTGTCCTAGTGAATGAGCTCCTCCAGAAGATTTCTGGAGAAGAGAGGGGGGCTCTCTAAACTTCTGCTACATTGATTTATGCAACTAAACAGTTCTTTCCTTTCAGAAGCCAATGCAAAAAATTGGGCGAGTGGAAGGGGGACATGATGAATTACAGAAAAATCCCTGTATTATAAAGGGGAAAACTTACTTTGTGAAGCAAAACTGTTTTCTTGGCATTAAGTCATAGAATTTTGTTACAAAGAAAAATAAAATCACCAAGAAATTTAAACATTTTCATGAGAGGTTCAACAGGCTAAACCCCACACATTCAGTATCATAAACATAACAAACAGCTAAGACACTCACCAAAGGAGGGAGAGGAAAGGAAATCATCAGTACCTGAAGCCGCAGCAAATCCAGCGCAGCCACAGCCATGCACTCCTCCTCCTGGGGCGGGGGCCAGTCGGCAGTGCCGTCCATCCCCTCGCTCACTTGCCGCAGCAGGAGGTCCAGCTGTTCAAAGGTCACCGAGCAGATGTCCACCACAAAAGGGACACGGAGGCCAACGGACCACTCAGAACACGACGACCAAGCGAAACTCTGTTGAAGAAACACAAGAACCTAAATGAATCTACAGCCAGCACTGGTCTGCTCCAGCATCACAATGAGATTCACCATCACGGATGCCGAAATGCCTTGAATCACTATTTATTCATCCCTCTGATGGTCACAAATGCACACCTACTTCCATAGCTCTCTACCTCGCACACTATCGGCTTCCAATTTCTTCTCTCATTTCACTAGATACCTCATGTTGCCACAAATAAAAAGGTAAATGGCTTAAAAAGTCTTTTCACTCTCAAACTACCACACATCAACACATGGTAGTGAGGGTCACATTCCACGTGCAGCTACAAGGATGAGGTAGGTAGATACACTGAAAACTCCACAGCTAATAACTACACATACATACAGCTCAGTAAATTAAAATGGAATACTAAAAACTATTCAAGTAAGCCCAAAGCAATCAGGAAAAAAAAGAAAAAAGAGAACAAATAAAAACAATTGATAGTAGATATAAACACAAATTATAAATAATTATATTAAACTTAAGTGGTCTAAACATCAAATAAAAAGACACTTTCAGAATGTATGAAACACAAAACCAAGTTATGCAATAACTAGTAAGAAATCTACCTTAAATTTAAAGATAACTGAACCTTTCCTGGGCTTGAAAATCTACCCAGGAAAGTAGGACTTGACAGTGGTGTTTAATGTGGGTCCTCCCACAGTCATCCAAACCCAGTAGATGAAGCCACCAACAGCAGAACACCAACACCCACAGGGAAAATTTGGCAGGCTCCAAAACGCACTGAGATAGCCAAAATGGTGAAACAAAGAAACAAATCCCAAACGAAAGAACAAGAGAACTCTACTGAAGATGAGATCAATGAAATGCAGTTAAGCAAGTTATCAGAGGTAGAGTTCAGAGCCATGATCTTGAGGAAACTCAACATAATGAGTAAGGAGCTCAACACCATGAGTAAAGACATAGAATCATTGAAAACCAACAAAGTGGAAATGAAGAATGCCATAGCAGAAATAAAGAACACATTGGAAGGAATAAACCAGCAGTATGCACACCTAATATAAGAAATACAAAATGCACTGAAGTAAAAACCAATAAAAATGAAAGGAGAAATAGGTAAGTCCACAATACAGTTGAAGATATCAAAACTACCCTCCTAATAGCAGACAGAATGAGTAGACCAAAAAAAAATCCAGTAAGGATTTAAAAGAAATGAACAGACGTTCAGTCAAGATGGCGAGTAGCTAAACACAGTACTTGAATCCTCCCACAACCACATAAAAATTACAACTAAACTACAGAACCATCATTCAGAACTGCCTAAAATTGAGCTGAATGGAAGTCCTACAACTAGAAATTAAAAGCAACAGCCACATCAAGACTGGTAGGAGGGGCAGAGACTTGAAAGGGCTGGTCCCACACCGTGTGGCGGATAAAAACTGGGATGGATTATCTTGGTTGCAGAGGACCCCTCTGAGGAGTAAGGGGTCCCAGCCCCACACCAGGCCCCTCAGCCAGGGTTCAGTGCTGGGAAGAGAAGTACCCATCACTTCTGGCTGTAAAAACCAGCAGAAGTTGTGGCTGAAATGAAGGACTGCGAGAGTCCTGGGCAGTTCCTGTCAACGGGCCCACACATGGACTTACTCAGCCTCACTCGCTTGAAGCTCCAGCACCGGGACAAGAGCTCGACAGGCACCAGGGAAAAATGAGGAGGAATGAAACTGTTTGGCAACAGGGCGAGAACTGGATGGGCAGCTTCCACCCACACAGAAGTGCTGGCAGGGGCCACTGATTTCTTTTTTAATCCTCACTGGAGAATATGCTTATTGATTTTAGAGAGAAATGCTAACCCCACCAACAGGAACCAAGCAAGGACATACCCTTTCCCCACTTCTATGCAACATCATATTGGAAGTCCTGACTAGTGCAATAAGCAAGGGAAAGATATGAAAGGCATACATACTGCAAAAGAAGAAGCAAAAGCCCTGGCTGGTTTGGCTCAGCGGTTAGAGCGTCGGCCTGCGGTCCGGAGAGACCCGGGTTCGGTTCTCGCTAAGGGCACGTATCTCGGTTGCAGTTTGTCCCCGGCCCTGGTTGGTCGTGCGGGTGGCAGCCACTCGATGTGTCCCTTCACATCGATGTTTCTCTCTCTCTCTCTTCCTCTCTCTCCCTCCCGCTCTATCTGAACAAAAAATGGAAAAATGTCCTCGGGTGAGGATAAAAAAAAAAAATTTAAAAAAAAAAAAAAGAAGAAGCAAAAGAAGAAACAAAGCTGTCTTCATCCTAAGAAATCAACAATGTAGCTCTTAGAACTAATTAGTGAGCATAATGCAACTACAGACATAAGGACACACACACAGTTGATGTTTCTGCCAGCGATGGATGAAGCAGAATCAACACCTTATAGAATCCCAAAAGGAGCTTTGTATTCAGTACCTGGGCAGGTCCACAGGCAATTCCAACTATGTGCTTGGTATCCAGCCCTGGCAGTACAGAGGGTTCTGGCTTGGTCTGATGCAAGGTGTCAAAGTGCTGGCACTGGTCATTGTTCCCCCAGCTGTGGACCTCGCTGTCCTCAGTCAGAGCCAGGCAGTGGGTGGAGCCTGCAGCTACATCAATCACCTTCTTCCCTAGGAGGAAAGAGTAATGCGGTTACAGCTTCATGCCTATGATTTCTGTTGCAATAGAAATATTTATCCAGGCCACTCAGGTAAGAAGACATTTGTGTCAACTTCTAAGGGATAACTGGCTGCTTTAATGTTATGCACAATTCATCTGCTTTGTCTATGTTATTAAAACCCCTGTTATGTTTCCATAGCTATAATTTACTAAGACCTACAGCCTGCAAATAAAATGCTAGGGCATAAAAAGAATCTGTTATTTGTTTACTCCTTATTCAGATTTTCATCTTCAGAAAGAGACAAACATATTTTTAATTAACTGTTAGATCATATTCTCTCATCCCAAGGTATAACCATGCAAGTATTCTTTTAAAAATATATATATATTTTTTTCTTTGTTGATTTTAGAGAGAGAGGAAGGGAGAGGGAGAAAGAAATAGAAACATTGATGAGAGAGAACATCAACTGGCCGCCTCCTGCATGCCCCCCACTGTGGATATGGCCCACAACCTGGGCATGTGCCCTAACTGGGAACTGAACCGGTGAGCTCTTGGTGCACGGGTAGATGCTCAACCACTGAGTCACACTGGCCAGGCCAAAGTATTCTTTTTAATAACAACAACAAAAAATAAGACTTTGCCCTGGCCAGTGTGGTTCAGTGGTTAGAGCGACTGCCCCAGCACCAAAGGGTCCCGGGTTTGATTTCTGGTCAAGGGCATGCACCTGGGTTGCAGGTTCCATCCCTGACTCCATGGCTCATGCAGGAGGCAACCAATCGATTCTCTCTCTCACAATGATGTTTCTCTCTCTCTCTCCCCACACCCTCCCTTCCACTCTCTCTAAAAATCAATGGAAAAAATATCCTCAGCTGAGGATTAACATGAGGAGTGTTTTCAGAAATATCAACATATAATAAATAGTTCCATTGAAAAACTCTACCACAGGAAGGGGAACGGTTCCATCCTAAGAGTCTATCATCAATTAACAACAACCAAAGCAACTGTATCAACAACCACTTAAATACTTTCATAAGAACGTACCGCGATATCTAATAAATGTAGCTGAGGAAGTTGATTTTTTTTAACTAAATGAGGGAAACATAAAGAAGGCAAATGAAATTCAAATACAGCTCCATGGCATACTGTATTACTCTACCAACTGTATTACTCTACAACTTACCCAGGAAACATAGAAAATAATCAACACCACATGAGCCCAAAAAACTTCTAGTCATCAAGTTGTACTGAAGCACAACCAGGCCTGTCTGTACACTGTCTACACGGTCTATGTATGACACCTGGGGGCTATTACTGCAAGACTGAGTACTTGGGACAGACAGCACATGGCCCTCAAACCTAAAATACTTGCAGTCTGGCCCTTTAAAAAGGTCTGCCCACTCAAGATAACCAACCTCTGCCACACTTCAAAAGGCACCTACGAAGAACCTACATGCTTTGGCTTCCATTCGTCCCCTCTACCTAGAATGTGTCCTGGACACTCTCAAACCAAAGAAGCACAATTCGCCCACCAAGGCTGAGTTCAAATGAGACCATTCCAGGCAGACCCAACCCCATCTCCCACTCTGCACCCACAGCACCAGGTGTAGCCAAGTCTTAGCAAGGTCCACAGTGCAACCACAGGAGACCTCCCCAAACACTCCACAATTTCACTGTGGCCAGTTTACTAAGTGATAAATGGGTACGTGCCATAAAAAGCATGCTCCAATATTGGTAAACTGAATAAATTTGGTGGTGATAATTCTAGGCCATTTTTTCAATATAACAACAAACCACTTTCCATTTATTTCCTACACTTATCAAAATGGGCTAAAGCTTCTAATGACGGGTCATTCAGGGAATTTCAGGTGAAGAAAAGAATAACCTGAAAACCTTAAAACATTAGTAAAGAAACTGCCTCAGAGTTTCGAAAGCTTACATTTTACACCTACCTTGCAAGCCCTCCAGGAGTTTGGGATAACGGACATGCTCCTCTGTTCCGTGCCCGAGCCTCTGGTTGTCCCCTTTGCCCCATGAATAGACCTGGCCATCTTTTGTCAGGGCGATGGAGAACTGATTCCCGCACCGCACTTTGACGACGTCCAGGTCCTGAAGCCTCTCGATCAGCTTTGGTGCTTTGCAGCCATCACTCCCCCCTCTGCCCAGTTTCCCGTAGTCACCGTCTCCCCAGGACCACACCTGACCTGGAAACACAAACACACGTAAGTAACAACAACCGTACACCTTCATGGAACTTTTAAGTGACTAGAAATAATCAATATAACTGATAACACGAACTAGATCACGGGTGTACATGGTTAACATTACACAGGTGGTTCGGACCCAATGAAATCTAGTTCCTACTTCAGCCTAACACAGAAGCAATTAAAAGAGGAAAGCTCGGATTTTCTTTTAATTTGACTAAATGGATAATCGACTCCTGACCCTCACTAGTTGGAGCTCGATGACAGTGCTTTCACTACGTACTGAACACAGAACAGGCTCCACTGCTCAGCCCTGGCTGGGTGGGCTGAGCGCTGTCCCAATACACCAGGCCTGATCCCTGGTCAGGGCACAGACGAGAATGAACCGATGAATGTACACATAGTGGAACAACAAATCGATGTTTCTCTGTGCTGTCTGTCTCTCTCTCAAATCAATAAACCCTGTTCTGGGCCCACAGCTCACTGTACAGTGCACTGACCACTCTCAGGCTCATGCTGACCACGAGTCAATCGTACGATTATATTTAGAGTAACATTTGTTAAGAGTTTTATAAAGTATTTCAATCACCCTATAATAGACACTTAAAAACAAGAAATGAAGTTAAAAGCTTAACACCAGAAGAAGAGACAACCTTCTCCCTAAAACTCCTAAAGGGAGATGTCAAAATAGTCAAACAGACCACATCTATCCCCTCAGAGGTGGTGGGACCTACTGGACATGAAGATGCCTGAAATGACCTGTGATCTGTCACCGGAGGAACTTCCAGAAGTCGGTCCATTCTAATCTGCCCTTGGACTTCTGTGGGTTAGCAAAGGCTTACAGGCTACCCCAGATAATTCTGACAGATCCTATGAGTCTAAGGACAAATGCCAGATACTAGCAGACAAATAGTTTTTAAAAAAAGCAAATGAGCCCTGGCTGGTGTGGCTCCGTTGGTTGAATATTGTCCTGTGCACCGAAAGGTTGCCAGTTCGATTTCTGGTCAGGGCACAGGCTGCATTACAGGCTCACTCCTCAGTGGGGGGCATGCAGAAGGCAGCTGATCAATGTTTCTCTCTCTCTCTCTCTCTCTAAATATCAATAAAAAGCTCTTAAAAAGTTTTTTTCTTAAAGTAGATTTAAAAAATATTATTCTAGCCCTGGCCAGTTTTGCTCAGTGGTTAAAGCATCAACCCACAGACCAAAGAGTCGCAGGTTCGATTCTGGTCAAGGGGACGCACCTCGGTTGTGTTTCGATCCCTGGCCCTGCTTGGGGTTATGTGGGAAGCAACCAATTGGTGTGTCTCTCCCACATCGATGTTTTTCTCTCCTGTCCCTCCCTCTCTCCCACTCTATCTGAAAAATTAATGGAAAACTATCCTCAGGTGAGGATTAAAGAAAGAAAATGACTCTAACCATCAAACATGATAAATTTATCCTCAAAAAAAGTAAAATGAGCACGGTCTGGCTAATGAACACAAACACGAAGCTGGAATTGAAAGCGAGCAGTGTGGCGCCCTACTAGTGAGCACGAGGACCAGCAGAGCCTGCCTAAGGAACTCGAGTGCTAAATATTAGAAGACTTCACCATGGCCAGAATCAGTCTAGACCACACACTATTCCATCTTAACGCTTATTCTTTTGTTGAAAGAGGAAATGCCCAAACAGAAAGGATCTTAGCTGCTAACTAGCCCTCTGGCTCTGGGCAACAGAAGTTCCAAGTCTTGGGTGGTTGGGGCTGCGTGAAAAAGGTGAAGGGATTAAGAAGTACAAATTGGTAGTTATAAAACAGTCACGGGGATGTAAAGTACAGCACAGGAAACAGAAATATAGGGTGAGGCAAAAGTAGGTTTACAGCTGTGAGTACATGAAAGTTTATTCATGTGTCATCATGTATTAATTGTTGTACTCTTTTCCATACAAACAACTACAAACCTACTTTTGCCCCACCCTATATTGTGACAACCACATGTTGCCAGGTAGGTAATGGAAATACTGGAGCGGTCACTTTGTGAAGCATATGACTAACTACTATGCTGTACACCTGAAACTAATATAAAACACTGAATGTAGCCCTGGCCAGTTTGGTTCAGCGGTTAGAGCCTTGGCCTGTGGACCAGAGAGACCCGGGTTTGGTTCCTGCTAAGGGCATGTGCCTTGGTTGCAGTTTGTCCCCAGCCCTGGTTGGGTCGTGTGAATGGCAACCACTAGATGTGTCTCTCTCACGTCGATGTTTCTCTCTCTTGTCCTTCCTCTCTCCCTCCTGTTCTATCTGAAGATAAATACAAAAATGTCCTTGGGTGAAGATAAAAACAAAACAAAACACTGAATATAAAAAAACAAGTAAGTAAATGAACAAACAGAAGCTTTAAGTCTTGTAACTTCTGGGCCTCTGCAGAGGACACCAAGGTGCACACCCACTCAAAAGGGGGACAACAGGGGAGCCTTGTGAAGGCCACTCCACGCCAATGCTCCTGCCCTCAGGGGAAGTGCCCTCCTCGTCCTGAGAGCCTGCCCGGCACAGCCTGAGCTCCACATACCGTTTTCCGTCACTGCCAGGGTTTGCGCGTCCCCGCTCCCGCAGGCCACATCGATGACTTTCAGTCCTTTAAGCCCAGCTACCAGCATTGGAATGGCCTCATCTTCACTGGAGCCTTCAAACACACAGGACTGGTTACTGCAAGTCCCTCCAAAGAGGCCCCCCAGCACATGCTCGCGTGGGCTCTGCACCGCCTACCGTGGCCCAGGCGGCCGTAGTTGCCGCGGCCCCAGGTGTACAGCTCCCCCTCGGCCGTGACGGCGGCGCTGTACGTGCTCCCGCACGCGATGTGCACCACGTGCTTGCCCGCCTGCTTGCCCGAGAATGCAGAGATGGCCTTGGGCTCCTCCAGGGGCCTGTGCGGAAAGAGGCAAGAAACGGGGCGCCCTGAAGGGTTCCTGCTAGTGCTCGTTTATTCCAAGCGTGCGTGTTCTTCACTATGGGAGTCATGGACAGTGTTGCCCTTTGGCTGTCTCATGAATGATTAAGGCATACAGAACTCAAACACCCAACATCTCCGTGATTTTTGTTCACAAGTGACCAATGCCAATCACAGCATCGGCAGGAATATCAAAACAGTGTCTATTGAAGACACACACAGTCAAGTCCACAGCAGCTTTGCTCAGTGGTCCCAGTGGGCCATCCACAGACAGACCCTCAGCCAAAAGGAGGAGCTGATGTGCCCAACAGCCTGGCTGAAGGCACAGGAACTCTGCCGAGTGGAAGAGCCAGAAACAAAGTGCCACGTAGTGACAGAAGAGCAGGAGGCAGGCAGTAGGAATCGGATGCAAAAGGTCCAAGGACAGCAGAGGCGCTCCACCTTGGTCTCCCACCTGCACACGTGGGCTGAGTCACTCGAGAACTTCCGGTCAAGATGGCGGCATAGGTAAACACAGTACTCGCCTCCTCCCACAACCACATCAAAATCACAACTAAACTACAGAACAACCACCATTCATTTTTTTTTTTTTTTGGTGTGTGCCCCTAGCGGGAACCAACCCTAGGACTCCCTGGTCCGCAGGCTGATGCTCCAACCACTGAGCCAAACCAGCCAGGGTGGAACAACCATCATTCAGACATTCAGGACCACCTGTCATTGAGCTGAATGGAACTCCTACAACTACAAAATTAAAGCAGCAACCACATGGAGACTGGTAGGAGGGCGGAAGCCCAGACTGGCTGGTCCCACACCCTCGTGTGAAGGTCCTCCCTGAGGAGTGAGGGGTCCCCGTCCTACACCAGGCCCCCAGCTCAGGGTTCCAGTGCCAGGAAGAGAATCTCCATCACTTCTGTCTGTAAAAACCAGCGGGAACTGAGGCTGAGGCTGCAGGAGCCCCAGGCAGCTTCTCTTAAAGGGCCCGCACATGGACTTACTCCCTCTAAGCTCGGAGGGGAGGCAGTTAGAAAGGCACCAGAGACATATGGGGAAGCACTGAACTGTTTGGCCTTGGGACAAGGGCTGGAGAGGCAGCTTTCTCTCAGACTTGCTGGTGAAGGCCTTTGTTCCTTTGGTGAGCCCTTCCCTGGGGCGGCACACAGCCGCCATATCTGGGGCTCCAGCAACCTGGCTCGCACAGTTGGCCCCACCCTGGGGATTCCCTGAGGCCCCGCCCTGCCCCACCCAACTTTCAGGCGCACCCAAGCTGATTCTAAAGGCTTTACCATAGGACTGGCCTGTCTTGGATCCTGCTTCAGAGTTTCCTAAAATCCCTCAAAGCAGCATCTGGTCTCAGCGAGCCCTCTACCTCTCATTAAGTGGCCCCAGACCTGGCACTAGAAGCAGCCAGCCTTGGTTCACAACTTAGCTTTTCCTGGGCACCTCCAAGCCTAGCACAAGAAGCAGCCACCAGCAGATCACTCTGTAGCTTATGCCATGCGGTCTGGAATAGAAGATAGGCAGTGGCTGACCTTGCTCCCCCAGAGCCAGCACACCCAGTGGATAGCTTCAGATCACAGCGAAGCACCACCACCCAACCACCTCCACAAGTGACACATTCAATGAGCAGACTCAGTGGGTACCAGAGCCCTGATGAAATAAGTCTTGCTCTGTGTGGTGGTCCCTACACAGCTGATCCTCCAAGGGAGTCAGAGGCCAGTAGTCACAGCCAGTCCTTGCAGCTGATCAGCCTGAGTAAATCCCTCCCATTGACATGCCAACAGAAATCAAGACTCAGTTACAACAGAAGGGTATACAGTCCACAATAGGGGTGCACCTCGAGGGCCCAGTTGGGGTGATAATGGAAGCTGGGCCACTGGATCCTACAGGACACCTACAACAACAGGCCACCCTATGAAGCCTAGGAGACACAGCAACTCTACCTAATACATAGAAACAATCACAGGGAAACAGCCAAAATGAGAAGACAAAGAAACATGTCCCAGATGAAAGAAAAGAACTCAACTCCAGAAAAAGAACTAAACAAAATGGAGATAAGCAATCAATCAGATGCGGAGTTCAAAACACTGGTTATAAGGTTGCTCAAGGAACTTAGTGAGACATTCAAGGAACTTAGGGAGACCTCCAAGGAACTTAGCGAGAACATCAACAACATAAAAAAGGACCAGGCAGAAATGAAGGATGCATTAACTAAAACAAAAAATAATTTACAGGGAATCAATAGTAAAGTAGATAAAGCCAAGAAGCAAACCACTGATTTGGAATATAAGGAAGCATAAAACTCCAATCAGAACAGTAAAAATAAAAAAAAAATAAAAAAAAATGAGAATAGTGTAAGGAGCCTCTGGGACAACTTCGAGCATGCTAACATTCACATCATGGGGGTGCCAGAAGGAGAGAGAGCAAGAAATTGAAAACCTATTTGAAACAATAATGACAGAAAACTTCCCTAACCTGATGAAGGAAACAGACATCCAAGTCCAGGAAGCACAGAGAGTCCCAAACAAGATGAACCCCACGAGGTCCACACATCATCAAAATGCCAAAGGTTAAAGACAGAGAATAAAAGCAGCAAGAGAAAAGCAGTTTGTTACCTAAAAGGAGCTCTCAGAAGACTGTCAGCTGATTTCTCAAAAGAAACTTTGCATTCCAGAAAGGAGTGTTAAGAGATAAAGGTGATAAAAAGCAAGGACTTACAACCAAGATTACTCTATCCTGCAAAGCTATAATTTAGAATGGATGGGACATATCAAGAGTTTCCCAGACAAGGAAAAGCTAAAGGCGTTCATCACCACCAAACCAGTATTATATGAAGTGCTGAAGGGTCTTCTTAAAGGAGAACAACAACAAAAAATATGAACAATAAAATGCAATTAATACATATCTATCAACAATTGAATCTACAAACAAAATGATCAAGCAGAACAGAAACAGACTCATAGACACAGAGAACTTTTTGGTGGTTGCCAGATAAGAGGGGGGTTGGGGAAATGGGTGAAAAAGATGAAGGGATTAAGAAGTACAAATTGGCTGTTAGACTGACGAATCTCAAAGGGAAGTGGGGAGGGAGGGTGGGAAGAGATCGACAAAGAACTTCTATGCACATATGCATAACCAATGACACTGACCACAGTGTGGGGAAGGCAGGAGCAGGGTGGGAGTGGGGAGGAGGGGGTCAATGGGAAAAAAAAAGGAGGGACATCTGTAATACATTCAACAATAAAGATGAGTTAAAAAAAAAGGCATGCAACTGTGCACTTACAGCCGATGGGCGTGTGAGCCTCACATAGACAGCTGAAATGTACACACACTGTTACATGAATGAGGAAGGAACCAAGGAGCCAGATGTACTAACCACATTGCAATCAAGATTTTACAAACGCAAAGCAGGAGATAGGAAGGATGGTGATCAAGTCTTATTAGCTGATTCCTCACTTTCAAATTGGCCAAACGGTATATTTATCTCCAGTCTGTTTACTGTACTTGGTGACCCCCACTATGGCCTCTCCAAAGACATGGTTTACTCACCTCGTGACCCCTAGTCTGTAAAATACGTGAACGTACAGCGGCAAGGGGTGCGGCACAGGGTCGCCAACTGACTGCACTCTGGGAGCCACCTCCCTGCTCTGCTCTGCTCTGCACCTCCTGCCCTCTGCACTGATCTCTTCTTTCCCTTGACTCCTCGAGCAACGGACAAGTTAACCTAGCACTAAATCTCCACTGAGTATTATTTTATCACAAAATATCCCTGCGCACTACCTTGTAAGTAACAGGAGTAAAGACTAAGCCTGCCCTCGTACCTCGAGCCTCTCGAGTCCTGGTGCCTGTGCCAATCGTCCTACAGGAACCCGGATTCTGCCTTCTGTGGTAACCACCCCTTTTACTCCCTCGTTCTCTGTTACCGTCTGAACCCCCCTGTCGAGTCTGGACGACTTCTGCTGCACGTCAGCATGTCATCACTCTGCTCTCCAGCCTGGGGTTCTCCCTGGTGGTGGCGTCCATCTCCCACCACAGGGATAACAGAAGGGTCTCCCTGTGATTCCACTGCTGCCCAGTCCCCACTCATGGCTTCCCCCCGCCCCCCGGAAGTGCGGCTGTATTTTCAGTTTCAACCTGAAGCCCACTCACAACACCGTAAAGAGCCGCCGCCCTCCACGGCGTCGCCGCAGTTATAGCCTCACGTTCAGAACAACCCGTCATCAAAACCTTCCACAAAATAGGGCGTAAGAAAGCACTGATTTTTGTACCTGAGAAAATGATACTGTTTCAATTCAGGGGAGGGAGGCTTTATCATGTTGAAGAAACAGAAGTGCAAGATTTGCTCTAGAAAACTCCATGGGGTGAAGGTGTGGTGTGCAGCCAGAGGGTTGGGGGAGACGTCACCCTCTGTGCTGTGGGCTGGGCTCCCCTGGCGTTACCCAGGGGCTGGCACCCTTGGCAGCCATCTCCGTCCCAGCCCTGCACGTCAGAGCAGCTGGCAAACATGAGCCACACTTCCCCTTCCACCGTATTTTGGGTACAGCAACACAAAAGGAGAGCGTGTCAGTGACAGGAGGGGGCCATACATACACGGTATCCCCGTGGCCCAGCCGTCCGCCGTCCCCGCAGCCCCAGGAGTACACCTCTCCAGTGGCTGCCAAGGCCAGGTAGTGGTGACCGTCAGAATGGGCAGCAATTTTTACTATGTTTCTGGAGGCAAGACCCTGGACGAGCTGTGGAGCCTAGAAAGGCAAACACAGAAAGAAAGTTAATAGTGAGCAGTCCGAGGACAACAAAAAGAGCATGATGCTCTTTAATGTCCTGTCCCACTTCAACCCACTGGTCAGTGAAAGAACAGGAGCTTCGGGGGGAGGCTGGGCCAGCTGTTCCGCACCCGCCCAGCATGGCCTCCAGGCACTCCATGTGTGACCAGGTTACCCTGCGCAATGGAAACGCACAGCACCCTCCTGTGACGGGGACATGCATGTCCCAACCTGCCATCACCCCCGAGAGGCTCCATTCCCTCGCCTGTTACTTCCTGGTCTCACAGTCAGATACGTTTACACCTGAAAGTCCGTTTGCAAGTGGAAACCACATCGGGAATGAGAGTCACTCTAAGAAATCCTCGATCATGGCAACTAAGAGAGATGCCTCAAACACTGACAAAATGGTTACGATTAAGATTCTAAATATAACTAAGACACAATGACCACATGTTTGAGTCCTCAGAAGCCAAACAATGCAGAGATCAGACCTCTGCGGCATCAGCAGGAGAGAACCTGCCTACCCCGAGGTGAGGGCGGCCCAGGACACCCACCAGCGTGTCGCTGTTGTAGGCCTGCGTGTAGACACGGCCGGTCCTTGACAAGATCAGGAAGCGTTTTTCCGCACAGGCGATCTGCGTGACCCCCAGGTTGGCCAGGCCTTTGCTCTGAATGGGACCGATCACGTTGGCATAGCACTTCCATCCTATGAGCCCCCATCCTATGACCTCCTGCAGCGAGCCCTGTGAGACGACAGAGGAAGCAAGTCTTTTTACTGCAGCAAGAAAATTCCTTTCTGTCAAAAGAAAGAATCTGGAGTGACACTGAGATCCTGCCAGGTGAACTGAGATCCTGGAGATAAACACAGCACCTGCAGAGAAAAGCTCATCAAAGCATCGGAGCAGCTAGTGACCCGTCACGTCGCCTCGGTCCACAGGTGAGAGAAAGTAACTGAATGGGCTCTTTCCGCAGCAGTTCATTTTCAGAGCCCATCAAATGGTACAAGTTTGACCTTAAACATTTTTGTTTTGCTGTCCTTTTAAGAGCGAGAGGAACATCGATGTGAGAGAGAGACATCAAGTGGCTGCCACCCACATGATCCCAACTGGGACAAGGACAAACCGCAACCTGAAGTACGTGCCCTTAGTGGGAACAAACCTGGGACTCTCCGGTCCGCGGGCCAATGCTCTAATTGCAGAGGCAAACCGGCCAGGGCTTTAAACATATTTTTAAATGCTCTGACCATATCAGGTAACCATTTTGTACCATAGCAGGCAGAAGCTGAAAGACCAGGCACAAGGCTGAGAGACAAATGTCCCTACTGTTGGTGGGGAATGAGAGTTTAAACCGTACGCAGCTTGGTGGTTGGTGATCAGCCAGTGTCCCCACGTTAGTCAGGGACACCCCTGCTGGTGCGAGCACACCCACAGGTGTGTCATCACAGGCTACCTGACTTCTGGCCACACAAGTGTCCACCAATAAGAGGCTAATTAAAAATTATGAGACACCCAAACATGGACTACTCAACTGCTTTAAAAAAATGAAAACAGCCCTGGCCGGTTTTGCTCAGTGGTTGGAGCGTCGGCCTGTGGACCAGGGAGTCCTGGGTTCAGTTCCTACTAAAGGCATGTACCAAAAACAAAACAAAACAAAAAATGAAGACATGCCCAGCTGGTGTGGCTCAGTGGATTGAGTATCGGCCCATGGACTGAGAGGTCCCGTTAGATTCCCAGTCAGGGCACATGCCTGGGTTGCAGGATTGATCCCCAGGAGGCAGCCGATCGTTGTTTCTCTCTCACACAGGTGTTTCTCTCTCTCTCTCTCTCTAAAAATCAATGAAAACATTTTTAAAATTAAATTAAAAAATGAAGTCAGAGCTCTGTTTATTCATACAGAAACCTCTTAGGTATATACTCTTATTTTTTTTTCTTCATTGATTTCAGAGAGAAAAGGAGAGGGAGAGAGAAGTATCAGTTGGCCACCTCCTACATGCCCCCCAGTGGGGACTGGGCCCACAACCTGGGCATATGCCCTGACTAGGAATCGAACCAGTGACCTCTTGGTGCATGGGTCGATGCTCAATCACTGAGCCATACCAGTGTATGTTATTTATTAGAAAAATACAAGTTGCAAAAGCAATGCAACAAGCCACTGTTAACACCACCTTCCAGAGCCCAGGCAAGGAAGGACGCATGAGAAACAGAAAGCTGAGGCAGCAGGAGGACTCTGGGACGGAGAGGGTGCAAGGGGAAGCAAGTAACTGTGTATTTTTGCATCTAATTCTGATTCTGAACCATGTTCCTGATACTTGGAAGAAAAGTGACTGTGAGATACAATAAACTCTTCAGATGGAAAATAAAATTAAAAAAACCTGGATTCAAAACCAGGGTCATTCTGTGTGACTCCGGCAAAGTTCCCTGTCCCCGCACGGGACAGTCTCCTCAGGGACACCGTGGGGGTACTGCTGTGAGGATCAGATGCAACCACGCAGTGGGGGCCTTGGGGGCAGGGCAGGCTGTCGGCACAGGCCAGCGGCCGCAGCTCTGAGCAGCACCTTCACATAGCCCTGTTTGGCGCTCCTCACCTATAAAAAGGGCTCTGGGACCTCCCTGGGGAAGGCGGGGTGGCGTATAGCTATGTAAATAAAGGGGAAATCTCTGGGAATGCGCCTCCTGAGTGTGGACCCTGGGACACTGGGTTGGGACTGGACCCCATGGGCCTCAGCCTGCTTAGCACTGGGTCCAGGGACAATACCTTAACTTGTGCACACGTTTAAAAGCTATTAACCAACCCCACCCCAACACCACACAGGCACACGGAGAGCAGAGGAGTGGCACTAACTGGGGCTTCCGAGAACAGCCCCGCCGCACGCACCTTGTGGGCCGTGGGTGAGCTGCACAGAGGAGGCAGGCAGGGCGTGGCTAGGCGGTCTAAGTGGGCCAGGACAACTACAGCCGTCTGTCGTAAGTCGATGGCGAGCTCGCTGTCTTGTGGAAGAACAAGGTACCTGAGGAAACTCTCGTTGGGGCTCAGGGGGCCAGACAGTAGCTAGAAGAGAAGTACACAGGCATCTTCAGAAATACCGGAAAAAGGCAACACGATTAGCCTTTGCTGTCTCTTTGGACTTTGTATCCACAGTGCTTCGCTACTGGTACACCCGCTCCCCGGCCGTGCTATGAGAAGTGCCGCCCAGGCACGCACACCGCCCTGCACCCTGCACCCTGCACCCGCGCCCACGTCAGCGGCACAGCCCAGCACGGCAGGCTCACCACTCCAAAGGCCCTCGGAGAGCGCCGAGCCAGCCCTGCCGGAGCACAGCGCTTCACCTCAACCTGGCTTCGAAACTGAAAACAGAAACCACCTTTCTTCATCTAAACACTGTGCCCACTGGAGAAGACCTAACTTTATTTGCGTGTTATTAATTATAAGTCTATAAACTCTGCAGTGTAAACGGAGAACAGCCTTATTATCAGTAAAGATGGCTTCAGGATAGAAAAACCAGCCCTGGCCGGTTTTGCTCAGCGGTTAGAGCATCGGCCTGTGGTCTGGAGAGACCGGGGTTCGGTTTCCACTAGGGGCATGTACCTCGGTTGCAGTTTGTCCCTGGCCCTGGTTGGTCGTGTGGGTGGCAGCCACTTGATGTGTCCCTTTCACGTCGATGTTTCTCTATCTCTTCCTCTCTCTCCCTCCCAGTCCATCTGAACAAAAAATGGAAAAATGTCCTCGGGTGAGGATAAAAAAAAAAAAAGAAAAATCAGGCAGCAGTTTTACCATGGAGTGGCTAAGTCTCTCTAGAAAAGACCTGCAAAATCAAGCCTGTGCCTCTGAAGAGCAGCAGGGTTGTAGCAGGGTCAAGAGTCAGACTCAGGGTGTGGGGAGGGCAATGCTCGGCCACCAGCCTCAGGTCCTGGGACTACTTAGGTGCCCTACACACAGAAGAGCCAACAAGGTGAGCCACTACTTCCTTTCCTTAAAGATACTATTCTTTAGGGAGAGAGGAAGGGAGGGGGACAGAGAGGAACATCAATGTGAGAATGAAACATCGATTGGCTGTCTCCTGCACACAACCTACAGGTACTGAGCCCCAGGCATGTGCCTTGACTGGGAATCAAACCAGCGACCTTTAGGTGCACAAGATATGGTCCAACCAACTGAGTCATACCGGCCAGGGCAATGAGCCACTATTTTAAAAGCTCTTTCTCTAATAGTTATTTAGAAGTGTGCATTTCAGACCTAGTGCTGTGTGTACTGACGCAGCTGGTGCTTGCTGATCTGTGGCAGGGGAACACAGAGGAGAGAGATTCACTCTGCTCCTCCGCGCAGGACCAAATGTGTGCGACCAGGACACCGAGTGCGGCCTCACAGTGCAGCACCTGTGTGAACCCAACAGATGCTGCTTCCCACAGCAGCCGAGCCTCGGCCCTACACCACCACAGCACGTGCCCATCTTCATGCCTTCACTAACTCGCACCCTTGCAGAGGTGAACGCAACCCCTCACATCTTCTGCGGCATCCTGCTCTCGCTCCCCTCACCCCAGCCAGAGCAGAGTGCCTGGTGGCTGGGAACACACCAAGCACTGAGCCCACAGAGGGCTCAGGGGCTCCGGCTTGGCAGAGAACACAGCCTGGCCACCGGGCGGCACCTGCCTGTCTCTGAAAGTGCAGGCGGATCTCTGTCCAGAAGCTTATTCCCCTAAACACATGCCACGCAGAACACACGCAGCCCACACCCACCCACAGAGTGGGCTCTGGCCACTCCTTAGCTGTTTCAAAGAATCCGAACGTGCTCATGGGATGTTCCACCACATCACCTGTAACCCAGCCCATGACTCTCAAACCTGTGCCACACCTGACTCACAGCTGGAATCAACAACATGCTCCCCGCTATTGACAACCACCTGCACGAACGTATGCTCCCGTCTTAATAGAAACTTGTGAGGACAACTGGAAAACAAGAAGCTACTGAAACGCAAAGCCTGCTGGGTGCTTACGTGGGCGTCGCCCTGTGCGTGAGGGGCATCCTTGCCGCAGACCATGCTCTGGAAACGCTGCAGCAGTGGGAGGAGGGGGGCGCTGGTGCCCCGGGCGGAACGCTCGTTGTCCGTCTCCCGCGTCCCGCTGTCCCACAGCTGCAGCAGCAACAGGATGGCGGACAGTGTTTGGCTGAAAGAGAAAACAGCTTTATTCTCTAAGAAAAGCAGCTTAACCATTTTCTGCCATGGTCTGTCAAAACCAAAGCAGACAGCAAAATAAAACTGAGGAAATACTTTAGATTTGAAAGGAAACAAAAATTAATGTCATCAAAACAATTCTCAGAGAAAATGACTGAATCTACACCACGATTTCAGCACAAGACATCCACCTTCTATGGGTGATATAAGACCGGTTCAGAAGCTCAAACAGCACTTTTTACAGGGAAATTCTAGGTCCTTAAATTTATAGAATAAAAATAATTATTTTTAAGAAAATCAAGAGGAGCCCTGGCCAGTGTGGCTCATTTGATTGGAGCATCCTCCAGTATACCAACAGAGGCGGGTTCGATTGCTGGTCAGGGGACATCCAGAAAGCAACCAATTTCTCTCACAGCGATGTTTTTCTCTCTCTCTCTCAACTCCACCCTCCCTTCCTCGCACTCTTTATTTATTTTTTTATCCTCATCCGAGGACATTTTTTCATTTTTTTTTGTTCAGGTAGAGTGGGAGGGAGAGAGAGGAACAGAGAGAGAGAGAGAGAAACATCGATGTGAAAGGGACACATCGAGTGGCTGCCACCCGCACGACCGACCAGGGCCGGGGACAAACTGCAACCGAGGTACGCGCCCTTAGCGGAAACCGAACCCGGGTCTCTCAGGACCGCAGGCCGACGCTCTAACCGCTGAGCCAAACCGGCCAGGGCCCTCGCACTCTTTAAAAAAAAAAATGTCTGGCCGGTGTGGCACAGTGGTAGAGCATTGACCCATGCATCAAGAGGTCGCTGGTTCAATTCCCGGTCAGGAAACAAGCTCAGGTTGTGGGCCCGATCCCCAGTGGCATGCAGGAGGCGGCCAATCGATGTTCTCTCTCATCGATGTTTCTGTCTCTCTCTCCCTCTCTCTCTCAAATCAACAAAGGAAAAAAAAAATTAAAAGGAATAATTCTGAGACTAGTAGAAAGTTGAACACAGAAAAGGAAGTGAGGAAAGGCTAAGTGTACCAGGTTTGAGAAAGCACAGTGTCCCAGGAAAGGGTTCTTGAATTACAGAACCAACTGGCTACAGTCACAAACAATTCTGTGAAATGACAGAACATGCAACAGAGGTTCAGACTTGGAGGTGCTCCCCAGGGCCTGGGCCTGCGGCACCCTCACCTCAGTGTGCCCCTCTGCACCGCCAACTCCAACAGGATGGCCAGGGCCAGGTGCTGGTCCTGCAGGGGGACGCTGCCTGGCACTTTGGCACTCGGTGCTCCATGAACATCCCTGAAATGACAGCAGTGGATCAGGAACAAAGTCAAGTCGGAGCTTAAAGACAGCATGCTAAAATAGCATTAAGGTGCTACTCACATTCTCTCCCAGGGAGAAATGTAACTTTAATATTGAGAATCAAGTTTCTGAAACTTGTTACTAAAATTTCATCAGAGACTTTATTTTTTTTTAATGATTATTTATTTTTTTAATTTTATTTTTGTTACAGATGTTTCTCCTTTATTACCCCATTGACACCCTCCTCCCCATCCCCCCTGCCCCGTCCCCGGCTTTGTTGTCCATGTCCATTGGTTATGCCTACATGCATATAAGTGCTGTGGTTTATCTCTTCCCACCCCCCTCTACCCCCTCTTCTGGGGGTTGTCAGTCTGTACCCTACTTCTGTGTTTCTGGGTCTACCCTATTCCTCAGATTGTTATGTTCATTATATTCCATGAATAAGTGAGATCTTGTGGTATTTGTCTTTTTCTGCTTGGCTTGTTTCACTTAGGCTAATACTTTCTAGGTCCCTCCATGTCGTCTCAAAGGATAAGAGATCCTTCTTTCTTACAGCTGCATAGTACTCCATTGTGTATATGTACCACTGCTTTTTTATCCATTCGTCAACTGATGGACATTTGGGCTGTTTCCAGATCTTAGCTATTGTAAATAGTGCTGCTATGAACATGGGGGTACATATATTCTTTCTGATTGGTGTTTCAGACTCATCAGAAACTTTAAAGTGTACAATCAATATGTAGAGATTCATTTTAAATAAAAGTATTAATTCAGATGCTATAACATGGTTACATCAGAACACAAGTTTCTGTAGCATAAAGTTATTTGTATCATTACTCAAATTACGAGCAGAAAAATATTTAGATCTGTTTCCAGTTTCAATGACATATAAGAATACACAGTAGTAACAGTTCTCTATAGAACTGGAGAAAGATCAATTTCTAAAACCACCAGAGAATCTACAGGCAGTATGTCTATGCTTATTTTTATCTATGATCAATGAAATGATTTTAACTTTTCCTTGTTCCCCAGTAAAAAAACACACAAATATTCTTAAACCAAGATGGGGAAGGGAGGATCTTCCAACATCACCATTACAGCTGAATTTTTAAAATTAATTCTAAGACTGTTTTCAGGAACCTCAGCCCTCAGAGCTCTGGAGAGTCAGGTTCACAGCCCACTGGCACTGAGACCACAGGTGGCCCTGCTTGCTGGAAGGGACACAGCAGTGATCTCTGGCAAAGGGAATAAGAAGAGACTCACTTTTCCTCTAAGTGCACCTTTGCTGCTGAATTCTGTACTGTGTACACATGTTCCTTATATTTAAAAACCATTAACAAAAATACATAGCCCTCAAGACCAAAGTTAACATTCAGTGATTCCCACTCAAATATTTTATGCTGAAAAGACCAGACACAGATGTGACAATGTTGTTCAGCCCCACGCTGTCCACTGAGACAACACCCATCACTCACAGACGCACACAGTCTCACACCTGATGCACAACGGACTGATCCCCATACCCTACAATATGTGAAGAAGTAATTCCAAGAGCATCTTTCCTTTACATCCTGTTCTATCTGGCAGCTTCCTGAGTCCAATCAGGCTGCCATGTCAGACATGTGAAAAGAGCCAAGATCTGGAATCAGAGCTGAGAGGTGCTGAACACACACTCGGGAAGCAGCCTGAGTGTTTCAGTGCTGAAGAGGTGAAAGGAGTTCAGTTGCAGTCACAGACTAGCCACGGGGATGTGAAGTACAGCACAGGCACAGTCAGTGATGTACTGACAGCGCAGGGTGTCAAGTGGGTACTGGAAATATCAGGGGGACCACTTTATCAAATGCACGATTATCTGACCACTACGCTGTACACCTGAAACTAATAGAGAGTAATACTAAATGTCAACTGTAATTGAAAAATTAAAAACACAGAGAAGGTGAGACGAGACTTTGAAGCTCGTCTGCAGCATTCACACAGGAAGATGTAGAGAGAGGACTCACCCTGTCACGACGGACCTGAGGAACCTGGTTGCTCTTTCTACCACCTCCAGCCACACAGAGGACACGGTGCTCTCGTCGAAGAGGGAGGCCTCAGGCAGGGCTCGCAGGGCATCCAGAGACTCCTGCAACAGCTCACTGCACAGGTCCGCATCCTCCCCTGGACACACAAGCACATCAGGGGAGGCCACACACTCCTCGGCATCACCGACAAGCAACGCTGTCCCCGTCCTGGGAAGACCTCCTAGCCCTCAGCACGACAGGACGCCACTGTCACGTTTTCAAACCCCACTTTCCTCTCAAGGAGGCACTGCAAGAACTCAAGAGACTAAAGTTTGATATAGTTTACTGAGCAAGTCTAACATCTCGTTCTCAGAATCAGTACTGAGGCCCTGCAGTGGCTTTTTGCCCCTTTTTTTAAGAACCACAGACTCGGGCTCTGAAGCCTGCCATTTACGAACAAGACAAAGGAGGCATCAACAACACATGGACTCAGCCCAAAACCATGTGGGGGCAACAGTGAGGAGAGAAGCCAAGCCTCCTGAGCACAGGAGCCTGAGCATGCCACTGGGCACACGTACCTGACCGCCAGGCCCTTCGCAGGAACGCAAAGGCAAAGGACAGAGCTGCTCGGGATCCAACTCTTGCCAGTCCTTCCACCCCTTTGCCTGTGGGCCGGGAACTGAGGGAGATACACAAGGAGGGGGGGGGGTGCAGCTGGTCAGTCAGAGGAAGGTGCACATACTAAATACAAAGACATCAAATGTAAGCATTCATACCAAATGGCTCAATGGGATTATTCAGGTGGCAGGCTCACAAGTGACTTCAGTTTCATTTTTTAAAAATTTGTACCAAATATCCTTTGTAAAGGAAAAGTATTCTCTTTAAGAAAAATAATTTTTTTAAAGATTCTAGCCTGGCTGGTGTGGCTCAGTGGCTGAGCATTGACCCATGCACTAAGAGGTCGCCAGTTCGATCCTGCTCAGGGCACTAGCCAGGTTGTGGGCCAAATCCCCAGTGGGGGGCATGCAGGAGGCAGCCAATGGATGTTCTCTCTCATCAGTGTTTATCTCTCTCTCTCCCTAAAATCAATAAAAAAAATTTTTTAAAAAGATTTTAGCTCTAGTTGGTGTGGCTCTCAGTTGGGTTGAGCGTCATCCTGTGCACCAAATGGCTGCTGGTCCAATTCCTGTCAGGACACATGCCCAGGTTGTGGGTTTGATCCCTGGTTGGGTGCATGCAGGAGGCAGCCAACTAATGCCTCTTTCTCATATCAATCTTTCTCTCTCTCTAAAATAAAATAAAAAAATATATATATCTTTAAAAAGATTTTTAAATGACTTGCAAAAATGCTCACACAAAAAATCTCAGGGAGCTGAGGTCAGGGGAAGGGGGAACAATAAACCGAAAATACACGGATGAATCCAGAACGGGGCACTAAACCTCATGTAGTGAAGGAGGCAGATAGGCAGGTAAGGGGTGACGAACACCTGAGACTCAGACCTCTGGCTGCAGGACTTGTTCTGGTCTCTGTGAGGGCATCTTCTCTTTTTCTCTTCCACCCTCGGCCTGCTGAGGTCACCCTCTCCTGAACTAGGTGCTTATCATTCTCATGTGTCTTTTTAAGGCCTTTACTACTTACCTATGTTCACGTAACAAAATTGGTTTCCCTTTCCATACTTGAAACAGTTATACAAATGGCTTACCATAAAAATTATCCCAAGAAAACCATAAACTAGAATACATAAACTCGTGTATCTTAATAAACTCAATCATGCATAGCAAGTAACTTTATTCTCAACTTTACACTATTGAATATTTCTACTGTATTCTCTAAATTTACTACAACTTATTTTCATAATCTGGGGGAAATGCTATTGAAAAGGGGTAATGAGCCCTGGCCGGTTTGGCTCAGCGGTTAGAGCGTCGGCCTGCGGTCCTGAGAGACCTGGGTTCGGTTCCCGCTAAGGGCGCGTACCTCGGTTGCAGTTTGTCCCCGGCCCTGGTCGGTTGTGCGGGTGGCAGCCACTCGATGTGTTCCTTTCTCATCGATGTTTCTCTCTCTCTCTCTGTTCCTCTCTCTCCCTCCCACTCTACCTGAACAAAAAGTGGAAAAATGTCCTCTGGTGAGGATAAAAAAAAAAAAAAATGGGTAATGAGCCCTGGCCGGTTTGGCTCAGCGGTTAGAGCGTCGTCCTGCGGACCACAGAGTCCCGGGTTCGGTTTCCGCTAAGGGCACATACCTTGGTTGTGGTTCGTCCCTGGCCCTGGTTGGGGTCGTGTGGGTGGCAACCAGTCAATGTTTCTCTCTCACGTTGATGTTTCTCTCTCTCTCTTCCCCCCTCTCTCCTTCTCGCTCTGTCTGAAGATAAATGCAAAAAAACGTCCTCGGGTGAGGATAAAAAAAAAAAGGGTAATGATACAACTGCATATAAATTAAAAAAAACAACGGATAATGATACAACTACATATAAATACATAATTATCTCACAGTAATTTTAATTTTAGGAATTTCCTCTAGTCAGTGGAAAACTTCATTAATTTCAATTAATCCATCAACTCTTATGTCACAAAGGAAAGAGCCCAGAGAGACCAAGTAGGTTCCCAGCCTCCCCTGCAGCGTAGGGAGCTCAGGCTGACTCAGCACAGAGCCTGGAGTCTCAGGCTGCCCGACGTGCGCACAGCCTCTCCGATCAGTGACCACCACAGACGGCCACCCCTCTCCAGTCAAGCAGGAAACAAGGGAAGAACTGCTCTCATCACACGGGCAGGAACCCTCCCGTCATGTAGTTTAACTTATCTCAAAACTGCCATTCAAATATATGACAAGTGACCTCAATTAAAAACTGGGAAGTGTGCTACACTTAGCACGCCTCGTCTGTCTTGAGCTAAGACAATGAGGGTTTTTATCCCTGCTTCTTCTCCCTCTGCTCTTTAGGGAGTAAAATCAGTACTACAATAAAACAAAACCAACTTTCCTAACTATATAAAATATGAACTCTATCTGAAAATCTTTTAGTCTAGCCTTTTGGGACAGAAAGTATGGTAGACAGCTACACTTTAGAAAAATACAATTTTACACAATCCTTATGATTCTAATGCCTCAGAGAAAAATGTGCGGGTGTAAACCAATCCATGAAAAGGCCTATGCCTGACAGCATCTCCTCTAATAAAAGAAACAGAAAATCACGTTATGAAATTTTTAAAAAAGGACGCATCTAAATGAGTTAGGTGCTAAATATTATAGTCTTGATTATTCCCTATCTAGTAGCAAAACGAAACCAACGAAGATGATGTTCAGATCCGCTTTTCAAATCCACATATGCTAATGGACACCTGTGGCTGGTAATACAGTCACTGACAGAAAAGGGTCTTGAAAATAATGGCACAGATCATAGCCTGTTACTCTTATCAATCAGCAAATTGGCAAAGCCATTGTCCAAGTGACATAAAACATTCAAAATGGGAAAGCAAGAAGAAAGTTTCATAAAAAGGAAAAAGGCACTCTATTGACAACCTCAATTAAACTTTCCTGGACAAACCCGGCGGTGTGGTTCAGTGGCTGAGCGTCGACCCAGCACCAAGAGGTCGCCGGATTGATTTCCGGTCAGGGCACATGCCCAGATTGTGGGCCCGATCCCCAATGGGAGGCACATAGGAGGCGGCCAATCGATGTTCTCGCTCATCCAGGTTTTTATCTCTCTCTCTTCTCCCTTCCTCTCTAAAAATCAAGAAAGAAAACAAAACAAAAAACTTTCCTGGACAAAACAGCCAGGTCTTTCCATTTAGTGGGTGTCAGAATTCTTCCTTCATTCCACTGTTACCTTTTCTTGTCCATAGGAGGCAAAGAAATGCTGCTGCTTTTCCGCTTGACTTTGACGCTCTCCTGGGAAGCAGTTCTGCTCAAGGCAATGAAATATCGCTCTAAGATGACCAGCCTCTGCTTCAGTCTCAGGGCTGAGAGGGTGGTGGTGGCCGACTGAATGGCCAGGGCTTGCTGCTCTTTAACCAATACAGAGAGACATTCCTTCAGTTCATTCACATCTAGAAAACAAGATAAGAAAACATCCAACCTCTCAATATCTTGGACATAGTTTGTTGTATTGTTGGTAAAAGGGATAATAACAGGTAACACCTAAGGTGGCAAGAAGCAGTTTTAAGCATGATCACATACTAGGGAACCCTCTGAGCCACAGCAAGTGTATTTCATGGGGGAGGAAATCGAGCACAAAGAACTTGCCCATGGTCACCCAGAAGAGTAGGACACATGGGAGAGTAGGACACATGGGAGAGACCACTCTTGGCCACCCCGGTACACTGACATTCCGTAAATGTTGTTTAAATATTTTTAACACAAAATTATGAAGTTAACACTTATCAGCAGCACACGGCCTAGACAAAGAGAAAAACTATCCATTATTTTCATGTTATGAAACCAAATTCAAAATAAAACAATGTCTCAATAAAACTGTCCAACATATACTCACAAAAGCTAATACACTGGACTATTTTAGAGAAGATCAAGTAACTAGTTAGAATGTGTGATGGATAAGGTCCTCCGCAGGTAATAGGCCTTAAAAGCTATTAACTCCTTGATCCATTGGTTGATCAAAGAGGTGGTATTTGCAGGGACAGACATCACTTTGCTATTGGGATGAAGAATAATAATAAAAGGAGGGTGTCTGGGATCACTGTCAACAATAAGCAAAAAACGGAAAGACACGTTATTCTTCAAATAGTACTTCTCCATTTGCTGGCATCAAAATTCAGGAGAGCCTCTTGGAGGAGGAGCTGGGGCACCCATGACTTCTCCCTGCTCCCATAGGATACTGGCAGTGTGTGCTTATTTATATGCTTGGAGGCCCTGAGGCTTTCACGGTGTCAGATCACAGAGAATTTCAGTGTGTAACCTACAACCCTGTCCCCAAGCAAGACTCCTATCCTGTCCTTAAAAGCCTTGAAGATGTTACGCTAAAAAACAGAACAAGCCGATCACAAAAGGACATATATTACGTGATTCCACTGCTTATATGACGTAACCAGTCAGAATCCTAAGGACAGAAAGTAGAATGGTGGTTTCCAAGGGCTGGGGGCAGAGAAGGGGAGTTATGGTTTAATGGGAACAGAGTTTCTGTTTTACGAGATGAAAAGATTTTGCAGATGGATGGTGGTGATGGTTGCACAACAATATGAGTTTATTTAATGCCACTGAATTGTTCCCTTAAAAATGGATGAAAATGACCCTGGCCGGTGTGGCTCAGCTGGTTGGATGTCGTCCCGTACACCAAATGGTTGCAGGTTCGATCCCCAATCAGGGCACACGACCAGGTTGTGGGTTCAATTCCCGAGGGTCAGGGCTCGTGCGGGAAGCAACCAATCCATATTTCTCTCTCACATCAATGTTTTTCTCTCTCTCCCTCTCTCCTTTCCCTTCTCTCTAAAAATTAATACAGATCCTCACATGAGGATTAAAAAAAGAGGCTGGCCCGAACCATGTGGCTCAGTGGATGGAGTGTTGTCGCATGGACTGAGAGGTCCTGGTTCGATTCCAGATCAGGGCACATGCCTGGGTTGCAGGCTCGATCCATGTAGGGGATGTGCAGGAAGGAGCCAATTGATGTTTCTGTCTCCATTCCTCTCTCTCTAAAAAAATCAATAAAAACATTTAAGAGCCCTGGCCGGATTGGCTCAGCAGTTAGTGCGTCAGCCTGTGGTCCAGAGAGACCCAGGTTTGGTTCCTGCTACGGGCACGTACCTCGGTTGCAGTTTGTCCCTGGCCCCGGTTGGGTTGCGCAGGTGGCAACCACTCGATGTGTCCCTTTCACGTCGATGTTTCTCTCTCTCTTCCTCCCACTCTATCTGAACAAAAAATGTCCTCGGATGAGGATAAAAAAAAAAAAATTTAGAAAAAAAGGCTGAAATTGTAAATTTTATATTATGTATGGTTTTCTACAATAAAAATAATTTAAGTTAAATTTTTAAAAATTCCATGACCAGAAAAAATATATCTCATCTCTTGGCATCTAGAAAGTGGGTGCCAGACCAACCTCTCCCAAGTACCAAATCTCAGGTCACAATACCTGGCTGCCTGCCCCACACCCAGCTCTCCAGGATCGACTTGGACCTGAATACAGGTGCAGGTGTTTCTTCCTCATCCTTTTTTTCTTTGTCATTCAGATCTTCTTTCTTTGTTCCACTCGAAGCATCAACACCATCATCTGAAAAAAATTATTTTAATTAAAAAAAATTGCTTTCCGTCTATAAATTTACTTTCAAACGTAACATCCACTTGTCTGTCTCTTTGCAATGTACCTCTAAGAGATGGAAAGGTGAAGGAAGTTACAACAATGATCATTAGCTCAATGTTTGATTTTTTTTTTAAGTTACATGAATCAACACCGTAACAGGTACAGTGTGATTTACAAAGAAATGAATTGCCAGTAATCCTTTTAATAAAGAAACTAATATAGCCCTCAAATTCTTCTTTGAAGCATGTCTTCCAAAACATTTCATCAATTTCCTACTACATTTCACAGCTAAGAAACTTAGTCTTTGGTGTTTACCTGCTTGAATTTCTCATTAACCGCTTTTATCCAGTGATTCCCAATTGCTTGTGTGTCCATGGGAAGGGGTGTGATTTGGAAATCATTTTAACTCTCTGCACTGCCCTACTCCACCAGCAACTGAGAACCACTGCTGACAGAGCACCAGGACACGAAGGACGTTAAGAACAAGGACATTAGGGCACCGATAAGTTGAGGCTTTAGTCAGAACAAGTATCATGAAATGCCTTACATAGCAAGTGAAGAAAGAATTAACCTTAACCTTGAGTGTAAACTTGTCCTGTCCTAAAAGGCTCTTACTGAATAAATTATCCTCTAAATGACACAATTAAAAATGCACATCTAAATCTGCGGGAGAGATTCTATCGTATTACAAATGGTAAGGAGTATCTAAAAATATATGAAACCAACAAGGGGCAAATATTCAAGAAATTCCTGCACTCTGTAAGAAAAACATCAAACCTCCAACAGAATGAACGCCAAACAGCTAATGCTATAAAGAGATACTCAAACTCATGTTTAGAAAAATGTAAATTAAAGCAATGAAATATTACTTGACACTCAGCAAAATGGTGATTGTGAGAAAGCTAAATATAAGTTCCAAGACAGGCTTTTTTTTCTTTTTATATCTGGTTTGGTTCACTGATGTATCCCAAGCACCTAGAGTAATGTGCCTGCCAGGGGAGCGAGCTTTTGACAATCTGTTCAATACCTAAGTAATGCCAAGTGTCAGCAGAAATGTGAAGCTGGAGGCAGAAAACTTCAGATACAGTGGGCAGGAGTGGGGAGCTGGCAGCCAGAGGACCCTGGGGCCAATGACTTACAGGGAAGGCCCTTTAATGCCTTCCTGGGGCTATGCCCACAGGGCCCTTGCACAGGCCCACAATGAGGAGCAGGAAAACAAAACCCACTGTGGATATAACTTACAAATACAGTGCTGGATGGCAAAGGTGAAAAACTTGGGCTAAAGAACCACATGTTCCATTTACACAAATTGTAATTGCACGCACACTGAACACTTGCATGTTTTATAAGAACATAAAGACAAAAGGACACACAAACATATTAGAAAGGAAACCTTTAAAATATGGACTTGGAGATGGTGTGCCAAGAACTCAGGAGTGTAACTAACTCAATTATTTGGTCTTGAGGTCCAAGAGAGGGCTCTTGTCACTGGGACACTCTGTGTCCCATTCCTTCAGCCTCCTGCCACAGCTACGGTTGCGGTACCTTAATTTTATACAGAAATATCCAGTAATCTCCTGGGCATTAAAAATAGATGTTTTGCCTGGCTGGTGTGACTCAGTGGTTGAGCATCGACCCATGCACGAAGGGGTTACTGGTTCGATTCCCCATCAGGGCACATGCCCAGGTTGTGGGCCAAATTCCTGATGGGGGGCATGCAGGAGGTGGCCAATCAACGTTCTCTCTCATTGATGTTTCTATCTCTCTCTCCCTCTCCCTTCCTCTCTCTCTAATAAGTCAATAAAATAAAAAAAAGTTAAAAAAATTTTTTTTTTTGTAATGTATACATTACGAATGTCAAATCATAAAGCACCTCGAAAGTAAGTACTGAAAAGTCACATGAGTCATAGAAAAAGTCAGGTTTGGAATCAGGATTTCAGCCCTCACTGTACACCCCAAGCAGGGATGAGGAGGGTTACACACACGGGTTAAGGACCTCTGCACAGAACATTAAACTTCACCAAGATAGTGCAGCTGACCAAACAACAGGGGTCATTTCAGATGCCACAGCCACTCTCAAAGTAACAAATATGACCCTTGACATCAAATACAACTGTAAGTACCCTTCCCTGTGTATGTATATTTTCTTACCTCTGCAAGGAGTTACTAAATTAACTATGAATTCTGTTAAATCTGGTGGTGCACCTCTTCTGATTGGTTTAAAAAGAATAAAGGCTTATATTATCTAATAAAATGGAAATCAAAAATCCCCAGAAAACGCCCAGCCAGTGTGGCTTAGTGGTTGAACATCGACCCATGCAGTAGGAGGTTGCCGGTTCAATTCCCGGTCAGGGCATGTGCCCATGCTGTGGGCCAAATCTCCAGTGGGGGGCATGCAGGAGGCATCCAATCGATGTTCTCTCTCATCAGTGTTTCTCTCCCTCTCCCTTCCTCTCTCTAAATTAAATAAAGAAAAAGAAAAAAAAAAAAGATCCCCAGAAAAGAAATTTCTAATACTTTAAATAGTGGCCCGCCTTTTAAGGGGGGGGGGGGGAATCATCTCTCAGAAAGGGAATCCTTGTGCCTCGTGCACTGTTGGTGGGAATGTAAATTGGTGCAGACACTGTGGAAAACAGTATGGAGGTTCCTCAGAAAATTAAACATAGCATTACCATATGACTCAGTGATTCTACTCCTGGGTATATATCTGAAGGAAATGAAACACTAACTCAAAAAGATTTCTGCACCCTGTCAGGTGGCTCACACATTCAGGGCACATACCTAGGTTTTGGGCTCAATCCCCAGTCGGGCGTGTATGGGAGGCAACTGATTGCTGTTTCTCTCTCATTCTCCCTTCCTCCCTCTCTCAACATATCCTCAGGTGAGAATAAAAAAAAGATATTCGGTCCTGGCCGGTTTTGCTCAGCAGTTAGAGCATCGGCCTGCAGACCAAAGAGTCCCAGGTTTGAGTATGGCCAAGGGAATTAAAAAAAAAAAAAAGCCCTGGCCGATTTTGTTCAGTGGTTAGAGCATCTGTCTGCAGTCCAGAGAGACCTGAGTTTGGTTCCCGCTAAGGGCATGTACCTCGGTTGCAGTCTGTCCCCAGCACTGGTTGGGTCGTGCAGGTGGCAGCCACTCGATGTGTCCCTTTTATGTTGATGTTTCTCTCTTTCTCTCTCCCCCTCCCACTCTATCTGAACAAAAAAATAAAAAAAAGGTTCTTAGGTGAGGCTAAAAGAATGGAAAAAAAAAGATATCTGCACCCTAATATTCACTGCAGCATTATTCACAACACAAGATAAAAAACACTGGTTAAAGGCACGTACCTTTTCTAGGAGAAAGCTCTCCACTCTGGGTTAATTCTGTCCCAGTGTATATAATTTCTCCATCTTGAACCATTTCATTCCACAGAGCACAGAGCCCATCTCCTGTGAATGCAAGCTGGCAACGAGAAAAATAAACGTACAGAGTGATCATGCTTACAATGCAGTTCTTAAATAATGACATGAAAAACATCATTTCCTCTAATTTATTCAATTGTTCAACATTTAATCAAAATTATCCCCCCGAAAAATAGGTAAGTGAAAAAGGCAAACAACAATGTATATACTACGCTAAGTTTTTGCAAGGTACAAGATAAAAGACACGCAAAGCCTGTGCTGTGGAAAGATTAACCGGAAATAAATAACAATGGCTAACTATGGGGACACAGGAAGGGGAATATGAGTAGAAGGCACTAGAGAATAATGACAGCAAGATGTTGATCATACCTTATATTTTTTTACTTTGAAAACATAAAAATGATTCTCATCTTCAAAAGTTAAAATTAAATCATAAAGAAGCAAAACCTACAACTGTTAACAAGCAAATTAAGCTACACTTACTTTATATTTTTAAATTGATTTTTAGAGAGTGAGGAAGTAGGTTAGAGAGAGAAACATTGATTTTAGAACAAAACATTGATTGGCTGCCTCCTGCACGTCTCCTACTGGCGATCAAGCCCGCAGCCCGGGAATGTGCCCTGACCAGGATTTGAACCAGTGCCCTCTCGGTGCAGGGGCCAATGCTCTACCAACACTTTAGCCACACCAGCCAGGGAGAAAAAAACATATACACTACATAGAGTATTTCAGACATTTCTTTTTGCTGGTAATATGTTGTTACAAAAGTAGTTTTCCCCCCAACCATTTGCAAACAAAAATAACTTGGGGTGAAGAACAGTCCATAGAAATATTACAGCTATTATTTAGTCCATAATTTCTAGACAAGTTTGCAATGACCTTATATAACCAAAGCACTAGTGAGTCTAAGGCCAACATTTGTTTCCACATGCTTTTTTTTTTATCCTCACCCGAGGACATTTTTCCATATTTTGTTCAGATAGAGTGGGGGGCAGGGAGAGAGAGAGAGAAACATCGACATGAAAGGGACACATCGAGTGGTCGCCACCCGCATGACCCAACCAGGGCCAGGGACAAAATGCAACCGAGGTACATGCCCTTAGCGGGAACCGAACCCGGGTCTCTCTGGACAGCAGGCCGACACTCCAACCGCTGAGCCAAACCGGCCAGGGCCACATGCTTTTTAATTACATTATTAGTGTTGTTACAGGGTAGTAAAAAGCCAGGAAAGTTCCAGGACAAGAGAAATAGGGAAACTGAGATAAGAAAGTTAGAAATAAGGCCAAAAGGTGTGGGCAATTTGCAGCTGGCTTGTAATAACAGGCCATTATCTCCCCCAAACCAAGAACACTTGGGAGCAAAAGGTTAAAAGTCTCCCTAATGACAGAAAGGAGGAGAAAAGGGAGAGAGAAGGAAGCAGTCTTTCTCACCCACTAAACAAAGAAACCAGACATTTAGGGCAAGGGAAAAGGAAAAACAAAGGCAGTTTTTATTTTTTTACTCCCTAAACCAGTGCCAAATGTCACAACCCTTTAATACAGTTCCTCATGTTGTGGTGACCCCCAACAATAAAATTATTTTCATTGCTACTTCATAACTGTAATTTTGCTACTGTTATGTCTTAGGTGACCCCTGTGAAAGGCTCGTTCGACCCCCAAAGGGGTCACGACCCACAGGTTGAGGACCTAAACCAAAAAGCCAGCAGCAGCCTCAAGTCTTGGCAAGAAAAAATTGCAGGTGAGAAGCATGAATTCTGGGAAGGCAACAACAAAGCAAAAAGGACCTTGAGACTTAATCTATACCAAGATATGCAGCAGAGAAATTTTGAAACCAATAGAGAGGAGGGTATATAACACCTCAAATGCCCATACCACTAGCTCTTCAGATTAGCTCAGAGCCCATCTGCACTTCATAAGCCAGGTGTGTAGATTTGCTGTGCTTCTTTAATAAATTTGCTTGTTGTAACAGCTTTAGTAAATTGGCTTTATCACAACACAATCAGGGTCTCTCATTTAAATTCATTTATAGGAGAGGACAAGAACTGAGGTTGGGGACAGCCTTCTCTCCCTTCAACTCAGGGGGCTATCAGATAATACCTCCCTGGTGTCTGTGAGAGGTGCCTATGAGGGTGACATAGGTTAATACAATTACTATATGGGTTTCAAGAGTACAATTCTGTAACACATCATATGTAAATTGCATTCTGTGCTGTTTCCACATGGTTTTGATGCAAAAATCTGAGCACTCCTCTAAATAAGACAAGTCACAAAGACAAAACAATCAACTCAACTGAAATCCTCTTTCCAGAAACACAAACACAGGATCCCATAAAATGAGTAAGTCTCTTCAAAACATAATAAATTACCACACATCACTTTTTCCCAAGATAATTAACTAAACATCTTAAGAACTATCACTACACAATTACTAAGACATAGTTAAGAATGATACAACCCTCTTAAAAATAATAACAGAGCCCTGACCAGTTTGGCTCAGCGGTTAGAGCGTTGGCCTGCAGTCTGGAGAGACCCAGGTTCGGTTCCTGCTAAGGGCACGTACCTCGGTTGCAGTTTGTCCCCGGCCCTGATTGGGTCATGTGGGTGGCGACCACTCGATGTGTCCCTTTCACGTCGATGTCTCTCTCTCTCCCTCCCTCCCACTCTATCTGAAGAAAATATCAAAAAATGTCCTCGGGTGAAGATAAAAAAATAATAATAATAATAATAATAATAATAATAATAACAGAGCCTGGCCAGTGTGGCTCAGTGGCTGGGCATGGACCCATGCACCAAGAGGTCCCAGTTTGATTCCCGGTCAGGGCACACGCCCAGGTTGTAGACCTGATCCCCATTGGGGGCATGCAGGAGGCAGCCAATTGATGTTCTCTCATCAATGTCTCTTCTCTCTCCCTTTCCCTTCCTCTCTAAAATCAATAAAAGGACTTATTGAAAAAAAAAATAGTAATAACAGAAAACATTTAGCATAACTAGATCTCAAGTTCTTGCACTTACAAATAACTGTAATTAAAATGTAGCCACACAATCTATAAAATAGCAATAAAAGTCGACACCATAAACGGTTCATTGTAAGTCTTGGAAATAAACCTGCAACCCTTCACCAGAAACGTAAATATGGAAAAAGGCAAGTCAAAAACCCACCTGTATATCTGTTTTCAGCCATTTGGAGTCAAGTCGAGCCTGGGCAGCCAAACAGAAAGAATCGGAGGGCATGTTCCCTCCAGGTTCCTCCCAGCTGTCAGACCTGCAAGTAAGACACAGAGATTGAAGACTTGAAGATTTTCCAAATTTTACCAAGACCCTCCCGCAAGGTTGCATGCGGCAAAAAGAGGGAAGAACAGAAAGGAGGGAGGAGAGTCGCGGGAGGGAAGTGAAAAGAGAAGGAAGTAAAGATGGAGAGACAGGGAGGAAGAGGGGAATCGCGACTTCCAACCCAGGTGAGAGCCACACGCAGGATTCGCCTGGTTCCTGCCTTACGTCCGCGAGACCTTGAGGATCATGGACGAGACCAAACCTCAATGTCATCCCCTTCCCTCAGACCCGAAAGGTAAACACGCCAACAGACAAGAAGCCCACATTTCAACGACACATGACAGCACCGTGCACCTGCCGCTGCGCACTAGCCCCGTGAGCGGTGCGTGGACCATTAAGCAACATCCACGCCCGCAGAAAAATGCTCAACAATAATACCTCGGACAGGGGAAGACAGCCCGAGACGCGCGCCGCGGACAGTCCGCGCAGGCCCCGGTCCGGCGGCCGCGCCCACGCCCGACGCGCCCCGGCTCGGCCCTGCCCCGGGCTCCAGATCGCGCTGCCCCAGCTGCCCGCCGCCCTCGCCGTCCCCGGGGGCCAGGACCTGAACGCAGGGGCCCGGCCGCCTAGCTCCCGCTGCGTGCGGTGTAGCCTCCGAGCCGCCACTGGCTCCGCCCGCGTCCGTGCTCCCGGTGCCTCTCGCGGCTTCAGGGGCGGGACCTCGCGGGACTCTACTTCCCAGCCAATCGCAGCGAGGCTTCTCCAGGGAGCCAGCCAATGGAGAAGAGGACTCCCTTCGTCCCTCCTCCTTCTTCCTTCAATCCCGCTTATTTCCCCTCTTGGAGCGCACTCCTTGCGGTCAGGGCCAATCGCAGGCGTCGGGAGGCGGGACTTCCGCTGCACGCACGCACGCACTCTGATTCCGAACTATGCTCATCTTTCGGGAAAAGTAGCCTTGGCGGTGGCATTTGCAGGTCCTGAGGTGCTTGTAGGCGACGGGGCTGGGTGGAGTCGGGGTACCCTTAGGGGTGAGGACCCTGCGCGTGAAGCTAGTTCAGATGTTCACGAGCTTCCTCCTGTGTGTGACCGTGATTGCCACCGAAATCCTGGGCAGAATGCTTGGAGCATCTGATAGCAGGACAGTCGGAGAAGGAAATCAACCCTTTTCGTACCACTGAACCAGTGGCCGTAAAACAAATCTTAAGAAATTTGTGACCAAAAAAAAAAAAAAAAAAAAGAGTAGGCCCTGGCCGGTTTGGCTCAGCGGTTGGAGCGTTGGCTTGCGGACCAGAAAGTCCTTGGTTCGGTTCCCGCTAGGGGCACATACCAAAAAAAAAAGAAATTTGTGACAGAAGTACGTTCTCTGATTATAACGGGATTAAATTACAAGAAAATAAATAACAAGACAATCTCCAAACACTGAAAAATTAAACAACATACTTCTAGGTGGGTCAATGGAGAAACCTCAAGGGAAAATGGAACTGTTTTGAATTGAACAAAAATTAAAGTATTGATACAGGGCACCTCTCTCAGACACCCAACAGGTGTTATAGGACAACCCCCTGAGTTGGGGAAGAGGGCTGCCCCAACCTTGATCCTTGTCTAGAATAAATTTATATGAGAAGATTCCAGATGACTGTGTTGTGAGAAAAACCAATTCGTTAAAGCAAGCAATATTTATTAAGAAACAAGCAAATCTATACATCTGGTTTATGAAGTGCAGAGGGGCTCTTGGTTAATCTGAACAGTGAGTTGGGTGGGGGTCCAAGGTGATATATACCCCTCCTGCTGAATATTTTGGTACAGATGAATTCTCAAGGTCCCTTTCTGTTTTGTTGCCTTCCCAGAATTCACAAGAAGCACCTGGCATTTTATCTTGGCAAGCCTTGAGACTGTTGGCATTTCTGTTTAGGGAGTAAAAAATAAAACTGCCCTATTTTCCTTTTCCTTTCCCCAAAATGGCTGATTCATTTGTTTAGTGGGTGAGAAAGGCTTCCCCTTTCTCTCCCATTCTTTCCTTGGGAGGCTTTTAAACATTTGCTCTCAAGTGTGTTGGCTGGGGAAGATAATGGCTTGTTATTTGCAGGCCAGCTGCAAATTGCCCATGCTGTTGGGCTTTGTTTTAACTTTCCTGTCTCAGTTTCCCTATCCTTCCTGTCCTGGAATTTTCCTAGGTTCTTAAAACCACATAACAATATAACATCAAAATTTGGAGGGTGCAACTAAATCAGTGATTAAAGTGAAATTTATGACATTAACTGCTTATCTAAGAAGAGAGCAATCTAAAATCAACCTAAACTTCCATTGTAAGAAATTGAAAAATAATAAAGAAGTAACCCTAATCCTACACAAATTCTTCCAGAAAACTGAAGAAGGAACATTTACATTCATAAGCCCAGTATTACCCTGATAACAAAACCAGGAAAGGACATTGAAAGAACATTAAGACCAACATTCCTCGTAAACATAGAAGCAAAAACTTCTTAGCCAAGTTTTGGCTAATAGACTCCAACAACATATAGAAAGGATAATGTGTCATAACTAAGTGGTGTTTAATCTCAAAAATTCAAGATTGGTTTAATATTCAAAGCTAAGTGCAATGAACCATTTAACAATGAGATCATCGGAATAGATATAGGAAATGCTTTTGACCAAATCTCATTATAAAAACCCTCAGCAGGCCCAACTGATGCCTCTCAGTGGTTCTAGCACCGCCCTCACACCTGTGAAGGGACACATGCAATTGTTTATCCAATGTGGAAACGTCACTGTGTGCCATATATGTGCGTGTGTGTGTTTAATTATGCTTTTATTTAGTTTTTAGAGAGAGGAAGGGAGAGAGGTAAAGAGAGATAGAAACATCGCGGCGGCCTCCTGCACGCCCCCTACTGGGGATGAGCTAGCAACCCAGGCACGTGCCCTGACCAGAAATTGAACCTGGACTTTCCATTCCCAGTCCACGGGATGATGCTCAATCCATTGAGCCACACCAGACCCTCAGCCCTGTATATTTTTGTTTGCCAAACCTCAGAACCCCATCTCCCCACAGACCCACCTACAGCCTTACCCCCCTCCTAACCACTCTTTAAATGTTGTTGTTTTTTGTTTTTTATCCTCACCTGAGGACATTTTTTTTTTTGGTGGTACGTGCCCCTAGTGGGAAGTGAACCTGGGACTCTCTGGTCCGCAGGTGGATGCTCAACCGCTGAGCCAAACTGGCCAGGGCCATTTTTGCATTTTTATCTTCAGATAAAGTGGGAGGGAAAGAGGGGGGAAGAGAGAGAGAGAGAGAGAGAAATATCAATGTGGGCTAAATATGTTGTTTTTCAAAAATCCTCACTGGAGGATATTTTCCCATTGCTTTTTAAAAATTTTTTAGCCCTGGCCGGTTTAGCTCAGTGGTTAGAGCGTCAGCCTGCAGTCCAGAGAGACCTGGGTTCGGTTCCCGCTAAGGGCACGTACCTCGGTTGCAGTTTGTCCCTGGCCCTGGTTGGGGTTGTGTGGGTGGCAACCACTCTATGTGTCCCTTTCACTTCGATGTTTCTCTCTCTCTCTCTCTCTCCCTCCCACTCTATCTGAACAAAAAATGGGGAAATGTCCTTGGGTGAGGATAAAAAAATATAAAAAAGGTTTTTTTAATGTTTCATTGATTAGAGAGCAAGGAAGGGAGAGGGAGAGAGGAATGAAAGTGGGACTTCTCAGTCCATGGGACTATGTGAGCATAGTCCACTCAATCCACTGAGCCACACTACCGGGCTCCATTGATTTTTAGATAGGAGGGGGAGCCAGAGAAACATTGATGTGAAAGACACATTGGTAGCTTCAGGCAGCAGACCCAACAGGGGCCTGGGCTGGAACCTGCAACCCAGGCACACACCTTCCACCACTGGGAATATAATGTGAGACCCTCTGTCCACCGGCTGAACCAAACCAGTCAGGGCTGTTTGTTTGTTTGTTTATTTATTTATTTATTTACTTTCAGAGAGAGGAAGGGAGAGGAGAGGAGAAAGAGACAGAAACATGGATTGGCTGCCTCCTGCAGGCCGGGGGGCATGTGCCTTGCCCAGAATCAAACTGGCGACCTCTTGGTGCCTGGGTGATGCTCAGCCACGGAGCACTCCCGCTAGACCTTGCTGGCCCCTCCTAAAGCCCTCCACAGCCACGCCCCTCCTGTCCACCCGCACTCCTGGAGCCCGCGACCCAGGCTCCGCGTCCCGCCGGGTCCGAGCTTCACCACCCTGCAGCCCAGCCCACCCGCCGCCCCGCCCCCAGCCCGGAGGCGCGCAGGCGCAGGCGCGGAGGGCGGCGCGGCGGAATGGGGACTGCAGCGGCGGCAGCGGCGGCGGCCGGGGAGGGGGCGCGCAGCCCGAGCCCCGTCGCCGTGTCGCTCGGCCTGGGCGTGGCCGTCGTGTCCAGCCTGGTGAACGGGTCCACGTTCGTGCTGCAGAAGAAGGGCATCGTGCGCGCCAAGCGGCGAGGTAGGGCGGGCCGCGGCTGCGCTCGGTCCGCGGGGTGCAGGGGCGGCCGCCAGCGGGAACGCGCGGGGTCCCGCCGGGCCGGGCCGGGGACGCGGCCTGCGCGCTGACGCGTCTCCACCCGGGCCGCTCCCGAAGTCGCCAGGAATCACCCGGCGCCCCAGGCGATCGTGGTTAGGTGGCCGCCACCGCGCCTCTCCCATCCCAGTGGCCGGAGAGGCCTTGTTCCGTTTGCGGGGTTTCTCCCGCCCGCTTCTCCCTCCTTCCCAGCCCGTCACTGTCGCCGCACCCGCCCGCCGCCAGGGAAACCTCTGCGTTTGCAGTGTCCCCGACGTGGTCGCAGCCCGGGTCCGGCCTGGTGTCGCGTTGCCTGCGGCGGCCGCACCGGTGCCCACGTGAGACCTGGGCCCCGAGGGCGCCGTACCCTCCGGGTCCTTGGGGCATCCTTCTCGGATTTAGACGTTAACCATCTACCTACAAGTGATGTTTAGTGAAGGAAACGTAAGACACCTTAATAAAACGAGAAGTGGGCCAACCGAGCAATGCGCGGTGGACCCACCAGCAAGCCCAGCCCTCCGTGCGTGGTGTGGAGGTGACAGTGTAGCGACGCTTTGCCTGTGCCCCTCGGTGCTCTGGAGCGGCCTGTGGCGTGCGTGCTTTGGAACAGAAAGTCTGGTTGTGGCTGCGTTCTCAGCGTGCCTTCTAAGAGCTCTCGGGGCAGGATGGGGTTGCCAGGTCAGGAGCTGGAGAAGGAAATTCATTTAATAGTTCCCATTCCTCGTGCACGTGAACCTCCCTCTGAGTGCCCTGGATGGGGCCAGGAGAACCTTCAGGGAAGGGAGAAAAGGGGCCCAGGACATGGAGTGAGAAGATCAAGTCATGGGTATTTGTTTAAAGAATTCAGCATTGAAGTAAAAAATGGCAGTCTGTACATAAAATCTAAACAAAACCAAATTTGACTTCTCTAGGTGGCAGATGTGTCTCTCAGGTGACAGACAGACTTCTGGCAGGGGCTTGTTCTTCAGGAAGTGCCTGGCAGTTTGACAGGTGTCAGGGGTGGGTGAAGTGTTTGCTGTGACTCAAATAAAGAACACACTTGTGCCCTTGATAGGATGGGTGAGGAGGGCACGTCATCCCTGTGATTGTCCTCCCCCAAACGCACAACCCCAGTCTAATGGTGAGAAAAACATCTCACAGGCTGAGTTGAGGGGCAGCCTGCAAAATGCCTGGGCAATCCTCCCGTTAAGATTGTAAAGTTTGCATGACCAATGGGCATAGACAACAAAGCTGGGGATGGGGAGGAGGGTGTCAATGGGGAAAAAGGAGAAACATCTGTAACAAAATAAATTAATAAAAATAATAATAGTAAAAAAAAAAAAAAGATTGTAAAGTCTGACTGGCCCGTGCGGCTCATTGGATTGAACATAGTCCCATGGACTGAGAGGTCCCAGTTGGATTCCTGTCAGGGTATAGGCCCCAGTTATCGCTGGATCCCCAGTAGGGGGCGGGCAGGAGGCAGCTGGTCAATGTTTCTCTTACACCCATGTTTCTCACTCTTCCTTGCTCTCTCTAAAAAATCAATAAAGCCCTGGCCGGTTTGGCTCAGCGGTTAGAGCGGTGGCCTGCAGTTCGGAGAGACCCGAGTTTGGTTCCTGCTAAGGGCACGTACTTCGGTTGCAGTTTGTCCCCGGCCCTGGTTGGTCGTGCGGGTGGCAGCCACTCGATGTGTCCCTTTCACATCGATGTTTCTCTCTCTCTCTCTTCCTCTCTCTCCCTCCCACTCTATCTGTACAAAAAATGGAAAAATGTCCTCAGGTGAGGATAAAAAAAAAAAGATAAAAAATCAATAAAAACATATTTTAAAAACTTGTAAAGTCTGAGACACTGTCACAGGTAGCATAAGGACACGTGAGATAAAACACTAGGTAAAATCTAAGGAAACCTGAGTATAGACTTAAGTTAATGAAAAACAATCAGTGAGTCAACCTAAGTGTGTTATTTCAGCTCAGCTTATGTGTTTGAGGGAATTAATGAATATGGACAAAAAAACCAACCTGAAAAAAGAAAACTTGTGACTGATGCTGTTATTTATGCCTGCATACTATGCCTTTAAATTTTTAAAAAAGTGGAAATGTGACATTTGCTAATTGTATATACTTCCCCAGTTGCCACACACTGCTTCTTATTCAAAGCTAGCTGGGTTGGTCATGGTGGTGGAAGACAGACTTAGATTCTTGTTTTGATGACTTAGTTTTGATTTATTCAACTGATCTTCACGAAGTTCTTATTATGTGCCACACACAGTTGTGGATATTCAGGGGATCCCGTTTTATTTTATTTAATTTATTTATTTTATTTATTTGGTACGTGCCCCTAGCGGGAACTGAACCCGGGACTCTCTGGTCCGCAGGCTGACGCTCCAACCGCTGAGCCAAACCGGCCAGGGCGAGGGGACCCCATTTTAGAATCTCCTTCTAGAACCTTGTGTCACCTGTGTTAAGCTGCAGAGTTGACCATTACAAAAAGCCTGCAACAGAGGAGATGGGAGGAAAGAGGAGGTAGCTAAGACCTGGGGAGTCCTGACAGTGTCTTCCGTGGTAAAGACTTTGTTCCACTGCAAGTTTCAACTTCAGATGAATTGCCACATGGCAGGATTTCTTTGGAAGCCCAGCTACAGGAGAGCCAAGTTCTGCACACAGCCCTTCTGTTGGTAGCCTTGGGGCACTTTTTTGTTTTTTTTTCCCCTTCTTTTTTTTCTGTTAGGGGCTTTCACTCTCTTGAAAGGACCTTCCCAGTGAATGGAGTAGGCCCGGAGCTCTGGCCACACATAGTCTCCAGTGGACAGCCAGACTGCTGGGGAGCCACTGAAGGACTCTGCAGATGGGAAGTGGGCCCGTGGCACCTGGGATGACAGGTCCTATAGTCTGTCTAGTGTTAGAGCCCAGTTTAAGCAGGGCTGAGATGAGAGAAACAAGGCAGTTATTGGGTGTGGAGGCATTTGTGGAAAGCCAGCTGTAACATTAGAATTCATGTGCGTGGTGTGTGTGGGTGAGGACGGCCAGGGAGCTGGTTAGTGTGGGGTGGTGTCTGCCCTGGGACAGGCTTTGTGGAAACAGTTTTAGGAAAGCAGTCTTTGAATTTGCGGGAGGGTTTGGAGAATTGAATACGTTAAGTAACTCCATGTCCGATGCCCTAGACCAGAGTGAACCCGCTGATCTTTTAAAAATCCCTTCCATCAAAACCAAGAGATACCAGTGCACAGCCATTAGGATACTATTTTCAACTTTAGTTTTCATGTAACTCTCTCTTTTTTTTTTTTAAAGTGTGAAGCTTGTAAACCGCTTGCTTCTTGCTTTCCTGACATCTGTGTCTCCCTCTCCTAGGTACCTCCTACTTAACAGATGTTGTGTGGTGGGCGGGCACAATTGCAAGTAAGTACCTGGTTGGGAAGAGCTTGGTCTTCTTTCTCTATTAAGACTGGCCTTTCCTCTGGCAGGACTGGAGTGGGTGGGATGAGGTTGGCTCTGTCCTGTGCAATGAGCAGTGGGAAGGCAGGCGGCCCTTGCTCCCTGCCATTGGCTCCGACTTTACTCCAGGTCACAGTGTCCTGGGCCCAAAGAAGTTAAAACAGCTCCTGCTTACTCACCTGTATCCGGGCTGTTGGCATTTGGTGAAATTTCATGTTTTTACTGAACATAACTGGTTTTACAAAGGCAGCTTTCTTCACTCAGCTTTAAGGACCAGGCCATGTGCTAGAATATAAAAATAAAATGAGAGCTTAGAGCTTGAAATAGAGAAAAATTATATGCAAGATTTCAGAAATAGCAGGTTTCTTTCTCTCACAATGTCGTTTAGGAAAGAGACGTCAGTTGCTTTCACCGAAAAGCTGCGATTTGAGCTCTAACTCCCTGCCAGAGTGGGGTTCTGTACAGGCAACACTGTCCCACTCCGTGTGCCGGCAGCACTGGGGTCCAGGCCGTTTAAGGGACACAGGAAACTCTGCATGATTTGTCTTAAAACAAGGATGTGTTGCCCGGCTGGTGTGGCTCAGTGGATTGAGCATCATCCCATGGACTGAGAGGTCTCCGTTCAATTCCTGGTCAGGGCACATCCCCGGGTTTCAGGCTCGATCTCCAGTAGGGGGCGTGCAGGAGGCAGCCAACAGATGTTTCTCTCTCACATCCTTGTTTCTATCTCTCTCTCCCTTCCCCTCTCTCTCCAAAAAAAAATCAATAAAAATATATTTTAAAAAGAAAAGAATAAGTATGTGTTCAGGAGAGGGAGGAAATTGACTGAGTTGCATCTACTGTCCCTTACTGTCTTCACTTGGGACCTTGCATAGAGGGCTGCAGCCGCTCCCCAGCCCATCAGGACAGTGACGCCGAGGTCTGCTCCTCTGCGCAGTTAGGACCCTCCGCCGTGCGAAAGGTGCCCCAGGGTTGGTTTCTCACAAGTACCAGAAAAGCAGCCGCTTTTTCAGAGCCGAGCCCCTCCGGACTCACTGATCATTGCTAGAAGAGAGCTCTGTGGTTGCAGGTGCTCATCCTGTGATTCTCTTCGCAGTGGCTGTTGGCCAAATTGGAAACTTCCTGGCTTACACGGCAGTCCCCACGGTCCTGGTGACTCCCCTGGGTGCCCTTGGAGTGCCGTTTGGGTGAGAGCTGGGATTCTCTGTTTGGTTTGTAATGTGTTGTTTAGATATATAGAAAACCTTTTTATTTTCAATGTTTCTGTTCAAATAATAGAAGTAAAATCGTAGCTGAAGACAGGTCTTTGTATTCCACCTTTAATGTGGTTTAATTTTGTTCCTTCAAATTTAGTTGTGTGTCTCACTGTCCCCAGCTTTAATAAATGTCCTTTATAGTACTCCTGGAAGCCCAGAAATTGTGGCTCAGTGGATTGAGCAACGTCCCATGGACTGAGAGGTCCCGGTTCGATTCCCAGTTAGTGTTTTGGGCTCTACCCCATAGAGGGTGTGTAGGAGGCAGCCAACCGATGTATCTCTCTTACTTCGATGTTTCTATCTCTCCTTCCCCTTATCTCTAAAAAAGTCAATAAGAACACATTTTTTAAAAATTAAATAAAATAAAATACACCTGGAATCGTGTTGTGAAATCTTTCCTGTGCAAAGTCAAGAACCCACATACAACCGGCCCATCCTAGACAGACCCCCAAGGGCAGGTCCCCTTTCCTGTAACACTACCATAGTGCAGTAACTACTAGCCTTTTTATTTTTCTTGTTTGTGCATTTTCTCTATATTAACTTCAGTGTTTTGATCATGAATTGTTATTTTAGCAATTTTTATATCCCACTTTCCTACTTAACATAGGTATTTTGCTTATTTGTTTTAAAAAATAAGGAAGTAATTTTTTAAATTTTTGTCAGTCATAAAGCTTACTTTTCTACTCTGGTATATTTTATATCCACTGAATAATACGATGAGTTGAGTCATTACCTGTATATTGGCTATGCACAGAGTTTGTATGAAAATCCTATTTGTGTTGAATTAACTTCAAGAAATTTCTAATCTTTCTACTCTTAAGAACTGAGAAGTAAAATATGGCTATAAAGAAAACGTGACCTTTCTACAGTCACTGACATGAGTAGAAACGGGTCAGATGGTACGATTCCAACTTTGATTTCTCTTTTTTTAATTGAAGGTCCATTTTAGCCTCTTATCTTCTGAAGGAGAAGCTCAACATCTTGGGCAAGTTGGGGTGTCTGCTCAGCTGTGCAGGCTCTGTCGTGCTAATTATCCACTCCCCAAAATCCGAGAGTGTGACCACGCAGGCTGAGCTGGAGGAGAAGCTGACCAACCCAGGTGATCCCTCTCTAGCCCTGTAGCACTGTGGTGCCCCCCAGACCCTGTGCTGTCGTACAGAGTGCCCTGGCTCCCGGCTCCCGGCTCCCGGCCTGCAGGGTCCGCTCTGGGCTGCACGCTGGGGACCATGTGTGTCTTGGCCCCCAGCCCCTGATGTGGTCTAATTTACCTTCACATTCCCCACAGAGGACTGTCTCTTTTTCCTACGTATTTTTGACATACAATAATTTATTTTTATTTTTCAAAAAGTGCAGTAAAAAACAATCTGCATAATTATACTGGTCTTAAAGTATAGATTCTTCTGTGCTGAAAAATCTATCCTGAAAAATTCAGTATAGGTTAAATCCATGCAGAGATGACTTTATTTTATGCATAAAACAGGTTATGGGCTATGATTATTATGAACATATTTGTCCCTCACAAGTCAAAGGTGATGATGCAGAAGTTGTGAGGAGAACAGGATTGTTTTTTTTTGTTGTTTTGTTTTTTATTTTTATTTTTTGGTATTTATCTTCAGATAGAATGGGAGGGAGAAAGGGAGGAAGAGAGAGAGAAACATTGATGTGAGAGAGACACATCGAGTGGTTGCCACCTATATGATCCCAACTGGAGCTGGGGACAAACTGCAACCAAGGTACATGCCCTTAGCGGGAACTGAACCCAGGACTCTCTGGTCTGCAGGCCAACGCTCTAACCGCTGAGCAAAACTAGCCAGAGCAAGGATTGTTGTGTGTGTTTTTTTTTTTTATCCTATCTGAGTACATTTTTTTCCATTTTTTGTTCAGATGGAGTGGGAGGGAGGGAGAGGAAGAGAGAGAGAGAGAGAGAGAAACATCAACGTGAAAGGAACGCATTGAGTGGCTGCCTCTTGCACCACCCAACCAGGGCCGGGGACAGACTGCAACCCAGGTACGTGCCCTTAGCGGGAACCAAACCCGTGTCTCTCTGGACCGCAGGCTGACGCTCTAACTGCTGAGCCAAACTGGCCAGGGCCAAGGATTGTTTTTGATCATGCAGAACTGTCTGCACATCCCAGGGCCCCTGGCCTCTGCCTGCAAGGTGTAGCCCTCCATCTCTGTCACAGATACCCCACAGCTTTCCCGGTGTTCTTTAACACCCCTCCCCCCAACACACACACACACACAGACAGAAACACTCTGCCTAGAGTTTGTTGAACTGCCTCTAAAGTAAGACAACTGGCCCAGTGGGTGTGGCTCAATGGATGAGTGTTCACCTGTGCACCAAGGGGTTGCCAGTTCGATTCCTGGTCAGGACACATGCCCGGGTTGCCAGCTTGATCCCGAGTAGGGGCCGTGCAGGAGGCGCCGATCAATGTTCCTCTGTCATCAGTGTTGCTCTCTCTCCCTCTCCCTTCTCTCTCTAAAGATCAATAAAAACAAACAAAAAATAATAAATAAAGTAAGACCTCGTCTTTTCCAGTGTTTGTGGGCTACCTATGCATCGTGCTCCTCATGCTGTTGCTGCTTATCTTCTGGATCGCACCGGCCCACGGCCCCACCAACATCATGGTCTACATCAGCATCTGCTCCTTGCTGGGGAGCTTCACCGTGCCTTCCACCAAGGGCATCGGGCTGGCGGCCCAAGACATCTTCCACAACAACCCGTCCAGTCAGCGGGCCCTCTGCCTGTGCCTGGTGCTTCTGGCCGTGCTCGGCTGCAGCATCATCGTCCAGTTCAGGTACATCAACAAGGCGCTCGAGTGCTTTGACTCCTCTGTGTTCGGGGCCATCTACTACGTGGTCTTCACCACGCTGGTCCTGCTGGCCTCTGCCATCCTCTTCCGGGAGTGGAGCAACGTGGGCCTGGTGGACTTCCTGGGGATGGCCTGTGGCTTCACCACCGTCTCCGTTGGCATCGTCCTTATCCAGGTGTTCAAAGAGTTCAATTTCAACCTTGGGGAGATGAACAAATCTAATATGAAAACAGACTAGAACGCAACAGGGGGTTGGGTGGTGCGGGGAACAGGAAGTAGATATGGTTTCTAGTCCTAATTTGACTTGAAGTACAAGTGCCCCTAAACCACTGGTATTAGGGTTGCTTGTATATCAGTGTGTGGTCTGGTGGATAGGAGGGACATTGCTCAGCACCGGCAGGAGCCTAGCCCTCTGGTCTGAAGTTGCTACATGGTCGCCTGGGCATCATCTCTCTGACGAGAGGAATTCATGATCATTGCCATTAACCTGGAAGCTTTCACGAATAATCCTTTCCTTTAAAACATTTTCACAGTATTTAAATAGAAAATAAAGATGGGCTCGCCTTGGTTAGTCTTTGCAGGGGAGCAGATATTCTTACTTAGGAGATAACTTTGGAAATGAGAGAGAGTATCTTGAAATCTGACTCTGTATAGTAAATGTACCTGTAGTTGTGTTATTTTGCATTAAGCCTGTATAACCTCATTCAGGTAAGAGGTATACCCATTCAGTTGTTTTTAATCCTCTAATGAGCTGACTCTCCCTCCCCCCACTCCAAGACAGATGGAGAGGAGAGTGACTACTGGCAGCACTCTGTTTCCGGAGGGCTTCCAACAGCTTACGTCGATTTCAGTGCCTTTACCACTCGAACTATTCACTTAATTTCACTATCCCTGTGCATCTGTTCTCTTAGCTTAGAATAACGCACCCTCCGTGACTATTTAATATTTCACTGTTTAAAACATAAATGTGTAAAGGGGTTCTATATTCATTTGTGGGAAGAGAGTCAAGACTAAAGATGTATTAGAAAGAATTGGCCCTATTAGCATGTAGTTATTGTCCCACTAAAGACAGTTGACTTAAGCAGCATGAGGTATTTTATTTATATTCAGTCTGTGTAACTGGGACCCAGTATCAAATAGATCCACGTTCTCTTTCAGTGAACTTGGTGGCCACGCAGAAGTAATAGATTATCTGACTTGATCATAAGGCTGTTAGATGAGAGGGTGACTTCAGCAGCACACGTATCGAGTTCCCTGTGGCACGGGAACAAGTGAAAGGACACCGCCCAGCTGAGGCCAGCAGACATTGGAACACAAAGTGAGTTTCAAAAGAATGTCTAGCAAAAAGGAAAACGGTTAATTTGGCCAGCTCCCTGCTGTTTGAGGAGGTGGAGCGCCCTACCGTCACTCGCCCAACCTCTCATTGAACTTCTGAAATACAGAGTAGCCATTAATCATGCCAGCAAAGAGATCCTTCATCTGTCCATAGGAACCCTCTGTGTGAATTAAATGGGAAGAAAGCACAGAGTGATGTCGTATTTTGTCGTGTTATCATGTCCTTTGCACTGTTTTATCTGAATAGGGAACTGTGCCAAGTTGGAAGGTGGGGTTGGGTAATGCAGATTCAGTGAGGTAGAACATGGAATCTGATAATACCCAATTAAAGTTATTCACTAAAGGAAAAACTATGCTTTTCCAGCCAAAAAAGAACACTTCTAAAGACCCAAGGAGTAGCTCCCTAAATTGTTGAACAAAGGCTGCGATGGTTTAACAGAGTGAAGAATACATTTATGAATTAAAAGTACATGTGATGATCATGGGCCTGACTTGTGAACTAACAGCAGCAACAAAATTAAACATTTTTTTAAAACATTATATTTACTGATAGTTAATAAATGCTCAAAAAGTTCCTCACTTTTTAAAAAAAATTTTTATTCTTTATTAATTATAGAGAAAGGAAGGGAGAGGGAGAGAGATAGAAACATAGATGAGAAAGAACATTGATTGGCCACCTCCTGCATGCCCCCCACTGGGAATTTGACCCCCAACTTGGGCATGAGCCCTGACCAGGAATCGAACCGGTGACCTCTTGGTGCATGAGTCTATGCTTAACCACTGAGCCACACGAGCTGGGAGTTCCTCACTCTCTTTATCAGCTCTCGAAGTGATCACCAGTATTTTTTGGAATGCAGGCCTTAATTTATGGAACTGAACTTTCTGAAAATACAGTGTAGCCATGTCGGTATACTTTTAGGCATAAAAAGTTTCTCAGGAAAGGATCTTTGTTTGAGATCTTGAAGGAAGACACATGGCACAGCACACATACTGAGAAAGTTCCAGGTCAGATGGAAATCATCATGTTTATTATGTTGCTACAACTTACATGTGAAGCTCAATTGGAGTGTGTCTCTTGGTATTCCTTATTATATTTTCATTCACAATTCTGCCATGGATACTCACAGGAGACATTTTCTGGATAAACATCCCTATGATTTTTTTTTTTAGGGTAAAACAAAATTTCAAAGTATTACCAACTTATCTTCTCTTGAAGGTGACTGGTCCCAGAACAGGTGGGTTTCCCAAGTTTACATCCGGTCAGCAGATTATTTTGGTAGGATGTGCAGCTTTCCTTCTAGTGAAACAAGGTTCATGTCACCCGTGTGTGACTCTAGCCTCAATGTAATGGCCATGACCAGCTGTCTAATAGCCTAATCGTCAAGTGTGACCTAGAGCATATAACTTCCAATTTAATAGTATTTATTTATATTACAACTTCATGTGTTGATAATTCCTTTGGAATTACAAAGAAAAATGTCTCCAAGTGAGAGTTTTAGGGGAGAGATCTAGAGTGGTAATGGATTTCTGCAAAAGTAAGTAATATGAAACATTTCCGTTACTATACTATACTTTGGGTTTTATCTCTGATAAAACTAAGAAAAATACCTACTGTCTACTAGTTTTCAAGCCTCCTCTAAAAATCATATGTTTGTGATCATAATATGCAGATTTTTCTCTTAAAGTAAAGATACTTTAATAGGCATTTCTCTCCTCTCCAACTCGGATAATGCCTTATTTTCTCATTGGAATCTTTGCATTTAAAAAGATTGCTTACTGACCAAGTGTAGAGCCTATTGAGGATTCTGATTGAAACCTAGCACCAAGACCACCATGGACATTCATCCATTCTGAAGGTCAGCTCCATCTCTGCAGAGAAGGTTCTGGAGAAGGAGGGCAGTTGGCTCCCTGCCATTCGTGGGGTGAGATCTGTCCAAGGTTGTGAGTTCAGGGAGGATGATCACTCAGATATTGTGGTCTTTTTACATTAGAAAGTTAGTGCACTAGGCTTCACTGCTCTTGGTTCAGCAATAAGAAATATTTCAATTCCTGTCTTTCAAGCCAGTTTGTTATACTCAGTTTTATTTGCAGAAGTTCATTCCAGCAGTAGCAGGTTGCTTTCTGTTCTTCCTCTGGGTTTCCTGTCTGATAGAACGAGCACGATGAAAGGATGCAGTCACCTCTCATTCTCCTTGACAGCTCAGCTCTTCGTAAATACTGTGCTCACTTCTAGAGGCCAGTTCCTAGACAGTTATAAAGCACTTGAGACCAGAGTTTCCCACGTGTGGACGACCACCTTAGTCCCTGGAGACTGACATGTTGATGAGCATGGTCCTTGGCTGCCTGAGTCTTGTTGGGAGAGATACCTCTTTTCTAACCTGCTCAACTCATCTAGGAGAGCCCAGCAAATGCTCTGATTGTCTGTAGACCTATGCCCATGGCTCTTTTCTGATGCTGATTTGACCTTTACTTAGGCTTCCTGTGGCTGAGTAGGAAGCTGGAAAGGGAAGCATGCTTCCATTTAGTCTTGTTCATGACTTCTGATGGGCTTCAGTGGTCTGAAGGAGTTGTCCTCACTGTGTATGACACCAAGGATGTTGTTCACCCATTAAGTAGGATGAGATGGAATCTTGGTGTTCTGCCTTCTCAGGGACCAAAAACATAACATTAACTCCTTAGCATTGACCTTGCTCCCAACATCGTGTCTGTGTTAGTTTTTTGTTATGTGTTGCTCCTATTCATAGGTCTATGAACCTGAGTTGGAAAAGGAAAGATCATTTGCCCACCAGACACAACATAAAACGGCTTATCATATCAAATACCTCAATTTTCTGTATTCCTCACTTCCACCTCACATTTGTACTGGGGATGAAATTCTGTCCTTTAGCTTTCAGGTGATTTTTCACATCTGGCCAGATTTTTATAACCTCATCATATACTTGAAAAGATTAAGAATGACAGACATGGGAAGGAGGATTTGGCCTAATACCACTATTCATTTATTTTCATGCCATTTCTCACATGCTAGTAAATGCAACAAAAGAATATTTTAAGAAAATGTAACTTTGTTACATCCAAAAAATATCATCTAGTAAAAAGTTGATACTCAGTAGAGCAAGGATCATGTAAATAAACATCTATTTCAGATGTACCCAGTGTGATAAAAAGCATAGGCTAGGGCTCAGAGTATGACCAGGGAGAAGGATTTATATGTTCTTTTCTCTATTTTTCCTTGAATTGTGCAACTCTAGGTGAGTCACTTTACCTTTCTGTGCCTCAGTTTCTCTACCTCTAAAGGGAGGGGATGGTTCTCCAAATCAGCTGTCTTGGGGTGTTTGCACTTCAGCACGTGTTAGCAGCCTCAGGGGCCAGTGTCATATGCAGGATGGCCCAGCAGTGACCCAGTGGGAACTCGGCTCATCCAGGCCCCCTGTCTGCTCAGGACCACGCTGTAGACACGCAGCTTTGAGCACTGAATAAGCAAAGGAAGTGCTGGGTGTCAAGTTTGCATAATTCCATGAAGCTTTTTTTCCTTTTTGTTTGTTTTAAAAGGATTTTATATATTCTATTGTAAAATATGGAAATTAAACAGGGACTTTTAAAAGCTGCACTGAAAGATTATATTCTGATGGTATGATGAGCTTCTTTGAGGTTCTGCACAGGTTTATTTCTGCAGGAGATTCAACAGATTGATTCTGTTGCATTATCCAGTGGCTCAACCCTGACAGTGATCTACCTGACACCAGGTGAATGTCAGGAGCTCCCAAACCACTTGTGCCAAAGGATCACATTGAAAAGTTCAGAACTTATTTGTCAGAATAGAATAATTTGCTCCCCTCCACACCTCATGTCAATGTTTTTGCACTTTGGAAAAATTTAAGGCTACTATTTTTAAGTATCATTCCTGAGTCTCTTTTGCCGTTTGAAATACTGTTACTTTCTTGTAAAATGGAATATAATCAGGAAAGAGAGGAAGAAGACAAGATTAAAAATGTAAAATGTTGCATCAAAGTGTTTTCATGTAAATGTGCCAGGGAGCTTCCAATTATCACGCACACATATTTGTCAATGGCTGAGACTTGCTTATACTTTGCTGTATAGAAGTAGTCATAGCATGTAATTGCCTTATGTAAATAAAAAGGCTATTTATTAAGTTTTCCAATATTTATTAATCTGTATGTGTTTTAAAATAAAATAACATTTGTAGCCGACCACTTGTGTTTTTTTTTTTTTTACCCTTTACTTGAAATGTTTGTGTATTCTCAGGTTTTATATCATTCTAATTCCTCAATCAAAAGTTTCCCATTTTCTTTGCAGAAATGAGTAGCCCTGGTCTCCATCCTGATGTAGGAAATGTCCACCTGTGCACATCTTAGGGAGCAAATCTACCATACATAAAGGGATTCACCATATACTGGCTGCTTTCTGGTACAACAAAATTATGGTATTAAAGAAAACCACCTATATTTTATTTTATTTTCTATTTATTTTTTAATCCTCACCCAAGAATGTGCTTAGAGAAAGGGAGAGAAACATCGATCAGTTCCCTCCCATACACACCCTGACAGGATCAAACCTGAAACCTAGGTATGTGCCCTGACCGGGACTCAAACCGGAAACCTTTCCCTGCAGGGTCCTACGCTCCAGCCAACTACCCCACAAGGGCCACACTGTTTTTTAAGTAGGTCTAAAGCTGTGCACCAGGAGCAGCCTCCCAGGAGGTGCAGGCCAGGTCAGCCATCGCCTGTGTTCTGTTGGGGTCACCTGGGATTAGCTACAAAGCCATCTCATAACCGTGGGTCTGCTATGTAAATCCTCATGAAAATTCTCCACTCCTGGTGTCCAGGCACGCTTTTACCAACACAAACTCGCCTGAAGAGCGCAGTTATTCCGGGATTCCTACCAAACAAAAGGGTCCTAACCTGAGCCCCGCCCCAGCACTTTGGACCACCTCTCTGCGTTTCTCATCTGCCTCTGTCCTAGCCCCGCCCCTGCCCTTGGCCCCGCCCCGCTGGCCGACTTCCTGGCCCCGCCCCGGCCCCGCCCCCAGCACTTGGTGCCACCGCCCCGCTTTCCCGACACGACCCGGCTTCCTTGTCCCACACTAGCCCCGCCTCCAGCACTTAGTCCCGCCTCTCCGCCTTCCTAAAAGCCCCCAGCATCCTAGCCTCGCTCTAGCCCCGCCCCCAGCCCTTGGTCTCGCCCCCCCCCCCCCCCCCCGGGTTCCGCACGCCGGGTGTCTAGGCCCCGCTCGAGCCCCGCCCCTTGCCCTCTCGCAGACTGCTTCCTAAGGGGATCGTTAGACACCGCTTCAAGTGCAGCTGCACACACTGGCCACGCACTGGCGTTCGCATTTTAAGCGGCGCACTGTATTTTGATTTAGATCACTTGGTAGGCGAACGGTAGCTTGCAAAATACTGCCTGCAATACCTCTCCCCTCGGCCCGCCCATTCCCTCCAACCCGGCCAACTAGGGCCTGGTAAAGAAACCGGAACTCGCCGGGAAAACGCGCTGAGGGCCGGACTTTGGCCGCGCTGCACTGCGCCTGCGCGCGCCGCCTCTGCGTCATCCGACCGCGCCCAGTTTCTCTTCCTGGCGGTCCTCGGAACCGGCGGCCGTAGCGGCTGGAGGTTGTCCGGGGCAAGCTGCCCTCCGGGCTCATGGACGCGACGGCGCGCACGGCTGCAGCCCCGGATGCTTGCACCTCCCGCTGGACGACCACGAAGGCGCTGGCCGCGCGATCGCAGGGGAGATCGGCCCGTGCGGCCTGCGGGAGGGTGTGAGCGGAGGTGACCAGAGCGGGGAGCCGAGGGGAAGCCGCGCGCTCAGCCTGCCCCCTGGGGTGAGGCCGCCGCTCTCTTTTCCTTCCCGACAAGCGCGAAGTGCTGACTGGGCGAGGCTTCTCGTCCTGGGTTGGGAAGGGCCCCTCGTGGCTCCGGTCTTGGCCCTGGGACACTGAGCCGCGCTGGTTCTGACATGCAAGCGGTCCGCTTGTTACCTGCCTCGGGGAACCCCACCGCGAACTGATTGCCCTGATTGCTGCTCGGAGGGCCGTGTGTAAAGAACGTCAGCAGCCGGGGTGGGTGGGTTTGGGAGTCCCGGGACCTTCCACCTGAGATCCCTGGAGGCAAGACGGGCACTGCTGGTCTCGGAACCTAGTTCCAGTGAAACTTGGCAGGTTTTCTTGTTCAGCTGTCTTTCAATCTGGCTCTGGCCTGGTCGCTGATCCTTAAGAATAAAAACTAATCTCTGTTTCAGGCCCTCCCAGCTGAGATTGACTTGCAGTGACAGAGCGTTACCGGGTCTGAGAGGAGTCACGCAAGGCGGTCCTTTCGGGACATTCACATCGATTTCCTCTTTTCAAACTGTGAGTCAAATGAGATCGTTTATTTACTTTAGTGGCTGAAGGCTCATTTATCATTTGACAGATGGCAAGTTTATGGTAAAAGATGGTGTCATGATATAAAACTGTACTTAAGCCCTGGTCGGTTTTGCTCAGCGGTTAGAGCATCGGCCTGCGGTCCAGAGAGACCCGGGTTCGGTTCCGCTAAAGGCATGTACCTCGGTTGCAGTTTGTCCCTGGTCGGTCGTGCAGGTGGCAGCCACTCGATATGTCCCTTTCACGTCGATGTTTCTCTCTCTCTCTGTCTCTCTCTCTCCCTCCCACTCTATCTGAACAAAAAACAAACAAAAAACTGTACTTAAAACTCAAACTCTTAAGATCAGAAAACAAAGTGGTGGTTATCAGTGGTGGGGGTGGAGGAGGGGTGGAGGAGGGGTGGGGAAATGGGTGAAGGCAGTCAAAAGGTGCAAACTTCCAATTATAAAATAAATTTTAAGTCCTGGGGCTGTAAGGCATAGTGATTACAGTTAACAATACTGTATTATATACTTGAAAGTGGCTTAGAACCTAGACCTTAAAAATTCTTACCACAAGAAAAAAAAGTAACTGTGTGGGTGATGAGTGTTCACTTACTGTGGTGATCTTTTTTTAAAAATATTTTTTATTTATTGACTCCTAGAGAGATAGGAAGTGAGAGGGAGAGATAGAAACATCCATGAGAGAGAACATTGACTGGCTGCCTCCTCCATGCCCCCCACTGGGGATCAGGTCCACAACCTGGGTATGTGTCCTGACTGGGAATCAAACATGTGACCTCCTGGTGCATGGGTTGATGCTTAACCACTGAGCCACACCGGCTGGGCTATGGTGATCATTTCACAACATATGCATACATAATTATGCTGTAAACTAATTAAACAAATACAACATATATCTCAAAACCATGTCTAAGTTGATTTTATAAACTCTGGTTTCGTATTTTGAAAATGTTTCCAGTCTTACTGACAGTCCATTGCAACAAAATTTTGCTTATAAGAAAAAAATATATATTTCTTTTCCACAGTAGTAATAAAGGAGGTATTCCTTGACGAGAAATGGAGTACAGTTCTGAATCACATTGCACTGTCCTGATCATGCTGTGAAAGTCTCATTTTTTTTTTTTGCCTTGTGTAGATTTGAAAACTGCATCGTCTTGTCTCCAGCACCAGCATTTATTTCTCTGTCCTGTGATCAATGTGAGTTATAGGAATTCTTCAGTAACAAACGAAATGAGCCAGGGGCGTGGAAAATATGACTTCTATATCGGTCTGGGATTGGCTATGAGCTCCAGCATTTTCATTGGAGGGAGTTTCATTTTGAAAAAAAAAGGCCTTCTGCGACTTGCCAGGAAAGGCTCCATGAGAGCAGGTAGGTTGTGACCTTGGTGCCTTTGAAATGACGCCAGTGTGTGCTTGTGTACCCAGGTGCTTGGTCTGTGGAGACCACATGTTCGTTCCTAGGATGTTCAAACTGCAATCTGGATGAGTTGTAAATGTTTATAGAGAATGAAACTTCAGTTTTGTGAAGAGAAAAACAACAGATGTCAAAATAAGTTAACTACTCACTCCTACGATTATTGTCAAACTGGGAATAGGGACCAGTGCCCAATTAGCATTCAGCCTTTTCTTTACATTTTGGTAATGTCTGCAGAGAAGGAAATAAGAGATGGGATAGAGTGGTAATCTCTTTTGTCTGTGATAGTAGAAATCTGATTTTTGCCTTTAGGCATCTTTCCTAATGATAGGACTCCCCTGGGTGGAAAAGTTCTCAGCTCAGTGAACTTCTAGAGTGGTGTAGGTTGTTTCCCCAGTACCTGCTGACCCTGGGGAACACCTGTTGTGAGGGACCCCCACTCTGACTCATCTGGTGTACTCACGACAGGTCCCAGCATTGTGCTGCATCAGTCATGGTCTGTCACTCAGCCTCTACAGCAGCTCTAGACCTGGTTCTGACCTCACAGAAAGACATGCTTTGGCAGTAAAAAAAACAGTACTTCCCTTTTTCCTAGGCCATCTCTGTGGTTAAACCTAATCAAGCAAATTTAAAGCCTTAGCCTCAGTTGGAGTTTTGTGGACAGAGGAGAAAGTATTGGCATGTGCTGCTTGTACCATGCATACCTTATCCTTGGTCAGTCCTGAGGCAGGTGTTCTTATTGCCCAAGGGGAAGTGCTTGTCAGAGCCTTCGTTTGCATTGATGTATTCTTTTGGACAATGGTTTAAGTACCGCTTGCTTGATTTATTACTTTTTTGGGAGGAAATCAAGTGAAAAAGCAGGATGAGCCCTGGCCGGTTTGGCTCAGAGGTTGTAGCTTTGGCCGGCGGTCCAGAGGCCCGGGTTTGGTTCCCACGAAGGGCACATGCCTCCGTTGCAGTCTGTCCCCGGTCCTGGTTGGGTCATGCTGGAGGCGGCCACTCGATGTGTCCTTTTCGCATCGATATTTCTCTCTCTCTCTCTTCCTCTCTCTTTCCCGCTCTATCTGAACAAAAAATAAATTAAAAAAAAGAGAAGGAAAAGCAGGATGAGCGTCATGGCAGCCCCAGACTGAGCAGTGTGGGACCCCTTTCTCCAAGGTCACGCACCGCCTCATGGTGGGCTGACCACACCTAAATGGCCAATCCAGTTTCAGACCGATTCATTTGAGATTGGGCTACTTTATACTGGTTTCTTTTCTTTGTTTACCAAAGCCGAGTTCACAAAAGAAAGAGGTATGAGGGTTAATTTAATTTCTTCATTCAACATTATAGTACAAACCTAAACATTTTTTAACATTTTAATGATCTTCACATCCCCTTTTCTTATATAATCATAAAAATATTGTTAAAGAAATCCCTTTGTACATGATGGAACCTTTATTCAAAGTAGTAATAGTTAACAAATGAGATATTTTAAAATCTGTCATTACTAACAATTGTCAAAAATTTGTAGGAGTCCGATAATCTTCTAAAGAAGTGAAATATTTTTTCCTTCACAGGTCAAGGTGGCCATGCCTATCTTAAAGAATGGTTGTGGTGGGCTGGACTGCTCTCAAGTATGTATAGAAACTATTTCTAGAAAATACTATAGTTTTGTAGCTATTAATAGGATGTTATGAACATTTTTATTCCAGTAAATATAAAAACTTAAAAGACATTTCTAGAAAAATAAAATTTATCAAAACTGATGAAATAGAAAAGTAGAATACTCCTCTAACGTAATACGTTGCATCTATAGTTTTTTGTTCTTTTTTTCTTTGAATCTATAGTTTTAAACTGGGGTGGGCCCAGGTGGTTTCCTTGGCAATTTCTATGGTCATTTAAAGAAGAAATCATTGCAATTGAGAAATTTCCTCATAACAGCAAAAGGGTGTATATTGCCCCACTTTTCTTAAAAAGTAAAATGCAGGTATTTCCATTCTGAGTAGATATATTCCTATCTGAGAGTTTTCTTTTGTCCACCTCCAAGTGGGAGCTGGTGAGGTGGCCAACTTCGCTGCGTACGCCTTTGCACCAGCCACGCTTGTGACGCCATTGGGAGCCCTCAGCGTCCTAGTCAGGTAAGGACACCAGGCTGCAGGTGTAGACAGCAGTCCGCCTCTCAGACCATGAAATCGCACAGGCTCAGTGTAGCTTATATTTAAACAACCTTGAAAACTTAGTAAGTGCTACGTTACAATTTGCTTTTAAAAGGTTGCCCTGGCAAGTTTGGCTCAGCGGTTAGAGCATCGGCCTGCGGGCCAGAGAGACCCAGGTTCAGTTTCCGCTAAGGGCATGTACCTCGATTGCAGTTTGTCTGTAGCCCTGGTTGGGGTCATGTAGGTGGCGACCAGTTGATGTGTCTCTTTCACATCGATGCTTCTTTCTCTTCTCTCCTCTCTCCCTCCCGCTCTATCTGAAGATAAATGCAAATAAATGTCCTCGGGTGAGAATAAAAAATAAAAGGTTATCTTCTGGGTATAGGCAAGCTGTCAGTTTGGGGGATCAAATAGATTTATGCTTTGTCTTGCTTCTTTTCAGAGCCAGCATTGGTTTTACTTTGATTTCAACTTTTTAAAATTCCCACTTGCACTTGTCACAACATTTGTCATTTGACACACGTGCACTTCTTGGTAGGTAGTGGTTAGTTGTGAATCGATCTCTGTACTGACTACAGAAACTCACTGGCTGGGGCTTACGTGCATCTGAAGAGTGGCCTGGGTGCTGTTTGAAGGAGCAGTCCACCATCTGACCGATCTCTGTTCCTTTAGTAATTAGCTCAAACAGCCAAGCCCATATTGAAATCTAGATTTTGGTTACTATTCCTAAAGTGGATTGACAGGTATTTTTATCCTATTTTTTAGATTGTGTGTGTGTGTATAAATAAATATTACAAATAAATTACATGATTTTTTTTTTTATCCTCACCCGAGGACATTTTTGCATTCATCTTCAGATAGAGCAAGAGGGAGAGAGGGAGGAAGAGAGAGAGAAACATCGACATCAGAGAGACACATCGAGTGGTTGCCACCCACACAACCCCAACTGGGGTTTGGGGTCGGGGACAAACTGCAACAGGGGTATGAGCCCTTAACGGGAACCGAACCCCGGACTCTGTGGTCCGCAGGCCAATGCTCTAACTGCTGAGCCAGACCGTCCAGGGCAAATTAGATAATTTTTAAAATTAAATGAACACATTAGAAAGCTGCATCAGCCAGTGAGGATAAATTAAATTTGGGTAAAATGTTTAGCATTGGTTTGAATATAGATTCATAATTAGGATATAAATTCATACGTATCTCCATTTATTGTCAACTTCACATTGATGTCCTACAGTAGGAAGATGGTAATTGTAATGGTTTAGTGTGTGATTAAGCAGGTGTTCCTCTAGAAGCTTTAATTTTATGATTAAAGACTTTTTTTTATACCTTGGCTGAAAGCCAGAATCTTTATAAACTCACAATATTTTAGTTTGAGTTCGATTATTCAAAGTCTGAATTGTGTTGCTACTTAAAAATGAGAAAAGTAGCTGATTATTTTAATCTTATTCACCTTCCCCCCATTGTAGTGCCATTCTTTCTTCATACTTTCTCAATGAAAGACTGAATCTTCATGGGAAAATTGGATGTTTGCTGAGTATTCTGGGCTCTACAGTTATGGTCATTCATGCTCCAAAAGAAGAGGAGATCGAGACTTTAGATGAAATGTCTCACAAGCTCGGGGATCCAGGTGAGAAAACAGAAAAGCTTCTTTAGTCTTATTATAGTTTTACTTTTAAATTTTAATTTATGTGCATATGAAGAGGCAGCTTGCTCCGCATGGCCTAAGCTGCTACATTAAAAATGTCAGTGGTATAAGAATTGTGAAATGACACATAGTTGAACTCTCCAGTGTATACACCCGACTAAAGTTTGATGAGTGTGCTCTTGCTGGGGCAGCAAAGAAAGCTATTTTTATTTTAGGGCCACACCTTTCCTCCTTTCTGTTGAGGTAATGTTTTGGATTCTCAGTTTTCTTTAAGTACTTAAATTTCACTAAATATAACTTGTCTTTGCCTCCTCCAGGTTTTGTGGTCTTTGCAACACTTGTGGTCATTGTGTCTTTGATATTAATCTTCGTGGTGGGACCCCGCCATGGACAGACGAACATTCTCGTGTACATCACCATCTGCTCTGTGATTGGAGCCTTTTCCGTCTCCTGTGTTAAGGGCCTGGGCATTGCTATCAAGGAGCTGTTTGCTGGCAAGCCCGTGCTGCAGCACCCCCTGGCCTGGGCCCTGCTGCTGAGCCTCATAGTCTGTGTGAGCACACAGATCAACTACCTGAACAGGGCCCTGGACATATTCAACACCTCCCTCGTGACTCCCATCTACTATGTCTTCTTCACTACGTCAGTTCTGACTTGTTCAGCTATTCTCTTTAAGGAGTGGCAGGACATGCCTGGTGATGATGTCATTGGTACTCTGAGTGGCTTCTGTACAATCATTGTGGGAATATTTTTGTTGCATGCCTTTAAAGACGTCAGCTTTAGTCTAGCAAGTCTTCCTGTGTCTATTCGAAAAGACGAAAAAGCAGTGAATGGCAATCTCGCTGATATGTATGAAGTTCTTAATAATAATGAGGAAAGTCTAACCTGTGGGATTGAACAGCACACTGGTGAAAATGTCTCCCGAAGAAATGGAAATCTGACCGCTTTTTAAGAAAGAAGTAATCAAAAACTTAATCTATAATTGTTGTTATAAAGTGAATTTGAGTATCAGAGCATGTCTGAAAAGGCAGTATTCTCAAATAATGTTCTCTAGAGACAATCTTTTTTAAGGTTTCACTAATTTGGACCAAGAAATTACTTTTCTTATATTTAAATGATGGTAGCTCACTAAAATGACCTCAGTACTTGGCCAATTTTTGTTAACATTGTATTGTAACGGTATTTAACATTTTCTTTCACCAAAATCTAAATGTACTAATGACAATTTTAAGTTGATAAAATGCTTTATTTTTTCACTGGTGATGAAAGTCCGAAGTGTACCTTTGTCATCCCCAGTTGCATCAATCCCTGATCATTTTAAGGCTTTTTTATTTAAAAAAGAACAAAATTATCCCAATACATTATCTTGTGATTTACCTTACCTGCATAAATGACTCCTGTTTGATGAATTATCTTAATTTTGAAATGTTAAAGAGAATCCTATTACTGAAGGCAACTCATTTACAAGACAATGGGTAGGAAATCACCTCCCCTACCAGTTCTCCCCTGACACTTGACCTGGCACAAGGGGGCCTTCCTGATTGAGCGCCATCCCAGGGACAGAGGTCCTGTGGATTCCGCGTCAGGGCACAAGCCTGAGCTGCAGGCTCTGTCCCCAGAAGGGGGCGTGCAGGAGGCAGCCAGTTGATGTTTCTCACATCGATGTTTCTATCTCTCCCTTCTCTCTAAAAATTCAATAAAAACATACTATAAAAAACAAAAAACATCAATGAAGCGCTGGCTGGTTGCTCAGTGGTTAGAGCGTTGTCCTGTGGACAGAAGGGTCGAGGGCACGTACCTGGGTTGTAGGTTCGATCCCTAACTGAGGTCGGGTTTGTGTGGGAGGCAGCTGATCATTGTGTCTACCTCACTGATGTCCCTCCCCACCCCCCCAACTCTAAAAAATCAATGAAAAAATATCCTTGGGTGAGGATTAACAAACAAAATTAATGAAAAATGCTTTCAGAAAACTTCAAACCTGTCCACAAAAGGTAGAACAGTATAATGAACGCCATCCTGCTTCAGACCCTATTGTCACAGCAATTAATTGGCCAATCTGTGCACTTATAAGCAGAGAAAGCGCCTGTCCAAGCCAGGGTACACCGGGCCATAATGAATGAATGACCGCAAATACACTTTATTTGTTTTATTTCTATAACCTTTAAATCATTCCTCGCAAATGAGACTTTGTTACAGCTGGGTTTAGTAGAAACAGGAGTCAAGCTCAGTATTTTCTGAAAGACTTGACATAAAAAAGGGAAGGGAACAATGACTTAGAATTCGTGAAAGACCATTAGAAAAATCCCTCCACAAAAGCTAAGTAATTATTAACTTCGATTCTAATTAGTAACGGATTTTATTACAGTTAGCGGGCACTGTGTTTCCTGCTGATGTTCATAAATCTTTCCCTAAACATCACTGATCCTTTGCTGAGGGGCCAACGGGTGAACTCAGCAGCACTTGCTGACATTCCATGGAAAAATGGAAAATAACTAAACACAATGGCAACAACCAGCAGCCAGTAACCTGACTCCCTAATTACCAAAAGCATATACAATTTTAGTCTAGAAAAATAAGTCAATTTTATAAAATTAAGCTTTCAGATTGAAAAGCACCGCCTTTAACAGGTACAGAGACATGGACAAATAGTCCCTAAAAATCTCCCTAGTTTATGAAAAGAAACATGCCCTATAGTTACAGAAAGCAGTTAGGACCGGACTCCAGCATCAGGTGACACGTGTGTCCTCAGCTGCTGGCCAGGGACTGGTGGATCGGTGGCTGGAAGCAGCGAACATGCTCCACAGGTGTGCTCTCCCCGTCGCCTGACTTCAGGTACTTGTCCAAGATGGTGATTATCTCATCATTTAGAATCTGGAATTTGCGAATTCTCTCCACCATCTTCTTCAAAGGCTGTAACAGTTAAAACGAGATGTTTTATTCTTAAAACGTAAACATTTGTTATGTTTCAAAATGTCAGGGTTTTCATATTTTCTCTGAAAAATTATAGCAAACTATTGATGCACATACCATCTCTTTAACTACTGGAACACATCTATATTTTGTATTTGAACACATTTCTCTGCTGGTTTCATGCTACTAACAGTAGACTTTCTCATTTGTACAACTTACAGACCCTATTCATCAAGCAGGTAGCTATTAGAACCTGGGATGTGCTGAAAACTGGGAGTAGAGAGATCTAGACAGTATGCTCAGTGGGTAAAGAACAGCCATCTAATGTAATACAAGCTTTAGAATTCCAGCAACTAACTGTGGGCAGGATGCTTTGAGAGGTGGTCCTGCTGTAACAAAACTAGATGAAGAACACACACACACACACACAGAGAGAGAGAGAGAGAGAGAGAGAGAGAGAGAGAGAGAGAGAGAACTAAAAGGGATTGCTGGTTCTGTCTATATAGGATGTGAAGCAGAACCGAGACAGATGCCACCACGTCAGTGGGACGGAGAGACAGCCTGGGCTGTGAGCAAGCTGGATGACAACTGGAGATGCTCAGGAAGCCAGGACCCTCCAATGAGGCTCAGTTGCCAAGTTGGTAACAGTCTCCGGTGATGAGAAGCAAATGAACATCTCGGGAGAAAAGCAATCCAAATAAATGAAACAAGAGCCGGCACATAAAACATCCCAAAAACAAGGTGACATTTCAGAGTTCTGGAAACCCCTGAGGCCTCGGATACTAGGACGAAAAGACACAGAATACAAAATATGTGAAATGTGTATGCCTGTGTCTTTTTGAAAGGCAAAAATTCATTGAAAAAGATAAAATTATCAGGTATCACCAAGAGTTGAAGAACCAAATTGAACTTTTAAATATAAACAAATGATTTTCAAAAGTAAAAACAGATTAAACAGAGCTGACATGAATTGGTTGAGTAAAGTAAGTTCTCTGGGTCCAGTCCAGAGAGGCAAGGACCAGGGGTTCGAGAGGCAAAGTGGCCACTCAAAGATGTCCTCATCTCAATACCTGGAACCTGGACATGTTACCTTCCACAGCAAGGGGGACTTGCAAATATAGTTAAGTCTAGACTTTAAAATAGAGTGAATTTAAAGAATAATAAAAAATAGGGAGAATACCCTGTATCATCTAGATGGACACAATCTAATCACAAACAGAGACCCTCCTCCATCTGGAGGCAAGAGAGATGAAGCAGAAAGAAGAGCATGAAGGGCTGGAGGTTGCCAAGTGCAAAGCATAAGAGGGATGTGGACCTGGCCGGTGTGGCTCAGTGGTTGAGCCCTGACCCAGGAACCAAGAGGTCGCTCGTTCGATTCCCAGTCGGGGCACATTCCCAGGTTGTGGGCCCAATCCCCAGTGGGGGGCTTGCAGGAGGCAGCCCATTGATGTTCTCTCTCATCGATGTTTCTTTCTCTCTTTCTCTCCCCCTCGCTTTTCCTTTCTCTCTAAAAATCAATAAAGGATGGAAAAAAAAAAAAAGGGGATGTGGGCCAAATAACCAGCAAGGAAACGTGGGCCTCTGTCCTCCAACTGTGAGGAGCTGAGTACAGCAAACTACCTGCTAAAGCCTAAAAGCAGATTCATCCCCAGAGGCTACACAGAAGGAAGTACAGCCTCTGGACACACTGATTTTGGCCCCTGTGAGACTAAACACAGGACCCAGCTGAGCCATGCTGTCCCCAGACTTCTGGCCTAGAGAACTGTGTTGTTTTAAACCACTAAATCTGTGGCAATTTGTTATAGAAATTAATAAAATAGGGGAAAGGGGATGGAGACCAGAATACAGGGGTCTAACACGTGTCTAAGTGAAGTCTCAAAAGAAGAGAATAGAGAGAATGGAAGACTAAACTATTTCAAAAGATAATGGTTGAGCATGATCTAGAATTCAACGACAAAGAATCTACAAAATGACAAAGACGAAAGATCTCAAGAGCAGCCAAAACAAACCACACTTCGACGACCAAGAGGAGGCCAAAGACCAGAGCAGTAGACCAGTAGCCTGAAAGCGTGGATCCTGTGAGCCTCCAAATTGTGAAATACATCTAAGCACCTTGAAGAGGATAAAAATGCAATAGTATTTTAGCTGCCAGACTGCTTTACTTATCAATTACATTCAATTTTTTAAAAATATTTTTATCTTCACCTGAGGACATTTTTTTGCATTTATCTTCGGACAGAGCGGGAAGGAGAGAGGAAGGGAGAGAGAGAGAAACATCGACATGAGAGAGACACATTGAGTAGTTGCCACCCACACGACCCCAACCGGGGCCGGGGACAAACTGCAACTGAGGCACGTGCCCTTAGTGGGAACCAAACCCGGGTCTCTCTGGTCCACAGGCCGATGCTCTAACTGCTGAGCCAAACCAGCCAGGGCATCAATTACATTTAGATTCACTTTGGGAATGAATAGGAAGCTTCCGTGGGTGGCACTTCACGTACTGGGATGAAAAACATCCCTGGAGAAAGAAGTTGTAATATACACAAAGCATGCTTTTTATGTGTGCGAAATGTCCCCATGTGACAGAGCATTTTCTTCCACATACCACGTTTTTGATAATCTCATCTTTGCCGTCATGCTTCTGGACTTTCAGCAGATGGTAGCAGAAATCCAGGACAGCAAAGCGCCGCTGCTGCCCGAGGAGAACGATGATCATACAGCCAGCCCAGTGGAGCCCGTCTCCGAAACACTGCCTGCAAACGAGAAGACATAAGCAGACAGGCGACCAGTGGAAGTCTTGCGCGTCTCCCGCCACAGGTCCGTGATGGAGCTGTCTGCTGGGAACACTGCGCAGCCAGTGGTGTGTCCCTGTTTTTGGTGAACACCCCTCCTGGGCTCCTCTGACACTGTTTCCTAACCTGTTTTTATTTTATTTCTTTTTTTTATCCTCACCCGAGGACATTTTTTCATTTTTTTGTTCAGATAGAGTGGGAGGGAGAGAAACATCGACGTGAAAGGGACACATTGAGTGGCTGCCACCTGCACGACCCAACCAGGGCCGGGGACAAACTGCAACCGAGATACGTGCCCTTAGCGGGAACCGAACCCGGGTCTCTCTGGACCGCAGGCCGACGCTCTAACTGCTGAGCCAAACTGGCCAGGGCTCCTAACCTGTTTTTTTTTTTTTTTTTTTATTTTTTTATTTATCTATCTATCTATCTATCTATCTATCTATCTATCTATCTATCTATCTATCCTCACCCGAGGACATTTTTCGATATTTTTTTCAGATAGAGTGGGAGGGAGAGAGAGAGAGAGAAACATCGACGTGAAAGCGACACATCGAGTGGTTGCCACCCACACGACCCAACCAGGGCCGGGGACAAACTGCAACCAAGGTACGTGCCCCTAGCGGGAACCGAACCCGGGTCTCTCCGGACCACAGGCCGACGCTCTAACCGCCGAGCCAAACCGGCCAGGGCTCCTAACCTGTTTTGAGATCCTGGGCCCTCCATGAAGGATTTCATGAAGCTGTGGCCCCATCTAGAAAAATGCACATCAATGTGCCTAAGTTTCCAGGGATGACTCCCAGAAGCTGAGCTCCGAGTCACCTCCTGCAGTCTTGTGTGTTAACCCAATGTCAGCTCCCACCTCCCTGTCCACGGAGCACACACTTACTCGACTGTAAACTCGTGTGTCCCCACAGGGATGCAGTAGACAAACTGCATGGCACTCCACAGTCTGTGAAACTCGACACACTCGTCCACATGCATGACCCCATTGCTGGGCAGAGGTCCACGCCAGATCGGGTCATCCAGGAAGGTCCGGACCCGAGTCAGAATGACCTCGAACATGGACAGGCCACAGCAGAGACGCTCCTTGGTCAGCAAGTCCCCCTCTCTCGCTATGGCAATTTGCTGTGGAAAGGACAGAATATTAAGCGCCATGGAAGGAGACCGAGGAGCTGAAACCGACTACACTAGTTTTGTTTCTGACTAACTGCACAACTGTATTAGCTTGCAGAAGAAGGTTTTTAGAAGCATGAACAAAAAAATATGTCAGCTATTACCTATGTGTCTTACAAGATTAAATATAATGCACAGTCAAGGACAACTGTCAGAGTTTAGCTCTTCTCGGGGTGGATCTAGTGGCATCTATGGGCAGAGGCCAGGGATACTGCTTAACATCCTGCAAGTCACAGGACAGCCCCACAGCAAAGAATTATCTGGTCCAAAATGGTGACACAGCCAAGACCGAGAATTGTGCAGCTCTACTCTGATACCCTGCCTCCCGCCTGAGCCTCCCACATTCTGGTCTTAAAAACCTACAAAAAAGGCTTCTTCACGAAGGGATGGACCAGAATAAGTGACGATACTGCATACATCTCATACACCTGGAGGTGTTCTAAGACCTTTCCATGTGATGTAGCTCGTTCCAAATTCCAACCACCCGTGATGAGGTCCTGTTACGAACCCCACTGGAGACACTGGGGCCAGAGTGGACCCGTCCAGCTTCCTAATGCCTCCTGGTCTGGGCCTCTCCCAGAGCCTGGGCACCCAGCTCACCTCGCCCACGGCCTGGCATGGACCGCCAGCACAATAGCAACAGCCGACCCAGCATGCATTACCTGAGGGGTCCCCAGCCTTTCGACCAGAGGGACAAGGTGCAGGGGGGCGTACTTTGATTCTAGTCGCTTCATCTTGGCATCAAGTCTCTCTCCCTCTACAGTGGAAAAAATACCTTACACTCTGTCCTTTGTATGAAAAACAATCACAGAGTTACATTTTATATATTTAAAAAAAACACAACAAAAAAACAAGGGACAGGCTCACCTTTCACATGGACCCTCGGCAGGATGTTCTGAAAGGGGGCTGCGTGCAACAGGTCACAGACTTCTTCTAAAGACTAGGACGAAGAAAGAGAAGATCAAGCTAGAACGTAGCTCTCGGCAGGTGGACAGAGCAATCGGGGCTGGAAACAAGGCGCAGAGGACCCTGAACAACTTGGGTGTGAGCTGCGTGGTCCACGTCCATGCAGGTTTTCCACTGAGCCTCACAGTTCAAACCCACGTTAAGGGTCAATTCTGCGTACAAGGAGGGCTGCTTGAGGTTAGCCATTGAACACCTGTCCCAAACTGCAATTCTTTGTTGCTCACGAACACCCCCATTTTGCTGGTTAAGGGCTGCATTCCTAAATGACCTGGTTGTTAAAAACTCTCATGGAGCCCTGGCCAGCATGGGTCAGTGGTTAGAGCGCTGGACCTTAGACCAAAGGGTCGCAGGTTCGATTCACAGTCAAGGGCACATATCTGGGTTGTAGGTTCGATCCTCGGTCCCGATTAGGGTTGTGCGTGAAGCAACCAATCAACATGTCTCTCTCACGTTGCTGTTTCTCTCTCTCTCTCCTCTCCCTCCCTTCCATTCTATCTAAAATTCAACGGAAAAATATCCTCAGGTGAGGATTAACCACACAACAACAAAAGTTCGTGTGTATTTAGGTAAAGATCCTGTTCTCCAGTTCCAGAGCCGCCGTGATACGCAGGGGACAGAGGGATGGATACAATAACCCACCAGGAGACAAGCAGTGGAGAAAGTGGGTGTCCCACTGTGCGAGTTCTCAGTGGTGGTGGTGGTGCTGTCCAACTGCACTGTAGTCTTTTTTTTTAATCGATTGATTTTAGAGGCAGAAGGGAGGGAGGGAGAGAGAAACACTGACTTGTTGTTTCATGTATTGATGCATTCACTGGTTAATTCTTGTAAGTGCCCTGAACAGGGATGGAACCCGCAACCTGGGCACATTGGGACGATGCTCTAACCAATTGAGCTACCCAGCCAGGGCCACTGTGGTAATCTTTTTTTTTTTTTACATTTATCTTCAGGCAGAGTGGGAGCGAGAGAGAGAGAAACATCAATGTGAGAGGGACACATTGATTGGTTGCCACCCGCACGTCTCCAACCAGGGCCGGAGCTGAACAGCAACCGAGGTATGAGCCGGAATCAAACCCAGGACTCTTTGGTCCACAGGCCAATGCTCCAACTGCTGAGCCAAACTGGCCAGGGTGATTGCGGTGATCTTAAAAGTGAAATAACTGTACTTCAGTGAAATTTAAAAATCAGTTTCATGGTCACACTGAGCAACACCTCCGGGCTCCACAACCTCAAAAGCGAAGCCCGTCACTGTAGACAAGTCTCCCGGGCAACATGCGTGTCACACACGCCGGTGTGGCTGCAGGCAACACCTCACAACAATGTTCTTAAGATGCTCACATAGTGAGACGCTCTCAGACGAACTGCATCGCGTCCATGTTTTCAAATGCAGGGAACCAACTGCCTCCCCCACAGTGAATAACCCCACAGATGGAGCCTCTAAGAACGCCTTCCCTTCCCACCTGTAGGGACGCCTCGGCAGGCCGGGCGAGGCTGGCTGCCACTCACTCACCAGGCTCTGCTCGATGAGCAGGCAGAAGAGGATGGCGTTGCCCACTTCCCGCAGGTTCTGGAAGCACACGGTCTTCAGCTCCGCGTACTCCACAATGTCCTTCAGCTGGTGGTGGAAGAACTCCAGGATGCCTGTGGGACCAGGGCGTAAGCGGCAGGGTTGGGGGCTGGAGGGGCTGAGCCCCAGCCAGGCACACGTACTGGCCACAGGGCACTGCCACTGACACCACGTCCACCAAGGAGACGGCCACCGGCCCCAGACACCACCTCCCCTGCGTGGTGATCTGTGCAGCACCTGGGCCCTAGACCTCGGCTCCAAAACCACTTTTCTCCACCAACCCTGTATGTTCCAAGGAGGCGCCAATTACAAGAATAAAAACCACATCATCACCTGCAGCTTCAAGGATTTATCAGAGAAGAAACAAAGGGTCCCTGTAGTACCAGGACACCAAGAACAACCCTCTCTGCAATCATTAAGGCTGTCTATTTGGATGGCCCCCAACTAGCTTTCCTCGGGCGACACGGGCCTGGCCCACTCAAGGACGTACCTGCCCATGGGCCCTATAGCAAAACAGGCTCAACAGAGGGCACCTATGAGGAGCAGGGTTCCTCCCAGGTGCCCCTCCTGGTCCCGTTAAGCCCAGCAGGGCACTTGTACCTGGTTTATTGCCCCTCCCTGGTTGGTGACCTTCAAGGTCCCGGCATCGTAGGGGACCCAGAGGACACAGGATTCAGAGCCCTGTCACCCAGCACGACCAACAGATGCTGCCCCACCCCCCTGCTTCCTCACCCCCCAAAACAGCAACTCCAACACGTCTCCTGGCAACCTGGAAGCAGTTGCTCCAGCCGGGCTCCCCACCTCCTCCCGCCGGGAAAGCAGGCCGGATTCTGACCAGAAATGTCCGACGGGACTGGCTGCCCGCGGCTCCCACGCGAGGTGCTGGCACTCACCTGGGGAGCCGTACTCGTGCCGGGGCAGGCGGCAGATCTTGGGCATCACCTCCATCAGCGTCCTCACGTACTGCAGGACCGTGCCTTGCAGCTGCAGGAGAGAGAGGCTGATTGGCCGCGGCCGCCACTGTCCAGAGGCCGTGGGCGGGACGTGGGGCCTTGAGCCCAGGGGTCCGTCTATAAGACGCAGGCCGCCTGTGGGGCTGAGCCCTCAGGCTGTGCGAGCTGACGCCACCTGGGTAGACAGTGTCAGAACTGAGTGAAATCACAGAACACCCAGCTGGTGTCTGAGCTGGGTGGAAGAGTAGAAAACCCTCCCACGCTGGAACTGGGTGCAGGGCCCTTCACCGAGGGAAGGAAGCACACTCGAGGGAAACGTACCAGGCTCTTGACAACCTTCAGCAGCTCCTCCATGACCACCGCGATGCCCTGGTAGCCAAGCAGCCGGCAGATGACCTGGAAGTGTGGAGGCCCCACGAAGTTCCGGTAGCTGCCGTAAATGCTCGAGTAGGCCAGGTTCAGGGCCTGGGGACAGAGACGCGTGCTTGAAGGACCCCCAAGAATTCTCACAGTGGCCCGAGGCACACATGAAGATGAAGAATCACCAAGCCAAGGTTCGCGCAGCACACCCTCAGGTGGGGGCACCCCCAGAACCTACAGGGCTGCCCTGACTAGCACTGATGTGTCCATTCTGAAGACACGAAAAGCAAGCTTGCTAAAACAAACCAAAAAAACTGGCTTTTCAATATTTATTTATTTATTTATTTTTAATCCTCATTCGAGGACATTTTTCCATTTTTTTGTTCAGATTGAGTGGGAGGGAAGGAGGAAGCGAGGGAGAGAGAGAGAGAGCGAGAAAAACATCGACGTGAAAGCCACACATCGAGTGGTTGCCACCCACACGACCCAACCAGGGCCGGGGACAAATTGCAACCGTGGTACATGCCCTTAGTGGGAACCGAACCCGGGACTCTCTGGACCGCAGGCTGAGCCAAACCGGCCAGGGCACTTTTCAATATTTATTAAACTCCTACTTTAGCGATACCATTCTGAGGTCCTAAACGAGAGATGAACACATCTTAGTACGTCGCTGCTGAAACGGGGCTGCCCTTTGGCTCCTGGGGACACGCCCGAGGACAGACCCCAGTGGGCAATGGAGTGGCCTCCTCAGTGCACTCCCCTGTCTGATGGACAGTGACATGGGCGGATTCTCCTGGTTGCCCGCTTGTGGCTTCTTTTTTTTTTTTTTGGTATGTGCCCCTAGCGGGAACCGAACCCGGGACTCTCTGGTCTGCAGGATGACGCTCCAACTGCTGAGCCAAACTGGCCAGGGACTGCCTGTGGTGTCTGATGTCACTCTTCTCTGCTCCTCCCTCACGCGTCACAGGGGCCTAGGCGGCCCCGGTCCTCTCTTATACGCATGCCCTGGACCTCTTTCTTGGCTTCCTATGTTTTAACCTTTAAATCTGCCAACAATCTCACTTATTTTCGTGACAGAAGCGAGGCCAGGCCTAGCAAACACCAGCCCTGGGCCAGAGGGCTGCCCCAGGACTACGTCACTTTCCAGAAAACAGTAACATTTTACGCCTGGCATGAGCTAGTTATACCACCGTATCTAAACTGATTTAAGCTAAACTTCAAAATGTGCTGAACTGTGAACTTAGAAATCATAGCAAAAACACAAACACCTACCTTGGACCCATGCAAATACTGGGGTTGTGCATTTGGCTGTTTGTCTCTTTGAAATTCTTGAGAGAATGGTAACACTGTCCGAACAAATCTAAATAGGAGAAAAAAAACCAAAAATGCAATAATTTTTAAAAATTCAGCTGGATCCTCCCATTATTTTATAGAGTGCAAGTAGTCACTCACAAGTGACTCTGAGACACTCACAAGTGCCCCGAAAGGGACCCTGGCCCTCCACACACTGTCCACTCCTCCAGGGCTAGCCCAGGGCTGCCCAGCACCCACATGTGAGAAGCAAAGGGGAACAGAATGCGGGGACAGAGACTATTCTGCTCAGACACCCTTTGGCCGGCGCATCGGAACCGCCTGCAGGCGGCACACGCACCGGTTGGTGGACCCATTGTAGCAGTAGTTAGGCAGGAAGTCGTAGTTGAGTTCCCAGAAGACGTGGAGGGTGATTCTCCCGTAGGGTGCGGACACGTTGTGGTTGGCCTCCCGGAACATGGCATCAAAGCTGTCCAGTGACAGGTACCTGCTCAGCAGCTTGTGGGTCATGCGGTTGATTTCCAAGAGGCCGTCCAGCTCCTGTGGGACCATGAGGACAGGGGTGAGGTCAGAGCTGGGGCTCAGGCAGTGGCATCTGTTCCCCTCAGGTGCAGTGTTATGGGGGTGGTGGGACAGAGCAGGACATACCAACGTGGGTCAGTGAGCCAGGCCAAGAATGCATGAGGCAGGGGTCTGCTAGGCAACAGAAGTGTGCTTCTCACACCTAAATTTTTCATGCCCTCTCTGCTGCCTTTAAATTGCCCCTCCATACCATGTAGGTGGCGTGCAGGAGGAGGCAGTCCAGGTATCTCACAGTGATGTCTCTCTCTCTCCCTTCTTCCCTCCCTTTCACTATAAAAAAAAATAAATAAATAAGAAAAAACATCCTCAAGTGAGGATTAACAAAACAAGAGAAGATGCTAAAAGAATACACCCAGGATAGGCTAAGTGTAATCGGTGCATACCTTTTGATTTCTGTATAAAAACTAAACATATCATTGGTTCAATTTATCAGTAAGGACGCAATTAAAATTGGCTTTCATCCTTGTGACCAGTCTCCACCAAATCTGCTGAGCCCGAGGGAGGAGGGAACACTTACAACTACCGATGTCAGGTCTTCACTTTCAAATCGTCCAATAGCCAGCTCCAGGGACTTATACATGGCCACTGAGACACGCTGAGTAATTAGGCGATTGAGGTCTATGGACCTGCCCAGGAGCTGGGGAAGAAGAGGGCGAGAGTAAACAAGTAAAACAAGCAATTACACACACACACACACACACACACACACCCAACTCCCACAAAACTGACTTCAAAAGACAAAAAAATAACGTACAAAATTTAAAACATGTTGAATTGTGTGTGTGTATGTGCGTATGTACACACACTCCTTTCCTGTAGCTGAAATTCTGCAAGTGAAAGCTGTCATGGACCTGCACTTAATTCACACTTACTTCACAGGCCGAAACCCCAAGCCCCTGCAGAGCCCCGGAGGACCCGGATCTGCCAGTCAGCACCGCCCTTGCAACAGCAGCCAGGACCATCCCCAGAGTGGCGTGCACATGCCTAAGCTTCACTCTCACGAGGACAAGTAAGAGAAATGACCCCATCTCTGTCTCAGAGTCTTAACAACACACGTGCACCTCAATACCTCTCAGGGACGTGAACATACAAACACAACCCCTGGTGAAAAAAAATGTGAGTGGTGTTTATCTGAAGATAGTAGAACAATGGCAAATTTTCCCTACAGTTTTCTGCATTTTCCTAATTTTTTATAAAGTCGGTAGTCTTTTTTTTTTTTTTTTTTCTGGTAGGTGCCCCTAGTGGGAACCGAACCCGGGACTCTCTGGTCCGCAGGCCGATGCTCAACCGCTGAGCCAAACTGACCAGGGCGATGTCTGTAGTTTTTAGAGAGACAAAAAAGAAGCAGTGTGTTTTTATTCTTTGTGCTAGCCAAGAGAAAGCCCCCCTTTAAGCTCTGGCTTTGGGCTCCCAGAAAGGAGCCGAGGGCTCTGGTCCCATGCCGGCCCCGGGAGCCCAAGCGGGCAGGGAGACAGTGCTGCAAGGTCTTCCCTGTGTTTCAGGTTACCCAGCAGAAACTGTGTGTCTTTTTTTTTTTTATCCTCAACCGAGGACATTTTTCCATTTTTTTGTACAGATAGAGTGCGAGGGAGAGAGAGGAAGGGAGAGAGAGAGAAACATCAACGTGAAGGGACACATCGAGTGGCTGCCACCCGCACAACCAACCAGGGCCGGGGACAAACTGCAACTGAAGTACGTGCCCTTAGCGGGAACCGAACCCGGGTCTCTCCAGACCACAGGCTGACGCTCTAACCGCTGAGCCAAACTGGCCAGGGCAGAAACTGTGTGTCTTTAAAATCTTACCACCTTGTAAGGATGCTCCCTCAGTCACATAACAAACTGACAGCTATTAAAACCCCGTGAACCCTACGGCCAACCCCACTGTTTCACGTTCAGGTCCAGGTGCGCCACGCCCAGGCCAGGCCTCGCCCACCTGCACATGCCTCTGTTTGAGCAGCGTCTCATAGCGGTTCGAAGGCGGGAGGTGGATCGTTGCCCCTTGATTCTTGCATTCAGATCGTAACCGTTTATCAAGAAGCAAACTAGAAAGGAAGGAAGGGAGGACATTTCTCACTTGCTCCGAATTGTCACATGAATATCTGACCAAGTTACCCAAGGTTTCATATCCAAACCACAAACCACATACTCACCTTCCGGCCATCACCTTATAATATGCAAATATCTGGTCTGCCAACTTGTAAACAAACTGGTCAAAGCATAGATTCACCTGAAGAAAACGAAGCAGACATTACATTTTGATTACCTAAATCGAGACCAAATAGCATATTTAAAAAAAGAAAAAAATCTTTTGTTTCAGCAAGTCCATTTTTGAGTTTATGTTCGAAGGAAACTAAAAACACTAACTTGAAAAGATAGCTGTACCCCCTGTTCACTGCAGCGTTATTCACAACAGCCAAGGCAGGGAAGCAACCTATTGTCCATCCACAGAGGAATGGACACAGAAAATGCAATGCATCCTGAGAAATGTTGCTGGTGATTTCACCATTGTGTGAACGTCAGAGTGCGCTACACAAACCCGGGTGGTCCAGCCTATTGCTCCGTGGCTATAAGCCTGTAAAACATGTTATTACACAAGACAACACGAGATTAAATCCAGCACAAGAGGAAATGATGCACCTTGGCCGATATGGCTCAGTTGGTTGAGCACTGTCCTGTGCACCAAAAGGTCGCTGTGGAGGTGAACGGCCTGGCCCCACACCCACGTGTGGCAGATAAAAATCAGGAGGACACCTCGGCTAGGAAGGTCGTCCTCCCTGAGGAGCAAGGAGTCCCTGTCCTACACCAGCCCCTCCCCCCTCAGGGTTCCAGTGCCAGGAAGAGAATCCCCATCACTTCTGGCTGCAAAACCAGTAGAACTGAGGCTGAGGGAGCCCCAGGCAGCTCCTCTTAAAGGGCCTGCGCATGGACTTACTCAGACTCATTCCTTCTGAGCTCTAGCATGGGGGAGGCAGCTTGAAAGGCACTGGAGACATACAGGGAAGAACTGAGCTGTTTGGCATCAGGATGAGGGCTGAAGGGGCAGCTTTTTCCGGGACAAACGTGCTGTCAGAGGCCTTTGTTCCTTTGGTGAGCCCTTCCTTGGGGCAGCAGACAGCCACCATATCTGGGGCTCCAGCAACCTGGCTCACACTGTTTGCCCGCCCTGGTGATTCCCTGAGGCCCTGCCCCAACCAACTTCAGGCCCACCCAAGCTGGTTCCAGTGGCTTTACCTTAGGAAGTGCCTGTTTTGGCTCCTGCTTCAGATTTTCCTAAAATCTCTCAAACAAGCAGCATCTGGTCTCAGCGAGCCCCATACCTTTCTCTAAGTGGCCCCATACCTTTCTCTAAGTGGCCCCAAGCCTGGCACTAGAAGCAGCCAGCCTTGGTTCACAGCTTGGCTTTGCCTGGGCACCTCCAAGCCCAGCACAAGAAGGAGCCATCAGCTGATCGCTTTGTAGCTTATGCCTGGTGCCCCCGGGTAGAACACTGGCAGCGGCGGACCTTGCCCCAGAGCCAGCACACCCAGTGGACAGCTTCAGACCACGTCGAAGCACCACCACCCAACACCTTCACCAGTGACACACTCAAGGAATGGATGCAGGAGGTACCAGGGCCCTGCACAGCTGACCATCCAAGGTAGTCAGAGGTTGGTGGCCAGTGGACAGCCGGTCCTTGCAGCTGATCAGCCTGAGTAAATCCCTCCTATTAAGGTGCCAACAGCAATTAAGAGTCAATTACAACAGAAGGGTGTAAAGTCCACATGAAGGGTACACATCGAGGGCCCAGCTGGGGTGATCAGGGAGGCTGTGCCACTGAACCCTACAGGACACTTACTATAACAGGCCACCCTAGGGAACATAGCAATTCTACCTAATACATAGAAACGAACACAGGGAGACAGCCAAAATGAGGAGACAAAGAAACATGTCCCAAACTACAGAACAGAACAAAACTCCAGGAAAAGAACTAAATAAAATGGAGGTAGCAATCTAACAGATGCAGAGTTCAAAACACTGCTTATAAGGACACTCAATGAACTTAGTGAGAATTTCAAGGAAATTTATGAGAATGTCAAGAAACTTAGTGAGGACCTCAAGAGCATAATAAAAGACCAGTCAGAAATGAAGGATGCACTAACTGAAATAAAGAATAATTTACAGGGAATGTCCAGCCAGTGTGGCTCAGTGGTTGAGTGTCAACCCATGCACCAAGAGGTCACTGGTTCAAGTCCTGGTCAGGACACATGCCCAGGTTGTGGGCTCAATCCCCAGTGGGGGGCATGCAGGAGGTGGCCAATTGATGTTCTGTCATTGATGTTTCTATCTCTCTCTGCCTCTCACTTCCTCTCTCTCTAAAATCAATAAAGAAAAAAAAATTTTTTTTAAAGAATAATTTACATGGAATCAATAGTAGAGTAGGTGAAGCCAAGAAGCAAACCATCGCCCTGACCAGTTTGGCTCAGTGGTTAGAGTGTTGGCCTACGGTCCACAGAGACCCGGGTTTGGTTCCCGCTAAGGGCATGTACCTCAGCTGCAGTTTGTCCTCGGCCCTGGCTGGGTCATTTGGGTGGCGGCCACTCGATGTGTCCCTTTCACGTCAATGTTTTTCTCTCTCTCTCCCTCCTGCTCTATCTGAATAAAAAATGGAAAAATATCCTTGGGTGAGGATTTAAAAAAAAAAGAAGCAAACCATCGATCTGGAATATCAGGAAGCAAAAAACAACCAATCAGAACAGCACATACACACAAACAAAAATCCAAAAAATGAGGATAGTGTAAAGGAGCCTCTGGGCCAACTTCAAATGTACCAACATTCACATCATGGGGGTGCCAGAAGGAGAAGAGACAGAGCAAGAAATTGAAAACCTATTTGAAAAAATAATGGCAGAAAACTTCCCTAACTTGGTGAAGGAAACAGACATACAAGTCCAGGAAGCACAGAGTCCCAAACAAGATGAACCCCAACAGCCCCACACCAAGACACATCATCATCAAAATGCAGAAGGTTCAAGACAAAGAGAGAATCTTAAAAGCAGCAAGAGAAAAGCAGTTAGTTACCTACAAGGGAGTTCCCATAAGACTGTCAGCTGATTTCTCAAAAGAAACTTTGCAGGCCAGAAGGGAGTGGCAAGAAATATTTAAAATGATAAAAAGCAAGGACCTACAACCAAGATTACTCTATCCTGCAAAGCTATCATTTAGAATTGATGGCCATATAAAAAGTTTCCCAGACAAGAAAAAGCTAAAGGAGTACATCACCACCAAACCAGTACTATATGAAATGTTGAAGGGTCTTCTTGAAGAAGAAAAAGATAAAAAAATATGAACAATAAAATGGCAATAAATACATATCTATCAACAACTGGATCTACAAACAAAATGAGCAAGCAGAACAGAAACAGACTCACAGATACAGAGAACTTCTTGTTGGTTGCCAGTTGGGGGGTGGGTTGGGGAAATGGGTGAAAAAGATGAAAGGATTAAGAAGTACAAATTAGTTGTTAGACTAATGAACCTCAAAGGGAAGGGGGATGGGGGTGGGGGCGGGTAGAGAAAAATCAAAGAACTTCTATGCACATATGTGTCACTAATGGACACCGACAATAATGCGAGGAAGGCAGGAGGGGGGAGGGAGTGCAGGGGGGTTATAGGGGGGACAAAAAGGAAGGACATCTGTAATTCGTTCAACAATAAAGATAAGTTTAAAAAGAAAACAGGAAAAAACCAAACAAACCAAAAAAGAATGTGATCAAGAGACACTATAAACATGAGATGTATGAGATTAGCTAGTGTTTTACAGTGAATTTTTTTTTTTTGGTACGTGCGCCTAGCGGGAACCGAACCCGGGACTCTCTGGTCCACAGGCCGACGCTCCAACCGCTGAGCCAAACCGGCCAGGCAACAGTGAATTTTTTTTCAAGTAAAAAACAATCTTCAAAATAGTAAAACGTGCTGTCTAGCAAATACGTAAACCAGCAACAGAGTCACTACTGTCACGATCGGGTGTCACGTGCCATGTACCTGTGCGTGTCGTACTTTCACACGAGTGGGTTTGCTCACAGCATCGCCACCCTCGGGGGAGCTGTCCGGTGAGAGAACACGTCACCCAACAGCGTGACCTCAACTGTCACGAGCGTGGATGCGTGGAGAAAAGTGCAGACAGAAGGGCTCACCCCAAATACTTATTTCAAAAGTTCACCCCAGTTTAAACCTCACTGTATTAGAAAGAAAACCCGCTTCCTCTAATGCTCAGAAAGAAGTCTCACCTCGGCCTCGATTTCATCGTAAAGAAACTGCTTGTTGAACCTCGTGAGGGCGTAGTGGGCGCTGTCGTTGTACAGGTCCAGAGAGTAGAGGACATACCTGCAGAGGGTGAGTGGTCAGCCAGCCTCGAACACGGAGCTTCCTGCACCCCAAGAACTACCACTGCTCTCCTCTCATGTGGCAAGTCGGCTCCTGCAAGGCCCTGGCGGCACAGGCACAGGGCAACGGCTGGCGGAGCCATGGGCAGGGCGCCAGCCTCAGGCCACGCCCAGGGCCCTGGCCAGTCAAGGGCCCCTGCACCTCACCTTCTCCTTTATCCTGTGTCAAAGTTTTTTACCGCAAGGATGTAGTATTTCCCTTTTTCTTATAACCACAAAAATGAGGACTTTTCTTAATTTTAAAGCTACTATTTTTGCCCAGCTGGAATGGCTCAGTTGACTGGAGTGTCTTCCCTACACTGAAACATCGCTGGTTCAATTCCCGGTCAGGGTACATCCTGGGTTGTGGGCTCAATCCCCAGTTGGGGCATGTACAGGAGGCACCTGATCAATGTTTCTCTCTCCCTCTCCCTCCAAGCATGGCCTCGGATGAGGGTTAAAAAAAAGTGCAACAGAGTGGGAAGGGGGCAGAGAGAGAGGAAGAGGGAAGGAAAAAGAGAAACATCAATGTGAGAGAGATACACTGACTGGTTGCCTCCCGCACGACCCCAACCAGGGCCCGAAACCGAACCACAACCGAGGTACATGCCCTTGACCAGAATCGAACCTGTGACTCTTTGGTCCACAGGCTGACACTCTAACCACTGAGCCAAACTGGCCAGGGCAAAAAGTGCACTATTTAACAAATATTGTGTACAACCTTTAAAACGTCAATGTTTGGATCAAAAGAAGCCCCAGTTTATTTTCTGCTTGCTGTAAATTAAACCTGGCTGGGTCCCCAGCCTCACCAGTGTAGGACACAGCGCAAATGCTCACGTCTGAGCTCCTGACTTCTCCGAAGTCAAGAAACCTGTCACTCGTATTGATCTCTAGTCTCACCTCAAGAATTAGTGTCAAATGAAGTGCTGAAAACTGTGACCCGTCTCCTACTTCTCACCTCCCAAGTGCCACCCAAGCCCTGTCACCACGAACAAAGAGCCAGGCCAGCCCACAGGACACTCACTCCATCATGGACGCCTCCTTGGTCTCCAGGATGTGGTCGGTCAGGATCCAGGGCATGGACATCTCAATGGGGAACTGGATCCTCCGGCCCATGGTGAGCTCCAAGAAGAACTCTCGGAACCACAGCTGGGAGAGGTCGCAACACTGCTGAAGCGTCTCTGCGGGTGTACACGCCACATGTTAGTCATTGGCAAGTAGACAGAGCCAGCAGACGGGAGACATACAGAATGAGGACCGTGGGTCAGGCGCCGGCTCCTTCACAATCAGCCCCGAGCCATGCAGGAGTGGCCGTGAGCAGACAGGGTTACATGGTGCCTGACACTAGGGACGGGACACTGGGTGTGGCTGCAGGTGCAGCCACCTGGACTGTGCATGTCCTTGCACAGAAAGAACGGAGTAGGCGTCCAGCCACTGTGGACCCCACAGGGACATGTGTGTCCACAGATGGAACTTATCAACCCTGTGAGCCCCAAGGGGGACTGGGCGGGAAAAAAATGTCCTTATGAAAAGGAGAAATAAAACTCTTATCTGACTCAGGATCAAGATGCTTCTGTCCTATGATGGAGTGAAAAACAAAACAAAAAATCACTGTTTACTGCAGAGCTGCCACATCCCAACTAAGACGGGCCTCCTGCTGTGAGCACGCAGCTGTGACCGATAAATCCGGACAGCGCCACAGTGACAAAGGGCGCCCTCCGAGCCTGGTCCAGGGCCCTTCGTCACCCCAGGATGGGCTGCCCGAGTCAGCAACCTGCCAACAGCACGCGTCACCGCCCGAGGGGTCTGTTTCTGTTATTTATCACTGTCTTGATCTCAAGCCAGGTGACAGATTACATTCGCCTGTTTCTCAGACCCTGTGCGGTTACAAAGGCTTTATGCTCCTCAGGTTGAAGGGCCAGCTACGGCCCCACGGCCCTCACACTTCTAAAGGCCACACCGCACGGAGGGAGCCCCCGGCCGGCCACGTGCTTGCAGCGACAGTTGAGGGGATGCCACAAGGGTTACGACACACGTCACCACCTGGGTGTGTGAAGGACCACAGCAGGGGACGGTCAGGCAGGCGGAAGCATTCTAGACGGTGTTAGCGGTGTTAGAACATGCTGGGCTGGATGCTGGTCAGCAGTGTCTCTTACCACTGAAATTTATCAAGTGAGTGTAGAAGAATGACTCTCGATGGAATTTTTCTATGTCCAATATCGTGGGCCCCTCAAGGCTACTTCTCAAGGTTTTCTTGGAACCACTTTTTTCTGCAATGAGGGACTCTAGCATGGTTCTCACCATGTAAAGCTGCGTTATCCAGGGAACCGTTCGTGGGGGAGAAAACACACACGGTATATTAGTCGCACCGAACTGCCTGCCCACAGGGCTGCTCCGCGACGCCCCGACCTGAGCCGGGCTGCCCTCTGGCTCCTCCAGGGGCCTGGTGCCACCTGAGCGGCCACGCTGCTGTTGCTCGGGAGAAAGGACCTGCAGTGGAGCCCTTCACCTCCGTGCCGTGAACATCAACAAGATAAACAAACGATGTCTTACCACCAAAGGTTAAAAGAGGTGGATAGATGTAGGACTGCCTCAGAAACGCGTTAACTGCATGCAACAGCCTTGCCATGCCCAGAGACTTGAGCTGCCACAGCAGCTCAGCAGAGCTCAAGGACTCCGCCATGGTGCGCACCAGGTACAGCTAGACACAGACAGACGGGAGAGGCGGGAGAGAGCGGTTAGTCACAGGACGTACGGAGCAGGGACACACACACACGCTGGACGGAGGGCAGGCGCTTCGAACAGACCCAGGACGGGCCTTCCTCCCAGATCCCGAGCGTCTCATTTGCAGTCAGCAACGTGCTTTGCAGGGAATTCTCTGAGCACTGGCAGCAGAGATGATAAAAGCCCAACAGGTGACAAGCAAGAAGGGCCAAGTCCCCCATTGGGAGGAGAAAAGCAGAAGGGTGGGTGTATGATCCCGTGAGTCACAAGAAAGCTGCTTGTGGGGGGGACCCGAGCGGGAGAAACAGAGAACAGTGGTGGTGACTTAAGTCCAGGGACACACAAAAGCTACATTTTTAAATTTCTCAGAGTTTTATCTTCAGGAATGATCTTTTCCAGCCCAGTGTAAAAACCATAACCATGCACAGAAGCATCCACCCAGAAACACAGTGCAAACACAGACACAGACTGTCATCCACGCTATGGACACGGGAGCTGAGGCAGTCAGATCAAGTTCTACATGCAGATGACCAGACCCGACAGTCCCGGATGTCTGGCCGATGCTGCAGATGCATGCGGGCCAAGGACACGGGCAGAGAAGACACAGGCGAGAATTCATCTGCCCGAGCAGACAGAGGTGACCTCACTTCACTCCCAGCCTCACTTCCTGACCCCAGCTCAGGGTTGGCTCCCTTGGGGGACAGGCAAGGCAGGGGCACAGGGGGACAAGAACCTGTGTGCTGGAGGGTCCCACGGCGCGGCGGGGCACTTTAATGTCGAAGCCACTTTTGGGGTCCTTCTCGCCCCGGAGGGCTGGGTCGTTGAAGGGCTCATGCCCTGTCTCCCAGTCGCACACGGTCTTCCTGATAGCCTGCAGGACACTGAACAGCAAGGCATGAGGGCTGACACCGCTGGGACATTTACAGTGACAGCACCCCCCCCACACACACATACAGCCCTCAGCACATCCGACGCTCACATGAACTCCTCCGGGTGCTGCAGGAAGAGGCAGTGGACTGAGCGTCATCCCATGGACTGAGAGGTCCCAGTTCAATTCCCAGTCAGGGCACATGTCTGTGTAGTGGGCTCAATCCCCAGTAGTGGGTGTGCAGGAGGCAGCTGATCAATGTTTCTCTCTCACACTAATGTTTCTCTCTCTCTCCCTTCCTATCTCTCTAAAAAAAAGCAATAAAAACATATTGTAAAAAAATAAAGAAAAACTGTCCTTTCCCCAGTTGAACTGCCTTTGCTCCTTTGTCAAACACCAGTTGACTGTATTTCTGAGGGTCTACTTCTGGGCTCTCTATTCTTTTGCATTGATCCATGTATTTAATTTCTGACCAATACCACACTGTTTGATTACTATAACTTTATAGTAAGACTTGAAGTTGGATAGTCTCATTCCTCAGTAGGGGGCGTGCAGGAGGCAGCAGATTGATGTTTCTCTCTCGTCAATGTTTTCTCTCTCTCTCCCTCAAATAAAAAAAAAGAAGCCCAGCTGGTGTGGCTCAGTGGTTGAACATCGACCAAGAGGTCACTGGTTTGATTCCTGGTCAAGACACATATCCAGGTTGTGGGCCTAATCCCCAGCAGGGGCATGCAGGAGGTGGCCAGTCGATGTTCTCTCTCGATGTTTCTCTCTTTCTCTCCCTCTCCTTTCCTCTCCCTCTAAAATGAATAAAGAAAAAAATTTTTAAAAGGAGAAGAAAAAATGTGTGGATTCCACGGCTGTTTAAACTGAACCAATACTCCAATCCCGGACACCAAGCACACAGGGAGGGCTGACCTCTGAATGACGTTCTTCTTCTTCTTGATGGCCTGCCGCAGCGGCTCCCGGAGCGTCACCTGGGAGAAGTCCTGCAGGGCGGCGTAGACAGTGTGCCGGATGGCATGGTTGAACACGCTCTCCATCCTGCCCATCAGCACCTGCAAGCCCTTGATCATGGCGATCACCTGCAGAGGACACACGACTTTCTGGAGGACCGGAGGTGGGGAACACCACCTTTTCAACAACCAGAGTTGGGACACTAGATGCCCATGTGCAGAAGAATGACGTTGGGCTCCTGTTCAGGGCAGGGTTAACCAGCAGGCGGGGTGACCTTAATCCAGCGTGTTCCCAGAAAGTACTGTCCTCAGGTCTGGCCCCTTGGATGGCTCCCAGAAACGGAGCTCTGAGCTTCTGGAACACTCTGCCTGGGGACGGCACATGTGCCCGAGGTTTTGGGCCACGGCACAGTGTCCAACCAAATAGGGTGACTCAGGATGAGCCATCTGGCTCTGGGGGTCTAGAGTTGGAGGATTCGAGGTTAATTAGGTGGGTGCTACACACTATGTGACCGGCCCCCAAGAAAAGCCCTGGATACCGAGGCTCGGGTGAGCTCGCAGGCCACTCCAGTGTAGAGACGCCTGGAAGTCAGCTCCTGGCTTCTCCAGGCCTTCACCATATGCCTCCTCCTCTATCCCTCTGCTGCAATAAATCATAGCCTTGACAGAACAGGTACTCCATGCTGTGAGTCCACCTCGCCCCATAAAAGAGCTGACTCAAAATGAATCATATGTTGAGATGTGATGCAAAACTGCCCGGCCAGCGTGGCTCAGTGGATTGAGCGCTGTCCCAGGGACTGAGAGGTCCCCATTCGATTCCGGTCAGGGCGCATGCCTGGGTTGTGGGCTCAATCCCCAGTGTGGGGGTGTGCAGGAGGCAGCCGATGGATGTCTCTCTCACATCGATGTTTCCATCTCTCTCTCCCTTCCTCTCTCTCTAAAAAAATCAATGAAAACAGATTAAAAATAAAGATAAAATAAGTGTGAAGCAAAACTGTAAAAGTCTTAGAAAACAGGAGTAAATCTTTGTGATTGGGGTTAGACATGGGGGACACACTTGCCAGGGCTATTTTATTGTTTTGACTACTACTGTGACAGATGAAAGGGTTGCCCCACACAGAAGCAATGACAAAGAATAGGCAGTTCATTCATGGTCTTGGTCTTGCCTCTCCTTCGAAAAGGGAAGACAATCTGAGCCCAATCCCAGGAGGAAGAGACAGCAGACAAGCCTACCTCCACAAGGGCGAACTTCTCCTCGCTGGTATAGTTGTAGCGGGTGGCCCGCTCGTACTCCTCGGCGTTGTCGGGGCAGTCTTTGTTGGAATACTTGTCCGTTGGGTGCACAAGTTTCCAGGAGTACTGGTGTGGTGGGAAGAAGGGAGATCAATTAAATTGTGTCCGTGAATTTGAACACACAAGGCCATTTATTTGTAACACACGTAAGTGAAATGTATGTTGCGTCATGTTCAGTTTAAATGGATAACCTTATTTCTAGGGCCCAAGTTAAAAAGCCAATTTGTTCTTGATCCAAGAACCAATTTAATGCCAATATATATATATATGAGATTCAGTCCATTTCTGGAAGAGTGTGGGTAGAAAACTCTTGTTCGCAACTGGGGGTGGTGGGTGGGAAGAGGCCGCCCTAGCTGCCGGCTGTGCCCCGGGTGAGTGCGGGGTGCCTACCACTTCCATCACGTGCGCACTCCACTGAGACAGCAGCTGCAAACCCTGCAGGGCCAGGTCAAAGAGCTTCCGATACTCAGCGTCTGTCTTCTGAGCCTCCTGGCGGCCCGAGCCTGTGACCACCTGGAGCATCACAGGAGCAAGAAGTCACCCCATATCCAGAAAAACCAGCATGCCTACCCCTGACCCCTCAGACCCAGTCTAAGAACCCACCCCCAAGGTATGGCCACAGCAACGTGACTTGAGGGGCACACGCCTTCCCTACAGCAGAAGGCGGCAGCCAGAGCGCTGAGGACAGCAGCTGTCAAAGCCAACGTGGGCAGCGAAATGCTGAGTCTCAGGCTCACAACTCCTGCCACAGGTGGGCTCAGTGATGCCTCTGGCAGGGAAGAGGAAGCGAACACACACAAAGTAGCAACCCCAGACCCAGACTCAGACCACTGTCAGCGCCCAGGAACTTCCAGAGGGATTCAGAAATCTGTGCCGTTCCTGGGACCCTTCTGGGGCCTGGCTGCCTCCAGCCCCACCCGCCTCTTCCTCACTCAGCCTCCCTTCCTTCTACAGAAGGTGCGAACGTTCTGAGCTCTCTAAGACGGATTTGAGAAATGGTTCCCCCTCTTCTCCAGCTGGCCCCTGTGATCAACAACTTTTCCTTGCTCCACTCTGACCCACTGGGCATGGGCCCCTCTTCGGAAACAGTGGGCACCGGGTGTGGCAGACGGAGCGGGAGCTGCTCCTTTCAGATCTGACTTTGGAACCACGCACACGGTTTATATATTATGACATGAAATTAAACGAAGGGGAAGACCCGAGTCCTAACACTCAAAAGCAAAAATAAAACGGTGAACTGAGCTACATATCAAACTGGCACCACAGCGGGACCTAGGAACCAAGCAGTGTGTGTGCCTGGCATCAAGCTACTGACTGCCCAGCACCACTTCAAATAAACAGCTGCAGCTACACAACCGGAGGCCAGGCTACCCGCCCACCGGGTTCCCTGTTCCAGCGCCCTGGGTGACCTGCAGAGCAGACCTCTTTGGTGCCCCTGCTCACCCCTCCCGCCCTGACCCCACTCCAGTGTCCGAAACACACTGATTAGGAGTGAAGCGGCTCATCCCTCCGCCCCGCACCCCCCGGCCCCGCACCCTCCTCCCCGCCTCCCCGCCTGGACCTCGCTGTTGCTGTAACGCGCCAGCTCCGAGATGAAGCGCATGTGGTCCTCGCGGATCTGGAGCATCTGCTCGCAGATGTTGTACTGGGGGCTGCTGCTGGAAGACGTGCAGGTCCACCTGGGGGGAGGGGGTGTGTGTCATGGGAGGGGCGTCTGCACGGGCTGGGGGCCAAGGATGCAGTAGCACAGCCCGCCCACCACCCCGCGGGCCTCTGCGGCGGGAGACAGGCCCCAGGAGGGAGTCAGTAATGTGGTAACTGTCTGGTGCCCCGTGGGTGCTGGAGATCTCAGGGGGACCACTTTGTGAGGTATATGATTCCCAGCTGGGGTGTGTGTGGGAGGCAGCCGATCGATTTTCTTCTCCCATCAGTGTTTCTTTCTCTCAAAAAAAAAAAAAAAAATCAATAAAAGTAAAACATAAAAACCAATAGATAACATTGCAGAATGTTCCAACTGGGCAGCTCACTCTCCTACCGAGATTTATTTTCCTCGTAGTGGGCGCTGGTCTTGATGTATCTTGCTAGTTCTATCTGCATGTCCCCGAAGAGTGGAACCACCTGGAGCTGCTGTATTCAAAGAACAGCAAAAAAGGGTCATCATCTATGTTTAGTGACCAAATGCATAATCACAAGAAGAATGAATAATGGCAATAATTACTGTGGGTTGAAAACTATCTCTGCCAATCACCGAGTGCAAAAAAGTGGTAAACAACTTCTACATTCACTTCAAGAACAAAATACAAGAACCGACATTCACAAAACCGTTTCGAATATTAAAATTCACCTGACTTTGGCTAGAGCCATGGTCATAAAAAAATTCAGTGGCACTGCTATATACTAGCAACAATTAAAAAATAAAAATTTAAAAAGAATTTGCAAAAGCATAAAAAAACTGAAAAAACAGGTATGAATACATTAAACAAAATATCTAAGCAAAAACTACCAAAAATTCTGGAGAACATTTTAAAGTTTTAAGTGAATGGAGAAATATACCAGGTTCACGTACTGGAAGAACCTGTACATGCAATGGAATCCCAGACAATGTTCCAAGAGGAAGGTGGGTGATGAGCAGTGTACACGTGTGGAAATCACAAGCCAATTCTAAAATGCAGTTTGAAAGGTGAATGGACAATACGCACGACAGTCTTGAAGAACATAACTTGAAGACCTCCTGGTGAGCAGACCTAGTCTACTGGGAAGCCACAGCCACTAGGACAGTGTGGCCTTGGAGCATGGATGAAGACCAGTGGGGCAGGACAGAGAACCTAAGACAGAGTCACAGACAGACAGACACCTGGTTTATGACCCACGTAACACGCAGAACAATGCGGGAAAAGATGGTCTGCAATGAAAAAGCAGGGCCAAGTAGACATCCATATGGAGAGAAAAATCCAAGAATGTCAACTCCTAGCCCTGGCCCGTGTGGCTCAGTTGGCTGGGCGTCGTCCCGTCCTGCCTGATGCCCGGTCAGGGCACGTGCTGGGCTGCGGCTCTATCCCCAGTAGGGCGTGTGCAGGAGGCAGCCGATTAACGTTTCTCTCTCACATTGCTGTTTCTATCTCTCTCTCCAAAATCAATAAAAACTTATTTTAAAAAAAGAATGTCAACCCCTACTTCACACCGCACAGAGGCCAGTTCCAGGGGGAAATATAGACGTAGATAAAAGGAAATGGTGATGCATCTATCAGTTGACACAGAAGAAAAATCTCATGAGCCTGCTCTATACGAGAATTTCCTAACATGGACATTAAAGATGCACAAATTGGACTACAATAAAATGAATAATCTCTGTTCATCAGATGACACCTTTAAGAAAGTGAAGAGAGCCCCCCCCAGGGAAGGCCCGCATTTTAGAGTACGTGTATCCAACTAAGGCCACGTACCTAGAATACAGGAAGAGTCACACATCAGCAGGGAGAAAACAAAAAAAAAAAGAAATTTCAAGTGATGCTTCATAAAACAGAACTCACAAATGTCTAGAGGAGCAGCGGTTCTCAACCTGTGGGTGGCGACCCCTTTGGGGGTCAAACGACCCTTTCACAGGGGTCGCCTAAGACATAACAGTAGCAAAATTACGGAAGTAGCAATGAAAATAACTTTATGGTTGGGGGTCACCACAACATGAGGAACTGTGTTAAAGGGTCACGGCATTAGGAACGTTGAGAACCACTGGTCTAGAGCGTGAAACACCAGGGAAACATCCCCTAAACCACAAGAAAACACTAGCCAAAAAAATTGCAATGACATCCCCACCCTTCAGGATGCCCCCCCAAAAGTGACAGTGTGCCACTTAGGGAGGAGGTGGAGCCCCGGGGATGATCACTGTTGCTGGTGGGAATGCGCGTCAGCCTGGCCATGTGGAAACTGCTAGGCTGTATGTACTAACACGGAACACATTTAGGGCTGGGAACCCCAATCCCACCCCTGGGCAAGCGTCCAACAGAAATGTGCAGATATGCCCTAAATTGGAGCAGCACTGTTCATACCAGCCAGAGTGGATAAACTGTGGGGTACCCATCAAATGGCCTGCGATATCACAATGAAACCCCAGGACTACAGCTGTGGGCTCCCACAGGGGTGAAGGAACAGCCAGAGGATAGCAGGTGAAATTCTGAGCCAGGCAGAACCAGTGGGGGCAGAAAGGGAGGGAGCAGGTGCTTGGGCCCCCTGCCATGTCCCAGGACGGGTCATGGTCACAGGGTTACCACCCCAAACTCAAACTGGACGCACGTCAATAGAAATGTCACTCACCTTGAAGAACTTGTCGATTTTGGACAAGTTTATTCTTTTCTTGGCGTCTAGTTTATAGATATTGCTGACACTCCCATCCATCAAGTACAGACCAAACCCCATGACCTGAAGAAGCACAAAATAGCATAGAGAACCCAGACCTGTGAGGTTAATTACCCACAAGCTTTTCTAGAAATGACAATTGTTTTCTCAGAACGCAATTTTAAAAGCTCCTCAGACATAAGTGGATACCATCCCTTCATAGGAAGTTTCTTTCTTTTTTAATTGTTGAAAGAATTACAGATGTCCCCCATTTTTCTCCCACTGATCCCTTTCCCACCCTCCTCCTGCTTCCCCCAGCCTATTGTCTGTGTCCATTGGTTGTGCATACATGCATGTAAGTTCTCTGGTTTACCCCTTCCCGCCCCACCCCCCTTCCCTCTGAGGTTTATTAGTCTGTTCCCTATTTCTATGCCTCTAGATCTATTTTATCAACAGCTTTTTTGTTCATGATGTTCCATAAATAAGTGAGATCACGTGGTACTTGTCTTTCTCTGACTGGCTTATTTTGCTCAGCAAAATACCCTCCAGATCCCTCCATGTTGTCTCAAAGGGTAAGAGCTCTCTTTCTTACAGCTGCATAGTACTCCATGGTGTACATGTACCACACAGCTTTTATATCCACTCAGCTACTGATGGGCACTTGGGCTGTTCCCAGGTCTTAGCAACTGTAAATAGCGCTGTGGTGAACACAGGGGGCATGTATGCTTTCTGAGGGGTGTCCCAACATAGGAAGCTTTTCTGCTGTGTGTGTTTTTTCTTCTGGAGGTTTGTGTGTCCTCCCCAGGCAAGTCGACCACCTCACCTCCTGTCAAACACAGCGCAACAGTGAACGTGGACTCCACAGGCACCATGGCCGGGGCCCTGCACCTGCCATTATGGAGCGCTGCCCTGGACAGCACCCTCCGCCCTGATCCCACCATGGTCCTCTCCAGCTGGGAGAAGTCTCAGCTGTCGCCGGGAGGGGTCTGGGCTGGTGGGGCACCCAGCACAGGTCCCCAACCCTAGGGCTGCCCTCCACACAGGGGGAGATCAGAGGGCAGGGAACAGAACCGCCACCTCCTCCTCCCAATCAGAAACGTCACTGACAACCTCCCCAACGTGAAACAGAGTAAGAACAAAGAATACGGTGAATGGCCATGTTTCCTGACCATCATGTCGACTTTGACCTGGTGACACAGAATGCAGAGGCTCCTGCACTCCCGATGCGGTTACGTTCCGATAAACTCATCGTCAAGGTCCTTGACCCAGGACTTGTTACCCACGAACACCTGCTCTGGGGCTGGGGTGTGACCCACCTGACACTGGGGTCAAGCCCAGGACAAACTCATAGGAATGCATGGAGAGCTTGTGGTGCAGCCTGCACTCAGCGACCCCCACATGGACACACAACCCCATACACACACCCCGACCCCCACACACACCGTACACTTGCATAACCCCCAAACCCCCATACCCAACCTCCACACATGCACCCCCATACACCCCACAAACACACCCCTAACCCCCACCCTACCACATGTGCACCCCAACACACACCCCCATCCCTACACACCCCCCCATGTGCACAACCCCACACCCCCCAACGCTCCCCCACATGCCCATGTGCACCCCACAAACACACCCCCCACACCCCATGTGCACATGCCCCACCCACCCCACACATGCACACCCCCACACATGCCCACATAAACCCCCAACACGTACACCCCCATACATACCCCACAAACACACACCCCCACATGTGCACACACACCACCACACACCCCATACATGCACACGCACACGCCCACACCCCACACATGCACACCCACACACCCACACATGCACACGCACACCCCTACACACCCCATACATGCACATGCACACACCCCATACATACACATACACACACCCACACTCCATGTATGCACACACACACATCCCATACATGCACACCCACACACCTCATACATGCACACACACACACCCCACCCCATACATGCACACGCACACACCCACACCCCACGCATGCACAACCCCCACACACATGCGCACACCACACACCCCAACGCATGCACGCATACCCCCCACACCCCATACATGCACACGTACACACACACACGCACGCACAAGTGTGAGAATAAGAGAAGGTTGGCAGAAGCATCGCAGACCAAGCGCAGCCTGTAAAGAGAGCCAGGCTAGGCTGCCCCTCCCTCTGCGGTGCTCGGCGGTCGCTGTCCCCACCCACGTACTTTGAGAAGCATGTGTTTCTCACTGGGCGTCAGGTACATCCTGTTCTCGTAATAGTCCACGCACAGGTTCACGATGTCGGCCAGGAGCTCTTCGTAGCCGGAAATCACTTCCAGCTGTTGCTGCAGAGACTGAAAGGGGAGGGGCTATTGGCTCCAGGTCCCCTGGCCCCAGGCAGGCGATGCACCCCCTCCCTCAGCAGGCGGCCAGACCAGAACCTCACCTGTGTGATCTTGTTGTGGTTGGCCAGGAACATGGACAGGTTCTGAGACTCCTGGATGGACTGTGGGTCTGCCATTTTCCGTAAAAACTGAGCAGCCCTTTGAGAGAGAAAAAAAAGAAATAGTTAATCAACCAACATGCTTCATGATTTAAAACATGTTGGCTAAAAAATATCAATTTCTGTGGCTAAGTTACCTGCAGAAACATGGGTCTTAGTAGCTGGTTATGGCTTCAGTCTCCTCCAACTACCTCAGGCCCTCTTGATGGGCCCCCCACACCATCCTCTCCCTGGGGCTACTTGTCCCCAAGTCTGAGGAAGGCTGTCTCCCCCCTTACTCTAGAGCAGCGGTTCTCGATCTGTGGGTCACGACCCCATTGGGGGTTGAACGACCCTTTCACAGGGGTTGCCTAAGATGTAACAGTAGCAAAATTACAGTTATGAAGTAGCAACAAAAATAATTTTATGGTTGGGGGCACCACAACATGAGAAACTATGTATGAAAGGGTCGTGGCATCAGGAAGGTTGAGAACCACTGCTACAGCATGGTGATGAAGTTGGCCAGCACCGTTCTGGTTCTGTGCTGAGAACCACACTTCCTACAAGTCAGGACCATGGTTCTGATGCCGAAGGTCTGAAACAAATTCCTGGTCCTGCTACCAACGTTTTGGATCAACCTCCGGAACCCTCCGAGCCTCCCTTATGACATCTAGGACAAACAAACCACCCACAGGGCTGATGGGAGAACAGACAGCAAATAGCACACACAGAAATGACCTGTCCACACTGTCATCAAATGGGGACAACTTCAGAACTTTCCTACCCAAGAGGGGTAAAACGTTAACTCAAAATACTTTGTAGTCTTCACAATCAGAGCTGATTCTGGGTGATGAATGGAAAGCCTGCACTTATTTCATATGGATAAGACTTAAAGCCCTGGCCGCTTTGGCTCAGCGGTTAGAGCGTCGGCCTGCGGTCCGGAGAGACCCGGGTTCGGTTCCCGCTAAGGGCACGTACTTCGGTTGCAGTTTGTCCCCGGCCCTGGTTGGTCGTGCGGGTGGCAGCCACTCAATGTGTCCCTTTCACCTCGATGTTTCTCTCTCTCTCCCTCCCTCCCACTCTATCTGTACAAAAATTGGAAAAAAAAAATGTCCTCGGGTGAGGATAAAAAAAAAAAAAAAAAAAAAGACTTAAAATCTGGGTGACCTAGCTCAACTACCCTCTCACCCTCAAACCTCGATGTTTAGCCCCATTCCATGTCAATTTCACTTAAAGTGACAGTGTATGATTTCAGGTGCGACATAACTACAGTCTATTCAGATGCAAAGGAAAAACTCTTCCAATTTAGTCTTGCAGCTCAAATTCCTTATCTGGTGAGAGGAGACATAAGTCAGCATCTCGTTCTTGCCAGTCATGCCTTCAGCAGTACCAAGTACAGATTCTCTAAAGAAAGTCAGTCGGAAGACAGCTGACTGTGCTCTGACCGCCCACCCCGCCCCGCGCCATCACCCACCCACAGTGAGAGTCCACAGGGCCAGCTCCACCCTCTGTGGTGATGGTGTGCACCTGCGAAGGACAGATGACCACACACTGAATAGCACAGGTGGTGCCCTCAGGCTGCAGACCCGTCTGGCCCTCACCAAGACGCTCCCTGAGCCAAACGCCAGCACAGTGACCCCACGGTTCTGTGAGCAGAGAACGGTCTTGTGTGCTGTGCCCTCCCAAGGGTGCTGAGCACACAACAAACATTTGGGAATGACGCATACCTCCAAGGATGCATCCCCGCACAGGTCATGTGCCAGCTGCCCCAGGAGCATGTATCAAACAGTCCTAAGCCTGGCAAGTAGCTACTGCCAACCAGTTGTAACGACTTCAGTACACCTGGGATGCATTCCCACTGTGCAGGGTGCACAGTTCTCGCGGTACCGCTGGGCGCCCTCCACGGGCCCAGGTGCAGGGCAAGGCTCACCTCTTGTAGGCCGAGTGGTCGTTCTTCACGCTGCACTTCATGTTCTTGAGCTCGTCCAGCACTGCAAACATGTTGATGAACTTGCCCAGCGTGATCAGGTAGGCTTCAGACACAAAGTCCTTCCTCCTTTCCGCGTGACACAGGCGCCTCACCTCCCCACAGAAACGCTCGATGGCATTTCTCTGAGCAGAGAAAGGGGGACCAGAAAGGCCACTGTCAGCAAGGGCCTGCTCCACGCCAGCTTCATGCAGTGTTCAGACTCACTCATAAACACCCACCCAGTGTGTGGGTATCTGAGATGCAGAGAGAGATGCCACATGCCTTTGCTCTGTGACAGTCATTAGTGATGTTGCACTTTACCAACTACGTCCCTAAAGTAAAGTAATTTTCTTGGTTATTCCAGTAAAGTTCCTGGACAAAATGCTCTAAATAAAGCATCTATAAAACAGAAGTCTGCCCTGGCTGTCTGGCTAAGCGGTTAGAGCATCGGCCCGCGGACTGGAGAGTCCCAGGTTCGGTTCCCGCTAAGGGCACGTACCTTGGTTGCAGTTTGTCCCCGGCCCCAGTTGGGGTCGTGTGGGTGGCGACCACTCACTGTGTCTCTCTCACATCCATGTTTCTCTCTCTTCAAAAAATCCACGCAGAAGTTTTAGCTTTCAGAGGTGAAGAGGGGGATTTTTCCTATTGACAAATTTGAAGGTAAAACAAAAACTCATCTATAATAAAAAAAGCCACACATTTCCAAAGCACACCTTTAACAGCCAGCAAGTCCTCTCCCTGTGGCCGCTCTGCCTAACCAAGGGCCAGAAGATGAGACCAGGGTGAGGACCACGTGAGCGGGCGGTCAGGGTGCGTTTGGGAAAGAAAACCCAGATGACATGAAAGTATAAATTGGCAGAAAGACAAACATACTTGGAACTGAGAAAGCAGTCTTCATGAAGAAGACATGACTGGCTCTCCAGGAGAGAAGAGAAGTAACATAAAAGATGTGCTGGTTCTGCCCTGGCCGGTTTGGCTCAGCGGTCAGAGCATCGGCTTGCGGTCTGGAGAGAGCCGGGTTCGGTTCCCGCTAAGGGCATGTACCTCGATTGCAGTTTGTCCCCGGCCCTGGTTGGGTCGTGTGGGTGGCAGCCACTCGATGTGTCTCTTTCACGTCGATGTTTTTCTCTCTCTCTCTCTCCCTCCCACTCTATCTGTACAAAAAAATGGAAAAATGCCCTCGGGTGAGGAAAAAAAAAAAGATGTGCTGGTTCTGCAAGAGCAGGCAAAGCTCCTGTCAAAGGCTGTTTCCTTTTGTATCTAAAGCTGAGGTGTCTGCTTTAATTGACATGCTCCTGGTTTACTGAGTTCATGGCGACAGTGACGCCAGCACCATCCTGATCCTCTGCCTTAAACCCCCAGGATTACTTCGCTGCTTTACCTGGAAGTACATAAAATTCATCAGTTTCGTGACTTCAGGTTCAAGGACCTCCACAGTTTTCTCATAAATTTCCACTCTATTAGGCTGCTCGTTACATTTAACCTGGGAATAAACAAGTATGACATAAAGAGGCTTCAGCCCACCTAGAATTGAGGGGGGAAGGCATTATTCGAGCTGGGGTGGGGACTGCTGAAGGGTAGAATTCAGCAGGTGGGGCAGGGCTGGGGAGGTGAAGGCGTGGTCTGGCTGGTTAGGGTTGTAATAGGGAAGTGGTCTGGCTGGGATGGGGGGAGCTGGTGAGGTAGGGGCGTGGTCTGGCTAGGCTGGGCGGAGCTGGTGAGGTAGGGGCGTGGTCTGGCTAGGCTGGGCGGAGCTGGTGAGGTAGAGGCGTGGTCTGGCTAGGCTGGGCGGGGTTGGTGAGGTAGGGGCGTGGTCTGGCCGGGCTGGGCGCAGCAGGATGACGGGGTACCTGTGGGATGGCCCGAGAACAGCTCCTCCAGGTGTACAGCATGACAGCATAGTCCTGGCCCTCCTCCAGCATTTCATTCTGCAAGGGCACACAGGGCAAATCTAAGGCAAGCAGGGGAACAGTCCGAACAAAGGAGATGCCAAATCTCTAAATTCCATAGGCATACACTATCCCGACTCTCCTTTTTAGGGACAAGCAGCAGGATGTGCCTTCTAAGTAAGAGACAGCTGTTAAGAAACAGCCATGTAGCAGTGTGGCCATGACGACCACCTTACACCCCCACAGCTACTGCAGGCAGAGAGATGTCAGTGACCTGCAGGCTCCTCTGCCTGGGGCCAACACAGCCCCAGGACCTCCGTCACAGCTGCTACACTGTGCTCCACTCAGCCCCAAACAACCTGAGGGCAATGCAGATCTGAAGGTGGGGACACGGGGTGGGGGGCAGGGGGTGTTTCTCTCACATCAATATTTCTCTCTCTCTCTATGCTCTTCCTCATCCCTCCCACTCTCTATCTGAAGATAAATGGAAAAACATCCTCGGGTGAGGATTTAAAAAATAATTAAGTAAATAAAAATAAAATGTTCACAACTTTTAACCCAGTAACTTTGCCTCCACAAATCTAGTCAAAGGTAAAAACTACGTGCTGAGAAAGGTGTTCATTACAGCATTTTTTATTGTGAAAATGAAGGAAAACTAAGCAAACATGGAAAAATAGTTACATTGGCCCTGGCCAGTGTGGCTCAGTTGATTGGAGCATCACCCCATACACCAAAAAGTAGCAGGTTTGAATCCCAGTCAGGGCACATACCTAGGTTGCAGGTTTGATCCCCAGTAGGGCATGCAGGAGGCAGCCAACTGATGTTTCTCTCTCATTGATGTGTTTCTCTCTCTCTCTCTCTCTCTCTCTCTCTCTCTCTCTCCCTTCCTCTCTTTCTCTAAAATCAATAAAACATGCCCTGGCCGGTTTGGCTCAGTGGTTAGAGCATTGGCCTGAGGACCAAAGATTCCGGCCAAGGGCACGTACCTTGGTTGCAGTTTGTCCTAGGCCCCAGTTGGGATTGTGCGGGTGGCAACCAGTCGATGTGTCTTTCTCACATCAACGTTTCTCTTTCTCTCTCTCCCTCCTACTCTGTCTGAAGACAAATGTAAAAATATCCTTGGGTGAGGATTAAAAAAAAAACATTAAAATCAATAAAATATATTTAAAGAAAAAAATATGTAATTATAACAATGCAGTCCATCTATGCAATCTATATCATGAGTGGGTACAAGAGAGGGAGAGAACACGGCTTCCTCAAAATGCTGATGAAGGTTTTCTCTGGGCCACAGATGCTCAGTTTTCAGAAAGAAGGTGTATTATTTCATAATAAGAAAAACAAAAGCTTTAAAAACAATAAGGCATTTCATTCACTCTTCTTTTTCCTCAGTAGGCATCCCATCAGGATAATACGTAAAAGGGGTACATTTGCCATTCAGACGCGCCATTGCCCCAGCTGCAAACAAAGACACTCTGGTGGACTCACCATGCTAGAATGAACAGTCGCTTGTTCAATGTATCTTGCGATACCGGTGACAAATGCATTTCTGTCTTCAAAGTTAGTGTTGAAATTCGGCTGAAAGGAAGAGAAAAACCATCACATGGAGGTCAGTGTCCCAGGGGTCGGCCCCACGGTCACCCAGCACCCACCTGGTAGAGCAGTGAGGATGGTGGGGGCTCGATGCAGGGCTGCTGGTCGGGCAGAGGCAGCTCTTCCAGGAGATCTACGTTGGACAGTGCGTCCTCCAGGGTCACCTGGGCCGCCATCCTGGCCTAGGACACAATACAAAGCCACCTGAGCTGTGAGCAAGAGTGGGGCACCCTGACAATCCTTCCTGGGTAGAGGACGCAGGCCCCTCCCACGCCTGCCCCAGGTCCTGAGGGCACTGGGGATGACTGAGGTGGTCACGGCCAGTCCCCAGGTTCTCGCCGGCAAGGGAGTCACCATGCAGGCTCTGCTCGCCTCAAACGGTGTCATGATGCAGGCACATGGGCCACCACACACATGGTTTCACTCCGACACCCTTCCCACCTTGAGGCCACTGTCCTCAGAGGGCTCTCTGGGAGGGTCTGACAACCCCCTCACCAGGTCGGAGGAGGGAAGGTCCCGTCAACACCACATCTGCCCCACCAAGGCCAGCTCAGCCCTGGGGGCAGCAATAGTGTTTCCCTGCACAGACACTTCCTGGCTGTTCCTCTGAACAGGATTCCATGCTAGGGACTCCTAGAACAGGGTCACCTGCAGGGACCACCAGGGTGAGGTCGGAGCTAAGGTGACTCAGGGAGAGAGCACAATCCAAGGCGGCGTTGAGCAGTCTACATGTTTGTGTCACTCAGTTCACTGTGGGAGGAAGTTGGCAGGTCACTCCCTGAACTGAGGTTTGTATGAGCAGTCCCTGTATGGAAATGGATGAGTCCCAATTTAAAAAACTTTTAGCCCTGGCCGGTTTGGCTCAGCGGTTGGAGCATCGGCCTGCGGACCAGAGAGTCCTGGGTTCGGTTCCTGCTGGGGGCATGTACAAAAAAAAAAAAAAAAAAAATTATCCCCATTATCCACCAGGAACCCTTCCTAGCAGGTATCTTTTCTGAGCATCTACCTATGTGTGTCCGCCATGTGAGCTGCACAGGGAGTCCTGGGTGAGGGATGAGAACAGCTGGAGGCCAATTTGCTCATCTGGCTCCAACCAGCTATTGAGGAAAAGAGGGGTGTCTGGGGAAGAATGTAGTAAAACTGGGGGCAACATTTTTGTTCTGGCTTGAGTTCTGCATGTGAGGGGTACAGTGGGTGTTTACTGTGGGGCACGGAGAGCTGGAGGAGAATTCTCCATTCCGGCTTCGTGTAGTGTGAGGCAGAGGGGTTGCTTGGATAAGGGGTTCAGAGACCTGGAGATGAATTATTTATCTCCTCGCCACACAGCTTTTGAGAGGTCATGGGTAAACGGGCCAGGAGAGACCTCCTTGCTTCAGCCAGGGTGTGAAGAGCACAGTGGTTTGGGGGCAGTTCGGCAGGAAAGACCTTGAGCAGAGTTCTGCATCGTGGCTGTAGTTAGCTTGTGTGGTTCAAGCAGAGAAAACTCTACAGCTGAATTTTCCATCCCTGCCTTAGCCAGGAGGCAACGGGAAAAAGGACCTGATGACAGGTCTAAGGACATGAGGGGCCAGTAGGCACACTGAGGGAAACCGTGTCCTGGCTCCAGCCCAGCAGCTAATGGGCAGCTGGCATCTATGGAAAGAGGCGAGGGGAAGCCTGGAGTCACTTTTTCCTTCCTGGTTCCACAAAGTATGTGATGGGCAGAATGTCCTCAGATAAAAGACAAGGAGAGACCTGGATGTGAATTTTCCATCCTGGTCTAGGCACTGTGTATGAGGTAGGGGGCTGGTTCCCTGAGGGAAGGGGCGAGTTCCAGCCAGTGCTGGCGAATCAGGGGGATGCCTGGGGTGTGTGCCCTTCAGCCAGCGGGAGTTCTGCGAGCTGTTTCTACAGGCCATGCTCAAGTCCCACTTGCCCAGGACGGGTTTCCTGGGGAGCGTCCCCTGGGTCCCATGGGACCACCTTTTGTGATCACCTCCTCAGGACAGGTATCGGGACTGTACTACTTCCAAATAGACAAATTCATGGAACAGAACAGGACGTATAGCAACACCCAAATCCACAGGTACATTTTGAATGATAAACACGCCCAAACGTGTCTCCTCTGATCTTCAGAGAAGATGTGCATTCTGTGATACGCAGCGTTGGGAGGTGCTGTCCAGGGTGGAGGCGGGGCCAGGTGGGAGCAGAGGGCGGGGCGGAAGTTGGGGGCGGGGCCTTGCTCACACCGGAAGCAAGCCCCCTGCCGGGACGTGCGCGCGCAGAGGGAGCTGAGGGGAGCTGAGGCGAGGGCGGACTTCGCCTGAGGGAGCGGAGTGTGAACACGTGGCAGGAAGGGCTGGGGCCCAGGGGTGTGCGGAGGCTGGCAGGCCCGAGGGAGTGGTGGCGGGGGCGGAGCGCCAGGCCCGGAGGTGAGAGGGGTCCTGTGAGTGTGGGCAGGGCCCGCGTGAGTGGCCGGGCCACAGGGAGGCCCTGGGTCACTGCTGTGCCCGGGAAGTTCATTTCCCAGAGAAGCACAGCCGGCCTGCTGGGCTCCCTGCTGCGTCTGTGCCAAGTCCCACTCCCCAGCTTGAACGAACGCACCCTCTCGACCAGAACAGACTCGGTGTCGGAGCTAAAACACCTACAACCCTGGCCGGTTTGCCCAGCGGTTAGAGCGGCGGCCCACGGACCAGAGCCGCGGGCTCGGTTCCGGCCCCGGGTTGCGGTCGGCGTGTTCGCAGAGGCAACCGATCCACGTGTCTTGGTCACGTCGGTGTTTCTGTCTTCCCCCGTCCTCTATCCCTATAAAATCAGTGCTGATTACAGGGAAACAACAAACATAGACACTTTAAGCTTGGGGGCGGGGGGATGACATGTACTATGAGGCGGCAGAGATATTCTTTTTTTTTTATTTTAGTTTTAACTTTAATGATGATGAAATACAACAGTAACACCGTTCTTGGAGTTTAAAATGAGTTCAGGGTCGGGGTGCATGCTGTTCTAGAAATCAAAGTGTTACCTCAATGAAACTGTATCCCCTGCAGGAAATCTGGGAAACTCACAATAAGGCAAATGTTACTTTCAAAGAAGGAAACTCAGATGGTGAATTCTGGAAAAGACAAGGTTATTGATACCTAGTTACAGTATGAAACAGTTTTTAAAGAGTGACTCATGAGCAAGGAAAAGCAATAGTACTCGGCTGCCTCCATTGGTCATCTCGGGGTTCAGCTCCTAGGGGGTCAGGTGCTCTGTGCAGGGCCCCCGGTTTCCTCTGTGATCCACCACTTGTGCCTCCGGCCTGTGGGGCTGGCGTCCGGTGAGTGCCCAGGACAGTTGGCCTTGGAGGAAGCCAGACACTCCGCTGCTTCAGGTGCAGCATTTTGCTGAGGGTTCAGCAGATGCCCAGGAGGCGTTGTCATGAGACCCAGAGGAAAAGGGTGTCAGCCTGGGGGGCCAGCAGAGGGGTAGCTTGGTACGGAAAACTGGGGGTGTTTTTAGTTCATTGTGTGTTGTCATACAGTGAGAGTTTGGGTGAGGATTAGGGTTACTGAACACGGTTTTATTTATGCTTTGCTTCCTATTATAGAGGAAATGAAGATATTTGGGACTATTAGCAAACATGTCTTTTGAACATTAAATTTACCAATGTAAAGAATACAGGGGTAGCCCTGGCCATTTTGGCTCAGAGGTTGGAGCATCAGCCTGCAGACTGAAGGGTCACAGGTTTGAATCCTGGTCAAGGGCACTTACCTGGGTGGCAGCTTGATCCTGACTGGGGTTTGTGCAGGAGGCAACCAATCGATGTGTCTCACATCTACGTTTCTCTCTCCCTCCCTTCCATTCTATTTAAAAATCAATAGGAAAATATCCTTGGGAGAGGATTAAAAAGTAATAAAATTCACAATTCCTCATGAAGGGATCAGAATTCTGCCACCCTGAGGAATACTGATTTTAAGCTCTTTATCAGGGAACGAGACCCAGAAAGAACCTTTCACCCCTCCCTCCATTACCTGCCCAATGACATGCTCTTCTCTGGGCTACCTCGTGTACATCTTAGGAATGGCACCTACCTACCAAGCATCTGCTCATATCCTTTTGCAGGGATTTCTTGAAGGCCCCCGGGCACCTTATTATCAGCCCAGCTCACAATGTGTTGAATACTCATGTTTTCTTCCCATCTTTTTTTTTTTTTAATCCTCACCCGAGGACATTTTTCTATATTTTGTTCAGATAGAGTGAGAGGGAGAGAGAGAGAGAGAAACATCGACGTGAAAGCGACACATCGAGTGGCTGCCACCCACACGACCCAACCAGGGCTGGGGACAAACTGCAACCAAGGTACGTGCCCCTAGCGGGAACTGAACCTGGGTCTCTCCAGACCGCAGGCTGACGCTCTAACCGCTGAGCCAAACCGGCCAGGGCTCTTCCCATCTTTGAACCCTCTCCTACACATGGGGTCTCTGCCTCTCACGGATGTGAGGCTCCCATACGTACGTATGTCTTAAATCTGGTTATTCTGTGGCTTATCTGTGTCACATCTACTTGATCATTAGACCAGAAAAGAACCTTGAGATTAGAAGGAAGTGTATTTTTCCCCCATTTAAGCAAGAAACCAGATATTTAATAGAAGGTAAATATTGGGAGTCCATATACACCACCTTTTCCTGAAATAAGATTTTAAAGGTAGGAATAAAGAGGAACAAACTTTTGTGTTTGGAATGTTGTTTTAAACTGATTGCTAATGTCTGAAAACTGAGGAAGAACCTATGATTCTCATCTCAGTTTCTTGTAAGATATTTAGTTAAAAAAAAACAAAAACTGGTTTCAGTAGAAAACTTGAGCATAATCCCCGTAGCTGTAAACACTGACTCAAGCAGGTGCTGGTGGACTCCCTGATCTTACTGCCACCCCGTCCCACGGGCTGCAGGTCAGCTCACAAAACAACCCAGCATCTGTTCTGCACTTTTTCTAAATTTTCTGCGTATCACCCACTTCACTCTACAATCTAACACCCCGTTTCTCCATTTTGTAGAATGTCCTATATATTCAATATTATCATTGTCTTTTTCTTCATTTGTATGTGGATTCTTTTTGCACGTATTAAATGTTGAATATTTCCTTTTAATCTGACTATATTATTGATTACTGGCCCAGCCAGCAGAACTTACAGGGTATGAGGGAAAGAGTTAATTCTTCTATT